ATTCCACGCACAGTCCGCGACATTCGCTCCTTCCTGGGCCTAGGGAATTTTTACAGGCGCTTTATTGACAAGTTCTCACTCATCGCACGCCCCCTACATGACCTTACCAAAAAGGACGAGAAATGGAACTGGACTGCAAAATGCCAAGAAGCTTTCGAACGGTTAAAGAAAGCTTTTATCAGTAAACCCGTCTTGAACTATCCAGACCCCATGCACCCATATCGATTAGTAACGGACGCATCACTAATCGCCTATGGAGCTACCCTTCTACAAGAAGGAAAAGATGGCGACTGGCACCCAGTCGCTTTCCTCTCTGGATCATTTTCACCAGCAGAGCGAAATTACGATGTTCACGACCGGGAACTCTTGGCTATAATAAAAGCATTGGAACACTGGAATCACTACCTCGAAGGCGCGCGACACCCCTTCGAGATTTGGACAGATTATAAAAACCTGGAACATTTCCAAACGGCGCGAGACCTATCACGACGACACGCCCGTTGGAGCCTTTATTTGAGCAGATTCGACTTTACACTCAGCTATAAAGCAGGATCAACAAATCACTCCGATGCTCTGTCCAGGCGTCCAGATCTAAGTGAGGGGGTAGAATCTGACAACAAATCTCAAATTTTACTCCCGGCCAAGCTTTTCAACAAATCCGACGAAACATTAGTAGAACCATCCCCGACACGGCATATAAAGTCCACGGAAATCGCCTCCTCAAACCTCATTTCCCTCATCCGACACTCGAAATCGGAACATGATGCCCTAACGAGGGTAGCCCTCGCAAGGCTCTTACGAGTAGGACCACAAGGGATGAGAGGATTATTGGGACATTGGACATATGAAGACGGAATCACCAGACGCAACGGCCACATATGCGTCCCCAAAGACGACGTCATCCGAAGACTCATCGTCAAAACACATCATGACGCACCCGCGGTAGGACACCCGGGCAGAGCAAAAACATTGGAAATGGTGCAACGACACTACTGGTGGCAAAACATGACTAAATTCGTCCACGAATATGTGGATGGATGTGCCATATGCCAGTCTACGAAGAACTTGACACACAAGACACACCCACCTATCCACCCTCTGGAAACCACCAACGTTCCTTGGCGATTCATCTCGACAGATTTCGTCACGGACCTACCCGAAAGCAAAGGTTTCGACTCAATTAACATGGTAGTGGATCAAGGTCTGTCAAAAGGCATAGTCATCACCCCATGCAAGAAAACGATCACGGCAGAAGAAACAACCGTGCTTTTCCAAAATAACGTTTTCAATCGACATGGACTGCCGACCAAAATAGTGTCCGATCGGGGCCCTCAATTTGCGGCCAAATTCACCCGAGAACTCTGGAAACGGCTAGGAATCACCGCCGCTCTCAGCACGGCGTATCATCCCCAAACAGATGGAGAGACGGAACGGGTAAACCAGGAGATCGAGCAATTCCTGAGAACGTTCTGCAACTACCATCAGGACAATTGGGTAGACCTTTTGCCGTTCGCCGAATTCTCACATAACACACGGAAACACTCGGCCACCGGGAAATCTCCTTTCGAAGTGCTATACGGTTTCAATCCCCCCTATTCAGCTGACACGGCTCTGGAGACAAAGGTACCTGCGGTAGCTGAACGCATTAAGACGATCACAGAAGTTCAGGAAGAAGCCGCTGCTAGCTTACAAATAGCCAGCAATTACGCCAAAGACCGGGATCTTCACAAGAAACTTCCCCGATGGGAGGAAGGGGACCAAGTATGGTTAGAAGGAACCCATATTCGGACAACCCATCCTAAGTTCAAGCTCGCCCCTAGGCGATATGGCCCTTTCAAGATACTGGGAAAAGTAGGGACCCTGGCGTACAAGCTCCAAATTCCTCCGCAGTGGAAAATCCACCCGGTGTTCCACGCCGCCGTGCTCACTAAATATAGAGAAACCGAAGCCCACGGAGAAAACTTCGCGCGACCAATACCGGAGGTATTGAACGATGAAGAATATTACGAAGTAGAAATGATCGTGGATTCAAAACGGCAAGGACGGGGAACCAAATACTTGGTCAAATGGATGGGATATCCCGAAGCAGACAACACCTGGGAGCCCTACGCTCTCTTAAAGGGAACAGCGGAAGAAGCCATGAAGGATTTCCACGACCAATACCCTGACAAGCCTCGTCCGGGAACAGCCTGAAGGGAAAGACAAGGTTATAAAAGGAGCGACAAGAGGACTCCAACAAGAACATCTTCTCACCTTCTTCCCCTCTCAAACACATCCCCCATTCGAATGCTCCTCCACGACGACCACAATGCTTCGTCTCCATCCAGAAACTCCTCCCCCGATGTCGTCCTTATGGTCGCCAATCCAGATGTCGAACGAGTGGAAAGAGGAACAAGTCCTCACCGACCAGATGCTGGACGAGTTGATAGAGGAACAAGTCCTCAACAACCAGGATCTACCGGCGTCCTCCTCACCCCTCATCTCAACAACTTCTCCGACGACGACGCCGAAGACTATGCCAAGTTCAAGGAAAGGGAAAGAACCCGAAGACCCTCACCGGAGAGGGCCTCACGAGATGCACCACGGCATGAAAACTCTGATGACCGAAACCAGTCGAGCCCTGGCCAATTACCAGTGGGAGTTCCACCTCTTAGTGAAGGCGCGCCAAATAGTGGAGTTGCAGGTCCCTCGGGATTTCGAGCAAGAACGGCAGCTCAACTCCCAAGCCATGGAGAAGCTGAATCAATACCAGTTCTATCAGAAACTGCACCTCCGCCAGTACCAACTAGTGAACCGATTCCCAGCTCCATGGGAGGACCTACCCCTTGTACAGATCCTCACGCCGGAGAACTGGAGCGACACGCGGACGCGCTCCTCCAGCGGAACACCATCTCCGCGGTAATACAAATGGCCACAGCCATGGCCCTCCAAAGACTCGCTAACTTCTCGGCAGGACAACCCGGGAATGAACATAGCGACGTACCTCGACGATTGGCTAGTGCCAGTCTTCAGATCAGAACGCTCGCCCTCCAAACCGACCCGGACACAGCCTCCTGGTACGCCCACAATGACGGGCGACCCCGAGCCCTCCTCATCCACCCTGACAAGTTCTCCCAATACGTCAACCGAGAGCTCCTTCCAGCTCTCCTCTTCGGAGGAGAACTGGGGAACGTCCAACCAAGCAGAACCGACCCTTTCCGAGTGGTCACTTGGAACGTACCACGTCCCGGAGAACATCCCACGCTTGTACCAAATCCAAGGAGGGTCCCGCGTACGGTCGTGGAGCACCCTCCACCGAGACAACGAGAGGTTTCTACAGCGCATAGCCATACCGCGACTCCCCCCTCTCACCGGATACGAGGTTTTCCCCTATCCCAAGGAAATACCGACGAGGAGGAACCGCCCGTCTATCGAAGAAATGAAGGAAGACGGAGTCGGGGAAGCCAGGCAACCCTCGGACGCGGAACGACTGCTGGCCGGAGTGTTCGACACCGGCCTAGATCGCCTCCTCCTAGTGCTCGATTTCGTACGAACGAAAGAGAGGATAACCGAAGTAGCCGCAGAACTCGCCGCGTTGATTCGGAGGCTCGAAGAAATAGCTCGTGGACTAGATCCGAACTCGATGCATGGGATGCTCTAGACGATCCAGGAAATTACGACGAGGCGGACCCCTACTATCGACCGGACGAAGGGGGCGGAGATTATCAAGGACCCTTCGATTATTAAAGGGACTAATAACAGGGCACAAGGAGAAGAAAGGGGGTAAGGAAGTGGAGGAACTCCTTCCCCTGACGAAGTAGGGTCCGAAATGACCTTAAACTATCGATCGTCCGCAACGACGTAAAACTAGGATCGTCCCTCAAGACGTTAAACTGTACGACCTCGTCCGAAAGAGACGTTAAACTACCCCACGTCCGGAATGACGTCTAAACTATCGGACCTGCATGTCTTAAAACTGTGAAAAGATAAGAAGGCAGGGGAAGTACCTGACCATTTTTAGTCCTAGGTTCAAATGATGGTACGAATCAAGGACAACAGCGGGCATAATTCCACGTACAGCCTACGGCGGAACCTTTCACATCCTCGCTGTCAAGGAGTTAATCTGACAGATGCATCGAGCGTCCCATTTGGATCCTCAGTTTTACAGGGTTTTTTCCGCATTAGGGAACCCTCTACATGACATATCTCTACTCGTAGGTGTCGACAAGCCGGCTCTTCGCCTTGGTACAGCGAAGTGCCCATACATAACCGGTTGCAAGTCCGAGTCAAGAAATTATGATGCACAACTCGTTAAGTGAACCCTCACAGTCAAGGTCTGACTGGTGTTTTGGGACGTCCCACTTTGGATCTCCCGTTTTACAGGATCGTTTCCGCATTAGGGGATCCTACAGCTGGCGCATGAGATGATGTAGAGAGCGGGCCGCCTCTACTTCACAAGTCTTCCTATAATGATGCGAGGCCACAAATTATATCCGGAACGATGTAAAACTACCAAAGGCTTGGTCCGCAATGACTATAAACTACTAGGGTCCGCAATGATGTTAAACTAGTCTTCGTCCGAAACGACGGAAAACTATCCTCGTCCGAAACGACGTAAAACTACCATTGACCCAAGGAGCGTGGTTGTATTCTGGTGAAGCGCGGATTTTGGGAGAACTACCGCGTCGCAGAACCCTGCCTATAAGAGGTCGAAGCGCTTCCGATATTCACTCGCTTTTCGGTAAAAGAATATCGGGTCGTCTTGGTTCAAATCCAAGCGAGGGGTCTGGGGACATGGAAGAACAAGCTTTTCTTCATGGTGCGCTCAGTCTAGTCTCGGAGTCGAAGTACAAGAAATTCCGCTCCAAGACCTAGTCAGGAGGCAACTAGGACACGTGCCTCAAGTCAAAGATCTAGTAGGAAGGGACTAGATCATGCGACTCTCGTCTGGCCCACATAGCGGAAGAACGACAAGAGCGGGCCACTCATCCAAAGTCTATTCCGCCACACTCGTCCGCAACGACGATAAACTACGAAGCGTCCGGGATGACGTTAAACTAAGCATTGTCCGCAACGACGATAAACTACGAAGCGTCCGGGATGACGTTAAACTAAGCATCGTCCGCAACGACGATAAACTACGAAGCGTCCGGGATGACGTTAAACTAAGCATTGTTTTTCCACAATATTTGTGGCGAAACAATGTCCGCGATGACGCTAAACTATTGTCCCTTTCCACATAGGGATTGTTCGAGGCCAATGGCATCGACGTCCGCAACGACGGTAAACTACGGGCATCCGAAACGATGTAAAACTACTGTCCCTCCGTTCTAGGGATCGTAGGATGTGTCTCAATATTGGGATGCCTCCTAGTCCGGAATGACTTTAAACTACTTGTCCCTTTAAGCACAGGGATTGTGCGTGGTGGAAATCAAGGTTATCCCCACGCGTCCGAAACGACGCTAAACTACTTATCCCTTCAAGTATAGGGATTGTGCGTGGCGATCTTGACAAGATACCGCACGTCCGCGACGACGTTAAACTAGTGCCCCTGGACTTAGGGGTTGTCATTGATGTCCAATCCCCTGGACACCAATGCGTCCGCAATGACGGAAAACTATTTGCTCCTTACCGCATAGGAGTTGTGGATTGACCGCCATGCTGTCAATCGGTCCGGGATGACATTAAACTACGTGCTCCTTACCGAATAGGAGTTGTGGTTGTTGACCAAGACCGTGGTCATCAACCATCCGAGATGACGTTAAACTACTCGCCCCTTTTCAGTATAGGGATCATCATCAACGTCGTCCTTGACGAGAACGACGCTGATAATGTCCGAAATGACATTAAACTACCCTCATCCTCGGAGGAAAAAGCCTATCGTGACTCGAGGGACATAGTCAGACGATAGCTCGCCTAAAGCACGGCGTTAAACTGCAAGTCGCCTACCTCACGGCGTTAAACTGAGCGGTCTCCTAATATTGAGACGTATAAGTTATCCGGTTTGATATAGCATAAACCGTTCCCATCATGCCTCAGTGGAAACCTGCGGGATCAAGTCTGGTCTAGGGCCCTATGCACACAACCGATGGAAATTCCGGCGTGCAGAAACATCTTTTTCCCACAGATATTCCATGTTGATGATGAAGGACGTCCGCAAAGATGTTAAACTACGAATCGTCCGCAACGACGATAAACTACGGAACGTCCGGCAAGACGTTTAAACTGCTATCGTGGATATATCTCGCGACCCGACCAATATATCAGCTGTGGTCTTAATGTCCATTCGTGCAAGTGAACGGGCCGATTCGGAGAAGGAGTCAGACTCCTCCTTACTCCTCACGGCACCCGTCAAGTCTAATTCTCTTCACATCCTTGCCTCAAACCCAACACTACACGTGGTATTCCCCACCATAGGCCCACGTTTGTGAAAAACAAACTCTGGACGCCGTAAACTGCCTCACCGGAGATGAGTCCACCGTATGGGGACAATACTGCTTGGGATTTTGATTGGGCGCCCTCACCGGAGATGAGCTCACCGTATGGGAGCAATACTGCTTGGCCGTTCGACTCATGCTTAGGCATGGTACAAGGTAGTCTGGAGAAGTAGGCCTAAGCCTTTGTAAAGCGATCAACCTACTTGTCCGTGGACGCCGCCGGTCGCCATTGAGGAAACAACAAAATCATGAGGATAGACGACTATCCTGGAAACACTGAGGTTTGGCCCTCGGAGAAGGAAGAAGAAGAACCTGATGACACGAATCGGAACCCACACGCTAGAGTTTCTACACATCCATACACCACTCGCATTCATACGCCTTTCTTGACACCTGTCCGGTGTCGACCGGACTGACATCCTGGCTTGAGAACCCAGGAAAGATCACAACAACCGAGGGATGAAGGAAGAACATCCCACAGAGCGGAGGTGTGGTACCCTCACGACTCAATAAACAAACAGCTCAACGGAGATGGAAAACTCCTAGAGGATCAAACGACGTAAGTCGGTCTTCCTCCCAGAAAACGAAGTCATGTCCCGGAAGACGCATCCGGCGACCAATTTTTGGATCAAGAAAGCAAATCGTATATGGAGTGGCGATGAAGCGCAAAGCGCTGTCCTACCAGGCGAATAGGACGTAGAAAGGGGGTATTGTTATGATCACGTTCTGTCGGGCCTTAACGGCGGTCTATACCGACACGATCATCACAAATATCAAGCGGCCTCACAAGGTGAGGCGTACAAACAAGGTACAGATAGTAACCTTGGTCATCCACTCCCAACGGATCATCTTATCGTTGGTCGAGTATCACGGGCCTATTGTGTAGCGGGCATGGAACGCCGCCTTACAAACTACTCACACATCGGGCATTGAGCTCCTAGTCGTTCCTGGCCGGAAGGAGACTAACGGGGAAACACAAGAGTAGTCGTTATTGAGAGAGACGACTTAGAGTATACCTACGGATACATATATGGTATTCTCACGCCCTACTTCCTAAAGTAGTATAAAAGGCCCATAGAGTAGGCTGAGGTTCTTCAGTCTATTCTCTTCGTTCGTTGTGGTCTTCCTACCACAGCACCCTCATCCACTGTAGTCTTCTCACTACAGTCTTCATTGCTATATCGCAATACACTTCTGGCTCCTGTGCTACACGTACAGTCGAGACCACCGTTCCACCCATCCTCCACGAGTGACCTAGGGAAGAACCTCCTACTCTTGGGGTTACCGACGAGCAGTCGTAACAGGTTCTTCGACTCCTTCTTCCCTCATTTCTTCGATAGACGGGTGGTTCCTCCTTGTCGGTACCCCCATGGGATAAGGGAAAATTTCGTACCCGGTGAGAGGAGGGCGTCGTGGGATGGCTATGTGTTGTACGACTTTCCCGTGGCCTTGGTGAAGGGCGTTCCACGACCGTGTGCGGAGTCCTTCTTGGATTTGGTACAGCCGTGGGACGTTCTCCGGGACGTGGTACATTCCAGACGACGACGCGGAAAGGGTCGGTCCTACTTGGTTGGACGGCGCCCAGTTCTCCGGTGAAGAGGAGAGCTGGAAGGAGCTCTCTGTTGACATACTGGGAGAATTCGTCGGGATGGATGAGGAGAGCTCGTGGTCGTCCGTCGTTATGTTCGTACCAAGAGGCGGTGTCAGGGTCTGTTTAGAGGGCGAGTCCTCTGATCTGGAGACTGGCACTAGCCAGTCGTCGAGGTATGTCGCTATGCTCATTCCCGGGTTGCCCTGCAGCGAAGTTAGCGAGTCGTTGTAGGGCCATGGCTGTGGCCATTTGTATTACCGCGGAGATAGTGCTTCGCTGGAGGAGCGCGTCTGCGTGTCGCTCCAGTTCTCCAGAGTGAGGATCTGTACCAAAGGTAGTTCTTCCCATGGAGCAGGGAACCTGTCCACTAGTTGGTACTGGCGGAGGTGTAGCTCCCTGTATAACTGGTATCGGTTCAGTTTCTCCATGGCTTGGGAGTTGAGCTGCTGTTCTTGCTCGTAGTCCCGAGGGACCTGCAGCTCCAACGCTCGCCGTGATTGTAGCAAGAGGTGGAACTCCCACTGGTACTTCGTCAGAGCCTGGTAGGTTTCTGTCATCAGGGTTTTCATTCTGTGATGCATTTCGTGGGGCCCCCTGGGGTGACGGTCGGCGAGTTCTTTCTCTTTCTTTGAACTTGGCGTAGTCCTCGGCGTCGTCATCGGAGAAGTTATTGAGGTGTGGAGCGAGGGTGACAACGGCGGGTTCCGGACGGTGAGGGCTGGTTCCTCTATCAATTCGTCCAGCATTGCTTGGGTGAGGACTGGTTCCTCTATCCACTCGTCCGATGTCTGGATTGGACACCATAAGGACGACATCGGGGGAGGAGTTTCTGGATGGTGATGAAGCATCGTGGTCTTCGTGAAGGAGCATTTGAGTGAAGGAGAGGGAGTTTGAGAGAAAAGTGGGAGAAGATGTGGGAGGATGGTCTGCTTAGAGCTCTTTGGACGCTCTTTTATAGACTTTTCTTTCCGCTTTTCAGGGTGCTCCCGGACAAGGTTTATCAGGGTATTGGTCATGAAACTCCTTCATAGCTTCTTCCGCTGTCCCTTTTAGGAGAGTGTAGGGTTCCCAGGTGTTGTCCGCCTCGGGATATCCCATCCATTTGACCAAATATTTGGTTCCTCGTCCTTGTTTCTTTGAGTCCACGATCATTTCTACTTCGTAATGTTCTTCATCGTTTAATACCTCCGGCAATGGTCTGGCGAAGTTTTCTCCGTGTGCCCCGGTTTCCCTATACTTGGTTAGCATTGCGGCGTGGAACACCGGGTGGATTCTCCATTGTTGGGGGATTTGAAGTTTGTATGCCAGGGTTCCTATTTTTGCCAATATTTTAAAGGGGCCATACCTCCTAGGAGCGAGCTTGAACTTTGGATGGGTTGTCCGGATATGGGTTCCTTCTAGCCATACTTGGTCTCCTTCTTTCCATTGAGGGAGTTTCCTGTGGAGATCCCGGTCCTTGGCGTAATTGCTGGCTATTTGTAGGCTGGCTGCGGCTTCTTCCTGGACTTCTGTGATCACTTTAATGCATTCAGCTACCGCGGGTACCTTTGTCTCCAGCGCAGTGTCGGCTGAATAAGGGGGATTGAACCCGTATAGCACTTCGAAAGGAGATTTTCCGGTGGCTGAATGTTTCCGCGTGTTGTGCGAGAATTCGGCAAACGGCAAAAGGTCTACCCAGTTATCTTGGTGGTAGTTGCAGAACGTTCTCAGGAACTGTTCAATCTCCTGGTTTACTCGTTCTGTTTCTCCGTCCGTCTGGGGATGATAAGCCGTGCTGAGAGCGGCGGTGATTCCTAGCCGTTTCCAGAGTTCTCGGGTGAACTTGGCCGCAAATTGAGGGCCGCGATCGGATACTATTTTGGTCGGCAACCCATGTCGACTGAAAACGTTGTTCTGGAAAAGCACGGTTGTTTCTTCTGCCGTAATCGTTTTCTTGCATGGGGTGATGACTATGCCTTTGGACAGACCTTGGTCTACTACCACGTTGATTGAGTCGAAACCCTTGCTTTCGGGTAGGTCCGTGACGAAATCTGTCAAGATGAAGCGCCAGGGGACGTTGGTGGTTTCCAAAGGGTGGATAGGAGGGTGCGTCTTGTGTGTCAGATTCTTGGTTGATTGGCATACCGCGCATCCGTCCACGTATTCATGGATGAACTTTGTCATGTTTTGCCACCAATAGTGTCGTTGTACCATTTCCAACGTTTTTGTTCTCCCCGGGTGTCCTACCGCGGGTGCGTCGTGATGCGTTTTGACAATAAGTCTTCGTATGGCATCGTCTTTTGGGACGCATATGTGGCCGTTTCGTCTGGTGATTCCGTCTTCGTGTGTCCAGTGTCCCAGTAATCCTCTCATTCCTTGTGGCCCTACTCGCAAAAGTTTGGCGAGGGCTACCCTTGTCAGGGCATCATATTCCGATTTTGAGTGTCGGATGAGGGAGATGAGGTCCGAGGATGCAATTTCTGTGGACTTGATATGTCGTGTCGGGGACGGTTCTACCAGCGTGTCGTCGGATTTGTTAAAAAGGTTGGCCGGGAGCAAAATTTGAGCTTTGTTGTCAGATTCCACCCCCTCACTTAGATCTGGACGCCTGGACAGAGCATCGGAATGATTTGTTGATCCCGCTTTATAGCTGAGCGTGAAGTCGAATCTGCTCAAATAAAGGCTCCAACGGGCGTGTCGTCGTGAGAGATCTCGCGCCGTTTGGAAGTGTTCCAGGTTCTTGTGATCTGTCCAGATCTCGAATGGGTGTCGTGCACCTTCGAGGTAGTGATTCCAGTGTTCCAACGCTTTTATGATGGCCAGGAGTTTGCGATCGTGGACGTCGTAATTCCGTTCTGCTGGTGAAAATGACCCGGAAAGGAATGCGACTGGGTGCCAGTCGCCGTCTTTTCCTTCTTGCAGGAGGGTAGCTCCGTAAGCGATTAGTGAGGCATCCGTTACTAGTCGATATGGATGCATGGGGTCCGGGTAATTTAGAACGGGTTTACTGATAAATGCCCTTTTTAATCGTTCGAAAGCTTCCTGGCACTTCGAAGTCCAGTTCCATTTTGCGTCCTTTTTGGTGAGGTCGTGCAGAGGTCGTGCGATAAGGGAGAACTTATCGATGAAACGCCTGTAGAAGTTTCCTAGACCTCAAAAGGAGCGAATGTCTCGGACGGTGCGTGGGACTGGCCAATCTTGTATGGCGTCCACCTTTGAGTCTTCCATTGCGACATGGTCTTTTGAGATTGTGTACCCCAGATACTGGAGTTTTTCTTTATAAAACTCGCACTTTTCTGGTTTCAAATAGAGGTCGTTGTCGCGCAAGATCTGGAAAACTTGGTTCAGGACCTGGATGTGTTCCACCATGTTTTTGGAAAAGATGAGGATGTCGTCCATATATACGGTTATTTTCCGGGCCGTGATGAGTTCTCTGAAGATCATGTTCATCATGGCTTGGAAGGTGGCTGGTGAGTTGGTAAGGCCGAAGAACATCACCGTGGGTTCGTAGGAGCCCAGCGGAGTGATGAAAGCTGCCTTCCACTCGTCGCCCTTCTTGATTCGTATATTGTTGTATCCCCACCGTACATCCAATTTGCTGAAAATGGTGGCCCCTTTGATCACGTCCAATAGTTCTTGGATTAGTGGAAGGGGGCACACATTTGGGATGGTGTACGAGTTCAAATGGCGATAGTCCTGTACCGGGCGCAGTTTTCCATCTTTCTTTCCTATAAAGAAAAATGGGGCTGCCGTTTGTGAGGTGGATCGACAGATGGTCCCCCGAGTGAGGTGTTCCTTGATGAATTTCCCTAGTTCATCATGTTTCTCTGGGCTCAAGGCATAGATTTTTGGTACTTGAGGTTTGAAAGTCGGTTTCAGGTCTATGGCGTGGTCCCAGTAAGTGTGCTCTGGGAGTCGTTGCGACTTTCGTTCGCTAAAAATGTCCAAAAATTCGTGGTGCGCCTTGGGGACTCTTTCCTTTAGATTGGTGACGACGATTTCGTCCTCCAAGTCCTGGTCGAAGCTGGCAAATCCTGACGGTTCGGGAGCCAGTTTCCGAATAACTGGTTCTTCTGTGGCCTGTTTTCCTGAGTTTTTATGTGGGAGGTCAGGTTCTCCCCCGTTTGGTGAAAGAGATGGTTTGGCTTGAGCCTTTCGTTTCTCTTCTGCATATTTCCTTATGTCCTGTAGAAGCCATTTCCTTTTGAGGTATGCTCGTAGTTGGACGCCAAACGTTCCGCTATGATCGCGGAGTCCTACATCTTCCGATAGTCTTCGGAGGTGCTCTAGGCGCTGTTTTTCGCGCTCGTTAATACGTGGTTTGTGCCGTGGTTCCACGTCTGATAACCGCCTATTGTTTTGCGGTTCTTCCCTTGCCCTAGTGAACCCATATGGTTGCTGGCATTTTTGGGGGCACCGATCAAAGTGCACTTCACGTTGCCTCCACTCGATGGAGGGATCGTGGTATTTCAACCAATCTGTTCCTAGGATAAGGTCGTCTTTCCCTAGATTGGAGATAAACATCTGGACGCGCTCAGTATGCGTTCGTCCCCTGATGTCCTGAATGGTGAGGTTCACATCCAAGGCTGATCGGATGAGACCTGCTTTATTAATGGTGTCATCGACATTCCGGACGCGAATGGGGTTGTTGAGTGTGTAGGTGGGGAAGCGATGTCTCCTGACCCAAGTTTCATTTACTATAACCCCTTCGCATGCCGAGTCGATGGTTGCCTTTGCTCCAGCGTATTGACTCCTGTTTGATACTTTCACGTTCAGGCGTATGGGAGTGATGATACGGTCGTTCATTGCTCCGATACGAATACAAGTGCGGGCATCAAACTCGGGTCGTTCTTGACCTCTCTCCTTCGCTGGTGAGGGAGAGGTCAGGAAAAACGCTCCGCGTGTCCCAAGATCACTTCTCTTGCTTCATCTTCCCCTAGTTCTCCGAGCACTGCTCCGATTCGAGCAGAATGACTGACGCTTCTGTCTCCCCGTCGTCCGTTAGGTAACATAACGCGTTGCCCATGGTTCGTTTGGGGTCGTCCGGATGGGGCAGAGTGAGGACATTCCATCGAAGGACCAGGTTGTGGTACCCGCTGGTTGTTGCGATGAACATCCTCTGTCTCCATTCCTTGATATATTCCCGCTTGGTTTCCCATAGCGGGTGCGTCGTCTTCTCCTTCAAGATCAACCACGCGGTTTCCTCTCCCTGTCGTACCCAAGCGTCTTTTCGAGTTTCCTCGAACTGGTGGAACGCCTCTGCGGGCCGACCAGCAGTTAGCGCCAGAGTGTCCTATCTTTCCACAGTTTGAACAAGAGGTGGTTCGCTTGCCGTCAAATTTTCTCTTTTGACTTTGGGCGTTACGCTTCCTGGTAGCGTCGATGTCCATATCAACCACCTGATTATTCATCTTTCGAGGGGCGTTTGTGGAGTTATAGCGGATAGCGGGTTGGGAGTGGAAACGGTTTAGATAGTCGCTGCGGAAGGAGGTGGAGTTGGCGAGGATGGCTTTTTGAGCGGACCTAGCTCTGAGTCGTCCGTCTATTTCGCAGGCTGTGTTTATCCAATCCTGGATGTTGTCCTTTGGCTGTACTTCTTTGTCATATATTTTGTCCATGACACGCGGGTCTAACCCTCGTTGGAAGTAAGGGACTTGTTCCTTGTCGGAGATGTTGGCATCGGCGGCGATGAGAATGAATTGGTTGGAGTATTCATCAACCGTCATTCGTCCTTGGGAGAAGGCCATGAGTGCGCTTCGCGCTTTGTCTGTCTTGCCCGTCTCCCTAAATTGGAGTTTGAACTTTGTTAAAAAGTCCCTCCAGGTTCCTAGATCAGTGGGAGGGTCCGCTCCTACTGATTTGAGGAGGAAGTTCTCGGCCCAAGCTCCTGCCGTGCCATATCTCATGCATGAGAGTACCAAGGATATCTTGTCTTGATCGGTCTTGTACCGATCGGATTCTGCTGCGAAAAGAAGGAGGCATTGGAGCATGAATTTCTGGGATTCAATGCGGTTGCCTGTATAGTTGTCTGGGAGCTTGACTTTTCCTCTTCCGGGTTGTACTGTCGCGGAAGGGGGTTCTGTAGAAGTCGAAGCTTGTCCCGACATGTTGGCGAGCAGTTCGTTTCGGGTGTTGATCGGTGTTTGGTCTGGTGAGTCGGAGTCTGATTCCGAGGTCGTTTCCTCTTGCTCCAAGTCTTCGGGGATTACCGGCTCCGGTTCCCTGTATTGTGGGGCTAGTTCCCACTGAGCTTCTGTTTCGTTCCAAATATCCTCTTCTTCTGTTCCGTCTTCAAGGGTGAAGTAATAACGCCCGTTTTGGTATGAGCAGTTATCGTAATTTGGGGGGGCGTATCTGTTGTTGTCTTCGTAGACCCAGAAGTCCCCTTCGCGCCGGATAGGGCGATTGTTGTGACGGAGTTGGTTATTGATACGTCTAGTGCCGGGTGGATATTCCTGGCCTAGGTCTTGCTCCAGAGTGTGTGCAGCAACGCTTTCTTAATGGGGGTCTATTATCCCCACCAAGGAAGGTTATGAGAGAGAGAGTATGGCAGCAAGCTAGTGCGAGCAAGGTAGGGGCAGAAGAGTCTATTCTAGTGTTACGACTGCTCGTCGGTAACCCCAAGAGTAGGAGGTTCTTCCCTAGGTCACTCGTGGAGGATGTGTGGAACGGTGGTCTCAACTGTACGTGTAGCACAGGAGCCAGAAGTGTATTGCGATATAGCAATGAAGACTGTAGTAGGAAGGCTACAGTGGATGAGGGTGCTGTGGTAGGAAGACCACAACGAACGAAGAGAATAGACTGAAGAACCTCAGCCTACTCTATGGGCCTTTTATACTACTTTAGGAAGTAGGGCGTGAGAATACCATATATGTATCCGTAGGTATACTCTAAGTCGTTCTCTCTCAATAACGACTACTCTTGTGTTTCTCCGTTAGTCTCCTTCCGGCCAGGAAAGACTAGGAGCTCAATGCCCGATGTGTGAGTAGTTTGTAAGGCGGCGTTCCATGCCCGCTACGCAATAGGCCCGTGATACTCGACCAACGATAAGGTGATCCGTTGGGAGTGGATGACCAAGGTTACTATCTGTACCTTGTTTGTACGCCTCACCTTGTGAGGCCGCTTGATATTTGTGATGATCGTGTCGGAATAGACCGCCCTTAAGGCCCGACAGAACGTGATCATAACAAGAGAGACAACTTAGAGAATACCCACAGATACATATTTGGTATTCTCACACCCGATTTTTCCTAAAGTAGTATATAAGGCCCATAGAGTAGGCTGGTGGATTTCCAGTCTATTCTCTATTACGAAATGTCTTGCTTATGCCTACCTACTTTTCCCACCATCTTGACAAGGACACATAGGACCTTTCTCCCAACTCTACCCCGTGTTCCTGCTCCACTGATACTTGGTCCGTGCTTTTGCCTGTACATATTTATAGATACTGCGGCGCAGTGCGGAAGCCTTAGGCTATCCACTTCTGTCCAATCTAAGAACTGCTGTTCACACAGTCTTCTCTGGTTCTAAGACACTAGTCTGATCAGTCCCAATCATCCTCTCAAATCTTCTTGTATTATTTGTGGCCTAGGATCTCCTCGTCTTGAACAGCTACACATGACATTCTCCTTTGTTCTGTGCAGTCTTCCTACTGCACCCTTGTTCTAGTACTGTCCTCCTACAGTACTCACCACTGCCCCTCGTATCCTCAGATACAAGACATTACAATATATCTTTGGCTCTTGTGCTACACGTACAATCGAGACCATTGTTCCACCCTTCCTCCGCGAGCAACCTGGGGAAGAACCTCCTACTCTTGGGGTTACCGAACGAGCAGTTTGTAACAACAATGATCAACCTTCATACACTCCTCCAATGCATCCAAGACACCAGTCTATCCTTATCAGCTGCAAAGATAGAGTTTTTCATGACAGAAGTGAAATTTGCAAGTGAAATAGTTGGCCCCAACAGTGTTGGTACAGACCCCTCAAAAATCTCTGCAATCATTAATTGGGCAACCCCAACCACACTAAAAGGTCTATCAGGCTTCATTTACCTAGGGAACTACTACCGCTTTGTATGTGCAGATTATGGCCACATCGCACGGCCCCTCACAGATCTAATCCGGAATGCCTCAATACCAATAGGAAAAGGTAAATTTGCACACTAGAGAGCACTCCCTCGAGGGCCAATGGACAACCAAACATTAAAAAGCATTTATCAAGATCAAAGCTGCCCTAACCTCCGCACCAGTACTCCGATCCCCCATCTGTGACGGCTGTGCCTTCATCATCACAACTGATGGATCCAAACATGAGTTTGCTGTAATCTTGTTGCAATACCACAAAACAGCCCTTCCCAATGGAAAGAAGGTAACACGGTGGCACCCTATTGCCTTCGCATCCAAATGCACATCCTGTGCCGAAGAACGTTACAAACCATTCCTCTCTAAGTTCACAGCTCTCAAGTTCAGCCTCGATAAGTTCTCAGACACCATCTGGGGCTCACTCATCGAGATCGAGACTGACTGCCAAGCACTGCAAGACTTCTTCTTAATGACAACCTGAACATATATCATGCCAGATGGCGCGACAGTGTCCTAGCCTATGAAATCAGGAAGGTCTGACACTGGCCAGGGATTGGCGACCCCGCAGATGGCCCAAGCCACATATACGATGCTGAATTCCAAAATAAGGAAGCAAGCATGCCACCGCGCAATTGGATACATGATTGAAGATAGGAAGCTATGGCGCATAGGGAACGGACACTCCCCCCAAGCACGACCACACATTGAGTGCATCTCCCACTCCGAAGCAGTGGACCAGGCCCCCCGAAGCTCCTATAAAGGTTTCCCCATCAAAATGCCCCTAAACAGGTCAGAAAAATGCTAACATTTTTGCCTGTGAAGCATGCTAAAACCGGGAAGGGTTGTCACGTTTTGTCACGTTTGTCACGGCTATTTTGAGACAGTGTAAACTACCCTGCGGCACTGATTTCTTCTCACAAACAACAAAGAATGAGTATATGAGATACATAAGGCACATTCTAAGGCTCTGGAATCTGACCACTAGGAACCATAGGTGTTGGCATGGTCAGAAGAGCCTTCTTTACCTTTGGATAAGTAAGAGCTCTCTATCTTGACCCTGCTATTAGTGTTAAACATATTAAATCTTGCTGCTATCCAACTATAGGGTCTTGCATAATTTTCTGGAGTGTTGTGCCAGAAAAAAACCAGGTTCCTAAACCAATACCTGCCTAACTGGACACTATAGGCTGGGATGATTAGCAAAGCACTGTCACATTCTTAGGCCTGCTGGGGCTAACACTTCTAGTACATTGTGTGCTCATCTCTTTGTAGTACTTTATCTTACCATGGCTCTACCTATCCCTCTCCTACCATCTCCAGGACTTTCACTCAGATATAGATCACAAACAATCAAATCTTGAAAACAGTAGTAGAGCATGATCACAAGGTAGGTCACATAAGGAGGTCTAGCACTTTTCTCCTATATTAGGAGTAAAGCACTTAGGAACCTGGTTTTTTTCTGGCACAACACTCCAGAAAATTATGCAAGACCCTGTAATACATTGGGTCCAAGGTTACAAAGTATTTGTAAAGCCTTTGCTTGGGTCTTGGGAAATGATTTGTATATTTTGGATTTGTCACACATGCTGATCTGGGCTTAGAGGAGAGAAGTTGAGAGCTTCTATTATATAGATGTACAAAGAAGTATAGGATTAGAGACAAAAGGGATTCTTGAATATTCTATGACAAGTTGACCAAAATTTTCAAATTAGTAAATGCTGTAGAAATCCCAATGTTCCCCTAACTGCCCTCAAAAATGCTAACTACCGGGAAACATGGTGTGATTTTGACCCAGAAATATGCTGAATTCAGGGAAGGATTTAACCAAAATCAGCCCTCAAATATGCTAATTTTCGGGGAAACCTTCATAGGAGCTTTGGGGGGCCTAGTGGACTGTGCGGCCGCAGTGCATGGCCAGCTGCACTTCGGCCGCAACCACATCAAACTACAACTGCTTGACACAATTTGCAGCCCACAGCTTGACCAGTCAATTGTAACCGCACTTGCCAACTGTGCCCCATGCAAAAACTTCAGGGGTATGCACCTTTACTCCATCCTAGAGCCTATCACTCGCTGTCGCCCCTTCGAACTACTCGTAGCAGACTACCTCTCCCTACCAAAAGGCACAAATGGCTTCCACACTGTTGGCCTATACCTCGACACCTATTTCCAATGCATCTGGGGATTCAAATACAAGACGCACAGTACCGCAAAAACCACAATATCAGGACTCACCACCATCACAACCAGCTGGACAAAACCCAACACATTCATGACCGACGGCGGTTCCCACTTCAAAAACGCTGAGGTAGCCTCATTCTGCAAAGAATGAGACATCCATGATGAAGTCATAGCGGCATACTCTGCGTGGGTGAACGGCCTCGTCGAAGGAACAAACAAGATCCTCCTAGGCCGCCTCAAACGCCTATGCAGCCCAGAACTTGGCGAAGATGAGTGTACCGACGTCAAACCCGAGGACATACCAAAAAACTGGCCGAAATACTTCGACCAGGTCATCGAGTGGCTCAACAACTGCATCCTTCCCGCACTACACCACTCCCCCAATGAACTCGCGCTAGGCCTGGTCATCAACACACCAAAAGCGTCCCCGAACACCGCAGAGGCACCACCTTCCATAGCCGAGGTGGAACGCCAACTCGCCTACACGGAACAACAGCGCCTCAACGGCTATGCATTCACAGTGGACCACGCGCACAAACGAAAGGCAGCGTTTAACAGACGCGTCGTCAGCGCCGCACCAGCTGAAGTCATCTTTGCACGCTTCGACCTTGTCCAAGTCTACAGAAATGCACTTGATTTCACCTTATTCTACAGCAAGCAAGCTGCTTCCCAGATGGTCACCCCCCCGGCGCATCCGTAGCCACATCGTCAACTCCTACATCCTCGAAGACCTCAGCGACACCCTTCTACCCGGCAAATACAGCTCTCGCCGACTCAAGAAATTCGTGCCCCGCAGCGGCACAAAGCTCGCACAAGAACAAGCAACCCTGCTACAAGACAAAGAAGGCCACCCCAAAGAAGACGGCACCGACGGCCCCATCTTTCCCAGCGAACAAACAGAACACCCCTTGCTAGAGGACTCACCATCTGAGGACCCCGCAAACGAAGACAAATCGGAGGGCTCGAACACCTCTGACCTCAAAGACGACGCCGAAACAGAGGACAAGGAGGACGAGTCACGTCCTCGCGCCGGGCGCGCACTACGCTCAGGACGCATCATTCATTAGCGGACAACGAGGACGTCGCATTTGAGGGCAGGGGGGCACATGGAGTAGTAAAACTCAATACCAAGGAGAGAGAGAGAGCGCGTAGGGGGGACATAAGAGAGCGCAGAAGGGGAAGCAGGCAGAGGAGGAAGGCGAAGCCACAGGACGAAGGGATCCGAGAGGAGGAGAGCTTAGGGTTAAGGGTAGCACGCACACAGCCTGTAGCGCCAGCGCGCCAGACACGCCAAAAAATCATCCACCATCGCATTTCGCTGCTAGTCCAGCGGTTCAATATCAGCCTGACTTCTTAGACTTCATGACATACTCTGGTCAGCTCGTAGGACAAAGCGATGAGCGGGAAGGTGGACGTACAAAAACCTTCCCGAGAAGTCTGACCACATCTCGGAGCACCTTCTTCACTTCTGGCCGATGGTCGGCCTCCAGGAGACGGAAGGTCTCACGTACTTCATGCGCTTCGCGCGCTTCGAGGGCCTCGCGCACGTCGGGCTCTGATTGTGCCCGAAGGCGAACGACCTTAGGACGATACAAGAGCAAGTCTGCCTTGTAAAGGCGATAATACGGGTCGGTTTGGGAGAATGGGACAGGGAGAGTGGAGGAGCCAGCTCGACTGGGTGGTGAAGGCGGGGTACTCGCACGGAATTGCGGCTCCGTGCTAGACACAGATGAAGTGGGAGTGTGGGTGACGATGACCTCTGGATCCATATCGGACGTATCGATGAGGGAATGGCAAAAAGCTGGCAGCGAGGAGCTGGTCAGTGGTCGAGGACAAACACGTTGCAGCAAGAAGTTGTGCCAGGCTGTAGCCGAGGACATGAGGCCAAGTCCATTTCATTCTCCGCGGGGCTGGAAGCCGCTGAAAGGGCCTCAAAAAGATTAAAAACCGATAAGAATCGGGCAGTTTCTGCGATTTTTGCCCTCAAATATATTAAAATTGGAGAAGATTATAGCACTTTTTAGTCCAAAAAAAGATTAACTTCCGGGGAAACATCTGGTAGAGCTTCCCGGGGCCTGCTCAAGCGTCTTCCGCCAAAATTCTGTACTCGGCGAAGCTGGGAAGTGAGCTTTCTGACCTCCAACTATCTGAGTGTGTGAAACTCTTCAGTGCGAACTATGGCATATAGGGAGAAGCTGTGAGTCAGATGGCACCTGGCTTGAAGCCAAGTGAGCGTTTGCTAATTTCTCAGCTGTGAACTGAACTCGGCCGTTGAACTCGACTCCCTTTCTGCAGATACCCGTGTTAGAATAAACGCGCAGAAGCTCAAAGCTCAATGTTTTGGTGCCGCTGAGCGAACTGTTCTGGTGACATGCCATCTGAACGATACGCTGATTGGGCATGTATTTGTAACCACTTAAGATTTTGAGGGCGGTGCGCACTGCTTGGCTTTATGCGGAGAAGACTCGATCACGATGGTCTGCACGTTATCTGGGTTCGATCAGGCGTCGCTGGATGGATCACGCAGCTTGTCGTCAATAGCCAGCACTGCAGACATTACATCGCAACCTCGCTCCTGCAGACGCTTACATTCCACACGCTGTTTCAGCGCGTCACGGTATTCGGCTTGGCTTCCTCGCATCCCGCCGCCTGTAACGCATTGGCCAAGATCGCACGTATGTACCGGTGTGTCCCCGCATCGCCTCCGACGTGATTTTCGACTTGTCGTTTAGGCCTCCGAATGAACGAGATCGATCTCGCGTTCATAGGCGCGAACGCATCGCGCGTCCTCGCATCCTCTACAGTTGGCTATATCAAGACCGCCGAGCTACGAGGCACCGTGTTCGGCGATGCGCACGACCCCGCAGTGGTTTCCTCTGCCTTCACAAATTTCTACGTCAGCCACGTCGAGCCGTTGGATATTTTGGAGACGTACGTTGCGCGGTCGAATTGGTCTTTGGAAGAATTACTCGAAGGGCATGAGTTCTTGATCATAGTTCCTGTGTCAAAATGACGTTCCAGAGCAATCAGGTGGATTGGGTTCTACGCAACTATTGTGTATGAACACCTTGGGGCGTGTTTAATGTAGCGGCGTAGATGTCAATGGAATATTTTCAATCAATAAGATCGTGTGGTGTCGTGGTCTTGCGGCTCAGTCATTGTGCAAATGAGATCGTGCAGTCTTGACTGCTCAAAACTCAGTAGCATAATCATGGAACAAGAACAATGCAGTGTCCACCTTAAAGCTCAGGTTGATTGAGCACAGTGCTATGACACCTGACAGTTTTTGAATACCCTTCATACTGTCAACCTCAGTATACGGTGAGCGAAGCAGTCAGAGAAGAATATCTCAGAAATACAGAATGCGTGTCGACACATTCAACCCAGCAGTTTCAGGCAGAATGGTGGGGACACTCCATACCATCTCGAACACTTGGATCGGAGCAGATTCACCAAAACTGGCCACCAACAATTTGGTTCATGCGATGTGGGGTCGTCTACAAGAAAATCAACCTAGAATCCCACGTGTGCTGCTAGAATGTCAACATTCGTGACGAGCCCGATCTAGCTATATGCTGTGTCAATCAAGTTCTGGTAGATGCTTCTACTGTTTACAGAAGATATTGAGTCAGAACCGACCCCAGTACTTGGCATCGTCCATCATCTTGAGGAAAGACACTAGAAAGACTCACCAGAGAAGATCAAATTCGATTCGAGCTTGGTTCAGATTCGAGAATGCCAACTCATGAATGGGAGAAGCTGCTAAGGAGCGTGGGAAGGCTTCGGAACCCTAAATTTCCAAAGATGTTCTGGTCGAGGCAGTCATTTTTGGTGCGCGCGCTTTCAAGCTATGAGAAGTTCAATCAAGCACAAGCAATAGCGAACGCCTTCTATTTCGATGTTACGACGGACAGCGAGCTTCGACAATTCGCCTGAGGGTTTGATGGGCGCTTATTCGCGAGGCAGCTTTTAACGCGTCTTCTTCAACTTTGGACTTGCACGAAAGGACTTGAACACCGCTTGTGCACCGCCTTTAGCAATGTGCCACGTATGCGGCCCTGCGATAATCTCTCCCTGGGTTCAGACATTGCATACATTGCTTGACGGTCGTGGGTTTTGATCATAGTTCCAAAGTAACTCACCCTTCCATCGTCATGGGATGCTGGTGATTCAACTCAATTTCTGCGTAGAGCAGGGTCAATATCCCATGGGATCTGCGACCACGTAGTTCAGATGATATAGAAACTGTTGAGTAACGTTAATCATTTTCGACTTCTACAATCACTCACACCTAACAACAAATCCATTGCTTATTTAGCGCCCATAGATTCCGCCCTATTCTTTAATGCCTCTGCCTGTGCATCGAACGATTCCTGGAGTCCATCCTTCATAGTCGCTTCAAGCGTAGACGCCAATGCCCCACCGAACGTCTCAGACGCCTCGTATTTCACCAGCCCATCGGCTTCGGTCAGTGTCTGCACCCGCTCTGCGCTCAATAGTGCCTCAGGCAGAGTATTGTATCTCCATGCGGCGGTGTAATTGTCACTGTTCAAGATAGTGACGAGCTCGTCGGAGGTCTGATACAATTCATTGTCGTCGAAGGAGGGAGGAATGTGCACTTTGAGAAAGAGGAGCGAGCCCACATGTGGTGCCTGGTCTGAGAGGGGTCGATGGAGAGAGTCAACGACAGTCTGGCTGCGCCTATTTGGTGTGAATATAGTTCAAAACTGGATTCTATCGGACATCTTAGACTGCGTACACAAATGGGTTCCTGTGTGCATACCAGTTAAGTGAGCGCAAAATAGAATAGCAGAAAATGTGGTTACCATTCATGATAAGCCGGGAAATCCACAAGAATACTCCAAATGTTTGAGGCTGTAGAGTTGATCAGCGACGAAGAAGTCACACTGAACATCATGCCAGTCGCGGCAGAAAGGCTAGACATGTTATGCAGGAAAGCGTGGACGCGAGACGGCTCAGAGCAGCTTGACAAATTGACCGCTTATATGTGTTTAGGAAGAATGACCTCGGCGTCCCGCGGTATGTTGTGTTAAACGAACTCAATGGGCTGGGAGCACAAGGGTCAGAAGCTTGCTCCATTGCACGAGGCTTGACAGCAGATGAGAGGGAGACAGTTACGTACAGAGCCTGAAAATGCTTGTGGAGGGTTGCATCATCGTTGAATTTCTCCGGAACTTTTCCTCTCGTACTTCGACAAACAAACAATTTAGTCCTCTAGACATGCGGTATGCTGTTTCGGATCCGATACATACTGAGCGAAAGACAGTGCTATGCGATAAACTTTGATCATGTCAAGCTTCAAAAGTTAAGGGGGCAAATTGAAGAAGTGGACCCGATGTCGGCTGAGCGAAGATCATGAATTAAAAGATCTGATCACAGGACAGTAACTCCAGGCTATGCGGATGTAAAATGACGGAAAGCATTTATCAAGCTGTCAAACCTTCAGCTTAGGAAAGTCACAGGCACAGACCCATTCGATAAGAAGCTCACCGGGATACTTGATTGGAAAGTCTGGATCAGACCGTTACGCCCACTCACTGCTCCTCAGATCTGCTCTTCAGCGTTGCTGCCATGGCGTCAAACGCTTCTTCCAATCCATTCCTCAAGAATATCTTTATTACATACGCCAATATCCCCCCAAAGACTTCTTGCGTCTCGTACTTTGTCCTGCCAGGAGAGACCTCGCTAAGTGTTTGCCAACGTTCCGCGCGGAGTAGCCACTCCGGAAGTGTCGCGTACTTCCACGCGATGCGAAAATTGGCGTTGTCGACATGCGTGATAATCTCTTCGGTGGTTTGGAAGGACTTGGAGTCATCCATTGTAGGTGGAATATGAACCTTCATGAGAAGTCGTTGTCCTTCTTGAGGAATCTGGTCGGACAACGGATTCTTTGATGTCGCGTCGACCACTGTCTGTTCGCGCCTGCATAATGTCAGGTAGATTGAGGACTTTGAGCAGCGAGCTTGGATTCGCATGATCGACATGCTTACACAAATGAGTTCCTGAGGACATAAGGAAGTTCCAGAAACAAATGTGGGAAAGCGGAGGGAGCCACATACCATTGGCCGTAGGATGAAAAGTCCAATAGGACACCCCAGACTCTCTCCCTCGAAGCTTCGATCAAGATAGAGCTCGAGACAGAGAAGACACCCCCAGAAACCAATGGTGGAAGACTAGACGACCCAGGCATATCAAAGCGCACTTGCTGGATGAAGGTTGGGGCAAGTGTGAACAAGCGGCGATGTGAGGATTCAAGAATTTGGAAGTGCAGCCTAGGTTCGGTCAGGTGATGAATTGAAGTTGTCCTGAATCTCGGTTGCAGTCAGGCTACATATGCTACGGAGAATGTTGCTGCGACATTTGGTAGCTAGCGCTCCTCCCATGGTGCAACGGAAGGAATGACGGAAGAAGATAATCACCCATGACATACTGTGAACTACTGCGAGATACCATTACGGGTGCTGTTTTACGTCATCAAGTATCCCAACCCTAGCCCTGCGCCACGGCTTCCCAGCGTACAAGTACTTCCACATCCACCTCTATAACGTTCAGAGTCGGGACGTAATGTCTTTACAAGTTAATCTAGCCAGTCCAGACATAAATAAAGCGTACCAAGATGTACTCAGCTCCAACGGGATCGACTGGGTCATCTTGACCTATGACAGGGGCTCGAATGACCTCAAGGTGCAGGCAACCGGAGATGGAGGGCTGGAGGAACTGGAAGAGGAATTCTCTGACGGAAGGTAAGTTTTCAAGAACATCAATAGCGAATCACCTTTGACGTTGACGTTGATGCCACCAATAGAATCCAGTATGCTTTCACCCGAGTGACAGACCCGAACGTGAGTAGCGAATAACACCAGACCCAATGTATATCGCCTCTTTACAACGGCGCTGACCCCGGGAATGCAGAGCCAATTGCCGAAATTTGTGCAGATCAACTGGTGCGGTGATGGTGTACCCGAGGCCAAGAAGGGTCTTTTCCACACCCACTCCCCTGCCGTCGCCCGCTTTCTCCGTGGCACGCACGTCGTGATCAACGCTCGAAATGAAGTACGCTGCCTCGATCATCAATTTCTTCCCTTCACCTGGCCTGACCTGTGTTTGTGGTGCTCAGTCCGACGTCACTCCAAAGCTCATCATGTCTCGTGTCGAATCCGCATCCGGCGCGAAATACTCCTTCCAGAAAGAACAGCCGCGCAAGTTTGAACCAATCGCACCCGTCGGGTCTAGCTATTCTCCCATCGGCAAAGTAGACATTGCAGCCATGCGGCGCGATGCAGCGCCGAAACCCGCAAACGTGCCATCGCCCGCGTCTGCACCTGCGCCGAAACCTGTGATTGCAAGCGCACCGAGACCTACGCCAGCTGCAGCAGCTTCATCCAAGCCTTTCACTGCAGGAGGCGTTGCGCGTGCGCCAGCGGGGGCTTGGGATGACGAACCCACCTCTGCCGCGCCGCCCCCACCGTTGCCGGCTGCTGCGAGACCGCCTGTCATCACGGCTGCAAGACCACAGGCGCAGCCTTCGCCAGTGGTACGCGCTACTCTGCCTCCACCGGCGGCCGCTCCTGCACCCGCCAAACCCACCGAAGAAGATCGTATTGGACCTGTCGTACGTCTATGTTTATTCATCTTATAGATATCTTCACCGAGTACGCTTGCTGAGATTGAGGTCAACAGGGTACAGCGTACACCCCTGTGTCCCTCCCTGCACCCAAGAAATTAAGGAATCCATTTGCCGCAATGGAGCAGACGCAGCAACAGCAGCCTCCATCGCGTGCGCTCGTTGCGACTGGTGAAAAGAAACTCACTTGGAGCGAGCGTCAGGCTCTCGCAAAGAAACGTGCAGAGGAGGAAGAGGAGCGCAGTCGCTCAGCGGCATTCTCGGCCCCTCCAGCGTCAGTTTACAACCGTTCTACGGCTGCTGCCGTCCCGCCTCCTCCTGCACCTGCACCTGGCAGGTGGGGCAATGTCACCGCTGCTGTCGGAGGTGTTGCTGTCGGCGCAGCAGTGGCCAGTCAAATTCTCGACGATGAACCAGAGGAGCCAGAGGAAGAGGAGACAGCTGTGCGTAGTCTGTCGTCCGAACTTTGGTACGCTGATAACATTGGATTCTAGCCTCCTCCCCCGCCCCCGCCCCCGCCCCCGCCCCCACCGCCCCCCCCTTCACGTATGCCCGAGCCTGAATATGAGCCAGAGGTTGAAGAAGAGGAAGAGGGTGCCCCACCTCCTCCCCCACCTCCTCCTCCCCCGCCGCCTCCGCCCCCGGTCGCACAGGTATGATACTTGATCAACGATATCCGACATCTTGAATTCTCCCTCAACACTTCTCCCATTTTTAGATGGCGCACTTGAGCGTGCAAGAACCAGAACCAGAATCAGAACCAGAACCAGAACCAGAATCAGAACCAGAACCAGTCGCACCTTATGCCGGCGGAGGTCAAGGCCTAACAGCAGTCGTCCTGTATTCATATGAGGTTAGTCGCGCATATTTGTAGATCCGCAATCATACAGTCTGTTGATAGGGCTCACTGCGCAGGCCGAGGAGGATAATGAACTACCGCTCATTGAAGGCGAATTGATTGAGCAGATCGAGCAGGTTGACGAAGCGTGGTGGTCTGGTGTCGGCGCAGGCGGTTCTAAATCTGGACTGTTCCCTGGTGCGCTCTTTGTGCTATCTCTCTCCATTGATGTTGGGCTGATGGGGTTCGTCCATGTGGTTGTCTAGCCAACTATGTCGAGCTAGTGGAACAGGCAGAACCGGAGCTGGAACCCGAAGCAGAGGCTCCGCCACCTCCGCCACCTCCACCTCCACCACCCCCTGCCCCTCCGGCTCCAGCAGCGGTTCCCGAACCAGAACCGGAACCAGCTGTAGACGAAGGTGTCATTGCAATCGCATTATACGAGTACGTCTAATATCCCTTGGTTTCGCATTGCTCCATAGACCCGATGTCTGATCATCGTTGTCTGTGTCGATGTCTCCTTTGCCTATGCTCTTGAAACACTTAGTTACGACGCGGACGAGACGAACGAGCTCACGCTGCGTACGGGTGACCGGATTGTGCAGATCGAGGCTGCGTCGGATGATTGGTGGCAGGGCCAGGACGCGCAAGGGAATGTTGGTTTGTTCCCCGGTGCGTGCGATAGATCTTCATCATCTTCCCGATATGTTATCTGACCTTTTTTTTTTGCTTTTCGTGACAGCTAACTATGTGGAAGTCCAGGAGTAAACGTTGGAAAGTTATGTGAAAATCGGACTGGATGGATTGGAAAGTATTACATGGAACTGAAATATTGTCGGCAATTGCAGAATGGAAACTATGTGACCGGCCGCAGGAATTTTTTTCAAGAATATATCGTGTCAGTCCCATTCTGTAAAGATGAAACGAAAATGAAATCAAGGAGAGGTTGCACTCAATCGCAAACCGCTGCCTTGAAAGCGATATCACTCTGGCTCGCTTCAACTGTCGTCCAAATGCAATCGATAGTTCTGAGTCACGATGGCCGCTTGCGCTTTCCTCAATATCATACATTCCACATTGCAAGCTATCAGTACATGATCTTCCCGAATTGCAAGATATGGACCATGCGTCTATCCCTCAAAGTTGTACTTGGAGAGGACAACAATGAAACGAATGGGCAGGTGATATCCACTCAATATCTGCTGAAAAAATAACTACACTCACTTTACCGAATTCCTGATTGGATCGCCCTCTCTGTCAAATCTGACAGGTTCACGAACGCCGACAGCAACGCAGGAACAACGAATGGATCTTTCATCTCTTTCTCAATGTCCCTGATTATCCTTGCATGTCGTCTCTGCTCTTGCTTCAGCTGTTGCTCGGCTAAATGCCTGTCGTCAGCCTCGTTGTTCAGCACAGCCTCAGTAGCATGGAGCTTCGTAGCACTATCTGCGATTTGATACTCGACAGAATCAAGAGCCACTAATCACGATTGAACGCACATTCGTCAGGGTGAAGAAAAGAAAAGAAACAGTCAACGCCAGCGCACCGAAGATATCTTGGGAGGCATGCGGCCCGATGCCGTTCAGTCGGTTCAGGACCGTCTTTTGCGTCTCCTTCAGCATCTCGATCTCTCTCGAGTGCACATCTGTTTGGGTGGCCTGAGAAATCTCGAGCTTGGCCATCTGGTCTTGTTGTCTGTTCAACTCTATCACCAGCAGCCTCTCTCGCTCCTCCGCCCTCGTGCACCTCTCGGACATATCTTCGAGAGCCCGCGATTTATCTTTCAGAGCTTGTGATGTTTCTGAGAGATTTTGTGATACGGTTTCACGTAGAGCTCTCTCTTTGGTGAGCGCTTGTTTGAGAGCCTCTAGCTCCTCCCGAAGGTTTGCTAGCATGATATCATTATTGCGAAACGATGGTTCTTGGCGAGTGGTACTTGAGATTGACGATGAAATATCTGCCGAGAAAATGGAGTTCAACGAGATATGAGTGTTATACGGCTTGAACCAACCTGAGGCATCAGATTGTCGCGCATGAGAGGATGTGGTGGCAAAAGTAATACTTCGGGGTGCAGGAGGGAGGGCAGAAGTACTTGCAGAAAGATTACCCCGTTTTTCAAAAGGAACAGCAATCCCGACTCTTTCTCTGAGAGAGAGAACGGGTCGCTGGGATATATTGGCAGTGTCGACAGCACTGACTGGATACACAGATGCCACCTGAGCCATATCCTGATTGGAGGATTTGATCTGTACAGCCTGCGCTGTGGGAGGTATTTGTGTAGTTTGGTCCAATGGAAGATAGTATCTATGAGCCATAGAACGACTTTCAACCGCAGGATGCCAGGGGTGGGAACAGATAATACGCACAACTGCAGGAACGAGCTAAGTTGACTCATGATCAGTACGTCCCGCATGTAGATATTCAGCTGTTGTACGAAGATACGTACATTGAACAACTATCGATTTGATGTACGTTTACACAGTCGAACTGATTTTTGACTTTTCCTTGGTGCTAGAATATGCGAGGACATTCAGCTTCCGCCAAGTGATATAGGTACAGAGCGAACAAGAATTACAGACTGTCTCATTTGATGCATGCCAGAACACCTCCAATGCCCCCGGCATCTTGGACTGGACCACATTTTGTGATTTTGGCTGCAGGTGCCCCATGCCGAGTGTACTAAGGTCCTTCCGAAGAGTAGCTATGCATTTAATTCTGATGTCCAGTTCATTGAAGGACATTGCACTGAGCCATTTTGGGCCTGGATGATATTGGATTCTCATTGCGATGCTGCATGGCATGTTGAAAAGAGTCCTGGAAGGAGTGGCGGTGGCCCGCCTGGTTCACTTGTGATCACAAAACGGATGTCGGGGTTTTAATGGCGTCACTATATATCGGAGCCTGAATGCAGGGCTTGTTATAACCTGAACCAACGGTCGGCCCTCGTCGGGCTAACAGAAGGTATCTTCCGATTGCAAGTTATTTTTCTCTCGTGCGAATCACTTTGAAACTGTCTGCGCCCGAGTGTGCAGCGCCTCCCGTGACTGTTACGGTAGCGGATGACCAACAATGAGCTGTTTCCTTCTTAAATCTATACGACCATCTCAATACGTTCACCAAATTCCCTTTGCGTCCCAGCCGCTTTCAAATCAAGCAAACCTTCGGAGATCGACAACACAATTAGGTCTACACCCCAAAAGCTGTCATGTGCAGGTCGATACACTCTCCATTCGTCCTTGAATGCTTCTCGTGAGAATTGCTTGGTTCTCCACTTACTCATGAGGCCTAGAAGACGGTGTTCCATTGGGATCTATATAAACACACCGCTGCCCCTCCCTGTACACAATTGGCATCCCAATCGTTTCGACTTCTCTCCAGTAAACACAGACGATGCTGATGCCTTCTTTGAGTCTAGTCACGACTCTCTTCGGCTTCCTGATTGCAATTATTCTGCATGTACGGCGAAAACAAAAGACTACATGTTCTCTTCCTCCGGGACCGATAGGTCTTCCTGTGATCGGTAATCTGCTTGATATACCTAAGAGCCGCGAGTGGGTCACGTACGAAAAGTGGGGAAAAGAGTTCGGTAAGTTCGACCGTATCACGAGCGAGATGTCGCTGATAGTCGCACTGAATATCTAGATTCTGATGTCATCCATATGAACGTGCTCGGAACACACTTGATCATTCTGAATTCTGCCAAAGCGACGGACGAGTTGTTCGATAGACGATCATCGCTCTATTCTGATCGGTAAGAAGTCGACTCGATGTTGGCCTGGGCTATGAACTGGCATCTCAACTTGATTTCAATCGGCAGGCCGTTGTTAGTGGCGCTCAATGTGATGTAACTATCTCAAGTTTCATGATCGCTCATGACTCAGTTGCTGAATGATTTGCTACGGTAGCCTAAAAATTGACTGGGCCATAGGCTTCTCACGCTATGGTACCCGGTGGCGGAACATGCGCCGAGAATTCCATCGCTACTTTCACCCCACCGCCTCACAGCAGTACCGTCCTATCGAGGTGAAAGCGACTCACGAATTACTACGACGGCTTCTTGACACGCCGAGCGAATTTTTGGAGCACATACGGTTGTATGTATCAGCAAATTTGATTATGCATGCATGACTTTAGCCATCTGATTGCCCTTTCAATCCATTGTAGCATGGCAGGCCAGACAATCATCAAGATAGCATATGGCATTGATGTGCAGCAGAAGGATGATCCTTACGTTGACGCTGCGGAAGACGTGCTGAAAGCTGTGGCTTTTGGGAGTACGGGTAGGGCCGGATTGGTTGACACATTTCCGATGCGTACGTTCTTCAACCTCATCTACGTAGTTCTGACAATCCTGTTTTCGACTGACAGGTTTGTCCAATTAGTCGCGCTCTTGCCTGCGTGGTTTCCTGGCAACTCGTTTAAGAAAGAAGCACAGCGCTGGGATGGAGCTGCACCACGAATGATTGAGGGTCCTTATCACATTGCAAAGGAAGCGACGGTATGATCCAATTCATGATAGGCTGGATAGCTTCAGCGTAAATTATTGAGTGATTGTTGTGATCCGGCAGGTCAATGGGACAGCAGAGCCATCTGTCACAGCAAGTATGATTCAGCGACTCCGGGCTGGTGCAGGCCCTTCATACCTGAGCGAGGATATCATTAAAAAAACATCCGGGACCATGTACTTTGGTGAATTTACATGGCTCACGTCTCCTCTTCTTATTCTCATTAATTCTTCATTGACAGCCGGGGCGGACACGGTACGCCTATTTCAGTGCTCACCTATACGATTACCTCGCATAATTCTTGAAAAGACCGTCGCAGCCCTCCAAATATTCTTCTTTGCCATGATTCTCCATCCCAAAGCGCAGAAGAAGGCACAAGCAGAGATTGACAATGTTATTGGCACCAACCGCCTCCCCAGCTTTTCCGATGTGAACACGCTACCGTACGTTAGCGCTCTGATAAAGGAAGTGTTTAGGTGGAGACCTGTCTCACCTCTAGGTGAGTCACGATAGGCCTCGATGAAATTCACTGTCGTCACTCCGTCACAATAGATGGGAGCTGCTGATTTTCTATCTAATCAGCAATTCAACATCGAGTTATTACCGATGATATATATGAAGGGTACTATATTCCCGCAGGCTCAGTGGTCATCGGTAATACCTGGTAAATTTTCAGAGTTCCTGTCTCCTCGGTGCATGCCCCAAAAACGTCTGTATATCATAGGGCCATACTGCACGATGAAGCTACTTTTCCAGAGCCGGACGTCTTCAAGCCCGAGCGCTTTCTTCCCACTTCTGGTGATGACTCTACTAAAATTCCCTTCCCCGACGCTGCTTTTGGATATGGCCGACGCATCTGCCCAGGACGATACATGGCGCGTGATGCAGTATGGATTGCGATGGTCTCGATTCTCGCCTCCTTTGAAATCACAAAAGCGGTAGATGATGAAGGAGAAGAGATCGAGCCGAAGGACGAGTTCACGTCCGGAATCATCTCGTGAGTGCTCGGATTTGACAAGACATCTCAGATTTGTCTTCTTTCTTTCTTCGCCGTCATGTCTTCTCGACCATTCATCACAGCTCATCGTGGACTTGTGATCTTCAGATATCCTGTCCCATTCGGTTGCAGGATTCGGCCGCGGTCGCGCACGATGGAGGGCTTGATTCGTGAATCGGCAATGCATGATAGAAAACTAAGCGAAGGACTCGCTCATCCCCGTTTATGATGAAACTGTATGCACTGAACTGTTTCTTGTGTCCGTGTACATGAGTGTTTACTCCAGCCATGTTCCAGCCTCGTCATAGCATCCGTGCGCTCGCAGTGTCCGAAGTGAAAGTCAGTGGTGAATCTTGGATCTTGCGGTTTCGTATTTTTCCCATAAGACCCACCTTCGCTTCGCTCCGGTGTCTTGGTTAGCCTTCAGTTGCCAAATGTATGTTACCCGATAACTTTATACGAGCAGTTCTGTGTATGTTACATTCAAGGTGATCATTTTACTCATTGCAGACGGATGTGTCGCAGTCAAGTATGAACACGGGGGCGGAGTTGTTCTTCGTAGTGGAAGGCTAAACGAGCACATTGGATAACACGTCTGCAAGTGGTCGTGAGCGGAGTACGGGAAAGAGCCGTAGTTCAGCACTGGACCATAGCAAGAGCAAACGAAAGCCGAAAACCAAACATGTGTCATCAAAAACACGTCATGTGCGTTATAATAGATGCATACCATTCATATGTGAAGTCCTAGTTTGCGCTGATCGAATGTTGTCTGTCTTTGGAGTCTTGAGATGGTATTGGGTCCCGGCCTGACATTACAACAAGAACAATAGCTGTACATAGACTATATACACGCTCAACCTAGATCTGATACATAGCTTGGAGGTCACTGAAATATAATATATGATATGAATGACGTACAGTCCGAATAAGAACTGCGTCCCATCGTGTTGGCAATGTGACCTGCGGTTGTATTATTGGTATATCAATAGCAATGTTACCGTTTCCGCTGTCAATATTTGGCGTCGTCCATGCAGGAGGGAGGCCTGAGAAAGAATAGTATCCGATAGGATACTCTCTGGCCTCATAAGGTTGGAAAAAGGCTAAGCAAGTATCGCTATTGTCCATGAGTTTCACAGGACAGAACAAAGATGGTTTGGGAACGTACACATGGTGAAACAGCCTTGCAGTATCTATGGCCGGAAATAAGAATACAGCCTGTAGAGTCCTCAGGGTTCGACTTAATTAGAGTCTTCTAGAAGCTTCACTATGTTAGACCTGAACCCAACCCCCCCCTCCCCCCTCCCGCTTCAGGCCTTCAGACCCTCTATCGTTACTCATGATCCACCAACAAACTACCTCCTCGCCCATCCCTCCCACCGATCGCGAGCTGATCATCCAAGCCGCCATCTCAGGTAAGCTAGATCACACCACTCTTCTCTCTTCATTGATAGCCTTACACACCTATAACTGAATGCGTGTGGCCGCACCGTTACACATTTACTGATTTCCTGATTGAACGGGCCCGAGCAGCTAAAGCGCGCGTGTACAATCCGTACTCCAAGTTTCGAGTGGGCGCTGCACTGCTCACGCCCGACGGGCGCGTCGTGACGGGGGCGAACATTGAGGATGCTTCGTACTGTACGTGGTTCGAGAGCTCGATGTCTTCAGATTCTTGATCTCATTTACTCCGCACTGCGGAAATCTGCCAATCGGCACCTGCAGGCGGGACGATATGCGCCGAGCGCACCGCGCTCGTAAAGGCGGTCGTAAGCCTCCCTCGCCTTTGCGAACCAAAAAAAGTCCTGAAATAACCTGATATGACCTCTGCACCGCGCAGAGCGAGGGGATGCGCTCGTTCGTCGCGCTCGCAGTGACCAGGTGCGATTGCTCGCCGAGTCTTAGGCGCTCTTGATGACCTAATCTCGACGCCTTAGTGACGTCATCCAGCCCATCTCACCCTGCGGGATCTGTCGCCAGTTTATCCGCGAGTTCTGCACGCCTACCATGCTCGTGCTGCTCGTCCCCGGAGACTATCCACAGCGCCCGCCCGACGATGCATCGGAATGGCACAGCAAAGTAAGAGAGACGACGGTAGGAGAGCTGTTACCAGATAGTCACGAGTTGGGACTTCTGGAGCCGCTAAGAAAATAGTAACATCCGCGCCAGAAACCAATATTGATGTCGTGCAAGTACTGGTGGATTTTCACAGCGATTGTGATGTCAAATTCACGGACATTGCTCAAGATGAAATAAAAAGAAATACAAACAAGATCTACTGGTCTTCGAAGGCTGACGACTCGGCCCTCACCGTCTAGCACGCCCGACAAAAGGTGCAGCGTCTACTTCCTCAGCCTCAGCCTCGCCTGTATCGCCATTAGAATCGTCTTGTTCGCCCACTGTCTCGGGACGCGAGCTCTTCAGCTCTTCGACGCGCCTGTGAATTTGATTTCGGCGTTCTTGGCCGAACTCGCGCGCGTCGCGTCGCGCCTGCGCGAGATTCTGCGCTGCAGTGACGTGCCGTGCATCTGCGGCAGAGATCTTGAAGAAGGCCGGAGCAAGGCCCACGATGAGAGCCTGAAGTAGATGCGGGGGTCGTGTGGGGAAGCGTGAGATAATGATATGCGGCTGGTATGAAGCGACAAATGTGTGTAGAGGGCAGGAGGGACAGTTCTTACCGCAAGCCCCACGATGACGATTACCTGATCCTTCCACCCCTCGCTAGCATGTGTGTCTATATGTACCTGTGCGCCCGCACCGCCTGGGCGATCGTATCGACTCCAGTACTCTGCGCGCCGTCGATGCTGCCTCCTCCGCCTCTCAAGCTCCTCCGCGTAGAACCCGTCGTCGTACCGCGACGCGCGACCCTGCACGCGCGTACGCCCGCGGAGTGCATCGTACGCAGAGGAGATGGCCTGGAATCGGGCGTGGCGTAGTTCGGGGGGTAGTGCACGGCAGGCAGGGGCATCAGGGTGGTGTGCGCGCACGAGGTCGTAGTCTGTCCGTGGTGTCAGTTATAGAGCGAGGGACGGCGGAAGTGGGGGGTTGCTTACACCGCGCCTTGACTTCCTGCTGCGATGCGCTGTGCGGTAGGTGGAAGATCTGGTGTGGGGTGGGGTTCGGATGTGCGGGGAAAGGATAGGAGGTGGACGAGGGACCTGCGTCGGATGTGGATGCAGTGGTGGAGGCAAGGCGGGCGTGCACGAGAAGCTGTAAATGAAATGGGAGGAGAGAGAGGCGTGTGCTGGACGCGTAGTGCATCTGAGAACTTCAGGAGGTTTGGGCGATCGTACACGGTGTCGGACGCGGGACAATCAGGATAGAATTGTTAGGTCATCGCAGCCAGGCACCGCCACCCCGGCAGACAAGTCTTCCTCTTTCGATAGCCTTTGCATTCAATTTCCTTCCTCAATCAGATCATGCAAAAATCATGCCAAAGGAGCGAACGCTGTGCAGTGTGTGTTGGCATCATGGGAAGCATCTGTTTTTGAGATGCAGTCGATGCAAGGCGATATCATGAGTTTTATTCTTCGATGAGGCATGGAGGTTGCAATCAATACCCAGAAGCCCCACAAAGCGTAGCAAGACCTAAAATTTGCCATTGTTGCTCTTACTCCTTCTACTTATCAGATCTAAATCCCAGGTCAAGCGATATGAGTCAAAGAGACAGATATAGATTCATGAACCGGCTTGTCCTCCATTTTACGGGTATGCATATGTCTCCTACATCTTCGCTGTAAAGGAGGAAAGCATGAGATTCCACATGACTTTGCAATAAGGATGGTGGTACCTCTCCCTGAACGTTCCTCAGTCCTGTATTCCCTCTACCCCGTCCTCGGTAGCTCCAGATGTTCAGGTCCAAAGCTATCCGGCAAGAGGCCTCCAACCGTTGTCTCTTTTATGCCATCTTCCTTGACTGCAGAGGTATATCCAGCAGGGACAAGTAGCACGGGCATCGCGAGCGCGCAAAACTCGCGGATGACCTGGCGACAGATACCGCAAGGCGAGAGAGCCTCAGCGACATCGCTGCACGCGAGCGGGAGGGAAAACACATAGATCAAAATGTGGCAAAATCAGAATGGAAGGGGGAAATCAAAAGATACTGTGAATATTAGACTGTTGGAACAAGTAATAACACGAGACGCACGTATTCACAGCGAGTGCGACGAAGGATCGCGATCCATCGCTCTTCGCAGCATCAGAGACAGATCGTGGACACTATAGAGATGTGGTATTTACAACAGCCTTGACAAGTGCGGTGCGTTCCGCACAGATCGTCCCGCCTATCCATCGCACACGACTCGTTCAAGATCAAATGCGAGTGGATATTATATGTGGAACGCACCATACGAGGCATTTTCTATGTTCGCACCAGATACAATCTGTCCATCGGATGTGAGTAATGCTGCGCCCACGCGAAATTTGGAGTAAGGGCTGTATGAACCCTTTTTCGCTATTGATGCAGTTCAGCTGATCGATAGACGGTAAATCTATGGGGAGTTACTGAGAGATATTCTCACCATCAATCGCAGCCTGGATAAGACGCTCTCGGTCTGCGGTTGAAATGGATGGTTGAGACGACATGATGGATGGTTGAGACGACATGATGGAAGTTGAAAGGGAACTTGTGCCAGATAAGATAAGATGGAACAGGCTTGATAAGATAACTCCGTGTTGGTTAGCTGGCGGTCGCCGACCCTCGCTGGCTACCACGGTATTTCCTCAGAGGTTACCTTCGTCGACTAGAGAGAATCGGATCTCGTCCAATACCATACTATACCATCTCCACCGATTCTCGACTGCCGTCCATCCCCGTCAACACCTCCCTTTCCATTTTCAATTCTGCCACGCGCCTGGTGCAACCCCCGATTCTCCCCGGTTTGTACCCCAAGGATTCGCCGCTCGCCGCCGCGGCGATCGGCACAGACGGAGGGGAAGGTGGGAGGGACAATGGATGGCTGCAGACGGTACCGGTGTATAAGGGGTGGGCGAAGCCCGCTTACATCGCCGGTGCACTCGGAGAGCCGCAGAGTGGAGGGAAGACGGTTGTTGGCGATGGGGTTGGATTCCCGCAGTATACGCCTTGGCGCATTGGTGGGTATTTTGAGGGAACGATCAACTTTCCAGAGTCTACGAAGGTTGCGAGGTCGAAGATGGTTTAAGGACCTGAAGCTTGAAACTTGAAGGCCTTTTCCCACACATTTTGAGCCCCTGATTCTCTCTACAGCCATGGGCAGATCGAGTCGTTCTCGGGACGATTTTGGCTTACGAGTATGTATACATACAGTATGCAAGCTTCCAGCAGATTCACATGAGCTGTGGATCGGCGTTTCGTCGTTCTTCATAAGATGGTACTATGTAAGGCGGCAGCTGAGGCAAGTTCCCTGCACCGAATATATATATATATAGGTTACACCCTTTCTCCCAGGAAATAGGTATTGACTATACTGAGTCACAACGATGCCGTTGAAGACCTTCACCCCGTCTGCACCGTCCCCTTCCATCCCAGGCTCAGAACCACCTCCAGACGTGCCTCTCGCTCCACCTCCATGGACGCTGACCGCCAAGCTGTACCTCTTTGTCACCGGCGCCGTCTCCGCCAACACCACCCAGCCACCCACTAGCGTCACCGGTCTCAACGCCTCTCCCGAAGTTCTCCAGGGTCTCCCGTTGGGTGCATACCTGCCTCTTGAACATATCCACCCCTCTGCACTTGCCCTGATCGATGGCAAGCCGCAATATCAGGGCGGACTCTCAAAGATCGTGCTTGTGCGCTACAGTGCCTCACCTGCGGGGCCTTACGACGAAATCATTCTCCTTGGGACGTTCAAGGACCCAAATACGGGCGAGATCACTCCAAGGATCACGAACATCTACGTGAGCACTGACAAGAGTGTGTGGAACGGCCGTCGTAACTGGAGTGCGTCCTCCTTCTAGTCTTTAGTGATGATCCCAACTGACGTGGAGCATGCGTGTCCAGATATCCCCAAGCATCGCGCGCGATTTGAGTGGACCGAAACCGGACCCCACACGTCGACTGTCAAGATATACCACCCTTCTGACATTCCAGGCCCCCTCTCCTCCGAGACCCCCTTCTTCAGCGCGGTCGTCACCGATTCTCGACTGCCGTCCATCCCCGTCAACACCTCCCTTTCCATTTTCAACTCTGCCACGCGCCTGGTGCAACCCCCGATTCTCCCCGGTTTGTACCCCAAGGATTCGCCGCTCGCCGCCGCGGCGATTGGCACAGACGGCGGGGAAGGTGGGAGGGACAATGGATGGCTGCAGACGGTACCGGTGTATAAGGGGTGGGCGAAGCCCGCTTACATCGCCGGTGCACTCGGAGAGCCGCAGAGTGGAAGGAAGACAGTTGTTGGCGATGGGGTTGGATTCCCGCAGTATACGCCTTGGCGCATTGGTGGGTGTTTTGAAGGCTCGATCGACTTCCCGGCGTCCACGGAGGTCGGAAAGTCTAAGACAGCCTGATATCCTGATTGACCGGTTTTGTATTTGTATCGGTACATCTTGAGCTTCTACTGAAAGCCATGTCGTTCTTGTTCAATTCATGTCTAGCCCACTGCTCTCATCTAAGGGCTAAGCAAACAGAAAATCGGTCTCGCATCCCGCATCTCACAAAAACCTACGACCGATGCCCAGGTTCGGCTAATTGATACATCAGCAGGTCTTGGACGGGCTTGCAAATTCCGCCTAGACCAACGCTGCATACATGTTAGTCAAGACGCGGAACAGTGCTTACCGACCCCAACTCGTTGACTGACCTATGTCCTCGAACCCGCTGCTCTTTGGCGTCACGTATCATCAAAACATGTTACCCCTACACCCGAAGTAAGGTATATGTATATAGTCAGTAGAACATTGTATACAAATTTGTAGCTAGTACGAAGAGCGACCGGCGAAAGCGAACAAGCAACAGCTTGAGAAAACGAGACGGAAAGCAACGACTATGGCAAAATGCCGTGTGGTATATACTTCAGATGACAGTAAATGAGACAGATGGGAGATGGTGGGTGGCAAATCAAAGTGTGATGAGCTGCTCGAGATCGAACAGTGCCGCGGGCTGGACGTAGATCTCTTCGATGGTGTATGTTGACAAGAGATCGTCGACTGAGTAACCTGTACCCAATCAAGCACGATGATCAACGATGAGATAATTATACGTAGAGATGAGAAGGGGAGTGCTCACTTTGTTTGCTCTGTTCAAGCGCCTCGCGCGCCATTGATGCGCTCAATGAAGTTTCCGTGGGCGGTGAGGTGTCATGGGGGAGATTAGGACCTACACAAGCCTAACTCAACTCCCGTACGTGAAAAGAAAAAGAATATATTCCCTTACTTGTGAATCGATGCAAGAGACCCTGGTCTGGCAATGCAATGAACGTCCGCTGGGCTCTAGACGAGGCATCGATCGGCGCGAGCCCTAATCCTATTTGACAGGGGATAACGGTTTAGTAAACCCACCCGACAATGATATAGAAAGGAAGATATGAAAGGTCGTGACACCGAAGATGCCTACCTGATGCACGTTGTTCCAGAATGGTACAGACGTAGTTTATTCCAGCCCAGTAATGATCCATGCATTGCAGCGCTTTGATGAGTGCTTTCAGACTCTCTTGAGCCTGCGACTTCAATATCAACTCTGCTGATGGTGTTGTTTCAGCTGTGCTCGTAGTCGCTGTTGGTCGGTTCAAAAGGCTCGTTTTCATGTCGTAAATGAAAGCTAGGCTATGTGATCAATGGAATAAGTACCGTATCGCCGCAAATCTATTGTAAAAAAAAATTGTAAAGGCGTATCCATGTGTTCACTTGCCTTGCGATAAAAATAGGTTGCACGCATCCTGGGGTTGCCAGCTGTCACAAGCCATATCAGAGCTGTCAGATATACCCGAGAACACGGCGAAGAGCATACATATGAAGTTGTTTGGAAAAGGTCAGCATAAATCATGCATTCGCTAACGGCACGCGAGCAGGAAAGAGAGAGTCTGATAGATCTATCAATGTTCTGTGTGAGTGGCGTCTCTACTCCTGAGTGGCTTGACGTTAATTCTGGATGATAAGTAAGAGCCATCACGGCATTCGCCCAGGTATGCAGCATAATGAATGTGCCCTTGATGAACGTTCCGTCAATTTGTGGACAAGACTGTGGCAAACAAGAGGGAGAAGGACACAAACCCCATGACCCCTTGCCTCTTGATGCTTGAACGTGTCCACAGACCATCTCAACGACTCAGGAAGAGTCGCATAGAATTGCACGAGCTGCAACTGTAACGCGCTGAGGGCGTCTGGATTCTCTGCTCCACCACCTAGAGTGCGAAGTCGCCCTCGGGAGCCGTTCAAGACGGTCGCTATGCGGCCGCAAAGCACCATCAAGCGCACCGTGTAATGAAATGGCACTGGTTCTACAGGTTCATCGGAAGCAGCGGGGTCATTTGTCCGCGCTGGCTCAGGAAAGAAATCGGGGTCTGATGGCAATGGGATCTCGATTATATCTTCTGGAATGGAAGGTGGTCTACCGGTATTAAAAGATAGAATTCGATCCTATACAGTCGAAAATGAGCTTATAATCAACACCAAAAGAGTTGAAACACATGCCGTTCTAGGTGATGGACACATAATCTCTTGAGTCAGTCGATCTACACATGTTTGGAAGTGCCACGTACATGAAGAGGGACCAGAACAACAATCGTGTTCGCACTAGATGGGCCGATGATTCATATATTTCCGAAACCTCGGCTCATGTCATTTGAGTACTCCAAGAGCTATTTGACACCCCATACCTCATGAAGACCGAGATCCATGGCCATACGAATGGCCATTCTGAGCAATACATGAGCCTTCAATACAACAAGACAATAACAGACCTACCCTGAGTATTGCTGGATGAGGGTCTAAGTAAGCAATGTTCGGTTACCGATTGTGAAACGGATCCGACATACCCATAGTCCACTCTCGGAATTCTGATGCAAATCTGTTAGGGAAGGAAGGATCACACAGTAAAGACGAAGCTCACCTGCCCATAATTCGACCATGCGAGGAGTAGCAAACCCGTTACAACGTCTGTCGTCGGGATATGTAACAATGGTACGATCAACTCTTGAGCCTTCGTGATGAACGGCGCACAAGCCTGCGATGACACGAGAGATAAGCGGAGGAACCTTGTACAAAGCTCAATCCAACTACTGCACTTTTACAGGGTCTTCTTTGCCCGGATCGTGAAATCTGAAAATCTGTCATGAACCTTTCGTGGAGGAGGATAACCCCTACTCACCGAGCGCCAATGGCACAAATACCTGTGAAGTGATATCAGTCGCGGGGTCTGCACACATATGAAGTCCGTACAATTCAATAAGAAAGCGGACATTGTCCCGGTCTCCAAACGCTCTTCCATGCGCTTTCGACTGACACTTGGAAAATGGCGGCTGATCGAGCGAAAAAATGTGTCTAGCAGTGGTAAATGAATATAGGGAAGTGGCAGTCCTTGTTCGTCGAACATATTTTCTGGACGAGACGGAACGTGTACTACGGCTTGCCCACTAGGTATGGGCGCTGCAGCTCGTGATCGCATTGCATTGCCACGAGACTGTAGTCGGAGGGAGATGCGATTGATACCAGGGCTGTGAGGGAAAGTCACGGACGAGCGACATCCATCTCAAAGATGGAGTACGTACTGTATCGCTGTGGAACCCGGTTGACCAGACTACCGTGGTAAACAGAATGATCAGACGAACGAATCGAAACTAAAACGGAGAATACGCACAAATCGGTAGTAATATAATTCTAAGTCTTTGGTGGAGGTAGAATCACCGTCAGTCGGGTTGTGAGAGTGATTATAAACATGAGCTAGATTTATTGGCTCGTTGCTCGAAGAGTAAGTAGTTGCGTTAGATATGGTGTGCTCTCCAGGATATTGTACTGTGGGTCGAGTGTGAAAATCCGGGCTTGTAGACGATTCATCCTGCACCCAGCTTGTTGGAGGATCTCGCGTATTGTGTGAATCCCATTGCGGAGTCCTGGAAGGAGGTGACATGTTCTGTGATAGTGATTTGTAAGAAAACACGACACACACACGGTGATCAATATGCATAATCACAAAGCCCACATAAAGCTGAGGCCCCACAACGACTCACCCAGGGGACTGCAGACGACGTACTTGGCTCAGATGGAATGAGCACACGCTGACGGGCATTGTGCCCGTGCAGCACAATCTGTCTATCCTTCTCAATCTTCTCTTCCTCCTCCATCTCTCGTCTCGTCCTTTTTCTTCTTCTTCCGTCTGGCCATGTACACTCAGCCTCGGCCTTCGCGCATGCCCCACAGACAGGTTTCTCGCCGGTGCAGCGACCTCGCTTGGCTCGACACCGATGACAAGCTACAGATAAAAGTGTCTATCAATTAGTATTTTTTTTATTTGTGATAGATGATCACAGACTGACCAAGGGGTACACGCTTCTCGTTGGTGTGTTCTGAGCGTTCAACGCTACTAAATTCGTTGCCAGAAGGGGAACTCTCCGTCACGGACGAACGATGGCTGATCTTAAAATCAGATGGCGAGTGAGAACTCATTTGTATGTTGCTCTTTGGAGTCACTGGTGGGTGTTTGTAAGGGTGCTTTCAAGCGTGGCGACGGTTTGTTTGAGACGGGGGCTGGTGGGGAGGCCGTCACATTTGAGTATAGTTTGTCACGATGAGTAACATAATAAGTTATCGGTCCCGTGTCCACGGCGAATCGGAATATTCAGGCTAAACTCGACTTAAGAGGGATAATGAGCTCGGAGCAAATGATCGAGATCTCATCAGATTTTGTTTCAATTAGCCAACAATACTTCCCACAGATTTTCTTACGTGGGAACCCTGGGTCTGGTACAGACCCACGACTCAGGGTTAGGGTGTCACTGCAGACGGTGGACACTGGTACTAGATGTACAGACAGCGACAAAACACCAGGTAAAACATATCGACAGCATGGATGGGAATAACAAATGATCAACTGATCATTTTACGGCAGTTGTAAAGAGATGAGAATCTGTATGAGATCATCAAAGATGGAATACCAACCGCAGTGCGTGGGGAGGTGTGGGTACCATCAGACTTCTTCTTCACTGGCGTCCTTCTGGGTCGAAGAAGCGTCTAGGTCGGCCCTGCGTTCTAGCTCATCCGGCGGATACTTGATATTGAGATACCTGTTCACTTGAGCCAGGATAGCGAGCAAGAGAACGAATGCGCTGATGGGTTTTCAGAACCACGCGTGAGTGCATTCGAGGGTGTCAATGCTCACCAAGTTGTGGCGAAGCCTTGTACGTAGCGGGGACCCGTGGCCGAGGGCCACAAGAAAGACCCATAGATGGAAGCACTGTTTCCGAGACAGTTGACCAGTGCGATTGCGATAGCTCTCTTCTCCGCCGGGTGCGCAATCAGGCCCGAGACCCACTGGATAGGTTGATCAGACAAATATCGAATGGAAGAGGCGCGCAATATGCAAGTGTATATGACTCACCAGGAGCGTAAGCGGACACGCGGCGTAGACCCCTCCGACAGCAAAGCAGAGAAAGGCATATTTGACTTCATGGTTCTCTGCGGCGACGATGACGATGAAGGAAATTCCGGCTGTGAGCGATGCTATAGTGATGTAGTTGGCGCGCTCCTGCCTCCAGTCTGATATGAAACAGAACCCGATGATACTAACCAAAGCCACCATATAGATCGGAATGGTCTAGAGGACACCATTTTAAGACAACAAATAAGACGTAAATCTGTGACGAACCATAAATTGCAGCTTGTAACCAGTGTAGCCAAGCTGCCCGACGAGAGTCGGGATAAAGTATTGGATGGTTTGTGAGCCAGTCGCTAGCATATACATAACGACACTTGAAGATGACTTGAGCCTTAGAATATATGAGCACTGAACATAAGACTCACAGCACCCATGTGCGCCAATCGGAAAGAACCATTTTCGCTGCCTGGCTGTGAGAGGGTTGCTGAGCACTCTATTAGCGGGTTGATCTCTGAAAAGCAGAGCGGCATCTCACTAACTTGAATAGTCGCATCTTGTGTACCGCCAATGCCGTCATAAGCGAGACGCTGAATAGCAATGAACTGTGCTCAAGGAGAATTACTAGTCAATTCGATGATTAATTGGACATTGTGACCACGTACTCGTTCCTCTGGGGTCAGCCACGAGGTGGTAGATGGCCAATCAGGGAGAAAAATCCAAGCAAAGAGGCCTACAAAAGAAGATGAAACGCCCTCAATCAGTAGCAACCATCTCCAGCCCTCTAAGCCACGTGCGAAGCTGAGGTGTTCCGTGATGACACCTGCAAGGAGACCGGAGAAGGCACCCTGCATCAAAATAGATTGTCAGGAACTATTGAACACCGGGCATTGTGGCATGATAGTTGCTGACCGAGATAGCAGTGGCGGTATAGTAGATGGCATAGCGCTTCGCCAATTCATGGCGCTTGTACCAAGATGAGAGATAGAAGGCGACTCCAGGAGCGAATCCTGCTTCGATAACTCCAAGCATAAATCTCACACCAGCCATTTGATGCCAGGTATTGACGGCAGCCATGGACGCTGCAACCGCACCCCATATAACGCAAGTACCGGAGAGGCTGCGGCACACGTGTTTAGTGGCAGTTTGGACACCATGGCAATCAAGAGATTCTCACAACGGAGATGGTCGAACTCGGGTGAGAATCATGTTGAATGGAACCTCAAACACCACATAAGAGACCTTCAACGAATGAGTGAGGCTCGCACGCGTAGAATACACCGCACTCACAAAGAATACCAACAGTATCACACTGTATTGATTAGATGATAGATGCAGGTCTCTCTCCATACCCCCAGATCTTGCATTTCCTATGAATCAAAGATACGTCTAAGAGCGAGTTGAGTCGCTTGCCCGGCAGCACACCTCACCAATGTTTGCTCTGTCGAGATAGGAAAGCGTGTACAGGATCCATATGGCTGGAACCTGAATAAAAAGGATGACGCTTGAGGTTAACGATCGAGAGGGTTGGAGGTAATGCAAGACGTACGATGTGCATGTCTATCTTCCGGACGAGTTTCTTCTCCGCGGCGGAACCTGGTTCATAGACCGTCAGAGGGTTATGGAACTGCTTGGACCATCGCCCATCCTGTCCCACGATTTGATGCATGGTCGACTCAGTAAAGAGGCCAAGGCTGGGAAGGGAATCAAGTTGGAAGTCAAGTCATCAGTCAGGCGCGAGAATTTTCGGGAAGCCCGTTGTAGGGGTTTACAACCAGTGCATACGGGGATGATGAGTCGGAGTACGTACGAAGGAAGCCGTGCTGTCGGTCTGTATTACGTCAACACCTGCACGTGCAGTGGTTCCTGAAGCTGCCTCCCGCCAAATTTGCGTTCCCATGACTCCGGAACAGTAGTGGAACAGTCCAGTTCCCAGCCTTCTGTGACTTTGTCTCCTATGTAAGTCGGTTATGATAGCATCGTCTCGAATGATCACCAATCCGATTTCTGTATCAACATCCCCACCATCCACTCAATATCATGTCTAATACTCTTCAGGGCAACCTGACTTACGACATTTTGACCAAAGCCGAGCACGAAGGATATGGAGTCCTTGCACAAACATGGTACGTACATTACATCAGTGCCGGCATTATTTACGAATGACGTCTTGTTGCCTTTCAGCTACGACGCAAATTCAGTGATCGCTCTTGTTCGTGCGGCCGAGCGAAATCGTAGCCCTGCGATCCTCCAACTCTTCCCTGTGACCCTTGCTTACGGGAAGGGTCCGTTCCTTCAATTTTGCCTGAATGCGTGAGTCGTTCATGTCTGGAAGTGTCATGAGACGATTAACGATACCTAACGCCCATAGCGCTCATCAGGCGTCCGTGCCGATCGCTGTCCATCTTGACCATGCCACTGACCCGGAACACATCGAACTCGCACTAAGCCTTGCAGAGCAAGGAATCGCCTTCGACAGCATCATGGTAGATGCTAGCCATGCCGATGTGAGTTGCCGTTCACACTACCCTTCATCATGACATGCCTGATATCGAATATATCATCTGGTAGACAGACGAAGAGAACATAGCCCTTGCTCTCCCGCACGTCGAGCGCGCAGCCCGATGTGGTGTTCTCGTCGAGGTAGAGCTTGGCCGCCTCGAGGGGGGCGAAGCAGGCTTGCGCGCTATCTCAGACGCGAAGCTCACAAACCCGGACAAGGCCGAAACCTTCATGAAAGAGTAGGTCGCCTTGTCCTGTTTTGGCATCCTCTCCTCAACTGTTGAACACGGTACGCGCTGCCTCACCTTGCACAGAACGGGTGCCTTGATTCTCAGCCCAAGCATCGGCAACCTCCATGGGTCGTATCTGAGTCCTCCAAATTTCCGTCAAGACATGTGAGCCCTCCGTTACCGATCATATTCGGCAATTTCCTCACACGCAGGACTTCGATATTTCGCCTCGTGTTTCAGCCTCAAAGACCTGAGTGCGCGATTCGAGGGTGGCATTCCTCTTTGTCTCCACGGCACGGACGGTCTCTCAGACGACCTCTTCAAGGAGTGCATCCGAAATGGCATAAGCAAGGTAGGGTCTTTCCACCGTTATACCAATGCGTAGGCTTGTTGCCAATTTCTTTATCCTGCAGATCAACGTGAACAGTTGGGCTCGAGATCCCTACGCCACGGCTCTGAGCGTCGCGCTGCAGACGAAGCCCTTTCCAGATGCAGTGGAAGAAGCGACTGAGGTATTCGCAAGGGTGTGTGATCGCTTCATCGAGTTGTTCGGATCGAAAGGCAAGGCATGAGTGTGTCCGTATCCAGTCTCTGTAAAACGCAGCATCGATCTTTGCTTCGATACATCACCGTGAAAAGACTCACTTGCAGCACATATGTCGAACAAGTTTTCATTTTTGACTGTGCAACTGCCTAGTACATCGGCATGCACTTTAGATCAAACCAATCTGTTTCCATCAAGCGCACAAGACCAAAGGAGAAACTCGTAAAGCGCTAGTCTTGTAGTCAGGAGTTTTTAACTGCCGTTTTAGAGCTGTCCTGCCTAGTTGTAGCTTCGGCAAGATCCCATTCAAACAAATACTTTGTAGTGTCCGTACCCGAAACTCCCGAAACTTTATATGAACCAAGGGTCATGGAGTTGTTGATGGCGTTCAGCAGAGTCGCTGAGATACTGCGATCAAGAGGTGAACGACACAATACATAATCGAATACAGCGAGAATTGACGTTCCTAACGTACTCAAAGGGTCTTCTCCCAAGACTGGAGTCTAGCCGCCACCATCGTTTGCTCATTCTTCCACACTCCGTTACAGTCGCCGGCGGTCGACTCAGCCGCTCGTCGAGACGTGCGGGTTCCTGTTTCAGATCTGGACGAAATATACTGCCGAAGTCTGCTTGTCAAGGCTTGTCGTTGCTTTCATTTGTCGCACCGGCCGCGCGGATGCGGGTAAGCCCCTGAGAGACCCTTCTTTGCACAACTCGAGGCTCGGATCTTTGTTTGTACTGGCAACGAATGGCTACTGCGCCCGTCATGTTACGCAAAAACCCAAGGAGAAGTCACCGAAGCACGACTCCGGTGATCTTTCTGACAAGCCAACGTGGAGTAAAAGGATTTTAAAAAACGCGCCTGATCTTATCCCGGCGACTCGCGATATCTAGCCATGGATATGTCCCGTATCTCATCATCTGGGCTTTGCGCTAACGAGCAAAGACGGCAAACTCTGGTGGTTGGGGGGAGATGGTGAGCATCGGGGATCCATTTGTGTACGTTAGTCCCCAAGGCCGGCAGACCCAGAAGACATGCTCTGTCCGCAAAAATATTTTGTGCGACAGCTGCGGTATCTTCAAGGGCTTGAAGAACAGCTTACGCACCTAGTTGCGCCGGAAGAGCGAGAGGTAGACCGAGTCCAATCCTTGCTCCATCCTAGCGGAAACAGCTCTCGGACCGCGTCGAAGTCGTCTCTGTCCAAGAAAGTTTTGCCCTTGGGAAGTGAAGGTGTTGCTTCAGGATGTTCGGAACAATACGAGGGGCTTGCGTGTGCGGCCCCAAGCAGCACACATACATCCGGGCCCGGATAGATCCTGCGGTCACATCCGGTCGGAGCCGCGGCGCCGGGCTCTGTGGAGTGGAGGCGCGGGAGGGCGCGGATGAGTGTCCGCTGAGAAGGCTGAGCATCCCGTGCGGAACCTTTATAACTTGATAATGGACTGAGTGGACGGTTTGTTACACACCCTCTCGTTTAAAAACGCTTGCAGTTGCAACTTCCCTGCCATACCAGCATGTCTGCCGTGCCCACCAAATCCGTTGTCCTCATCACAGGAGCTGCAGGCTGGCTCGGAGGCCTCGTATGTCCCTTCTCCACACCCTGGTCTTTTACCGATTATATTATTCATCGCTGTCCAGCTCGCAGAAGCCCTCGTCGTTGACCCTGATTCGCCTGATGTGCACCTCATCCTCGCTGACATCGTCGAGCCGAAGGCCCCTGCGGGCGCGCACGTCATCACCCTGAGGACAGACCTAACAATTGCATCCAACGTCGAGAGCCTCTTCGAGACCACATACGGTATCCCTGACGTCGTCTACGCCATGCACGGCATCATGTCTCGCGGATCGGAAGACAACTTTGACCTCGGCCTCAAGGTAGCGTCAGTGCTTCGCACGCCCCTCCCCCCTCTTTGGGATACCTCCAGTGACAAACCGTTGCACGCCGCGCATAGGTAAACGTCGACTCCGTCCGCTCGCTCCTCGACGCTGCACGGCATAGAGGCACCTCTCTCGCCAACGGACCTATTAAATTCATCTTCTGCTCCTCTCTGGCGGTCTACGGCGGGCAACTGGTGAGCCCTCTTGTCCGATGTGCACTGGAACCAGATACCCTGACGTCACGGCCTGCCGGATTTACCCAGCCGGATGTTATTACCCCTGATACGATCGCGACGCCCGAGGGTGCGTATGGGGCGGGTAAGTTGATGTCAGAGCTCCTTATCAACGAGTATTCTCGCCGCGGTTTCGTCGACGGGCGTATTCTGAGACTGCCAACGATCGTCGTGCGCCCCGGAGTGCCCTCCAACGCCACTTCGGCCTTCCTCTCAGGTGGGTCTCCCCTCTAGGCTCTCGCCCCCAGCTTGCCTGGGTCCAGACCACGCTCACCTGCACGATAGGTATCATCCGCGAGCCGCTCAAGGGTCTCCAGTCCATATGCCCTATCGGCAACGCGCTCGAGTCCTCTGCACTCGAGCTCGCGGCCTGGGTTGCGAGTCCCCCGACGACGATCCGAAATCTCGTGCGGGCGAGACACGTCCCGACCGCCGATCTGCGCCCGCACACACGCGTTATTTGTCTCCCGGGCTTCACCGCGACCGTGCGTGAGGAGCTCGATGCCTTACGCGCCGTCGCCGGTCCAGACGCGGTTGCGCGTGTCATGTTCAAGGACGACCCCGTGAACCGCCGTATCGTGTCTTCCTGGCCCGCAAAGTTCGACAATACGTATGCATTGTCCCTCGGGTTTTTTGTGGACGAGGGTGGAATGGAGCCGATCGTGCGCAGTTTCAAGGAGAATGTAGAGGCCGGACGTGCATAGGGAGACGGTGATCCGTTTGTCAGATTCTGTGGCGCTGTGTGAATAAATGACGGTGTACGATACTACTTGTGGAAATCAATCAAATGCAAGCAACCGAATAGTAATAGCTCGCTCTACAGGTCCACTTACTCATAATACTAATCCTGTGAAGACGCTCAGGTTCGTTCCCGAGGAGTTCTTGCATGGAAGCCATTCACAGCGCATTCGTCATAGGTCACACCACCTCCGAGCAGCTCCTGGCCATCTATATCTGATTGGCAGATGACATCCTACGTACATGAACATGAGAACCCACCTGCAGAATTTGAAAATTGGCATCTTATGTACTATGCCTTGATCTAACGAAAGTAGGATTGTCTGCGGAGATAGCACTCTGTGTTGAGACTCACATACAGTCTGGATCCCACGCACCGTCTTCTCTCTCCTAATAGTCAACGGCAATAATGCAGAACGCGTAAACATATTATGCACTGGAAAAGACATACACTCGAGACATAAGTGGGGAAAACACATCATACGTTCTCCTTGGCCAAATATAGAGAGCCCTTGTTGCCGATAGTGGTGAACGGCTTGCCTCCCCAAGACTGTTGGGTTGCCGCTGCGGCAGCTGGCAGATTTGCGGAACCGAGCTGCCCGCTGATGCGTATGCTTTTTGCGAGGACGGAGACCTGATTGCGCCCAACGAGTGAGCAGACATAAATTAGAGGTAGAACGGCAGAGGACGCACGTCGATCTCGATATTGTCCGAAACATATGATAATAGTGATGAGACAGGCCTTGATGCGACAAAAAAAAGGGGAACCACTGATCAGTCGCAGGCCTAGAATATCGCATGGGAAAGTATCTAAGGGAAGCACTGACGAGAATACACTCTCAAGGAATCGGAAGTCGGGACGTTCGGCGCCTTTCAAGAAGCCTGGGCGGTAGACGATAGTATCGGAGTAGCCGATCTCCGCGAGCGCCTGTTCGGTCAGACCTTTGCTCCGCACATAGGTCGCGAGGGATTTCGGGTTTGCGGAGTTCGACTGCATGAAGGGCGAAGTCAATTCTGAGAATCTTCGATAGGACGAAACGAACATACAGAGACGTATATGAGGCGCTGGTCCGCATCCTCCACGCGCGCCGCTTTGGCGGCATTGACAACGTACCTAGCAGAACTTTCAGAATCTAAGACAGGATAATACTAGGAAATAATGACTCACTCTCTATCAATCGTCTCAAAGGCAGCCTTGGAGCCAGCAGCTTTGGCGGTTGTACCCAACCTGCAAAAATGAGGGGCTTGAGTACGACCCTGGATAGAAGGCCATGCTCAACAAACCGAACAGGAACACGCACGTAATGAATACAACGTCCCACTTGCCATCCTTCAGCCCCGCCTCGCCGATCTTCTCAAAGTCGACCACGATCTGCTGTAGCTTCGCCTCCGTCCCACTCGGGAGCTGCTCCTTGGGCGTCACGCGCCTTCCAGCCTCGGCTACACGCGTGAAGTACGACGAGGTGAGCAGCTCGCGCAGGAGGTGCTTTCCAGTCGCGCCAGTTGCGCCGATGAGCAAGGCAGAGTGTCCTGAGGTAGTCATGTCCAGTGATGTCATAAACAAAGGATCCCAAGTCGAGGCGAAGGCTGCTCACCTGACATGTCTGAGATATGTTGCTGAATGAAAATGGGTAGGAATGGGATGTTGTACAACAGTCAGTGTAAGTGGACGTCGTTTAAAAGGACACTTGCAACCGAGCCTGAGTGAGATGGCCGCAATGCGTCGTCATACGGCGGCACCCGAGCCGAAGAATGCGTCATATCCTTATAAATAGCGGATTCTGTCCCATTCCGAGAAACTGCTCAAAATATCCAAATCCATTGGTCTGCCAATGTTTTGCACCTTATCTCCAAAGCGGGATTCAGATGTTCTTGGGATATTGCATTAACGACGCCTTCAAACTCAAAGGACTGATAGCCTCTGGTATCCTTGTATAGCGAGCAGTGGTGATTATCACGGAAACAGAGATCCGTACATTATAGCAGCTAAGTAAGCAACACGCAATAGGTCTAAAGAGCCCCAACTGGTCTAAGTATATCAGCCTCGATGAGCACTACCACCACCGCAACTCGGTCCACAACAATGGACTAAATACCACGCACGCCGTCCAGAGCTGAAGAAGAGGAAGAGTCAGCGAAAGGCTACAGAGAAGAAAGCGCACTACTAACCACGAAGAACGCCTTGACGACAAGCACAGGATATTCATCGAGTCCGGGAGTGGCCATTATGGGCTTCTCTGAACCCGGAGATGTTATGGGACGAGGGTGTGTGAACATCACCCAGATAGAATATAATGCGACACTGAAGAAGTGTCTGAATAGCAACACCGGGTCCTGCGCAATGCTGTCATCGCCATAAAAACAATTTGCGTGAGCGCCCGGTAACAGAACGATTACTTGAGACGAACCCAGAAAGCAGCGTTACAGGGCCATGAATGCACTCCCCGCCGAGCTCGAAGTATTTGAAGCAACCCGTCCGGAGCACCGATAGGTATTCATCTGAACAACAGAGCACAGGTCAGCAACTTAAAGCGCGCGTCGGACAACGAGAACGGGACGCACCGTCAGCACCGAACAGGTCGTACAATGCGACGCTGAGGATGTTGACCGTCGACGAGAGCGGCTTGCGTGCCCAGTGCCACTTGTGCAGCGCGCGCGAGACGACGTCCCAGTCCGCGAGGTCAGGGATGTCCAGGAGCAGGCGCGATAGCAGCACGACGTCGTTGAATGCGACGGTCATGCCGCCGCCCGTGAGCGGGTGCCGCATGTTCCATGAGTCCCCGAGAAGGATCGCACCCTCCTTTGTTCGGCGCCCGCCCTGCTCGGCTGAGGGGAGGAAGGAATTTGGCATGCGACGAAGTCGTTCGGTCTCGAGCGCGGTTTGAATGGGCAGGTGGAGAGACGCGGGGAGCTGCGGGACGATCTCGTCGAGGATGTATTTCTGTGAGGAAGTTTTGGGTACAATTGAGCCTTCAGTTTAGAAAGATGAAAATGGGAGCTTACTTTGAGATCTGAGGGGAAGGGCGTCTTGACGTCTACCAACAACCGGGTATCATGCGTTCCTATCTGGTATAGCAGCACAGGCCCGTGTCCCTTCACAAGAGCAACCGTCCCATGCTTCGGAATCGGGAGGGTCGCGTCCTCCAACACCAAACCGACAAAATAGCTCTTCGTCGCCGCTACGGTGCCCTCCCCTAGAACCGTCGAGCGGAAGTTCGAAAAGCACCCGTCTGCAATGACCACGAGGTCTGCAAAGAACGTCTCTTTCTCCTCCTGACCTTTCCGCGTCGCTTTGATCCCCAGAACCCTGCCCGTGAACGGACACTCGATGAGCTCGGACGCGATCGCCTCGACGACGTCCACACCGGGCGCGTTGAGCGCCTTCTCACGCAGCTTCATGATGAATTTGCCGTGGTGAAAGCTGCGCCCCTCGTACGTGTCGGGATAGGGGATGTGGACCGCTGCACCATCCTTCGCCACGCAGTAGCCATGCACAGGGACCGCGTCAATGCCGTCCAGACAGTCCTCCATGCCGAGCGCGCGCAAGGCCATGACACCGCCTGGCTGGAGCAGCTCGCCGACGATGCGGTTCGGCTCGGAGAGCGAGCGCTCGAGCAGCGCGATGTGGAGGGGCTTGCGGGTCGAGGACGATGCAGAGGTGCTGAGCGCGTGTGCTAGCGCAGAGCCGGCGACGCCAGCGCCGACGATGACGACGTCGTAGTTCGTGGACCACATTTGAGAGTCGGTTTGCTGGGACATGGTGTTCGCGGTGGTGGGGGGCGGTTTATGAGGGGAGAGAGGGAGTGCTAGGCCTGTTGGGAGGAGGAGAACGGCCTCGAGCAAGTCGAGGCTCGTGAATTTGTTGTGGTCCCATTTCTTCAGCCACAGTCGAACGACTCGGCGTATTTTCGTTTCACTCCGGTGGACATTCTCAGCTAGGAACACGCTTCTGTCTCTTGCCTCTATGGACCGTTCTCATTCTAGATAATATGTCATCTCCCCCCGCACCTTCAAGAAACATCTGAGAGTGAAATTGTCCAAGTGACAGGGCTTCGTGCCACATCTCACGGCCCGCAGGGCTCATAATTCACAACCTAGATCGCTGGTATAAAGCAGTCTGCAACACTAAAACAACACTTCGTAAAGTCCATGCTTTCGACACCTCGTTTAATGATTCATCAACGCCTCCGCCGCCTTGCGCGCGTTCGCCTTCATGCTCTCCACCTGCAGCTCCAAGTTCCGGATCTGCGAGCGCGCCTCGCGCAGCTCGGCGTTCAGCCGGCTGTTCTCCTCTCGCACGGCGCTCGAGTCCTAGAGATAGAATGAAAAAGGTGAACAAGCCGTATCAAAGCGTAGAGCTGACGCGTGGACGCACGTCATGTGTGGATTGCGAGCGCGGTGGGGTCTTGGAGGGGGCGGGAGATGTAATGGCGGGGGTGGTAGGTTCGGGCGTGGGCACGCGCACAGGTTCGGGCGACTTGCGAGCCGGCGCAGGTGCCGGTTCGGGCTGGGGCTGGGGCGTAGAGTATGTTTTTGTTGGGGTCGCCACTGCAGGAGACGAAGGCGCGATCTGGGGTGAGGGCGCGGCTGCGGCTGCGCCGTCCTCGAGGCTGACATACTTCAGCGAGGCGGTCTTGCCGGAGAAGAACTCGCCCGCCGTGAGCGCGGGGTTTGCGGACGGGGCTGGCGGGAAGATGTCTGATTGGAAAGAGTCGGCCTGTGAACATCACAGTTAATAATATTGTCAGAGTCACGGTGGGTGGTGGCTCACTTTCCGCGGGACAATGAAGGCGATGGGCTCAATCCCTGAAGCCGTGATTTTGTACGCGCGGGCAATCTCGCACTCGGAGGTGTTCAAGGAGAGACGTGGGAGGAAGCACATCCCGCGCTGGGGATCGCTGGATTTGTGCTCGGCCAACGCGTATAAGTTGTCATTCTCATACTCGAAATAGCGAATATTCCCGTCGCTGTAGATGTGAGTCAGACGATTAATAAATGAAAGATCTTTGTCAAAACGCACCCCTTGCCAGCTGAAACGCACGATAAGATTCGAACGTCAAGGAGAGAGGACGAGACACGCACCGAGGAAGAGGATGTTGTTGTCGCTCCAGAATGGCATCACCACGCCCGCAGACTGATCAAGCGTGATCGTCTTGAGATTGCCCAATCCACCCGTCTCCCAGATCCCGACCTGTCGGTCGCTCATCCTGCTGAAGCCTGTGGTCGCAATCCGATCTCTGTCTCCCATCCAAGTGACGCGCGCGCCCTTGATACCGCCGTGCCCATCCACCGTCCTAACCGCGTCGCCACCCGTGCGCGGATCGAACAAGCGCAGCTTCCGGTCTCTGCACGTAGTAACGAGCAACTGTCCGGTCGGGTTGAACGCGAGACTCTGTATTGCGTCCCCATGGCCCGTCAGCGATGATCTCGGTGACTCGGGCGACCCGAGATCCCATAGCTTGACGATGTGATCGCCAGAGGCGCTGGCGAGCACGTGTTGGGCGGTCGGGTGCCAGAGCACCTGGCCAACCTTGCGCGGGGACGCGTCGATGCGCAGGACGGGGTCGAAATCGCGTGGTTCCCAGCCATCGGCGCCCCAGTCCTCGAACGCCTGCGGCTCCACCTTCCAGATCATCACCTTTCCATCCTCACCGGCAGAGGCAACAGTTTCGTCGTTGTGAGGCGACCAGTCGGTGTCGAGAACGGCGGCGGTATGGCTGCGCGCTAGGGGGATAATGTCGGGGACTTTGAAAGGGATGTTGCTCGTGGCATTGAATGGGGAAGGGGCAGGTAAGATGGCGAAAGCACCACCTCCGGAGGCATTCCAATTGACACTGATATATTTCTGAGAGCAAAGATCAGTTAGACTCCTCGATTGTAATCATTGTGCTTACGCCCGAGGCCGCGATGAGATTGGTGTCCCAAGCACTGTTAGACACTTTGATGTTGTCCAGGCCGTGTTCCTTCTTGGCTGGTTGTCCGAAGACATGGCTACGGCGTGTCAGACATAGTATTTATTTTGACAGCAAATATGGCAGTGCTCACCGGTACTTGGAAGCCCTCACGAAACGAGACATAAGTCAAGAAGTCCCTAGTGAAGATGGTAGACAGTTGTTGAGGAGAGCAGCTGAGCGGCAGATGTCGATAAGTGTCGGGACCCTGGACACCGCCATACAGTCAATTCACGTAAACCCAGCCGTGGCTTGTCATGGCTCCTCTCCGTCGCCCTTCCGCGGGTCTGCCTATCTTCCGACGTGCTATCACTCACGCAGCCAGCAGTTCTCCAGACACGTACAGGCAACATGTCGCTTCTCCGCTGCCTCCCTTCTATCCGAAGCGATGTCATCACATCCTTGCACCCTAGGATGTATGTGTGCAAGGCTCGTAGGTTCGCTACAGCTTCTGGAGAGGTTCGTATCAAAACATCGGCTTCGCGGAGAGATTTTCTGATTCAAAGCTATAGCTGAAGAAAACGGGCCTTTACGACTTTCATGTCGACAACGGCGCCAAGATGGTGCCCTTCGCCGGCTATTCCATGCCCCTCGCGTACGGATCCATTGGTCAAGGCAAGCACAACGCTCCACGCGCGTGTCTGCAGTTTTTGAAAGCTCAAAGTTGCTATCAGTTGCGAGTCACAACCATGTCCGCACCAACGCGGGCCTCTTCGACGTGGGACACATGGTCCAGAGCAAGTCAGTGACTTCTGAGCCTCCTGCGCTTCAATACTCGCCGCTTACAGTGTCTAAGTTTCCGAGGCGCGACAACGACGGCGTTCTTGGAGTGGCTCACCCCCTCTTCCCTGCGCTCACTCGTGCCCTACTCCTCCACGCTCTCCGTCCTCCTAAATGAGCGCGGCGGCATCATCGATGACACTATCATCACCAAACATGCCGAAGACGCGTTCTACGTGGTCACCAACGCAGGCCGCCGCGACAGAGACCTTGCCTGGTTTAAAGAGAAGCTGGAAGAGTGGAACTCGAGCCCGAAGTCCGCAGGCGGCAAGGTCGAGCACGAAGTACTGGAAGGATGGGGCTTGCTTGCCCTGCAAGGTATGGTTCTGTTTTTATGAGTCTTTTGAAGTGCTCGCTCACTAGGTCGATACAGGGCCTCAAGCAGCCAACTACTTGCAGGGCCTCACTGCCTTTGATCTCCAAGGCCTCACATTTGGCAAATCTGCCTTTGTGCCCATCGAAGGCTTTAACCTTCATGTTGCTCGTGGGGGCTACACTGGCGAGGACGGGTTTGAGGTTTGTCTTGAGGCTTCATTAATACTAGTCCTCTTGCTGATCTTTTCGAGGATCTAGATTTCTATTCCTCCATCGCAGACAGTCGAGGTCGCACAACTACTTTCTAAGGAGCCAGTGCAGCTCACTGGCCTGGGCGCGCGGGACAGCTTGCGTCTTGAAGCAGGCATGTGCTTGTACGGGCAGGATCTCGACGAAGATACTACACCTGTAGAAGCTGGTTTGACGTGGGTCATAGGTATGTCCTTGCTCAATTTCCGAACCTGTTCACTTGGTTTATCCGTGTACGGGGTAGGCAAAGATCGAAGAGAAGCTGCCGACTTCATTGGCGCGGAGAGTGTGCTCAAACACTTGAAGGACGGCCCTCCGAGACGCCGCGTCGGATTGATAGTTGAAGGAGCACCCGCCCGTCGTAAGCCTCTCTTCTCGCTCTGTTCGACACAACCGCTAAACCACCGGGATATTGACCAGAGGGTGCTAAAATCATTGCGCCGTCGAGCACAGAAGTCATCGGTAACTCTTCCCCAACGAGCTTCCACCCGATTCGCTCGTTAATACTTACTTATACAGGGCAAGTGACGTCCGGTATCCCTTCACCCACTCTGGGTAAAAACATCGCCATGGGGTACGTTCAGTCTGGTTGGCACAAAAAGGGCACGGACGTGCTCGTTGAGGTCAGAGGCAAGCCACGCGCGGGCGTGTTGACTCCGATGCCATTCGTTAAGCCGCAGTACTGGAGGGGATGATTGATCGTGAGGCTTACGATTACGCCACTTTAACGAAGGTATGTCTTCCGAACATCCCTAGAAATTGGGTCGAGTACTCATCGATTCCGCGACAGAAGTCACACTCTAATTGATTGTGTGTTGTGCTTCTATACAAAGGTACTTTCAAAACAAACCGCACATATGGCGTCCATTGTTCACCGAATAGCATGCAATCGAGCTTTGAACGTCCGTACACGATCCCAGCATAGCGTCGTTGGTTGGAGTATAATTCGTTCGAGCATAGTGAGCGATAAGTGTTGCAGCAACAATCAAAAGTCGATACGCCTCTAGCAACATTCTTGGACAAGGCTGCCGCGCTTTTCATTAAAACAACTCTATATGAGGCTCCTGACTAGCGACGATAAAGTTGAATAATAGTTGGCGGACTTTTAGGGACTTCTGCAGAATTGGTTTTCGCTGAGTTCAATCGTTGCCGATTGGCTACGTGCCCGGCCCGTCCCTGCCCGTCCGTCTGACTCTGTCCGACTCTCAGCAGTACCCTCACTGCATGGCGAGTGTCCCCAATCGCCGCGGACGTTGTCACCGCTGACGATCTCAACGAGGAGAGGGCTTACTCTACACATATATTCTAGCCTCGTCCAATCTGGCCGCAGTCGCGACATCAATGACGTAGTCTTCCACCCGTGCCAACAGTCCATTATAAGACTCGCATAGCCTTCGCGTCCTCGCTCCGAATGACCCTCAGGCTGTGCCAACGCTCTCTCATCCTTTCGCGCTTGCATCATATACCGTCCATCAACTTCGCTGCAGAACACTTCTGCGCTCGTGTCATGTCTACTGCTGCTTCCACGATGAGCACTCTAACAGAGTGGACGCAGTCCCACTTCCAAGTAATCTACGCAGCTGCATCCGAAGATGCCTTTAACGCTGCGATTGACGCGTTCTTTTCGCCGAATGTAGAGATGTATAACAATGAAAAGAAGATGACAAGGGAGGACGCGAGGGAAGAGATTGCGCAGCGGTGGAGGGGCGCTCAACGCGTGGACGTGAAATGGGAGAATTCGATTGAGGTTCCCAAGGAGGGGGAAGGGCTGACGGGGAAGGAGGTAAACAGTTCCTCTCATCACTCTCTCCCTGTTTTGCTGACAGATCTTAACAAGGCTGGCCTCGTCAGTGGGTTTTTTGTTGTTACACGTTCGCTCAGATTCCGCGTGCGTGCAGCACCCATGCAGCAGCTCAACTACGTTACTTTCAATGGCCGGTTCGTCGGTTCGCTGTCTTTTGCATGGATACCATGCATATTGACTGTGTATTGCTATCATCATTAGCGTTGAACAAGACCCTGCCGTTGAGCCCGACGAGCAAGGCGACCGCCGACGCATTACATACCTGTACCAGACGTCAATCGACAAGGCTGCGCCTCTTCATTTGCATCCTATCCCCAATGCACCTATCAAAGAGGATGAAACAAAGGCATAAATCCAAAGTTTACGTTCATAGACTCGAAGATATCTTGGATACATTTTCGGAAGGTGGAAAGGACGTTACGATAGCAGAGAAACGTGCTTGGCCGGTTACATGTAGGATACGGGACAATGTATGATCATTATTTTCCTCTGATCAACTCGAAGAAACTGATTCGCCTGGCCCGAGGAGTCAACAAACAAAATAGCAAGGACTTTGTCATTCGGTGTACACTGGCGCTTACAATAGGCGCTCAGGATGACGTCGACTTGGTTTGAAGCACAAGGGTTTTGTGAGCTGCTGTAATTAACTATCCGAGGTCGCTTGGAGCCCTTGGCTGTGTTGAAGGTCGAATTGTAAGCTACAGAATCTGTCTTGTGCTATCATAGTTAACAAGTCTTAGACCCTCGTCTTCGGCATCTTCTCATCCTATCAACCAGCGATGCCGGCATAATCGAATGCGATGCAGAAATTGGATAGGTGCCGCTTTGCTTGATTAAGATGGCGCCGCAACGTGCTGCCGATCATCGATCGACTGTTGAACGAAGCATTGCAGATGATCTTTGAGTTCTTCTCGATGATATCTCTCAAGCCATCTCCACATCTGTTCCTAGAGGAGGTACAGACCTTGATGCTCAGTGTTTACAGCCGTTCTTAGCTTATTCCGATGATTCTGAACTTAGTAGTTCGTTATGGGTGGGACGCATTACTCAGCACAATTGCGGTGACTATGCTCATAAAATTTCAAGCTTCGACGTCAACAGTGGGCGCAAATACTACTGATACATTGTCCCGTCCCTGATTGGAAGACGTTTAACGCAATTTTTTAGAACTCGATCAACCCTATCGCCTACATAGTCACATAGTAGAGGTCAGCTGGGATTGCGCGGGACGCCTACCCGCAGGACTGAGGCTCTTAGATTGTTGGGCTGATTGGGTGAAGATGTAGGTGATGTCTCCAGTTTCCATGAGGGGCGTTGTGTCCTATTCTTCAAAGGTGTCCATAATCCGAGGTGAATTCGTTATTTTTCTGATCGGATCAGATTGACATCAACGCGTTGATGATCTTCGTGCAGTGTGTGTGCGATTAGCGGCGTCTGCATGATGGACGACGTAGATGATCAGATGGTGGATAACACCCGTTGCTCGGACCCATTTGTACGAACTGCCTGATGTAGTTCACCCCTCACAAACGATTACTACGGGGGAGGAAAACGGAACTATCGTTGCCGCGCTTCGAGGCAATGCGCTGCTTCATATCGCTCAACTCCCAAACGAGGTCTCGGAAAAGATTTTTACCCTATGCCTCGATCCCTGGACCCCTTTGGCACACCCACTTTGACACTCAGTCGCTGCCTGTTATGGATGCGGCTCGCCTATGTTTGCCACCGGTGGCGTCAAGTTGCGCTTCGCTATTCCTAATTATGGACTCGTATCTCGAAGAACTTGGCAAAGGGGCTGGTTCCACTCTTTATTGACAGGGAAAGTCATCGGCCTATGCACATCATTGTAGAATTGCGCGACCGTGACAACCGACAGGACCTGATCATATCCATCTGGCAGCGCATCCGGTCATTGGAGATCATCGGCAGCACTTCGCCTGTCGAGAATCTTTTAGGATGCTTGATCGGTCATATTCCTTCACTAGAGCAGTTGTGGATCGGAGGTCACAGGTACCCCTCTGGTAATCACGCACTCTTGCCTGCGATGCTGTTCGAAACCATCAGCTCATTCTGGGAAACGGATCTCGAATCGAAGACACGGGCGATGCATTGCCCTCGTTAGATCACCTCGTCCTCACAGGCAGGACGACACCTGTCACAATATGTCACCTGCTGCGAAGGACTCCAGAACTACGGACGGCAGACATACAAGAGATAGGAGACACTCCGCAATCAGATGTCGGCATAGAGCCCTTGACTTTGCCACATCTTCAGGTCCTCCTCGCAAGTTCTCGCGATCACGGTACCCTCTGTATGGACACACTATTTGACAACCTGCGTTTGCCCTCACTAGTGTGTCTCCACGTCAACATTCCTCGACTTGTCCCAATCGATTCCAAAGGTCTTGATGGCGTCATAAATGCTCTAAAGGGGACTGTACACCGATTCAACGGAGTCGTGTACCTTATTTCGAGCTTCATTCTAGATAGTCCGTCTCGCATTCCGGGGAGAAAAACCTTGCCGTGCTACGCTTGGAAAGAATCTCGTGGGAATACCGAATTTCCACCCAATCCACTTCCTTTCCCTATCGATCCTCAGGATTTTCCTGCCTACCTTTCCTATGACTGAGCTACAGATACGCTTTCGCCTCTCAACTTTTGCTGGCAGCTGTCCAAACACCTCCGTTATCACACCTTTTTTCGAACTCATGGATGCTCGGAATGGTCACAATGTCTCAGTGCTTTCAGATCTGTGGAAACTTTCGTGTGGCACGAATGTAATGTCGTGATCAACCTACTTGTCGCCTTGTCACCACCAGCCGGCGAGAACGTGCTTTTCTCAGGAAAATACCTCTTCCTTTTCTAAAAACACTCGGCATTACAAGCCGACCGATCGAGGATTCTGAGATATACCGATCGCATGTACTCGGATTGCTACTGGAGATGCGTGAAGCAGTAAACATACCATCGTAATGTGTGGACTTCAGAGGGTGCAATCGTGTTTCAATGTCACTCAATCGATTATATGGGAAGGTGAAGGTAATTTGGGATGGGGTTGAGATTGTGCCGGACAGACATATAGTAGGTGGGCCTAAAGAGGACAACTCAGAGGCTCCATCACACTTCACTCTACAATGATGATTAGGGCTGTATGCGCAAGGGCTTATCTACTCACTACCTTGAACAATTTTGTTCACACCTAGCACCTAGCGACTGCTCTGTTTCATCAAAGTTTGTACTGTGAAGCGGTCGTGTATCTGCGATCTTAAGATCTGAGTCCGGGCGTTGCCGAAGAGAGCGAGGCCTGTTCTGAGCTAGTCCTATCGCTAGGAGAATTTCACAGGAGCTCTACTCTGTGCTTCAGCACATCTCTCATCATCCAAGTCTTTGTCTCTGCTGCATCCGGATATATCTAGCCCCTGACATCCAGATATTGTCTATCGAGCACAAATAAGACATCATATCAACTCTATAGACTTCGGCCTACTCGCTTATCTACTTTTGTCGACCTCGACGAGCTTTGATGTCAACCTCTCTACTCGAGTAATGTTTTGTCACACAACTTGCTCTTTGTGATACAAGCCAAGTAATTAGTGGATCCATTCGGCCACGTCGAGTGCCCTCATGGAATATCATGTGTAATAATGAGATGTCGTCGGAGGATGCAATGGAGAACATTGTGTGGCAATAAACATGCCATCGGGGGAAGGATAATGCGATCGAGGTTGCTGGGGCTTACAGGGAACGCCGTGCGTGTCTTTTTGCATCCTTGCTTTGTTCATCAAGGGAAACATAGGCTCGTCAAAGGCCGGTGTTTTCAATGCACTCCTCAGTGACATGTTCATCATTACTTGCCCATACAAATGCCGCATGTAGGCGGCACCGTGCAGCAGGTCTCGCCCCCGCAATCATGACTTGCGGTTCGCCCTTCATTGTCATTCTCAACTATTCTAAATTTACTTTGCTCTAGACATGAATTTGCATCAGGCCAAATTCTGCTCTTGAACCGGACTTGTCAGACATTTGCCGACACGTTATGTCTGCCTACCAGACGTCTGTTCACAAGTCTGAAGCTTTTGAGTCTTGAGCCTAAACAGACTAAGAGTAAGGTTAGCTACGTGCGCCTATATCCTCAGAGGATCTTCTCTGCCCATCCCCGTGTTAGTGACACTATGGCGAGGTGAGGCTTGTGATGATGAAGATAACGCATGACCCCGCGCTTGCTTCCCTCCATATTCACTACCACCACTATACCTCTCGGCAATGGCAATCCGTCTAAGAAGAGAATGCAACTCAAAATATTTCACGGTATGTGGTAAAATGCGTCATAGACCGTCAGTTGTGTTCATTCTTATTGCTGAAAGCATTTATACTTAGAAAGCCGTATAGCAGGGTCAACGTGTGCGCTGTCGTGCGAAAGAGTTGAAGAAAGAGTCTTTTATATGCAGAAGGTCCGCAGAAGCTCAAATTCAAAGCGCGTCTCATGGCAAGGCTATGCCGCACCTGCATCACGAAATTAGTTTTCAATGATATCGAAGGATGATGACGCATATTCGATCTCCTAACAGACGTAACGAACTCAATTGTCTCCATATCGAGGCGCTCATTACGCCCCTTCGAATGAGCGCCATCATTTTTGAACGAATATGGCTGAGATGCGTTTCGGCGTTGTTCTTTCTTCCACACAGAGATAAATCGACAACCACTCTCATACTAGGACAAATCGACACTCGCTCTCATCTGACAGCTTCTTTCCCCTTGGAGTTGCTTTGTGGCTGCGATAGTTGGCAGCTGGGAGCTTAAGGGTGGCGGTTTCGGAACACGATTTCCGGGACCAGACGCCGTCGTGATGTTACCATGCGCACTGATCTTTATTTGTGTGATCTCGGGGCATCTATCTCACTTCTTTCTCTACACCCTCCGCTGAGTGGTCACTGTGTCTACATTGTTTGTCCTATCCGATGGCACAAAGTGAGGGATCAAGTCGGTGAGTTCTGTGATTATGGAGAAATTCTTCTACTCATTGTGTGATGCTAGGTCCAGCGCTACGACCGAACAGCTCCTTCAACAGATTCTGCACGCATTAGAGAAGCCGACGATGGAATATCGTGACGAAACCCATGTCCATACTCGATTTTGGACAAGTTACAAAAATGAAGCCAAGGAGTATGACGACGAATTCCTTAGAAAACGAAACGGTGATCTCGATATCGTCCTTATCTTTGTGAGCGACTGCTTTTTTCTGACTGTGACTGAACTATGATGAACTGTATGATTTTCTCGATGGTTCAATAGTCAGGCCTCTTCTCCGCGGTCAGCACAGCCTTCATCTCTGGCATGCAATCCGATCTCAGCCCAGATCCCAACGATGAGACTCAAGCCCTGCTGATGATTTTGGTCCATACATTGAACAACAGCGCATTTACCACTCAGAGCACAGATTTGCCAGTGTGGAATGGTCCCGATTCCACAGTCGTTTGGGTTCAAAGCCTGCTATATGCGAGTCTCATGGCGAGCCTCCTTGCTGCTCTAGGTGCAATGCTTGGGAAACAATGGCTTAGCGATTACGCGGGTATTCGAAGGACTGGGTCTATTGACGCTCGCGGTAGGTCCAGACAACGGAAGACAATCGCTTTTGAGGCGTGGCACTTCGATACGGTGATGGAATCGTTGCCGATACTGCTGCAGATGTCGCTCATGCTCTTCGGTATTGGTCTTTCGGCATTCATATGGAGTCTCCAACATACCGTTTCTATCATCCTCATTGTCGCAACGTCTTTCGGAATCATGTTCTATGTCTTTATTGTTTTATCTTCCTTGGCGTACCCCGACTGTCCATTCCAAACTCCTACCTCGAAATTCCTTCGTTTGATTTTCGGTGTCATAGATCGATCTGCACGGTATGCAAGACAGGACGTCGCTTTCTATCATTCGACAAGACTATATCGGCTCGCATTGACGAGAGGCATCCTCATCATTGCCTTGTCAATTCGTCACATCATAGTATATACGCTGCAGACGTTGTCCAGGCTCACAATCTCCATCACAGAATACAGCACCCGCATCGTTCAGTTCATCTTCTTGCGTAAAACAGGGGGGCTTGCACCCTGGATGGGCCAATCCTTAGATGCTATAGCGGTTGCATGGACTTTAGAGGCATCCACAGATTTGGGCATCATCACCGCTGCGGCTCATATGGTCCCAGAAATCGAACAGTGGCCTGTCGAGATCAATGTCTTAGCCGCTCTAGTGCAGATACTCGACACCTTCGCCGATTGCTTCGACCAAAGTCAGCATGGAAGAATCCAGTTGGTCGCCGCAGCCGAAGAGAGAGCTCTTATTTCTGGGAAGGCCTTGCTTCACCTCTATTTTGCAAGACCCTTTACTCCCACTGACGACAATCGTTGGCCATTCAATGACCCAGTTGATGGGCGTGGATATCAAAGATTGTTCCATCCTGGAGACCACACTTCAAATGATTTTCGACAGCTACTCGAGAACTTCCAACCACCAGATGCGGATCTCAAGTTCATCTGTGACATTCTAAAGCGCACGTTTTATTCGTGGCTGGAATCTAATGATCCACTAGCCGATACACACAATGGATGGGCGTTGTCGGACGTATCTCAAGTTTCGGATGGCCTCCTCCACTGGTTCTCCCATGCCCTGATCCATTGTCTCAGCAACCCACAGCTCCGCGAGGCCATGAAACCGAAGGATGCAGCAGTGAACGTGATCTTGACATTGTTACCTCGCGAATATCTACCGAAGCAAATCTTAGCGAACTGCCTCTTAGCAGCGGGACTTCTCATGGGTCAGTCAATACATGAAGCCCCTCTCATACATTCGACTAACGAGTGAGTTTTCTCCATGACTATGAGGTATTCGGCTTGTTCATCAGGTTTTTTGTTCTTATAGTCATGAAGTTGGAATGATCCTATTATCTGTCTTTGACCAACTGGTTACAGTCATGCCTATTGCGCCGTCCAGTTCCAGACAAAACTCGCCGGATGCCGAAAGAGAATCATATGCATTGAAATTACTGGATCCCCTAATGCAGCTTCTGGTTGAGAATCCCCATTTTCACTATGTCATCCACAGCATCCGTTTCCTGAGGATTCCTTCGAACATCAGGTCAGATGAACGTAGGCAAGCCCACTTATTTAAAAAACTCAACTTTCAAGCTTCAGGTTTCGAGTATTCCGCATCTGCTCTGCGACTCAAAGTATTAATGGCATGTCCTGCCAGTATCAAGTCGCGATACCAGTGGTACATGGAACAGGGGCCATATGGACGACCAGCAGAACATAATGACCACCCGATTTCGCGCGGCACTAACTCGCACACGCGGGGAGTTTTAGATCCATCTTCACTGGAAAGCCATCGTTTATCTGAGAAGGTACTTGATATCGTGACTATTTCTCGACACACTCGGTCCAGCAACGCTCTCGCAATTGCAGATGGTCTCCTGATTCTATACGATATCCTAGACCTTAACACACACCCGGCTACCGATTTCAGGGCCCGGCTTTTCGATGTCATCTCTTGGGGCATGCAGCACCCTGCTTCACGCGTGTGTCACTCTGCCCTAAAGCTGGCCCACCGGCTGCGCCCCTGGTTGAGAGACCCGTTACCATGGACGGACATCCTTCAAGCTAAACACTTCTGTCAAAATTTCTGTGCCTCTCTCTTCCTTTCTGCGACTACGAAGCATGCGACAGACATGCCTGATTTACATATCCTAGATGATTCCCTTGACTATGACCGAGACATACGATATCTAGATATCATCTGCTCTCTTGCGCAGGCCGATCAATGGCACGAAGCCATCAATAGCTACGGACACATCAAGAGGTGCATTAACATCGCAAAAAAGCTATGCACGCTCTATGCAGGAGATGGACACGACACTATCCCATTATATCCCGAGTTATACGAAGGCTCAAACCATCTCGGATCGTACAAGGGAGATCTGTGGTCTCGCTTGATATATATCATTGTCAGCCCTTCCATGGCCGGCCTCCGTCAGAGATCGATCAGCCCGCTCAATGTTGACGAAGAATTGACATGGACGTTCGTCCTCGAGGCATGGAGAGCTCAAGGTGTTTATGATCCCACAGACATATTCATCTCGCCGATGGTCCAGTATACACTCGAGATCATCTCATCTCATCCGCATCGCGCGACGGCTTCGCTGCACGAAGATATTGTCGCGACCCGTGACGCGATGGCACTCCACTTCATAGATCAGGATGCCGTTGGTCTGTTCGGTCCACTTTTAGAGAAGCTACAACAACATGATGGAGCGGATGGGGATGCGACGAATTCAGGCAATTTGTGAGGCCGTGAGCCCTAGGCATATAGACGGCGCCGAAGAAATGTCCCAAATAACCCATATGAATCATTTCTCTCTCTTTCCTTTTGTCCTATATCGATTCATAGTTCGTGCTGCCAAGCGGTATTAGAATAGGAGATATGAGGACGACGTTTTGAACAGAGCAAGCAAGGTAGGAACAGACAATCATCTAGGGTCCTCACTCCAGGAGCCGTTTTGCCAGTTCTTCCTTGTCACTTGTCTCTTGCTCTATTGAATCACTTTTTTTTTGCGATGAACGCTGCCAGTTTGAAATGCCATGTCGCGCTTCAAGTTGCCTCGTTCAGCATGGAAAAGCTACAAGCGATATTGTTGCCAGTGCTCTTGACAGCGACCAAAAAACCAGCGTCGCTTGCAACACAGGCATGTATACATAGCTCTTCACTCACTTGACGTCCGTCTGAAATATCATGTGCTAGATCAGCAGAAAAGTTTCTGAGGAGACAGCATCGCATCCCAAAAGCCAGAATATTTTTTTCGACGAAGACATCCAAATTTTGCATAGGCAACTCACTATCCATGCAGATTTTTGATGCAAAGTTCTATGCTTGTTCCCGGAAACGGGTGGAATCATTTGTCGCTGGGCGCACGCTTGCCACGCAGTTCTACTTCGAGTAATCAGGGATGGCGATGGTATCCAGGGTTTGTGCAGACATTCTTTTCATTTTCGATGCCTTTCGCGGCCATATTATTTCTCCTCGGCCAAACGACACATTGCCTCTTATCATGAATAACACCTGTATCACCTTGATACCAGTGTCAGCAGTCAGATACGGATATCCGGAGACCACGTCGGAGGTTGAAGAAGAATCGTCAACGTTGCTGTCTTCGGGAAACTAGTGTCAGCCGTCACTCGTAACGCCACAGGAGAGATAGGGAGAACAGTGCGGTATGGTGTCGCTATTGTCGCATCTGTCTAGGGGGCATAGGATCAGCTGTGCATCGATGTAGAGCGCGCGGAGCGCTTAAGCGTGTGCGCGATGATTGACTAGTCGAACCGACCAGATCCACATAACTGCGGAACCTTCGGAGCGAAAGCGTGCGTTGATTTACGCAGGGAGGTCTCTGTGGTGATGCCTCTGCGGACAGCGGCCAAATTAGCGCTATATATGCGAAAGCCTTACCTGAAGGGGGACGTTAGTGCAGCTGTTGGATTGGCGTGCTTTGCGAACTGGGTATGGATAGGATTTGAGGACCAAAGGCATGCGCTCGATGAGGTTGAGGTTGAGGACAGGATGTGTGCAGCTCAGTCATGCAACATTTATCGCGGATGTTTTGTCGATGCAGTGACGATGCGTGCAAGGTTAGGGTTCGGGCATGGCGGGAGCAAGGCGGGCTGTTCTCAGCAATGCTATTCCTGGGTCGCTGCGCACGCCGACGGTCCATGTAGTAGGCTATCGCTCCCCACTCTCGACCACCATCTACCTCCTCGTCTGCTCCTAGACAATCCCAATGTCCTCGCGCAATCCATTCCGGACGCCTACCGTCACCCCTCAGCCCACAGGAGCATCTGCGACATCCTCGATCCAAGCCCTCACATCCTCGCACATACCACATGTCACCCCGCAACGCTCAGACACCTACTATCCTCCTCCAGCAGGCCGGCCACCGCCTACAACCTCCCAGAACTCATCTACTTCTCAACTCGGACAACTAGACACTGATCTCCCTGCACCCTCCACATCCATTAGCGAAGAAGCCCCTCCGGCATACACTCCAGCACCCGACATAAACGTCGGCGAAACCACGGTCGACATTGGACCTCGCAGGCCCTTCCAACAAGCCCCTTCACTTCCTCCTCCTCAGCAACAACCATACTTCACCGGCACGCCGAACCCAAATCCGCCACATCCCCATCCCCAGTCCCACTCTCAATGGGCTCCTCCACCAATGCACCCGCTCTCGCGCAACTCGACAGGAACCCCCGCCACCCTCGCGCCGCCCACTCTCTCTCGCAGGCGCTCCGGCTCCGACGTGCACGCTTCCGCCGCGCCTGCCTCGCCGACCACGCCGCTCTCCGACTTTGCCCGTGACTTCTACGCTGCGGGCGCCGAGGCGCCCGTGGCCGACGCAGAGAGCACGTCGACGAATGAGGCGAGCGCCAGTGGTCCTCGCTATGCGCCTCCGCCTGGGAACCCGCCTGGAAGACGGCCGACTACTATGGAGAATGACGGGCGGCCGACGCAAACGCCAGTGCCTGGGCATCCGCTGCTCAATAAGGGGCAGGTGCTCGTGTACCCTGCGGGCCATGAATGCACGAAATGTGAGCAGTCCCCCCTTGATATCTATTTCGCTTTCGCTGGCGAAGCAAAAACGAGCGAAACTGCCCGTTCGATCGAGGGCGCTTTTCTTACGCACGCATCTTTGTGTCTCGTAGGCAAGAATACAGGGTACAAGAACTTCGATCCCTCGCACCCGTGCCGCAAGTGCTGGGAAAAGCATGCCAAGCCTTTCACCGGCGCGCTCGTCTACATGCCCTGGGACCCCATCTCCGCCTCCACCTCCGCGTCCTCGAACAAGCGGCAGACGTACCAGCGGCCCTTGCCCGTGTTCAGGCCGCCGCAGTTCTCCGCCGCATCCTCGTCGCACCACGCCGATTATCACCGGCGCATCGCGTCTCAGCCGCCTCCCACCGCTCCCATGCACTCTCCGCCCCCGCATCCGCCTCCACCCCAGCATATGCCCTCGTCGTCTCCGCACCCTCCACCGCCTCATGTGTACTCTCCTCCGCCGCGAACGCAGCTCGTTGGGTGGGGATCCATTCCTCCTCCTGGTGCGGTAGTGATGCGCCCCGGGGACCCTCGATTGGGTGGCCAGCTTTGTTGGAAATGCAGCGGGCGCGGCGCAGTTACTTTTCTCTTGTTCGAGGAGCGATGCGATCTGTGTAATGGTGTCGGGAGGACGTTCAGGTGACGATCTCAGGACATGTATTAGTGTGACTTGTTTGATGATGTAGGATGGTCGATGGACCTGTGTGTTGTACGAATTTTCTCTGCCATTTGTCTCTACTGTAGTGATCGTTGGACCCAGAGCGGATGTTGAGACTGAAAATCAATTGACCCCGTCTATGCTAACGTTATGTCAGTCATCCACGCTAAACGAGGTATTAACACTATTCTATAGTGTCGCAAGATGGAAAATTCTTGGATAAAGGATTGTTTCCCCATCTACAACTACTCGCGTTCTAGAAAGGTGTGCACCTATGGGCCGAGAGCGCGGACGATTTCGAAGTAAAGGTCACCTGGTATGTTTGAGAACCTGATCACTGAGTTCCTTCGATCATCGACCTGCAGGCCTGGGCGACGTGAGAGATGATCGTATCTTGTTTCCTTTCGATTGCCCTATCGACATTCAAGAGCCAGGGAGACGCCCGCGCGAGAAGGCTCTTTATCGACAATCAGGAGCCGAGGAGCCGCCCTTCCGAGAGATTTACCTACGCATTTTCGCATGCCTGAAAAGGAGTCTATTACCGGCCGTGCGCGAGTCCTTGGAACATACGTGACTCAATTGGTGACGGTCTCGACATCGACATCATTATCGCTGGTGATACGACTGCCTCGAGGAGCAACCAGAAGCACTGCGCACGTCCGGAGACCGGTCAGCGCTTTCGAGATTAGCATCACGCGAAGCTATCTTCTGGTCTGTGCTAGAGACTGGAGTGTGTGAATTACTAGCGAGCGATCCAGGTGATCAAGATTGCCATCCGCAACATAGCGCTGGCATCGCATGTCATCACACAGAACACAAGAGAACACAATCAGGCAGTGAGGCATGGAAGAGATGAGATGGAACCCAGCGGAACCTCACTGGAATCTCCCACTCACCCGTCACGGAAGTAGCTGATTTTCCAAATCGATGGGTCTGTGTCTTGTTGTGTACGAGACGGCGTCCGTCGTGAACGCGTGAGGCCTGAGGATCGCTGCGAGTCAGAGGTATTTTCAGCGGGTCGTGTTGGAGCTCAGATAATGAGCGCAACTGTGCGCCAGAAGCAATAAGGCTATCCGCCAGCGCCAGTGCTTCGACAAAAAAGGCATTGTGATGCTCGACTCGCCTTTTGTCTGTGTACCAAACGACACTGAGTGCGACGAGCCTGAGAGAAATCAGTAGCCGGAAGCATTTTACAGACGCCGGCAAGGCTCGCGGAGAATGAAATGGACTTGGCCTCATGTCCTCGGCTACAGCCTGGCACAACTTCTTGCTGCAACGTGTTCGTCCTCGACCACTGACCAGCTCCTCGCCGCCAGCATTTTGCCATCCCCTCATCGATACGTCCGATATGGAAAGAGACAATACGCACTCCGCTCCTTCAAAAATCCCAGCATACCGGATGCGGATCTCTCCCTCGACTCACGTCTCCATCACTCTCACCTCCTTTACCCCGTTCTCTCCTGCGCCGGTCGACGACATTCTCCTCTCAAAAGCAGTCAACATGGCCAGTCTTGCCCGCACCAGCTCTCATGGGGCTCAAACTCCCAATATCGACGACCATCGCGCGTGTAAGTCTATCAGCCACGTGCATGTCCAGGCGCTCGCTCATCTACACCGCTTAGCGACGAACACATTTGGCTATGTAGAAGGCGAAAATGATGCTCAGCGTGATAGACGTGTGGTTGACCAGCTTAGATTGGACATCTCGACGCTCCAAACCAATTCAGCTCGGGAGCTCCAGGCAGTCAAAACGGATATGACCGTCAGGTTTGCTGAGGTCAACGGGACTTTGGTACAACATAGTAAAGACCTCTCCACCGTCAAGACGACAGTCGAGAGTCTTCAAACTTCAGTCGAGAGTCTTCAAACTTCGGTAGAAGGCTTGAAGAAGCAAGGTGACAAGCATGAGGCTTTGATACATTCGCTTCACACGATGATGGAGAGGCAGGAAGAGATGATGAAGAGGCAGCAGGAATCTTTGGACAGCCATAGTCGTATCCTCAAGCTTTTGGCTTCTCGTGCTGACGTAGATATTTTGGAGGACCTCCCGGCATTACAGGCTACTGGGAGCGCTGTTGCTCTTCCAGAGGTCGTCGTCACCCACACTCCCACTTCATCGGTGTCTAGCACGGAGCCGCAATTCCGTGCGAGTACCCCGCCTTCACCACCCAGTCGAGCTGGCCCCTCCACTCTCCCTGTCCCATTCTCCCAAACCGCCCCGTCTTATCGCCTCTCCGAGGAAAACGTGCTCTTGTCTCTCCCTAATGTCCTTCGCCTTCGGACACAATCAGAGCCCGACGTGCGCGAGGCCCTCGGAGCGCGCGAAGGACGTGAGACCTTCCGTCCCCTCGAGGCCGACCGTCGGCCAGAAGTGAAGAAGGGGTTCCGAGATGTGGCTAAACTTTTCAGGAAGACTTTTGTACGTCCACCTTCCCGCTCATCGCTTTGTCCTACGAGCTGACCAGAGTATGTCATGAAGTCTAACAAGTCAGGCTGATATTGAACGCTGAAAGTAACGCGGATTCTCATACACTCATTCCCTTTCCTCTGTTCCGAATACCCTACCCTGTGCCGTTTCCATCGTGCCTACGGTAGCTGGTAATGGCCAATCGCCATCTGTATAATGATGTTCTCAAATGTGGTCCTTCTGCAGTTCCTTTCGCATGCTTTCATTAATCTATTTCCTTCCCCTCGACTGCCATGCTCCGGGTCGCTTGCCTTGAGGATGCGGATGCAGTCTCACCAGACACGACTTTCGCGTTCGTTAGATGTCATAGTTGCTTTGATAGTCTACGACACCGTAAACATTGATATTCTACTGGCGCGCGTATATGACTGAGTTTGCAAGTACGGACAATGGTCATAGCAGAGAGGGTACGAAGTTGATAGTTACCTCGTATTCTTCACCTCAAATCATAGGGAAACCAGATGTCATACAAAACGTCCGTTGTGTAGACACGCACATCGATAAAGAACAGTGCACAACCGTAGAGGGAATAGAAGAGGTGAATGCATCCATCTTGAAGCAAACGTGGGAGTTCAGAAAGTAGGCAAGTCTGAAGAACAGGGAATGATTCCGGCTGCTGAGGACATGATGTCCACCACTGGCAGTGAGGAACGGACAGTCAGTCCAGCTGAAGGCTGGAGAAGTTCAGTGCAACTCGCTGATTTCCTCTCGTCTTCTCCACACCAATACAAATTGGTACGCTGACATCGCTCGGTGCACCGCACGTTGAGCCGAGGTCGGCCGTGCTGCCAGTGTCGGTAGTTGGCCGCGCGGCGGAGGATTGCACAGCAAAGTGCATCGAGCAATTTCTCGTCGTTGTGGCATCGGTAAATTCACACGAGTCTTGCGCTCCAGAGGCGCTGATACGCTGGAACCCAGTCGTCCAGACACATCCAGACCTCCAGCCATCCAGAAGCTTGTCGCCATTTAGGTAATTAATTATCGTATTCTATAAGCTACACTCAGAATGCGATATATTATATAAATTCATTAGTATAATGGTCAGCATATTTATTAACATGCATCTGGGAAATCACTCTTTTGTATTATACTCTAATTAGTTCTATTTATGCATAATTAAGAATGATTAGGATTAGAGATTAATTGCTTACCCCCTCCTAAACCTGTTCTAATTAGACATAATTTTCCTAAATTAGGAATTATTAGGATTGATTATAACTTGAAATTTCGGAAAAATCATAATAAATCAAGCATCATAGTTCTCATAGCCTTCTTATAGAGTCATGTCTATTAAAGCACTAGTTAAATACCTAAACACAGAATATACCTTATAACAAACTTGCCTTCTGCCAGAGTTGAACCAACAACCTCATGTATGCAAGCACCCGGGACGGATGCTCTAAGCCACTAAGCTATAAGGTCTAATATACTAACTTGGTAATCTAAAGAAGTAAGCATAATATAGGCAATCTCAACATCTCAAACTTTATTTAACATTTATCTTCTCTCTGTCTTATAAATAAATAAGTCAATAAATACCCAAAAAGTTAGGCCTTTTAGGATTTATTTTAAATGCCGGCTAAGAAGATAATCAACTAATAGAAAATAACTAATACACTTTATATAGGATAAAAAACAAATAGTGGCACTTACACAATTTGGATTTAGAATATATAAAACTATGATTGAGTGTAATATTCAATAGGACTCTATTAGTATAGACAATGCTACTTAATTTGCAAAATTTGATCAAAAACATAATTATGAATAATTAGCTATAATTAGCTCAAATTAGTATCATTAATTATTATTAATAATTAAGATCCAATAAGAGAGAGGGGTTTTCCAAATAGTCACCAGTAAGATAAAGAGTAAGGACAAGGGTATATGTATGGCATGCCTATGTATAATTAAGCACAAGATTGTTGGAAATAATCTTGATATGCTTGGTACATATATTTCCTATATAGTAAGCAAATATATCATTTTGGCACTATATACCAATATGACTGTCTTTTTCACAGCCCAATAGCTAGAGGAGAACACCAAGTTTGAGCATCTTCTATATGACAAGGCAATGAATAATATAGATGGTGCTAAAAATTGTAATATTAATGGCAATAATAATTGTGTGCTACATGAGACAGTATTGACCACTGTACCAATAGACAAGGTCTGCAAGGCTGCATGTAGCAAATCCCTAAGCCCAACCCACATGTTGTGTTCTATATTGACTAGTAGCAGGCATTAGCTAACAATGATAACTTTGATAATCTTATATGCAAGGCCAAGGTACCAAGGTCTTCATAGCCTCTTGTGGCAGCTGCTAAGCTGCTAACAAAGTGGCTGGGGGCATTAATGCATATTTCTCTTTTTCCAATGTCCCTTGTAAAGGCAGCTGGAAAGTTAGCAAAAGAGCTACAAGATGATGGTGCAGGCATATGTAAAGGAGAGTAATTGTGCTGAAGCAGCATAGAATATGCCATATCTGCATCTTCTTGCTAATAGAGCAGTAGTACTTACTATTTTCTGCTGCTAATTAAAGACTTTTTAGTATGGAATTAGTGCTAATATCATGAAATTAGAAACTATCTTTTTCGCTACAGAAAAAGATGGATCCCAATTTGGAAATCCAATCCAATGCTTATAATGTATTGCTTTCAATTAGAAAATTGGACACTTTTAGATGCTATTAACACTTTTAGATACTTTGAGACACTATTAGATATAATCCAGAGCTAATACAAGGGAGTGATTTTCCAGATGCATAAAAAGCCTGTGAAGTGTCAATAGAATCCAAGAAGTAAAAGTTCTTAGACAAAAAGCCCTCTCCAAATGGACCTATAAGCAAAGCTCTACATGTGACGCAGTTGGAATAGATCATAGCCATGCTCTTGGCACTGTTAGCATCAAACTTAGGACAGACAACCCATATTCCAGTCATTTTGTCAAGTCTGTTATAAATAGGTACAAACCATTGTATAAGTGCACAAGGATAAAAAACATCTTGGAAAATAAAGGGAAATAACAAATACACTATACCAATGGCCATGCCTTGCATACCTAGTAAGTTGGCATCTATTTTGATAGAGACAGTGCTGCACCATATATACTGCCTGTACTAGCTTGGGTTTGACTAGATTTGCTCTTGGTATATATTGCTAATGCTGCAGAGATTACTTGGAGCATAAAAGCATGCAACTGCAGAATTAAAGATAGTGATGCAGCTATTGAAATTAGGGCAGGCTATAAGGGAATTTTCATGTAATTGTAGCTCTGCATCCAGATAGATCTAGTCATAGAGAAATCTTTGGATAGGTTTCAGGAGATAGGGTTTGTTGATATGCTGGGCTAATATTAATAACAACCTTCTGTTGTTAGGCACTTACTCTACTATCCTAAGGGTATGGTGGAACTTAGAGGGTTGGAGGTGTTACAAACTGCTCATTCGGTAACCCCAAGAGTAGGAGGTTCTTCCCTAGGTCACTCGTAGAGAGAGAGGGTGGAACGATGGTCTCGACTGTACGTATAGCACAGGAGCCAGAGATGTATTGTGATGTAGCAATAAAGAGTACTGTAGGAAGACAGTACTAGAATGAGGTACTGTGGTAGGAAGACCACAGTGAACAAAGAGAATAGACTGAAGATCCTCAGCCTACTCTATGGGCCTTTTATACTACTTTAGGAAATAGGGCGTGAGAATACCATATATGTATCTGTAGGTATTCTCTAAGTTGTCTCTCTCAATAACGACTCTTGTGCTTCTCCGTTTGTCTCTTTCCAGCCAGGAAAGACTAGGAGCTTTATGCCCGGGGTGTGAGTAGTTTGTAAGGCAGCATTCTATGCCCGCATGCAATATGGCTTGTGATACTCGACCAACGATAAGGTGATCTGTTGGGAGTGGATGACCAAGGTTATTATCTGTACCTTGTTGTACGCTTCAACTCGTGAGGCCACTTGATATTTGTGATGATCATGTCGGAATAGACTGCCGTTAAGGCCCGACAGAACGTGATCATAACAATACCCCCTTTCTACGTCCTATTTGCCTAGTAGGACAGTGTCTTGTGCTTTATTGCCACTCCATATACAATTTGCTTTCTTGATCCAACAATGGGTCTCCAGATGCGACTTCTGGGACATGACTCCGTTTTCTGGGAGGAAGACTGACTTACGTCATTTGATTCTCTAGGAGTTTTCCATCTCCGTTGAGCTATTTGTTTCTCGGCCATAACGTAGGGGTACCACTCCCTGGGCCACTAGGATGTTCTTCCTTCACCCATAAGGTTTATTTTGCCGCGGGTAAACCTCTTCATGGTTTTACTCCAGCCTCCTCTGGAACAGTATCAAGAAAGGCGCATGAATGCGAGTGGTGTGTGAATGAATAGAAACTCTAGCATGTGGGTTCTAGTTTGTGTCATCAGGTTCTTTTTCTTTCTTCTCCAAGGGCCAAACCTCAGTGTTTCCAGGATAGTCGTCTATCCTCATGACTTGTTAGTTTCTCTTGATGATGAAGCATGCCCACAGACAAGTAGGTTGATCGCTTTATGAAGGCTTAGGCCTACTTCTCCAGGCTACTCTATCGTCGTCCCAAGTAGTATCGCTCCCATATGGTAAGCTCATCTCCGGTGAGGTTGCTAGCCAAATCCCAAGCAGTATTGTCCCCATACGGTGGACTCATCTCCGGTGAGGCAGTTTATGGCATCCAGAGTTTGTTTGTCATAAACGTGGGCCTATGGTGGGGAATATCACATGTAGTGTTGGGTTCGAGGCAAGGATGTGAAGAGAATTAGACTAGAAGGGCGCCGTGAGGAGCAAGGAGGAGTCTGACTCCTTTTCCAAATTGGCCCATTCACATGCACGAATAGATCTCAAGACCACAGCTGATATATTTGTTGGGTTGCGAGATATATCCACGATGGTAGTTTAAACGTCTTGCCGGATGGTCTGTAGTTTATTGTCATTGTGGACGATATTAAGGCGCTCTGCACCTCCTAGTAGTTTACTTTCTAGGTCATTGTGGACCTGCTTCATCATCAACATAGAATATCTGTAGGGAAAGATGTTTCTGTACGCCGGAACATCCATCGGTTATGTGCATAGGGCTCTAGACCAGACTTTATCCCGCAGATTCCACTGAGGCATGATAGGAACAGTTTATACTATATCAAACTGGATAACTTGTAATGTCTCAATTTGTGAGACCACTCAGTTTAATACCGTGAGGTAGGCAAACTTGCAGTTTAACGCCGTGCCATAGGCAGAGGCTATTGTCTGACTATGTCCCTCGAGTCACGATAGGCTTTTTCTTCCAAGGATGAAGGTAGTTTACCATCATTCCGGACGTTGTCAGTATCATTCTTGTCAAGAATGACATTGACAATGATCCCTATACTAAAACATCTGGAAAAACACCCCCTTGTATTAGCTCCGGATTATATCTAATAGTGTCTAAAAGTATCTAAAAGTGTTAATAGTATCTAAAAGTGTCTAATTTCCTAATTGGGAGCAACACATTGTGAGCATTGGATTGATTTCTGATTTCATGATATTAGCACTAATTCTATACTAAGAAGTCTTTGATTATTAGTAGGAAATAGTAAGTACTACTGCTCTATCAGTGAGAAGGTAAAGATGTGGCACATTCTATACTATTTCAGCATATTACTCTCCTTCATATATGCCTATACCATTATCTTGTAGCTCTTTTGCTGACTTTCCAGCTGCTTTTATAAGGGATATAGAAAGAGAGAAATATGCATTGATGCCCCCAGCCACTTTGTTGGCAGCTTGGCAGCTGCCACAAGAGGCTATGAAGACCTAGGTACCTTGTCCTTGCACACAAGATCATTACAGTTGTCATTGTCAGCCAATGCCTGCTACTGGTCATTATAAGACACAACATGTGGGTTGGACTTAGGGATATGCTATATGCAGCCTTGTAGACCTTGTCTATCAGTATAGTGGTTAATACTGTCTTGTGCAGCACACAATCATCATTACTATTGATATTACAATTTTTAGCACTATTTATATTGTTTATTGCCTTGTTATACAGAAGATGCTCAAACTTGGTGTTTTCCTCTAGCTATTAGGCTGTGGAAAAGACAGTCATATTGGTATGTGGTGCCAGAATGATATATTTGCCTGCCATATAGGAAATATATGCATTAAGCATATTAAGATCACCTCCAACAATCTTGTGCTTATTTATATATAGGCATACCATATATATACTCTTGTCCCCACCCTCTACCTTACTAGTAGCTATTTGGAAAACCTCTCTCTCTTATTGGATCTTGATTATTTATAATCATGTTTTTGATCAAATTTGCAAATTCAGGTAGCATTGTCTATACTAGTAGAGTCCCATTGAATATTACACTCAATCATAGTTTTACACATTCTCAGTCCAAATTGTATAAGTGCCATAATTTATTTTTATCCTATATAAAGTGTATTATTGATTTTCCATTGGTTTAATATCTTCTTAGCTGGTGTTTAAACTAAATCCTGAAAGACCTGACTTTCTAGGTATTTATTGACCTATTTATTTATAAAATAGAGGAAAGATAAATGTTAAATAAAATCAGAGATGTTCAGGTTGCCTATATTATGTCTACTTATTTAGATTACCAAGTTTATATCTTAGACCTTGTGGCTTAGTGGCTTAGAGCATCCGTCCCGGGTGCTTGCATACATGAGGTTGTTGGTTCAACTCTGGCAGAAGGCAAGTTTGTTATAAGGTATATTCTGTGTTTAGGTATTTAACTAGTGCTTTAATAGACATGACTCTATAAGAAGGCTATGAGAACTATGATGCTTGATTTATTATGATTTTTCCGAAATTTCAAGTTATAATTAATCCTAATAATTCCTAATTTAGGAAAATTATGTCTAATTAGAACAGGTTTAGAGGGGAGGTAAGCTAAAAATGTCTAATCCTAATCATTCTTAATTATGCATAAATAGAACTAATTAGAGCTTAATACAAAGGGGTGTTTTTCCAGATGCTCAAGATTACTGGAAACTGAACGAGTGGATGATAAAGAACAAATACCCACTACCTCTGATTGATGATGTAATAAGAACCATTGCAAAATTGAAAGCAAGAATCTTCTCCAAATTCGACATCAAATAAGGGTATAACAACATCCATATAGCAGAAGGAAATGAATGGAAGATGGCCCTCATGACCAAGTTTGGCCTGTTTGAATGCCTTGTCATGTTCTTTGGTCTTTGCAACTCACCCGCCACATTCCAAACCATGATGAACATAATCTTTCACAACCTAATTGTTGCGCAAGTCCTTACAGTTTATATGGATGACATCTTGGTATTCACAAAGACCATAGAAGAACATCGGCAAGTGACAACTCAAGTCATGCAAATATTTCTAGACAATGACCTATTCCTGAAACCTTCCAAGTGTACCTTTGAAACGGACACAGTTGAATACCTTGGGTTCATCATCTCCGCAGATAACATATCCATGGACCCAGTCAAGGTAGAAGGGATCGCCGCCTGGCCAACGCTGAAGAACCTGAAGGAAGTACAGTCATTCCTTGGCTTTGGAAACTTCTACAGAAGGTTCATCGAAGACTTCACTACAATGGCCCAACCTCTCAATGACCTAATAGAGAAGGACGTACCATTCATATGGACTGACGAGCAAAACACGGCCTTCAAAAACTTAAAAAACTGCTTTACCTCAACCCCCGTCCTAATCTATCCCAATGGCAACCGCCCCTTCTGATTCAAAACTGATGCATCTGATTTCGCCTCCAGAGCTATCTTATCACAAAAAAACCCCAACGATGGATGGCACCTTGTCGCTTACCTATCTAAGTCTTTCAATGCGGCAGAGCGCAATTACAACATCTTTGACAATGAACTACTTGCCGTCATACATGCCCTCGACCACTAGCATGTGTACTTGGAAGGTGCAAGACACCCATTTGAAATATGGTCCGACTACAAGAATCTTCTGTACTTCTCCACTGTCAGAACTCTCTCTCGTCGGCAGGCACACTGGTCACTTTTTCTATCCTACTTTGATTTCACACTTGTACACAAACCCAGTATCACCCATCGGCCCGATGCTCTGTCCAGGCGTCCAGACCTAAAAGAGGGGGTAAAATCAGATAACAAAGACCAAGTGTTGCTACAACCCCAAATGTTCATCAAAAGTGCAACAGGACGAGGTACAGTTGAAATGCTCGACAAACAGCTGAGACAAAAGTTAAAATAAGTCACAGCTAAAGACAAAGAAGTAACAGAAGCAATGGGGCTTATCAAAGCATTAGGACCCAGAGCACTCTCGAAAGGACTACAAGAATGGAATTACGAAGATGACCTCATCTGGCACAAGGGAAGAATATACATCCTACCTGATGACAAACTCAAAAGAAGAATCACAAAAATGTACCACAACTTGCCCACAACCAGACACCCAGGACAATAGAAGACCTATGTCCTGATATCAGACAACTTCTGGTGGCCAGGAATGTCCACATTCATAAAAGAATACGTAACGGGATGCACAACATGCCAGAATACCAAAAATATTACACACCCCACATGTACTCTGCTGATTCCAAATGAAATACCAGAAGGACCCTGGCAAACAGTCACAATGGACTTCATTACAGATCTTCCCCAATTTGGATCATATAATGCCATCCATGTAACAGTAGACAGAAATACCAAAGGCATCGTCTACACCCCATGCGACAAGACCATAGACACCGAAGGAACCACCGACCTCTACATAAAAAACATCTGGAAGCGATACAGACTTCCAAGGAAAATCGTCTCTGACAAAGGTCCACAATTTGCCGCTAGGTTCACAAAGGAATTATAGAGAAAACTGGGAGTAACAACAGCTCTGTCAACCACATATCACCCAGAAACAGACGGAGAAACAGAGAGAGTAAACCAAGAATTAGAACAATACTTGTGAGCATTCTGCAATTATGAACAAACAAATTGGCCTGAGCTACTGCTGTATGCAGAATTCACATACAACGTTAGGGAACACTCAGCCACACTCCAGTTGCCGTTCAAACTCATGTATGGCTACAATCCGACCTTTGTACCCCAGATCACACCAAGATCCAACATCCCCGGCGTGGAACGAAGGCTGGAAAGGTTAGAGCAATTACAAAAAAAGCGAAGGCCAGCCTAGGGGTTGCGGCAGAATCAATGAAGAGGAAAATAGCTGAAAATGAAGTCAAACTAGAAGTAGGACAGAAGGTCTGGCTATCGGGAAAAAAATATAAGTACTACTCACCCAAAAGATAAGCTAGCCCCTAAACTACATGGACCATTTGAAATAGAAAACAGACTAGGACCAGTGACGTACAAACTAAAACTTCCGCCAACATGGAAAATACACCCCGTTGATGAGCATGCACCCACGCTAGGGTCTGAGGGAGGTATTCGGGAAGCTTTGGGGAGATACTGAACAGCACTCGACAAGTACCGAAGATGCCGACTTTTACCGAACATGGTCGGTTCTTGCCCGACCAACAACAAGCCACCAAAGGACATTCAGCAGCACTTGGGTCAGTTCGCCCACACTTCATGAGTTCGCCCACACTTCATGTACTTACCATGACTACACAGGAGTGTTACAATAGGTGTTTACGAGATTGGAGCCAGTATTCCGTATTGGCTGATGTCCTCCATGAGTTGGTTGGTCCTTATCACTTATCTTCCCAACTCCCACATGGTCGGTCAAAACGCTGATGAGCATGGGTATGCTCTAGGCACCAATACCCCACTTTTCGCAGCTTTTCAGTATTCTTTGACCGTTCGGCATACTTAGGACCGACCGATCCCGATCCGTTCGGCGATCTCAGCCATTTTTCAGGTGCCGACTTTGCATTTAGACCTCCGCACAGTCGTTCGGAGCTGTTCACAGTCATCCTATCCATCTATCATCACTCTCAGCAGTAGGGGCTCCCCACAGACTGTCGCGGCCGATCGCCGATCGGTTCGGTACACTTCACATGGTCGGCACATTCGGTCGGCTTTGGTGTCCCGAATCGGAGGCGGCCGAACACTTTGTTGACTCAGAACGGATCTGTCTTTCTATCTCTTATCGTCCTTATGCCTTCTGTTGACCTATCCTTTGTTATCTTCAGAGCTCCCAAGTTTCTAAATGGTTTACCCATGTGGCATGTGGTTCTTATCTCCAGGTCCATGTGGACTCACCTTGGCAATCTCTCCACTTATTTAGACTTTAGAGTTATTGCTTCTTATCTTATAGTGTTTGCAACATCACTCCCTTATCTTCTTTACCTTTGATCACTCTTGGCACGCATTTCCGATTGCTCTATGCCTCTGCCGATCTCCTTATCTTGTACCTGTTCGGACTTACTATAAAAGGGCACCTATGGCTTTGCAATACATCAGCTTTGGCTCCCCCCTTGTTCCGATTCCATTTGTGCGCTTGTGTCCATGAGACTTTGAGCCATTGCCTTCCAATCCTTGTTTGCATTTTGCCCTGTTGTTTGTGTTGTTGCGTTCGATCACAGCCCTCCGCCAGAGCCCTCGTCGTCTTGCTCTCTCCCTCTCATCTAGTTTGTCATCCTCTGCCAGGGTCCAGTGTGGCCTTGCACCCATTCCCTTCCCTTTGCATCCCGATCAAATCCCGATCAAACATCGACCGACCGACCGACCGACCTACCGACTGACCGACCGACCGACCGACCTACCGACCGACCGACCTACCGACCGACCGACCAACCTACCGACCGACCGACCGACCTACCGACCGACCGACCGACCGACCGACTTACCGACCTACCGACTTACTGACCTACCGACCGACCTACCGACTGACCGACTGATTGACCGACCTACCGACTGACTGACCGACTGAATACTTCGATTTTGGAGTTGTTTGTTCACTACACTCCGAACACTTTTAGTACGCTCCCTTGTTGGTTGTTGCACAGCTTATAGCTCCTTGCACACTAGAACTAGCTCCTGCCTACCTGCGCTTGTAGGGGTGTTTCTTGGGTGTGTTTCGCACTCAGAGGCATCACTAGTGTATCAACGCAATCTTGCACCATTACTTGGCCACCCTGGTTGTATGATACCTCTTCTTTATTTTTATTGGTTCGCCAATGCCTGTTCCATTGACCTATGCTCGGGCAACAGATCCCGAACGTTCGGGATTCCACCATCGCTGATTAACTTTTACCTTGTCACCTTCAGAACCCATATGGACATCTCACCTACCTTCTTATCTTCTCTGATCGCTAAGGCTTAGCGCTCATTCGACATTTACTCTCATTTTCTTGTTTAATATTTTACTTAGGGGCTCTGTTTATTATAAAAACCCTACATACAACTCTGGAATAAACCAGCTTTCACACCCCATAGTTCAGAGCTCAGTTGCACTCGTCTCAACCATTGAAATTGTCTTCGTCAACTTCCGAAAACTTGTCATCCTCGTCGTTTGGCTTCATTCACGTTTGTACTTGTCTCTTTGCTCATACCCCTGTCCTCCCTCATATATTGTCAGAGTCCCGTGTGGCTCTTGAAGCACGTAGTTGTCAGTCGCGACACTACCTTCTTGTTACTGACCGCATCGCCGACACGACCAACCAAATATTCAGTTGGTGTTTGGCGCAGTCCCGAAACCATTCAGGCGCTATAATCTCACACTCCCCGATTGCTTCTCAGTATGCCTTTAATTTCTAAAGTCATCACTTACAATTCCTTGTGTATCAGATACTAGCTCCAGCACCCCTGCATTAGAGGTTGTTTTAGTGTTGTGCTCGGCACTTAGAGCTACTTCTAGCATATCACCGTGTTCCATGCCTCATTAATTACACCTTATCAAGAAATGGCTTCCCACGGTCCCAACTTCGCACAACCACCGCCTAACCTAATAGAAGGACAGGAAGAGTACGAAGTTGAGGAGATTCTTGACAAAAGGAAACGAGGATGTGGATACCAGTACCTAATATGCTGGAAAGGGTACCCGGACTCCACAAACAAATGGATCATGAGGGCAAACCTAGGGAATGCCAAAGAACTTTTGGAAGCGTATGACAGATGACACCACGACTTGCCACTATGAGCAGCCCTCACAAACACTGAACAAATAAAACCCAAGGTGCATAAAAGCTCAAACTCAATGCTCGTTATCCTACCATCACTTCAATCATTCTTCCCATTTTACAACAAACTCCCCCTCAAGAAACATGTCCTCCAACGAATCCCTCTACCTCTCTTCTGAAAACACACTCGTCGATCGATCTACGCAGGATTCCCCTTCCTCTGAGTCATCTCTCACCACTGTGGAAGCATACATATGGTCAAGATTTAGCATCAACCGACCCATGATGAGTATGAGAGAGCTAGCAGACAAGCAGGAAGAGATCGCTAAAAGGTATCAAGCCTGAGTCGACGCCAATGCGGTAGAAGAAGCGGCTGCTACACTCTTAACCCCCTCCTTCTCCAAGAAATAGACACAACAACCCTTCTTTCTTGCCCACCATCTCCCCCTTTGATCTCCGAGTCATCTGTAATGGAAGAACGATCCATACCATGGGATTCTGACGAAGAGCAGGCAGCACGAGAAGCAGACGAAGGATTCGACGCGTACCTCGAAAGGCTGGATGAGAGTGACCAGAGAAGAGAAGAAATGATTAGACGACTTACAGAGGACTTTGACAGAACATCACCCATACCCTCACCTTCTCACTCCCCTTCCCCACTGTCTCTGATTTGAGAAGAGAACAATGGGATCATCTTTCCCAACAGAGAGTCATACCTGACCGCCCCCATTGCATATCTCATAGGGCTCATTGAGGGTTCGCCAAGCATGGAGTTTGTATCAGCGTCTATGCGACCGGACATACAAAGAGGACTAGAAATCTTATAGGAAGAAAGGGCTTTCATACAGCGTGCACAAAGGGCTTTACAGATACAAGAAGGGACTCTCATCGCCCGCATCAATGCAGGTGAGAGATGACTTATCAGACTTGACCACGCCAGGCCTCTTCATGACACGTTTCACCCCGCCAATGACCCCACTCCTGCTAATGAGTACTACATGCCATCTATGGCTGTGGTATCTTGTGCCTCGTCTTTGGCTTCAAATGGAGGTCTGTTTCGCCTGATGCCAGGGACTTATCCCACAGGCCCCAATTGAGGAGTCTATAGATTCACACGTCCTTCTCCTTGTTTTCAGGCCATGCCCCTAACTTTCGGACTTCACCACCCGACCTCTCGCACCCAACCTCCTCTCATTGAATACAACTCTAGCGACTCCAATGATACGCTAGTAATGCCTCTGAGTGCGAAACACACCCAAGAAACACCCCTACAAGCGCAGGTAGGCAGGAGCTGGTTCTAGTGTGCAAGGAACTATAAGCTGTGCAACAACCAACAAGGGAGCGTACTAAAAGTGTTCGGAGTGTAGTAAACAAACAACTCCAAAATCAAAATATTCAGTCGGTCAGTCGGTCGGTCGGTAGGTCGGTCGGTTGGTAAGTTGGTAGGTCGGTTGGTTGGTTGGTTGGTTGGTTGGTTGGTCGGTAAGTTGGTAGGTTGGTCGGTTGGTCGGTTGGTCGGTCAGTCGGTCGGTAAGTTGGTAGGTCGGTTGGTCGGTTGGTCGGTTGGCCGGTTGGTCGGTCAGTTGGTCGGTCGATGTTTGATCGGGATTTGATCGGGACGCAAAGGGAAGGGAATGGGTGCAAGGCCACACTGGACACTGGCAGAGGATGACAAACTAGATGAGAGGGAGAGAGCAAGACGACGAGGGCTCTGACGGAGGGCTGTAATCAAACGCAACAACACAAACAAAAGGGCAAAATGCTAACAAGGATCGGAAGGCAATGGCTCAAAGTCTCATAGACACAAGCACACAAATGGAATCGGAACAAAGGGGGAGCCAAAGCTGATGTATTGCAAGGCCATAGGTGCCCTTTTATAGTAAGTCCGAACAGGTACAAGATAAGGAGATTGGCAGAGGCATAGAGCAATCGGAAATGCATGCCAAGAGTAATTAAAGGTAAAGAAGATAAGGGAGTGATGTTGCGAACACTATAAGATAAGAAGCAATAACTCTAAAGTCTAAATAAGCGAAGAGATTGCCAAGGTGAGTCCACATGGACCTGGAGATAAGAACCACATGCCACATGGGTAAACCATTTAGAAACTTGGGAGCTCTGAAGATAACAAAGGATAGGTCAACAGAAGGCATAAGGACGATAAGAAATAGAAAGACAGATCCGTTCTGAGTCAACAAAGTGTTTGGCCGCCTCCGATTCGGGACACCAAAGCCGACCAAATGTGCCGACTATGTGAAGTGTACCGAACCGATCTGCGATCAGCCACGACAGTCTGTGGAGAGCCCCTACTGCTGAGAGTGATGATAGATGGATAGGCTGACTGTGAACAGCTCCGAACGACTGTGCGGAGGTCTAAATGGAAAGTCGGCACCTGACAAATGGCTGAGATCGCCGAACGGATTGGGATCGGTCGGTCCTAAGTGTGCCAAACGGTCAAAGAATACTGAAAAGCTGCGAAAAGTGGGGTATTGGTGCCTAGAGCATACCCATGCTCATCACCAACACACTCCCTCTTGTCAACCACCGTCACACTCTCTGAAATTGTGCAGAAACATTGTCCAGTATGACATAAAACTGCCGGGGCAAACGACAGTTTAACTCTGTTGGGCCAGCAACCACTGCCACAATGAGACAAGGGACTCGGCTCTAGAACGTAGTCCCCACATGGTTTTAGAAAGGTGGTGTATCATGATGTCCTGTTAAGCCGGCTAGGCTTAGTTGCGTGCACGTGATGCACTGAGAGGGGTTCCCTGGGCTGAAGCTTATCAGTTCCACAGTCGACTCAAGACTTACTGAGTCCTTGACGGGTTAGAGGCAGTAGAGGGTGACGAGAGCAACGAGACGAATCTCTTGCTTCGTCAGACTTCGTATGGTTCTTTAGATCTGACAGAGATCGCGAAGCGTGAGCTGGGAAGGCAGCCAGACGCCAGGCGCAGTGCTGAGATCAAGATGTATACAAAGTGAACGAGCTGAGGCTTCTGAGAAGCTCAGCTCCCCTATATATAGTACAGGACTATTTAGGGCGGGACGGACATATGGTCCGTGCTTCGAAACACTAAGTACTATCAACGATCGACATCAGTAAGCCGCAGTCATCGTTCGTACTCCGCGGCTCGCGAATGTAGCCATGTATAGTAAGTAAATCAAATGTCTGTCCGCATCAATCAGAAGTAAGGAACCGATCGTGATCTAATCAGTAAGCACAATAGAAGCGAAGCCGATCACGATCGACATCAGAAGGGGAATCATAGTATCGTAAGCGTTCATGCGTTAGCATGTGAATGATGATCAATCCGGAACCGAGACGAAAGCGTTCATGCGTAAGCATGTTAATGATAAACAGTCTGAGTCCGAGTCGAAAGCGTTCAAGCCGAAGCTTGTGAATGAGTCAAGAAGAGATGCCAATGAATCACGTGCTGAGCACGTGTTAGGACGCGGTCCTAACACTACCCCCCTTTTTACACAAGTCTTCGGCGTTTGGAGTGTGCACCGACTACTGGCGGCGGTTCGCGCGGGTGGTCGACGTCGTAAGTGGGGATGGAGCGAACAGGGTATCCGGTCCACATGGACGTGGTGATCATGTGTTCCAAAGCCTGTTTATGATAGCCGTACTCCTCAGCCACTTTGTCCATTTGCAGACGAAGTCGATTGGTGGCTCCGCGATGTGCGTCGTAATCGCGCAGAAATTGACGCGCGGTGACGTCCGTCCGCATCCGAATCCGTGTGATTGGGCAGGCTGCGAGGAAGTGTCCCTGACGTCCGCATTCCCAACAATAACGTTCTTCTGGCGCCGTAGGTGATCCAAGAGGCGAGGGGGTGAAAGCGGGAGTTGCAGGCCCGACACTTGCCGATGCACGAGCTCCCTCGTACCAATCTTCCGATGCGACTGGAACCGTCCCAGGTTGAGAGGAGGACGTGTCGACAGGTTCAGCAGGGGCGAGACCTTCTCCGACAAGGGTCGTGGATGAGGATGCATCAAGGGGTGCTGCGGGCGGCGTCGGAAGTGGTCGACGAGCCTCGCGATTCCGGATGAGTCGGTCGGAGTCGTGAGGGGGGCTCGCCGGGAGCATGGGATCGTCTTCTTCCAGATTCGTACCGACCGTGGTTCTTTCGGCCGATATCGCGTGTCGAAAGGAGATCGGGCGGTCCAGCTGCAGGCCATGAGGGGGTGATGATGCATGGAGAATACTCGTCGTCAACGGCGACTCTTGAATTTTGGGAAGAGAGAGGATGAGGGGTGTGACAGGAGAGTGGGTCGCATTTCCTGAAGGTCCCGGCGTGTTTGACTTGCAGAGAAGCTCCTCGGGTCAGGGTAAGTGACTCCCATCCTCGACCGTAACGTCTGACCTTGCCATGTACCAGGGTCTTTCGTTGTCCGCCGGGTTAGACCCTTCGGACCAGTACGCGGCGACGTGTTGTTCCCCTCGACTATTGATGGGGAATAGTCGTTCTGGCAACGTTCCTCTCGGCATGTATTCTTCGATGACCAGCCGTTCTCTTCCCAATCCCGTAATGCGGAACCAACGTATGGTGTTCCGTCGGTAGGGAATTCGTGCCAGAGTGTCGAGCCATTCGGCGGGGGAATGTCGGAGTAGGAGGTTCATTGCAAGGGAGGTGTATCCAGTGGGGCGGTAGCTGATCATGTCACTGCGAAGGGCTGGGAGGTTAAAAAGTCCTTTGTTCCGGTAGCTGGTGAGGGTGAGATTCGAGAGAAGAGTCATCTGATGTCGGCTCAGTGGTCCCTGGTGCACCTGATACGCTCGCGTCATCACAATCTGCTGCAAATAGAAGAAGAAGTTTGCAGGATCGTCCAACCCAGATTGGTCCAGCATGATCGGAGCTTCGTCGTCAGTGAAAGTGATGTGATAGAGTGCACCGACGAGATTAGGGTTCAAGTAGTGAGTCAAGTCATAGATGGGGGAAGGGTAGACGGAGATGATGACGCGAGGAGTGGTGTTGAACTGAGCAAATATTTGCCCAGCGTTAGGCATGTGGGGATCCTCGAGACGACTAGGAAGTTTGGCGACGCCGACTTCGAAGTGTGGGTCGTCTACGTTGATGCCGTCGATGTGATTGACGGAGGCGAGTGAGTCGTCAGAGTTATCGGAGTCGTCGGAGACGGCTGAGACAGGACGTAGCAGGAAAGGGGGTGACTGGGAGTGTGAACGATCGCGGGGGTAGGTTGCGTGACGAAAGTCCGCCATGATGTAGCGGGGAGATTCGAGGAAGTGGAACTTGCGGATGGTCAAGGACATGTAGCTGGGGGATGGTTTTTTGTCGATGATGATCTCGCTTTTATACGAGATCACTGGCGATGAGACAAGAGCCCTGGCAGATGGCTCCAACGAGAAAAGCAGCGAGAGAGATAGCGAGAAAAGTGGCGGTCGCGACGGCGGTGTAAACGGCGACTTCTGCTAGAGTGGGGTTCAAGGGGTTCATAGTCGTTTACCTGTCCAGGCTAAACCACGACTCGTCTGCTTTTGTAGTTCTTGGTAGGCTCGTACTCGCCAATTAGGGCTGTCCGATCGTTTGTGCTGTGTTCTTGATCGAGACGAGTCTAATCTGGGCTTCTGTGATCGTGTTTCTTGATCGTCGATCTTCGATTCCGTCCTTCTTGATTTCGGAAGTGCTGATGGCTTCTTGAACTGCGCCATCCGTGCTTCGAGTAGTTTCTTGATCTGGGGAACCGTTGCTCCGGTAGCTAGAAGCTTCTTCCAGATGGGATTTTTTCGGAGTTCTTCTTTGAGCTTGGCATCCTTCTTGTCGTTTTCTGCCGCTATCTCCAGAATTCCCACTGTCTTGAACTTTGCCGAATAGAGCGTCTCCGGGATTGGGAGGCCTTGGACTCTCCTCCTATTGCGGGCATCGATTACGTCCTTTAGCTGGGCGGTTGCGTTTTCTTTGAGCTTGGCTAGAGTGGTTCCCTTGTCGAGGTATGTTTGTCCGATACGTCGACCTTCGAGTTTGTACTCGTCGTCCTTGAACTGTCGATTTAGCGCTCGTGCTTCTTGCTGGAATTGTCGGATGCTGTATCCTTCTTCCAGAAATCTTCTCCCTGATGAAGAGTTTAATAATCCTATCGTGATTCGAGCTTCTTCTTTTTGGTCTTCTCGATCTTGTAGAATTTGGCGCACGTCCTTTCCTGTGGCGAGCAGCCTCCTTCCGTCAGGACTTTTCTCGAGTTGTTTCCTGACCTGATCTTCCTCGGCTTCTCGATTGTCTTCCAGGTCGGCCGTCAATACTCGGATCGATGCTTCCCTTCCTTTGGGCGCGGAAGGGTGTCGTTTGTAGAACTCCGCGACGGCTTCCTTGGCATTGGTGACGTTATCCGCTGATTCCCAAGAGTTATCCGATTCCGGATAGCCCTTCCATTTGATCAGGTACTGGAGGGTCTTCCATCTTCCGAAGCGTCGAGCTCCGACGACCTTCTCGACTTCGAATTCTTCTTGCCCCGCTATTAGGTCTGGTGCCGGTTTGGGGTAGTTGGGTCCATATGTCGTGTTCTCCTTGTAGGGCGTAAGTCGACTAGCATGGAAGACGTCGTGAATGCGCTGCCAGCTGTTCGGCAGCTTCAGCTTGAAATTGACTGTGCCGATGGTGTTGATAATCTCGAAAGGCCCAAATCGTTTGGGTCTTAGTTTCTCCGATGGGTGGTCTGTGTGGATGTTCTTCCCATCTAACCATACTTGGTCTCCTTTCTTGAAAGGCGGTAACTCCGTTCCAAAACGGTCGTGCTGTATCCTCATGGCTTCGGCTGCAATTTCGAGGCTGGCTTGTGCTTCCTTCCTAACACGTTGCAGAGCTTCGAGTCGCGCGTCGGCGGTGGGGACATTCGCGTTTCCTATAATCGCCGGATACGCCCTTGGTTGGTATCCGTGTAGAAGTTCGAATGGTGACTTCTTCGTGGCTGAGTGCTGGTGTACGTTGTGGGCGTATTCCGCGTAGGGAATGAGGTCGGCCCAGTCGTCCTGTGACGAGTTGCAAAATGCCCTAAGATATTGCTCCAGTTCTTGGTTCATCCTTTCCGTGGCGCCATCAGTTTGTGGGTGATATGCTGTGCTGAGCGCCGATTTAATCCCTAGTTCCTTGAGTAGTGCTTGTGCCACTTTCGATGCGAATTGTGTTCCTCTATCCGATATGATCTTGTCGGGTAGTCCGTATCTTCTCCACGTGTGCTCCAATAATAGTTGGGCCGTCCCGTCTGAGTCGATGTTCTTTAGACATGGTGTGATGACGGCCGTCTTCGTGAATCTGTCTGTTACCACATGAAGTGAGTCGAATCCGTTTGACTGGGGAAGGTCCGTGATGAAATCCATGGTGATCGTTCCAAACGGTCGGTCTGGAATCTCCGTTGGCTGAAGAGGAACCATCGTCGGATGCGTGTCGTTCTTGGTAGATTGGCAGGTTGCACATCCTTCCACGTATTGGTGGATCGTGTTCGATATTCCGGGCCAGGTGAATTCTTGCCCTACTGCTGCTAGTGTTCCTCTTTGTCCTGGGTGTCCTGTGGCTAGATTATCGTGGTTCAACTTGATGATGTCTCTGCGTAGTTGTTCGTCCTGAGGAATGTAGATTTTTCCTCTGTGTAGGACGAGTCCGTCTTCTTCGTTCCATTCCTGTAGGCCTTTCTTCATGCTTCTTGGGCCTAGCTCCTGGATCTTGGCTAAGGTTTCGAGTAGCCACTTGTCCTTCTGGTTTGCTGCTATGATTCGATTCTTGAGGTCTTCGTCAATGATTGTGACGCCTCCTTGTCCTGTGGCTCTGATGTGCCATATCTTGTGGGGGTCCAGTCCGTCCTCTGTGGTGATTGCGTTGACGTCTGCGAAAGGTCTTCGGCTCTTTTCCGGTGTTTGATCGAAAAGCTTGGGTTCCAAGAGCGTTTCGCCTGAATTGTCAAATTCCACCCCCTCTTTATGGTCTGGACGCCGTGACAGACCGTCGGATTTATTGGTCGTCCCCGCCTTGTGCGTTAACTTGTAATCGAAACGCGAGAGGAATAGTGACCATCGTGCTTGCCGACGGTTCAACTTTTGACTTGATCGGAACCATTCGAGGTTCTTGTGGTCCGTCCAGACGTCTACCGGGGTCTCGGCGCCCTCCAAGTAATGTCGCCAAGCTTCGAAAGCTCGAACGACCGCTAGCAACTCTTTGTTGTAGATCGGATAGTTGCGTTCGGTGGGTGAGAGCGACTTGGAAATGTATGCGCACGGGTGCCATTTCCCATCTGGGGCGACTTGGGATAACACTGCTCCGGTAGCGAAATCGGATGCATCGCATTCGATGCGGAAGGGGTTCCTGGTTTCCGGCATGACGAGTACTGGAGACGAGATGAATATCTTCTTGAGTGCTTGGAATGCCTCCTCGCATGCTGTTGTCCAGTCCCAACTGCGCTCCTTCTGTGTCAACTCGAATAGCGGCCTAGCTATTTTTGAGTAATCCTTGATGAATCTGCGATAGAAGTTGCAGAATCCCAAAAACGATTGGACCTCCTTGACTTTGGTCGGTGTGGGCCAGTCCATGATACCGGCCACCTTGATTGGGTCCATTTCCAGATGTCCATGAGAGATGACGTACCCGAGATAGTCAATTTTCGTTTTGTGAAAATGACATTTCGAGGGTTGCAGGTACAAGTTGTTATCCTGCAATATCTGTAAAACCTGTTTCATCGTCTTGATGTGTTCATCCATAGTCTTTGAGAACACCAAGATGTCGTCCATGTAGATGGCCACTCGTCCTGCATAGATGAGGTCCTTGAAAAGCGAGTTCATCATAGTTTGGAACGTCGCCGGCGAGTTGGTGAGGCCAAAGTACATGACCAGAGGTTCGTACATTCCTAGATTCGTTACGAACGCTGCCTTGTGGACATCCTTTTCGTCGATGAGGATGTTGTTGTACCCGGTGTCGATGTCCACCAGCGAGAAGTACTCCGCCTCCGTTAAGAGGTCCAATAACTCTTGAATGATCGGGAGAGGGTACTTGTTCTTGATCGTTATTTCGTTAAGCTTCCGGTAGTCCATTACCGGCCGTAGCTTTCCATTTTTCTTCTTGATAAAGAAGAACGGTGATGCCATGTGCGACTTGGATTCCCTGATGAATCCCTTCTTGAGACTTTCGTCGATGAATTTCTTGAGTTCCTCTTGCTCCATGGGACTGAGGCTGTAAAGTTTCGGCCTGAGCGAGTGTTCCATGTCGTCCTTGAGTTCGATCTTGTGGTCCCATGGTCGTTTGGGAGGTAGTTTCCCAGGTTTTCGGCCTTCGAAAACCTTCCTATAACTCCAGTATACTTTGGGTACGATTTCCTCGAAGGATAATTCGGGTTTTCCTTTCGAGGCCTCTTCTGCCAATTTCTGTGAATTGGTGTGCTTCGTTTGCTTGCCTATCGCTGCCTTGGCAGGCTCCGCCTTGCGTGCCGGTGTATTGGCGACGGAGGTTTCCACGCGATGGATGTCGTATCCTTCCTCGCGGTCGTTGTATAACTCCAGGGCTTCTAGTTGCCCTATCTCCAGATACCTGACGAGGTATACTCCATCTTCGTCTAGGTCCGTGGAAGGTAGAGCCGATAGCGGTCCACCACCTTCCTGGGGCTCCTCTTCTGCCCATGTCGGTGCCGTGTAATTTCTGGCTTGGGTCCTGAGCGAGTACTCCCTGTTCGTGCCTTTGGGTTGCGACCCCCGGATTTTAGGCATTATCCGCGGATGTGGTACTGTAGTGTTTCCCACTTTCCGACCTAGCTGTCCTTTTCCTGGCTTCTGCAATGGGATTGAGTAGTCGCGCTCTCGCGGTACTGTCACCATGCGCCGTACTCCTGGTTCTTGACGTCCTGGTTTCCTAAAGGCCCGTTTTGCCTTGACTGGTCCTCCTATGATGTCGCATGTCGGTGGGCACCTGGTGAAGTGTAGTCCATACGCGTGCCAGTCGACCTCTGGGTTGTGTTCCAATAACCAGTCGGTTCCTAGAATGACGTCCTCTTTTCCAATTTCGGCGATGTAGAATTTTGCCGACTCGATGTGCGCTCCTCCTTGTTCACCTAGAACTCGTAGTTTGAGTTCTGCGAACCTCGTGATCGGTCCTCCTTTGAATTCCGTGTTTTGGACCGTATTGACTGGGATGGGATGGGGAGTCCTCTTCGTCCTGATTCCATGCTTTTCCACAAAGTTGGGATGCATGAATATGCCTGTTGCTCCGCTGTCGACTAGAGCCTGTGTAGCAGCCTTTCGATTCTTGCCTATGAGTTCCGTCTCGATCCGAAGTGATGGTGCACCACGAGTTTTCATTTCGGAGAGATATAGTGTGTCTGGATGTCCATGCTCTTGGTCAGCATTGTTACTGGCCAGGGGAGCATACCGATTCCCTGCAAGAATCCTACTCTTCACACCCGCTGCCGGTGGAAGAGACTTTAAAAATCCTTTGATTCGCCGTAAGCGTGTGCTTTGGCGATTTTGTCTGGGTGATGTCCCATCCTTGTGTCGTTGTTTCCTCCTGGTTTGTCTTCTTCCGCTCGATATTCTTCAGGCTCCTTGTCTTCCACTTCCAAGGCCCTCGTAGTGCGGGGCCGTGGGATGAATCTTCCCCGGGAAGGGGGAGGGAATCTTCTTCTGGGTCGGGAGGGGCATTCGCGCGCCATGTGCCCGGTCCTCTTGCAATAGAAGCACTTTCCTTCTCTGTAAAGCCGGTTCCTTTCTTCCGGCGTGAGCTTCTTGAAGCGGATGGCGTCGACCTCCAATTCGGCTGCGTCTACGTCCATAGGGGCGTATTGGGATTCCCTTTCGTGACGTGGGGTCGGGGCGAAGTTCGAATAGTAGTTGGTCGGGGTGAAAACTTGGTACTTCCCCTGCCGAAGGTCTCGTGCTCGCATTTCTTCTATGCGCATTGTCTCGTGTCATTTGGCCTTGGCTACTAGTTCGTCCCATGTCGTCTGTGCTGCTGGGTCTTGATAAATCCCTCGGGCCAACTCCCATTTGAGGCCCCGTAGGAAGTGCGTCTTCTTGGTCTCAAGATCAACTCCTGCTAGTTCGGCGATTTGCTCGAACAATTGGAGGTACGTGTTAAAGGACTCCTTTCCTTGGTTGATCCTAGCCAGCTTGTCTCTGGCATCTGCTGTCTTGTCGAATTCCTCGAAGTCCGTCGAAATCTTTTGACGGACTGAGGTCATGTCGGTAGCGGATTTCCACGTGTAGTGGTTCCAATCGTTGTTTGTGTTCCTGGCCTTGGTGAAGTTCCTCGCCCATATCCCTGCTGATCCTCCTTTCATGTAGGACAAGGCGTACGCGATCTTTGTAAACTCGTCCGGGAAGTCGTGTTTCCTGGCGAGGATCATCAGGTCAATTTCGTGGAGGAACTGCTCCGTTCGTTTTCGGTTTCCATCGAAGGGAGTGGGTTTGGCCATAGCCGGTCCTTTGGACTCAGAATCTCTGGGGTTTGTCGATATTTCGCTGGACGGGGGTTGGGGATCGTTGGGAGGCTCTCCACCTGTTGCTGGTTCTTGGGTATGCTCTTCTTGGATGCTTTCGTCTGGTGAAAGAGTTCGAAAGCTCGTCTGGGGAGAGGTTTCTTGTGTCGGGGATGTAGTGGGCGTGTTTCTTCGAGAGAGTCGACTTCCACTGGCTGTTTCTCTGGGTAGATTGTAAGGGTGGTGTCTCGGTGAAGTACGATGTCGATGTGTCGGTGATTTAGGCTTGATTCTTCTGAGCTCGTCTGCGACGACTGCGAGCTTAGTGGTCTGTAGTTCGGGTGCGGCGTGGATTTCCTTCTCGAAGAAGGGTCTCTTGTAGAATTCTTCTTTTCCAACTCCTGTGTAGAATCCGGTGAGGATTCCTCCGATGTAGAAGTGTCGGTTCTCTTCGTCACAATAGACGGTGTCTGGGTCGACGTCCTCGGGTAGATGGCCGAAGACGTAGATCGGGTTATTGTGGTACGGGGGTGGGTATCCTTTCGGTACGGTTGGATCAATCTTGGATTCGTTGTAGCCGCGATGAGGCTACTCCTGCGTATACTCGTCTGACTGCCGAGTATCTGATGTCGGTGCTGGTTTCTGTTAACCTATACGTTCCTCCGTGGGTGCTTGGTTATTCCTGATGGCTAAGATGTTGTTGCGGTTTCTCCAGGGCAGGGAAGAGAGAGCTCGTTCAAGTGTTAAGCCGGCTAGGCTTAGTTGCGTGCACGTGATGCACTGAGAGGGGTTCCCTGGGCTGAAGCTTATCAGTTCCACAGTCGACTCAAGACTTACTGAGTCCTTGACGGGTTAGAGGCAGTAGAGGGTGACGAGAGCAACGAGACGAATCTCTTGCTTCGTCAGACTTCGTATGGTTCTTTAGATCTGACAGAGATCGCGAAGCGTGAGCTGGGAAGGCAGCCAGACGCCGGGCGCAGTGCTGAGATCAAGATGTATACAAAGTGAACGAGCTGAGGCTTCTGAGAAGCTCAGCTCCCCTATATATAGTACAGGACTATTTAGGGCGGGACGGACATATGGTCCGTGCTTCGAAACACTAAGTACTATCAACGATCGACATCAGTAAGCCGCAGTCATCGTTCGTACTCCGCGGCTCGCGAATGTAGCCATGTATAGTAAGTAAATCAAATGTCTGTCCGCATCAATCAGAAGTAAGGAACCGATCGTGATCTAATCAGTAAGCACAATAGAAGCGAAGCCGATCACGATCGACATCAGAAGGGGAATCATAGTATCGTAAGCGTTCATGCGTTAGCATGTGAATGATGATCAATCCGGAACCGAGACGAAAGCGTTCATGCGTAAGCATGTTAATGATAAACAGTCTGAGTCCGAGTCGAAAGCGTTCAAGCCGAAGCTTGTGAATGAGTCAAGAAGAGATGCCAATGAATCACGTGCTGAGCACGTGTTAGGACGCGGTCCTAACATGTCCATACTCAAGGGCTATCGTGTCATGACTTGACAGTGGGCAGCGAGAATTTGTGCCCTAAAGTATTATTTTCCCATGCGCTCTATGATCCAAACTATACGCATTGCTTATGTTTTTCCTGGACTCTTACTTACCATCTCTGGCACTGATGGCCTAGAGGGGGGGGTAATGTTACGAAATGTCTTGCTTATGCCTACCTACTTTTCCCACCATCTTGATAAGGACACATAGGACCTTTCTCCTGACTCTACCTCGCATTCCTGCTCCACTGATACTTGGTTTGTGCTCTCGCTTGTATATATTTATAGATACTACGGCGCAGTGTGGAAGCCTTAGGCTATCCACTTCTGTCCAATCTAAGGACTGCTGTTCACACAGTCTCCTCTGATTCCAAGGCATTAGTCTGATCAGTCCCTCGATTCCTCCTAAACTCTTTGGTATTGTCTGTGGCCTAGGATCTCCTTGTCTCGAACAGCTGTTTGTGACAGATTCCAAGACACTAGTCTGATCAGTTCTTATCGCCCTCTCAAATCCTCTTGTATTATTTGTGGCTTAGGGTCTCCTTGTCTCGAACAGCCATTTGTGACATACTTCTTTTGTTCTCTGCAGTCTTCCTACTGCAGCCTTTGTCCAGTACTGTTTTCCTACAGTACTCACCACTGCCCCTTGTATCCTCAAATACAAGACATTGCAATACACCTCTAGCTCCTGTGCTACACGTACAGTTGTGACCATCGTTCCACCCTTCCTCTACGAGTGACCTAGGGAAGAACCTCCTACTCTTGGGGTTACCGAACAAGCAGTTTGTAACAAGCCCTATCACACCCTTAGTTTTGCTAGGGCTAATGCTCCTAGTATATTGTGTGCTTACCTCTTTGTAGTACTTCATCTTACCATAGCTCTACCTATCCCTCCCTTACCATCTCTAGGATGTTTGCTTAGATGGAGATTACAAACAATCAAATCTTAAAGATAGCAGTGGAGCATAATCACTAGGTAGGTTACATAGGGAGGTCTAGTGCTTTTCTCCCATATCAGGAGCAAAGCACTTAGGAACCTGTTTTTTTTCTGGCACAACACTCCAGAAAATTATGCAAGACCCTGTAGTGCATTGGGTCCAAGGTTATAAAGTATTCACAAAGCCTTTGCTTAGGTCTTGGAAAATGATTTGTATGTTTCAGATTTGTCACACATGCTGATCTGGGCTCAGAGAAGAGAAGTCAAGAGCTTCCATGATGTAGATGTCCAAAGAAGTGTAGGAATTAGAGACAAAAGGGATTCTTGAATATTCTATGACAAGTTGACCAAAATTTTCAAATCAGTAAATACCATAGAAATCCCAATGTTCCCCTAACCAGACCCAAACTGCCCTCAAAATGCTAACTACTGGGAAACATGGTGTGATTTTGACCTAGAAATATGCTAAATTCAGGGAAGGATTTAACCAAAATCAGCCCTCAAATATGCTAATTTTTGGGGAAACCTTCATGGGAGCTTCGGGGGGCCTGCTATCCACTAGCGCCGGTGCTTCGACAAAAAAGGCATTGTGATGCTCGACTCGCCTTTTGTCTGTGTACCAAACGACACTGAGTGCGACGAGCCTGAGAGAAATCAGTAGCCGGAAGCATTTTACAGACGCCGGCAAGGCTCGCGGAGAATGAAATGGACTTGGCCTCATGTCCTCGGCTACAGCCTGGCACAACTTCTTGCTGCAACGTGTTCGTCCTCGACCACTGACCAGCTCCTCGCCGCCAGCATTTTGCCATCCCCTCATCGATACGTCCGATATGGAAAGAGACAATACGCACTCCGCTCCTTTAAAAATCCCAGCATACCGCATGCGGATCTCTCCCTCGACTCACGTCTCCATCACTCTCACCTCCTTTACCCCGTTCTCTCCTGCGCCAGTCGACGACATTCTCCTCTCAAAAGCAGTCAACATGGCCAGTCTTGTCCGCACCAGCTCTCATGGGGCTCAAACTCCCAATATCGACGACCATCGCGCGTGTAAGTCTATCAGCCACGTGCATGTCCAGGCGCTCGCTCATCTACACCGCTTAGCGACGAACACATTTGGCTATGTAGAAGGCGAAAATGATGTTCAGCATGATAGACGTGTGGTTGACCAGCTTAGATTGGACATCTCGACGCTCCAAACCAATTCAGCTCGGGAGCTCCAGGCAGTCAAAACGGATATGGCCGTCAGGTTTGCTGAGGTCAACGGGACTTTGGTACAACATAGTAAAGACCTCTCCACCGTCAAGACGACAGTCGAGAGTCTTCAAACCTCGGTAGAAGGCTTGAAGAAGCAAGGTGACAAGCATGAGGCTTTGATACATTCGCTTCACACGATGATGGAGAGGCAGGAAGAGATGATGAAGAGGCAGCAGGAATCTTTGGACAGCCATAGTCGTATCCTCAAGCTTTTGGCTTCTCGTGCTGACGTAGATATTTTGGAGGACCTCCCGGCATTACAGGCTACTGGGAGCGCTGTTGCTCTTCCAGAGGTCGTCGTCACCCACACTCCCACTTCATCGGTGTCTAGCACGGAGCCGCAATTCCGTGCGAGTACCCCGCCTTCACCACCCAGTCGAGCTGGCCCCTCCACTCTCCCTGTCCCATTCTCCCAAACCGCCCCGTCTTATCGCCTCTCCGAGGAAAACGTGCTCTTGTCTCTCCCTAATGTCCTTCGCCTTCGGACACAATCAGAGCCCGACGTGCGCGAGGCCCTCGGAGCGCGCGAAGGACGTGAGACCTTCCGTCCCCTCGAGGCCGACCGTCGGCCAGAAGTGAAGAAGGGGTTCCGAGATGTGGCTAAACTTTTCAGGAAGACTTTTGTACGTCCACCTTCCCGCTCATCGCTTTGTCCTACGAGCTGACCAGAGTATGTCATGAAGTCTAACAAGTCAGGCTGATATTGAACGCTGAAAGTAACGCGGATTCTCATACACTCATTCCCTTTCCTCTGTTCCGAATACCCTACCCTGTGCCGTTTCCATCGTGCCTACGGTAGCTGGTAATGGCCAATCGCCATCTGTATAATGATGTTCTCAAATGTGGTCCTTCTGCAGTTCCTTTCGCATGCTTTCATTAATCTATTTCCTTCCCCTCGACTGCCATGCTCCGGGTCGTTTGCCTTGAGGATGCGGATGCAGTCTCACCAGACACGACTTTCGCGTTCGTTAAATGTCATAGTTGCTTTGATAGTCTACGACACCGTAAACATTGATATTCTACTGGCGCGCGTATATGACTGAGTTTGCAAGTACGGACAATGGTCATAGCAGAGAGGGTACGAAGTTGATAGTTACCTCGTATTCTTCACCTCAAATCATAGGGAAACCAGACGTCATAGAAAACGTCCGTTGTGTAGACACGCACATCGATAAAGAACAGTGCACAACCGCAGAGGGAATAGAAGAGGTGAATGCATCCATCTTGAAGCAAACGTGGGAGTTCAGAAAGTAGGCGAGTCTGAAGAACGGGGAATGATTCCGGCTGCTGAGGACATGATGTCCACCACTGGCAGTGAGGAACGGACAGTCAGTCCAGCTGAAGGCTGGAGAAGTTCAGCGCAACTCGCTGATTTCCTCTCGCCTTCTCCACACCAATACAAATTGACACGCTGACATCGCTCGGTGCGCCGCACGTTGAGCCGAGGTCGGCCGTGCTGCCAGTGTCGGTAGTTGGCCGCGCGGCGGAGGATTGCACAGCAAAGTACATCGAGCAATTTCTCGTCATTGTGTGTGGCGGTACCGTGGAGAGCATGGTCGTGGAGCGGTAGGCTATCCACAATCTCTTCACTGCGTGCCCACGAGCCGGCCCATATACTGGCGAAGACAACGGAAATGTTAGTATTGACCAGCACGATGTCACTCGTTACATCCTGATCTGATTCTCTATAGAGAGTGACGATCTCTATGAAAGAAGAAAAGGATGGGGACGACGAAGTTAGTTGTAGCAATGTAGAAGAGAACTTTTGAGGCGGTAGTCGAAGGATACTGATCGTTTTAGAGAATTAGTATGAGTTAGGTGGCGCAAGGAGGATAGACTGGCCTTTTCAATTACCTCCGTCACTGTCGAATTGCCCGCGGTCCTTCCCGTGCAGCCATAATTAGTGGAGGAACAGCAGCGACGCATAAGTCCATGCATCAAAAAAAGAAAATGTTTAGTGATCACTTACTCCGTTGTACGTCTAGAGTCATGCCTCACACTGTGCTCACCTCACGTCGATAAGCTGTCGGAACCACTCGAGCTTGGTATACGGAGCGTGAGCCCACTTTTGCAGGATGATGGCTCCTGCATTCGGGCCGGAGCCCAACGCAACGAGCGTCTTGCTCAGCAAAATAAGGTTAATTGCCCGGCCGACCTTGAGCATAACTGGGGGCGCAATTAGCAACGAAGCGCCGCGTGCCAATCCGGATGCGTGGGTAGACAGAGACGAGTCAGATTAGAAGGATCACATTGATGAGCAGTGATTGGATAATGCCCAGGATACTAATCGACAGATCGAACGGGTATCCGAAGTTTGACAAAGGGTCCAGGGTAAGCCGGACCTGTTGTTCCAAAAAACACGCGAAAGGGTCAATGCGAAGAATCGGTTTATGAATGTTGAACATACACCGCGATAGTCAAGCGTAATTCCGACCGCGACCGCCAAGCAAATATTGAAAACATTGAGGACAAACACGGGCTGGCGACGCGTCTTGGGAGTGGAGAAAAATAGGAGCCCATACACCAGCGGCAGAAGAACTAAAAAAGAGCGACCAAGGAGTACGCTACGCAGTACCGGCGATATCACAGCGATGTAATTGAGACCGGGAGGCGGAGGGGGAGGAGCTGCAGCCACGATTTTATGGTGCTGATGCTGGTGCTGGTACTGGGGTGGGTGCGAGGGGATGAGCTCGAACTGACCTCGCAAAGTCAATCAACTTAAAATCCACGCGGATAGTATTTCTAAGCCACTCTTGGTGCGTGTAGCGATACTCGAACAGGCTTGTCGAGAAGGCGCACAAGTGAACCCTTGATGGGACACATGGTGGGAAAGTTACACAATGTTGGATGATCAATCGACGTTCCAAAAACCGCGGAAATACACCGCAGAGGAAATAGAAAAAACACTGAGCTCTCTTAGAATCAAAGATGAACTCCACTGGTTCAAATGTTTCTCCTCATACTCAGCTGCTAGCTATTTCTGTCACTGTGCAACAATTCTCAGGGTTATCATCAATGATTTCTCGAAATCAAAGAACATGTGGATAGGAACTGATAGGGCGACAAGTATGTTGCAGAAGGTCACAATTCATGGGCATGTCCCTATGTGTCCGTTGAGTTTTGCACAGTGGCTGATGTATATCAGAGACGTTCCTGAACGGAGAGTCATTGCAGAACAGGATGTTGATATCAATCTTAGAAGTGGATGACGACTCGATCAGTATAGACACTGCCTCAGCAAGGTTAGAATTTGAGGGCCCATGATGGGAGAAACATATCCTGTGCAAGTTGTCCTTGAGTCAATACTAGCTAGTAAAGGGACTACGCCCCGAGTCGCGTTCGAGTCGCGTTTTTGTCCTGTTGGGTCGCTTTGTCGTTTCGGGATCAGGTACAGAAGCTGAACGAAAGCACGGCCGGAGACCTGAGTCTTCGGGGACAGCCGAGAGCGCACTTGACTTTTGTCCTCCTGCGCTCATGGATGAACCACTCACAAAACGCATCCTCATCTCTGGCCTAACTCCTGCAATAACTCAAGACGACCTCTCGCGCCGTCTGGAATCCTTCGGATCCGTCATAGCACTCGATGGCCTCGGTGTGCTTGATGCACTCGGTCAACCGCGAAAGTTTGCGTATGCGACCCTCGCCACGACCAAGGGCAAGCTTGCAAAATGTGCGCGATTGTTCTCTCAGTCTTATGCTACCTAACTCGGTCTTCTGTATTTAATTCTGTTTCCATTTTGCGCACTCTCTGCTCCATTGTCGTCTTGCCCCCCATTCCTGCATCTCCGATTGTAGGCATGAACGTGCTCAGTGGGTCGACCTGGAAGGGTGCCAAACTGCGCGTTGGCGAAGCTAAACCTGACTTTCGGGAGCGGTGCGTCCCGTTTTTTATATGGCATTTAACAATCTCTGATCAACTACACGAGCAGCATCGTCCTTGAGAACACACCCACCGACCCTCCTCCGCGAAAACGTATCCGCCTCGCGCGCGGTGTGCAAGGCACCCACTCAGCCGACATGTCCCTCGTCACTCCAGAAAATGTCCACCTTCGCCCTCAATGGCGCGTCACCGCGCTTGGCCGCCTCGTGCGCCCTGTCCGCATGCGTCCCATGCACCCGCTCGACCCACCCATCGACCTTTCGAAGAGCGCGGAAAAGAGGAAGATCAAGGGTCAGAAGGAGAAGGAAGTGGTGAAAGGAAAAGAGGAGAAGCCTACTAAAAAGAGAAAACGGGAACCGCCGGCGAGAGCGAGAAGGCGGACGATTGATCCGCTTCAGTGGGGGAGTCAGCATATCGTCGGGGTCTTTTTGGAGGGTGGGGGTGCAGCTCTAGGAGATACATCACGGACGGATGTTGGAAAGGAGACGGTGGACAACGGAGACGAGGATAGCTCTACGATGGGTAGCTCAGCGGAGGAGAGCAGTGGCGATGAGGGGAGGGAGGGAATGATCGAGGACGATCCAGCAATTCCCGAAGCTCACCATATAGCAATTCCCCCGCTCAATGCAACTTCGCTCCCCGTCGCGCGCACGGCGCTGCCACTTCCGACGGCACCTGTGGTAGTAGCAGCCGCCCCAATCATATCTGCAGAGTCAACCGGCCTCGCGGAAGAGGCTGAAAAAGCTCTCGACTTACTGCGATCCATGTTCGGCGATCCAGACCCCGACAGTGCAGACTGGGGCGGCGCCGAGAGTGTCGGTTCCGACGTCGACGTCGCAGAGCTTGTACAGGAATTGCAAAATGCAGAAACAGGGTCTGACGACCCCGAGGAAGCGGACGGCGAGACGAATGAGCCTCTCGATACTGCACCTATGTCTGCAGACCAAATTGAATCTACTGATCAGCCTACGAAATCCGGGACTCAGGTGAAAAAGTTGAAGGATTTATTCGCTCCGAGAGAAGAGGAGGGTAAGCTTGATCTATCTATACCTCCTCTGTTCTGTACATCAACGTCTGATCTTCACTTTCTTCAGCTAGCTTCTCTCTCCTGAATCATCTCGACCTTGATCTCGATCTCGATAACGACCTTGACTTGGAACTATCCGGCGGTGTTATTCCTCTCATCTCCGCCATCTTACCTTCTGCTCCCATACTTCCTTCCCCATCGCAGAATGCTTCATCCAGTCCTGCATCGCTGCTCGATCCTGCCCGGCCTCTATTCTTCCCACGGCGCGCAGCGCCCCTCGGGGCGTGGCGGACGCGCTTTGCCTTCCATCGGACAGACACTGACGAACAGATTCGCTCGAAATGGGAGACTGAGAGAGGAGAGCTTACACGAGAGTGGAAGCGACGGTACCGGGAGGCAGTGAAGAGTCGACGGAGAAGAGGTGGAGAAGATACTGCTGCTGGCGAAGCGGGCTAGATGTGCATCGTCATTTAATATATGTAGTCCTTGCGCTCATCGAATTTCCTCGTTTGATGCGATGACCTGCATATGAATTATAGAAGTTTCTACATGTGATGTGAAGTATTGAAAAAAAGAGTGTCTACTCAAAAAAGATAATGATTCGACCCAGGCTCGAACTGAGGACCTTCTGTGTGTTAGACAGATGCGATAACCAACTACGCCATCGAACCATATCATTAGTCACAGATTTGCCACTTCGATCTGATTTCCATTGGTTTACATCCTTGCACCTAGCACCCTGTCGAAATCTCTACATCCCTCCACACCCACACCTTTCGGCGGAGCATCCATGAACCCAGAGTCACAAAACTCACCAGACACCTTTCCTGCTCCATCCTCTGCCTCGCCGCCACCTGGAATTCCTCCGACTGCTCTCGCATGGGGTACTGTTCGTAAAGCTACCTCTGATGACCTCCCGGACGCCTACGACCGTCGGGTGCACCTCGAAGCAATCTATGTTCTTACCTCGGAGAATTCAGATCCCCGGCTTGTCACTCATCCTCCGTGCCACCATTGTCGAAAAGGACGCAAATTTTGTGACCGAGGTTATCCTACCTGCAGTCTTTGTGCTAGAAACGGCTTGAAATGTGCGCGTCAGAACTCACAATGGACAGATCTTCCGCTATACAAGTGAGAATTTACTCGGGGGAATCATTTTCGTGCCAGTTGACGCTTTGTGTATGAGCAGAATCAAGAAAAATGCAGACAAAAATGACAGCGGCGTGAAGAGAAAAAGGCTCGCGGCTGACGAAGCTGAGCCATCTGATATGAAGATCAATCCGCGACAAAAGCAGGCAAAAACTGACGCACTCAGTAGCGAGGTACTCTCAGATAATGAAACAGAACGACCCTTTACGCGCTCTCATACGACATTGACCAAGGAAAGTCGAATAGAAACCACGCAGGCTGTGTTGAAACCAGACAGAAGGGCTCCTGTTGAGAAAAAAGCCAAATCGAAATCTTCAAAAGGAGACTCAAAGAAAAACACTGCTAGGCTTCTCTCATCTTCCAAAGTCGCCTTACAGAATCAAAAGAAGTCAAAGAAACCACGGGAAACAGGCTCAATCCTCGAGCAACCTCCACATATGGCATCGACAGTGGGTTCGTAGTCACTCCATCCTCATCCAACATCCCAAATTTTCCCATTGACGTTGCTGCCAGCAAATGAACGGGTCAAGTCGCACTCGAAACCGAATTTCACTTGGCGCACCGCGAAGCCTACACCTATCATATCTGCCCCACTACGCTCCCTCCCTAACGGTAGACCCCGCATATGGACCGGGGTCAGTTCCCTCGCTTCTCCTTTTTCTTGCTTGTTCTCACCTTTTCATATTTCAGACTTATCGTGAACTATCGGTCGCGATTCCAGCTCTGGAGAAATCAACTGACGGAATAGTCAGTGAGGGGTATGATACACCTATCCTGATTTTCAAAAGTAATCGCGACAAGGTTCCAGAACTTGGCGCATGGGAGGGTGATACATGGGAAGGACGCAAAATAACTTTTTCTATGTGAGCACATCTCTGTACTCGCTCGCGTTCTTTATCTTGTCAAATCTTCCGGTCCTTGAGATGATACAATATTTCTTGTCATTTGACCCTATTCGCATTTTCACTACCGCTACCTTGAGATGTCTCAGATCGATCGACCATGAAGACCTGTAACAATCTGCTGTATTCTGTCTTGCTCGCTGTTGCCTTGATTGACTCTCCAACGCTCACATTCTCTATCAACAGAGCTAGAGATATCTCAGTCCCTCCGACGCTCGGCATGTCTGGCCTCATCTCCAATGATCTAGATGCTGCGCATCCCTGTCCATCAGGGGCCGGGTCGTCCATAGACTTGCCGCTGATTCCATCGTCTTCGGCATCACTCAACGCTGAGGGCGCACATATCATATCTCGCAAGCCTGTTTCTGGGAATGTGGCTAGCGAAGCTTCCCATCCTCCGTCTTGCGACCTCAAAGTTTCCCAAGACGTCGATCAACTTGGACGAGTATCTTCAGATCCTCAAGTCAATCTTGTCGTAGGAGCAGCATCTACTCCTGGTCCAGACTATGAAGACGTGTCGCTTCGTCCACAAACATACAGCCCGTGCAATTGCACACGCGTGAGCTTTGATCCAGATTGTCCGGACTGCAATGGCTTCGTTGCACCAACTTCCCTCTCCTACCCGGTAGCGGATCAAGACATCGAGATGAGCATCTATTCGGCGCGCAAAGATGATCCTCAAGATGGTCGCGATAGCGATCGGAATTCCATACATTCCAATATTGATGACAACGAGATGGCAAACTCGGTGGAAAATTCAGGAGCCCATATCAATGCTAGTCCGCAATCGACTGGTGCTGATGTTATACCACCATCTGTTCCATCGCAGTCGGGTATCTCATCTTCTGCGCCACTCACTATGCCCCTTCCCGCCTCCGCCACCTCGCAGCTGCATAATGCAACTTTGACTACTTCTTTCCCTGTAGAATCGATTCCCTCCCCTCCAGCTGACATTCAGGCCCTGCTTCATGCTCATGAAACAGGCCGACCTGTGTCTATGATTATTTCTCGCGATGCACCTCTCATGCCATGGATACTTCCTGACGAAGTTGGATATGTATGGGCGGGTCTGTTTGCAGTTGTTAGAATGAAGGTGATGATGACGCATTTCGCTTCGATACTATGGCCTTTTGACTCCAGACCATCCATGTAGGAAGATAAACTGTACGCACCCTCATTACGGGCTACTTCGACGACGACCCTCCGCGTGCTTTGGCGTTTCGAGCTTGAGTGGATCTGTGGTGGCGAAGAATCATTGAAGAGCGAGGCGCAAGACTCCAAAGAGTGGCAGAAGACCATACAGCGTCCTTGGTGGGAGTGCACAAGCTCTCCATCAGAGACGGCTTTATATTCACCGATGGCGACCGACGCCCCATTGACACAGAACACAGTCGCGACCGAGCAAGACTCCGATCTTATCAATCCTACAGCCCTTGATCATTCTTCGCCTCGGCAGCCTTTCGATGCGCCAATCGCTCATTCACTCATCCCGCTTCCTCTACTAGCCTCGTTCTCTGCCTCCTCCTCGGCAAATGACGCTTTCCCTTCCGGATATTTCTGTCACAACTGCGGACGCGTGAATGTCCAACGCTTCCTACGCCATCGTGCATGCGAGAGTGCGCATTGCTCTGTCTTGCGATCTCGTGCGACAATGGATCAATCAGTCGGTGGTGACAGTTTAGAAAGCGGGGTTAAAGAAATCAGGGACGACGGGCAAGGATGGATGATGGACGTCATGGCTGTGCGCAATCCCCGGTTGACGTATGTTTGCCTATTTCCCGATAACATGTGCCTCGAACCTGCCGTTTCACTACTGCGACAAGATTGGGGAGATGGCATGCGTGTTTTTTGGTATGGCCTTCCCAGCTTGTCGTCCTTGTCACAGCATATGTCTCTTGATGGTCAGGTTCCGCCTACACCTCCTATTCCAGTAACCCCTGTCTCGAATCTAGCTCCGGTGACGAGTGAACAGGTGCTACATTCTGACAAGCATCTTGTACGACATATTTTCACGGGCAACCTACCCAGGCTGCAATCGGAGCCCACTGAGCTTTTCGGTCGGCTTCAACGGGACATTCAGTTGGAACGCCGTTATGGAGAGACAGTCTTCACAAAGCGGTTTGATTCTTCTGCGATCATCGAAGGAGAGGGTGGGACAGTGGTGTCGAAGAGTATAACTAAATTACAGGAATTTATGGAGTATTTAGTAAGTACGTATGGAGAAGAGAAGGCGATCAAGATGCCGGCTATCGAAATTCTGTCGTGGGTCGGCGAAGGAAAGGTGACAAATTTACCTCTGACAGCGTTCGTTCTGAATACATATCTAGCGCAGGCGCGCGACGTCTTCCGTGCCAAGGAGAAATCCCTAGCTGTCCTTTGTTTAGGTGCCGATGTGGCGTTCACCTTTACATATTCGGATCACAATTCAAAGGGCACATCTGCGGTGCCAACCAAGGTTCCAGCGAAGGCTCCATCAGTGAACCTCCGGAACCATGATGCGACAAGCGACACACAAGACTTTGGCACGAAGAAAAAAGCGAAAAGTCCTGCGGTTTTGCGTATAACACTGCTACACGGAGACATGATGGTCCTGAGTGGCGGTGATTTCGAGGCGAGCGACTTTGTTAGTCGAAAAGTTGGACGTCTCTTATTTTTTTCACAAGCAGTATTTCATGGCTCGTACAGGAATGTGCATATGTACGCCTTCCCCAGTCGCGTTGCTGTCTCTATCAGCTAACCTCTAGCTCCCCTAGTGGCCATCAGTAGTTACGTACCAGGATCGCGGTTCATTTCATTACCTGCAAGGGTATAGCTACCCAAGAAGGCTTGCATGACTGGTTCTTTGCAAAGTATATCTTTGGTGTACGAGCACTGTATAGTTTAGGCTACGGATACCTCATCACGATGAAAAGTTTCTTTGGCAAAACTTTTAATTATCTCGTGGCCCTTGCTATCAGGAACAGGTGCTTGAGACACAACAGGTGCTCAAGACACAAAGAAGCGACGTTCATAGATGCGTTTATTCTACGATCGAGGAGAAAACCCGAGTGTTGAGATCCGCAGATAGGTTTCTCGATACCCCTCGATCTCGCTGCTATCAAAGAATGTGGATGTCTGACGAGTTCTAGTCATTCGAATGCTACCACTCGACGGAAATCTAAATTATCACAGGACACCTGTGATTGTTTCGCTCACGGGGGAACTCGTTCGGACAAACCAGCCTCATGTTGGAATGGAGCTGGACGGAAATTATCAGGACTATGCAGGGGGAAGAGCAGTATGACACACGATCCTACGTATTTCAACCCAGATTATAGTAAATAACGTCCAACAATTGATCTAATCCGTCAATCTCCTTCGTACGGCGCTCTCCAGGGAATATGGCTTGAAGTATATGTGCCCAGCCTGGAGTCAGGAAGTTGCGATCATGCATGCGGCAATACTCCCAGAACTCAGGATAGAACCCGCCCTCCGCCCAGTCTATCAACGCAGTGACTGTCGAGCCCTGGACCATGATGTTCTTGGGAAGCAGGTCTCCATGTGTGAAGTACATGGGACAATCACGCGGGAATGGACTAAGCAGAGTATCTACGTACGCGTGGCCAACGGAATCCATGTTTCCGCCAGCGATGAAAGTGAATAGGGAGCGATAATGATCAATGAATTCTTCAACGCTCGTGAATGAGCGTTCCGGGGAGACGTTTGGTGGAAAAAATGTGTTTCGATAAGGACCTCCGCTGATGAACCCAAGGGTCTTCGATTGAACGGTGTGCATGCGCAGCAAGAGAAGCTTCAGCTGCGCCGCCACATGGTCAAGTTCCTCCACCGTCATCGTATCAATGACTTTGTCGAGAGAAACACCCGGGACTTGCTCCATACAGATATACCAAACACTGTCAACTAAAGGTTGTTCGGCGATAAGATCTTGGACAGTAACCACGTAATGAGGGTCGCCAGGATAGTGAAGGATGCGTGGCACGGGAAGGGCAGCCTCGTTGAGAGCGAACTGTGCGCATATAACCTCCTCTGCAAGGTCGCGTGCATACTTGATTAGGACATTGGGTCCAGTTTTGACGACGGCTCTGAGACCTAGTGTCTGTCGAGATATGACGTCTGAGGCTGGTAATGCTTCCAAGTCTTCGAATGACTTCGGCAACCATAGCTCAGGCATGGGTGTACTCGTGGTTGGCTTTTGTTACTACAAAAGCGACGGCTGCTCCTCAGAATTCGGCATCTCTCATCGCAATCCAGATGATACGTACCAGTGCGAGTGAGATGAAAATTCAGGGCTTGAAGCTGCACGTTTGGGAGATAGAAGGAGAATGAAGTTGCAGCGCTGTGGCTGTAAATATTCAAAGTCAGATACGGCACGTACGCAGCCGACCAGTCCCGTCGTTCAACAGAAGATAATCGTTCTGTGGTAAGGCGCTCGACCTCCTTCTCCTAATACAGGACCCCTGTGTACTATTCTTGAGCGCTCGAGCATCAATCCTTTTACCGACGGAAATGACGCTAGACAGGAACCTCTCCGATATCCTGACAGATTAGACACATATCTGGGGAATATCTGAACTTCGGCGCGGACATGATGGGCTGGAACACCCTTATGTGGACGGATACGGAGAAGTAATTGACCGAAATTCCTTGGAGAGAAAGTCTGCCGCTGTCAAACGCCTTGTTCAATGACGTATCCTGGTATGTATCACTGGCAGCAGTGGTTAAATATACTTTGATTTTGTCCTCACAGTGTGGATACAGACGGTACAATATGAAGGCCAAGGAAAGACCACAAACTAGTCTTCTTGCCAGCCGTACACCGGAGCCCTCCGCTATGCACAGAGTGTGGGGTTTTCCATCATAGAGATCCTGTGAAAAGGATAAGCATATTCGTGCCAAGGCCATCATTTTGTTGCAATCATCTGAGAAACGTATGCTCGTTTAAAAGTCTTTGACTCTTTCTTATAGTTGCTACGTAACGTTTTACAGGAAATTACCAAGCGCTGCGCGTAGTGCTATACTTCGTCGAGCCGCTCGCTTGTATCATATGGACCCCGGGATAAGATCCAACTCATGTCAACGATGAAGGTCAGATAGAAGGTCGGTATTCAAGCGCTCATCGTTCGCATGTTATAAAGGCCAGTGGGAGTAGATGCCCAGTTCCCATATATTTCCACCATCTCCACTATCTAGTAAGTGTGTGGCGTCCTGTGACTTCGCTCGAAGGCATTGCTCATAGACTTGCTTCAGACCATGTCCCACTGGAGCGATCTCAATTACTATCCAGCCTTCCCGGATAACAATGCTTCAAAACCGATCTACTTTGAGACCCCTGGCTTGGAACCCGCGGCTGTCCTCGGCAGCCGGCACGTTCTCCTCATATGGGACAACGACCGGGGTGGCACGCTGGTTCATCAAGTCATGCAGCTCACGGGCATTCCAAGCCGTTATTTCTACGACACATCCCCCGTCGCGAAGCTTCGGAATCCAGCCACCCGTCCTCTCAATACCTATATCTCACTGGGCACTTTCACTCGTGCTCAACGAGACGCAATCCTTGAGCTGGCCAAGGCGGTGCCATACGACCCAGCCTCGTACATCAACGGATGCCAAGTTTGGACGAGGGATCTGCTCCAGGCGATGATAGCACACGGATACTTGGCGGAATCTACATTCCGCCAGATTGAGGCGGTCGTCCCGCTCATCCATCGCCGAGCTTGAATGTATCTCTGACATGTTTTTTTCCCTCCCTAACGATACTGTATACTGTCGCTAACTGGTAACACTCGCCGTCCAGATTGTGTATGCTGATTTCACCCGAATTGCAGTTGCAGGATAAGAGTGGGCCCTTTTTGTGGAACGGTAGATCAGATGTACGAGTGGTCTCCTGAGAATATGATTGCTTTCAAACTACATATGTCGCGCGTTTGTGTGCGATTGATTTCCTTCTGAGATATATGTCACCGATAAAGAACGTCAATCAAGCCGCAAGAAATTCCATTGCGGAAAATGGAATTTGGCAAGCAAAAGACCATCAGCTCTCCCTGCGCATATCGCTCTTCTCTCCCGCATCTGAAGGCTGTGTCTGTGACTTTCCACGTTATAAATGAGAAGTTGTCCACATCAAATTCTCGTGCGCTCGATCACCAAACGCCCTCGAGCACTCCTTATAGAATGTCTGTCGCCAATATTGCATGCCTCGGGTCGTGTGAGAGAACTGCACGATCGAGATTTTGACCTGCAGGGACTTCTCTTGCTCAAGGGGTGATGCGAGGCGAGGACCGACCCCGTTTTTCGTCCTTTGAACGTTGGGCACACACTGCGTCGAACCCTACGGACCAAGAAAGTCGATGCATAAACACTTGAAAGGCTCATCCCCAACGTGCTTCTCGTCCAGACCCTGCAGATGCGAGGGCACGGTCAAATCAAGCAGGGAGATTGTACGTGCAGAGTCCCCACGATTACCACCAGCCGCAGAGTTCGAAGCGCAATCTGAGAACCCCACACGGAACCTACACAGACCATCGCCGAACGCACACACACCTCCGACACGCGAACCGCGCGCCGAAGCTTTCAAGCACGCGCGTGTCTGCCGAGGGCACCGCGTGAGATTTGAAACCAGATTGTATAGGACATGTGACATCCGTCGAACGCCGCAGGACGCGATACGTTCAGACGTTCTAATACGGGGGACGGGGGCCCATGGTCCACGGCGCGCGTCGAGCACGAAACGGAGGCGATCGATGGGCACCGAGCGGCGCGATCGCGCACCGCGACGCCGGTGCACGTTTTGCGCCTGCGCACGCCGTCGGCGTCGTTTATTCCCAGCGCCCTACGAGCACCGCCCTACGAGCACCCCGCCCCCGCCCTACGAGCACCCCGCCCCCGCCGGGTATCGCCCACCCGAGGACGCCCCCGGGGGCTCACACCTCCCCGTGCCCGCCCGCGCGCAGAAACGCGGCGATGCGTGCGACGAGGGCGGCGAGGGCGGCGAGCCAGGGGTCCATGGCGCGCGCGAGGGCGGCGGGGTCCGCGCCCTGGGCGATGCGCGCGTAGAAGTCGGGTCTGCGGGGGACGGCGCGGATGGCGATCTGTGCGGCGGGGCGGCGGCGGTGGCGCGGCGAGGGTCAGTGGGGGAAGAGCGCGCGGGAGGGGCGGGGCGGGGCGGGGACGCACGGCGACGACGGAGCGGACGAGGAAGGTGTGGTGGTGGCGGAGGACGAGGTCGTATGCGCGGCGGAAGCACGTGTGGAGCTCTGCTGCGGGGTCTGCCTGCGCGTTCTGGAGCGCGTGGCAGGTGAAGGCGAGGCCGCTGCGTGGCGGTAGCGTTAGTGTTGGCGGTGTGCGGGGACGGCGGCGAGAGAGTCACCGGGTGAGGCGGACGAGGGAGGCGGTGGCGGTGCGGTCGCGGTCGCTGGCCTCTGCGGCGACGAGGGCCTCGAGGGTGTGGGCGTCTGCGGGGCGGGACGCGTGGCGGGTCCTGACGCCCTGCGACGGGGCGACGGGGCGACGGGCTACGTGAGCGCGGGAGGAGGAGCGGGGTGTGATGCTGGGGGGGCACGCACGGCGATGTTGTTCCTGAGGTCTGTCTGGACAAAGGCGAAGACGCCGCTGCCGAGGAGATCTGGGTCGGGCGGGGCGCGGAGGGGCGGGGGAGGATGGAGGATCAGCGGATCGCGACGGGTGACGGGATGGGAGCTGATGATTGACCGAAGATGTCGACGAGGCCATCCGCGGCTTCCAAAAAGGCGAGGGTGTCGACGCCATCGGCGTGCACGGGGACATCAGCGAAGGACTGATTCGGGGGTGGGACGATCAGATGGGGTGGGCGGGCGTGTGCTGATGGCGTACTTTGACTGTCTCGAAGACGGGCGGCATGGGGAGCGACGAGCGAGGCGGGTGGCGATGCGTCGGCGGGATCTAATCTGATCGCCGGGGCCAGCGAGCGTTCGCTGTGTGTCGCGGGTTGTGATGGAAGGTTGGGGGAATGGAAGGTGCTGTGGCCGGATACCACAGATGATCGGAGTTGCAACCGCTTCCTGCTCTCTGCCCGCACTCAAACCATTCCATCCCAGCCCAGCCCAGCCCAGCCCAGCATGGCCCCCAAGCCAGTCCCCGCGCCCTGTGCCCCCGCCGACGCGCCCGTGCCCGTCCCCGACGCCCAGCTGTACGCCCCGTCCCGCCTCCTCTCCCAGCCGTCTGCCCCCGCCCCTCTGACAGCCCCCCTCCCCCACGCAGCGTCCCCCAGAAGCGCAAGGCCGACACCGACGCCGACGACGCCGACGACCCCGCCGCGCCTGCCACGCCGTCGTCCGCGGACCTGTTCGACTCGGGGCGCGTGATCTGCGAGTCCTGCGGCCAGTCCGTCCTCTTCAGAGACGAGTCCGCCGCCTTCACCACCAAGCACTGGGACGCTCACAGGGCACAATGGTAGACGTCCCTCCCCCGCCTCTGCCTCTGCCTCCCGCCCTCTCACCCGCAGTCGTCCCCAGCGCCGCCGCCGCCGCCGCCGCCACCACCGCCACCGACCCCGCACCGCCCCCGACGACGTCCACCACCGCCCCCGACGCCCCCGCCGACCTACCCCAGCCCAGCAAGCGCCGCCGCGCCAAGCGCTCAGAGGAGGAGCGCATCGACTACCTCCGCTCAGACCCGTACGTCGCCCAGTTCGAGCCCTACCGCGTCCTCTGCGCCTCCTGCGACAAGTGGATCCGCCTCCGCCCCAACTCCACCTACTGCTCCATCCCCTGGGACGCACACCGCAAGAGCTGCCTCGCAAAGAAAGGGTGCGTGTCCGTCCGTGCCTGCGTCCGTGCCTGCGTGCGCTCAGCCCAAGCCCGGCCCTAGGACAAAGTCCGCCGCCGGCGACGACCGCAACGCCGCCCTCCTCGCAGACCCCGACGTAAAGAAGTTCGACCAGGAGCGCGTCCACTGCCGCCTCTGCAACAAATGGGTCTCCGTCGGCTCCGACGACCGCTCCCTCCAGTCCTGGTCCGCCCACCGCGCCGCGTGCCAGCAGTCCGCCGGCCCCGCGCCCCGCGCCTCTGCGCCTCCCAGGTGCGTCCCGTCCACTCTCTCCTCCTTCCGCGTTTCGCTTGCACGCTCACCCCGCCCCGCCCACGATCAAGCGTGCCCCCGCCGTCCTCGCACCAGCTCGCCCTCGCCTCCATGCCCGCCCTCGTCCGCCCCCCGCCCCCCGCCGCCGCCGCCGCCGCCACCGCCACCACCACCACCACCTCCCCCGCCGCGCACGCGCACACGCACACGCACACGCACACGCCCTCCCCGCCCGCCCCGTCCCACGAGTCCCGCCGCCGCAACGCCGCCCAGCGCGCCGCCCAGCTCCGCGCCGACCCGCTCCTCGCCGCCGTCGAGCCCGCCCGCGTCTTCTGCGCCCTCTGCCGCAAGTGGGTCCAGCTCCGCCAGGACAGCAGCTTCTGCGCGTACCCCTGGCACCAGCACCGCGCAAAGTGTCTCCTCAGGCAGTACGTCCCCGCGCTCCCGAGTGCCGAGTACGCGCGCTGACGCATGCTCACACCCCCCGCCCCGCCCCACGCGCAGCCAGCGCAAGGCCGCCGACGCGGCCGACGGCATGCCCCCCTCCGTCACCGCCACCGCCGTCCCCGACGGCAGCGGGGGCGGCAGCGGCAACAGCGGCGGCTCGCCCGACTCGGAGCCAGACGCGGACGACTCTGCATCGGAGGACGGCGCCGGGGCTAGCCTCGAAGACGCGGGCGGTGGCGCGGGCGGTGACGCGGGCGGTGGCGGTGCGCTGTCGCTTGCGGATCTGGATTCGCCCAGCGGACGGTACGTCGCGTGTTCGCCGGCGCGTCTGTCCCCACACTCATCCGCGCACAGCGTCCGCTTCGTCGCGCGCTCGCTGCGCCACCTCTTCGCGACGACGTACGAGCGCTCGGACGAGCTCACGCTCGCCGCGCTCGTCTCGTACCTCAACGCCGCGATGCCGCCCGACAAGCACGAGGACTTTGACACCGCCGAGGTCTCGCGCGCCGCCCTCGCCCTCCACGCCGCCGGCGCCGTCGCGCTCGCGGGCGACGTCCTCCGCCCCGCGCCGTAGCCGCCGTCGGCCCCACTCACTCGCTCACTCACTCGCTCACTCACTCACTCGCTCACTCATTCGTTCGTCGATTCGCCCATTCGTTGTGTCTTTCTTGCGCCCGCGCCTGTCCGTACCGTACTCGAACCTTCGTTCTATTCGCTCAATAGCTTACACCCACCTTGCCCTGCCCTGCCCTGCCGCGCCCCCCGTTACCGACGCTCCTTCCTCCCCCGTCTCTTCTTTTCTCTCTCGCCCGTCGCTTGTCGCTTATTTCTTGTCGTCGCCCTCCGGACTCTGTATATACCTATCTATGCTATGGACCGCGCCGCACCGAGCGCCCGCGCGAGACGACCCTAGACGTCTCGCGCCGCGCGCGACGCGGCGCCACGGACGCTGCTGGCTCTCACTTTTCGCATTGCTTTGGACGCTCGCTGGTTACCGGTTACTACCATTACGTGCCGCTCGTGCTGATTCTCGTCGTTTGATCGTCGCTGCTAGCCCACCGTCGCCGCCCCTTTCCGTTACCCCCCTTCCGTTGCCCCGTTTCCGTCACCTTGCGTCTTACGAGTACGGTATGTTGGGCCGCCGGGGGGGTTTTTTTTTTTTTTTATTCCTCACGTTATTGCACCGTGCTTGTCGGGCGTCGAGCTTTTGCGTGAGCGTGAGCGTGAGCATGAGCGTGCGTGCATGCGCGGCGCGGCGCCGCGCCGCACCATCGTCGTCGTCTAGGGCCTCGCCTCGCCGAACGAGCGAGTGAGCGAGCGCGATGCGACGGTGATAGGATTACGCTCGAAAGAACGGAGCAGCAGGTTACCGGGCAGGTAGGTAGGCAGGCAGGCAGGGCCAGAGAGCCGCCGCTGTATATTAAACAGAACGAACGGAACGAACAGACGAGGCGGTCCGGGGACGTAAGAGAAAGAAAGAGCCAAGGGTACACGCTACACATTATAAGACACGGATAGAGACACACAGACGGAGACACGCAGGGAGACGCAGAGCCGCAGAGGAGGAGAGAAAGGGAGAGACGGGGCCGCGGCAGGCGGCGCGCCTAGGCGTTGCGCCCGTCGAGGATGCCAGAGCGCTGCACGAAATACGACCAGTTGTCGCGCATCGGCGAGCTCGTGCCCTGCAGCCCGAGGTCCGCGAGCTCGGGCAGCGGCAGCGGCTGCGGCGAGTGCCCGAAGCCGCCGACGCCGCCAACGCCGCCGTGCCCGTTGCTGTAGGCGTGCAGGCGGCCGTCCTGCGACATGGGGTACGCGTACGGCGGCTGGATCTGCGCGTGCGGGTGCGCGTGCTGTTGCTGGTGTGGGTGTGGGTGTTGGTGCGGGTGCGGGTGCGAGACGCCGGTGGGCGTCAGGGGCGGCGCGTACGACGAGGACGCGGACGCGGACGCGGCGGACGAGGGCGGGTAGGACGAGGGCGCGCCGTGCGGGAGCCCGTACTCGGCGGCGCGGTGAGAGAGCGGGTCCATGGCGCCCGCATCGTCAACCTGCCGCGCGTACTGCGCATGCGCATGCATCGCCTGCGGCGGTAGCATCTGTTGCTGGTGCTGCTGCTGCTGCTGCGGCGGCGGCGGCTGGTAGTACTCCTGCTCGTGGTAGCCCTCCGCGGACTGCGCGAGCCACTCGCGCATCATCGACACGTTCGCGGGCGCGCGGTACGGCGCCGCGTCCGCGAAGCCGCCGTGCTGCCCGGCGGCGGCTTCGTGGTGCGCGCGCGGCACGAGCAGCGCCGCGCCGGGCGCGAGGCGGGGGTCCTCGGGCGAGGGCACCGCGTACGCGTAGGGGTGGGCCGCGGGAGGCCCCGCGCGCAGGATCTTCGCGCGCCCGGCGAAGATGGAGAGCTCGTCGTCGAGCTCTTCCTGCTTGATGTCCCACGATGCGCCGTCGGCCTCGGGTGCGCGCGGTTGGGCGCTCCGCGCGGTGTCGAGCGCGCGGTGCGCCTTGTCTTGGAGGCGGCACAGGATGGTCTGCCGAGCGCGTGCGCGTGTCAGCGCGGGGGAGCTCGGGTAGGTAGGAGGGTGGGGACTCACGTGCGCTTTCGCAGCGCGCCGGTTCAGCTTGGCGGCCATGGAGAACAGGTCGCACGCCTTGTCGAGCTCGGACATCGCCGCGTCAGCCAAGTGCGAGAGGGGCCCACGAGTGACGATGACGCCGAACACGATCTGCACACGCATCAGCATCCTCGAGGAGACGAAAGACCCGGGGGCGGCTGAGACGTACCGCGGCGGAAAAGGCATACGTCCAGGTGCTCCAGAAGCGCGAGCATATGGCCGGGTGGATTGCAAACTGCTCCCGGACGGAGCGCAGGATGGTCGACGCCGCCCGCACGGTGGACAGGAAGGACGGTGCGTACGGGCTCCGGATGGGGTTCACAGGGTCCTCGATGAGCGCCTGCGCGAAGAAGCTGCGGTGGATGAACAGCAGGACTGCGGCGTCCGCCGGGTCAGGTCGGACGGCGCGCGGAGCAGGATGGACGCCACTCACTGACTTCCCGCGTGTGGGAGAGCACGAAGGACGTCATCGAGGCGGAGAGCGGGACGCTGCGCGGATCGGTCCCTGGCTCGCCGCGCAGCTTCGCGAGCGCCTCTTCGGGGATCGCAAAGTCGCGGACCTTTCGGTCGAGGTCGAGAATTTCCGAGTAGCGAGGCGGTGTCGCGGTCAGCGTCCGCGCCGCGACGTCCGCCACGCATTCTAGAGCAAAGCGGAAGCCCCAGGAGCCGACTGAGGCCGCGTGACGTCAGCGACTAGCAGACGGGCAGAAAGTGAAACGTGCACGCACATCCCGGCTCTGTCCTCCCGTTATTGTCCAGCGTCATCTCGTCGTCTTGGGGAAACGCGCAGTCGATATATTCGCGGGAAAAGGCGGGTGGCCGGCCGGTGGATAAAGTCTGACCTGCGCGTGAGAAAGAAGGAAACAGCCAAGGACGACATGACTACACACATGCCAGGCGTCGGCGACAAACAAATCCCAGAACAACATGCGTCGCCTTTGGACGACCTGGGGGGAGCGTTCCCATCGTGCACTGTCCCGGTCTATCTACATGGTTATCCATCTGTGAGACGAACGGTGGCGGGAGAACTTACGTAGACCCATCTGTGAAACACGTTTGCTGAGAACTTGGTCACCAAACGAGAGTGAATAAGGGACTCACGCTGTGCGAGAGATGCGCGGCCAAGCCAATCATAGACCACGTCGTCTCCATGGACGACTCGCTGTTACTAGCTTCGCTGCCGCTCATAGCATTGTATATGCTTCCGAGGTGAAGCGTCTGTATCGTGATCAAGGACGGTTTCTCGAGGACAGGCTTGAGGCACAGGGCCGCCTTGCCGAGCTGGTTCCAGTGCTCGGCCTCAGACTCTGCGACTTCGGGGGAAAGACCGATGTCGACGATGCGCCCGACGGCGAAGATGAACAAGAGGAGGGCGAGGCCGTGCGGGCCACCATACTCGTCGGTTGAGTACGCCGGGTGTTTGCTGTATATGGCGGGCAGCATCTCTTCCATAAGTTGGGCCCTCGAGACACTGCGGAACAGCCACGCTGCGTTCTCAAGGAAGGTCTCCGCGATTGCGGTGGCCATCTCCCATGTGGGCAGGTTCTGGCGGATCAAGCCGAGGACCTCGTCGGTTGGACCGACGGGAGTAAAAGGGAAGGCGTTGGAGAAGCGGGTGATGCTGGTGGAGAGAGACGGGCTCTTGGAGCCACGGCCTGTAGAGTCGGTATGATTGCTACTGCCGGGAGAATTTGCGGCATCGTCTTGGTCGACCTGATGAGATACAAGCCAACGTCGGCTTGGGCGAGAAAACACGAGGCGGGACACGCACCAGCAGCAATCCCTCTGAACCCCCTGTCGGGCCGAAGAAGCGCGCGACACCGTGCTCGGAGATGGACATGGTGCCAAACGCGTTGACGACTTCGGCCGGAAATTCTGTGCTCTCTGGATCGACAACATGATCTTCGGGGCGGTCTTGGTCGAGGACGAGGAGGCTGTCATGGAGGAGGGGATGCTGCTCGGAGGAATTTGTGGACTGCAGTACGGAGAGGGCGTCTTCGAGCTGGCGAATGCGATCGCCCATGCGGGCGATGCGTCGGTGAAGATGTTCTGTGGCGGCGATGACGAAGCTGCCGAAATTGGGAACAATGTAGTGAAAGAACGGCGAGAGTGTGACGAGAAGACGTACCGAGTGCCTTGCCCGGTCGCGAGGCTGCCTATCAAAGGGGGTGGCCGTGAGCAGGGCGAGTGACGAGAGGATGAAGCGAGAATATACCGAACCATTTGGACAGAGGGCGGCGCAGCCTCTTCGCTGGAGCGCGGGGCGTGTTGTGAGAAAGGGGGCCGTGCGCGAAGGAACGGAAGCGTACCTGGCAGGACTGGCAGGGGATGCGCTTGTCGCATTTAATCTTGAGTCTGTGGACGAGACGAGGAGGAGGAGGGGGAGGAGAGTGAGCGAGGGAGCGAGTGGAGGGAGAGCCGATGATCGCACCTCCGACACTCGGCGCAAGATATCTCGCCTCTGTTTCTCTTCATCTCTATTTCGCGGGCGTAGTTTCCGTCGCCTCTCGGGGCGTCGGCATCGCGGCGAGGGACCCTGCGGCGGTCCTGGGCTGATTTGAAGACGTCCGCAGGCATTGTTGGTGGGCGTCGGGAAGAGAGGAGTGGTTGGAATTTCGAGCATCGTCCCGTTCCTTCTGGTCGATTATAATTCCAGCGCCATGGGAATAAAGCTGACAAAACAGGCCATCGCTCCCGACAGCGACACCGGCCTCTCTCTCCTCCTCTCCCGTCACCGTCCCCATCCTTCCCTATCCCCGCATGTCCTTTGACGTGCCCACAGACGCCCACTCTTTCGTCGTTGACTCCGCATCGCTTAGCCGCCGTCAGCTCACTGCGACGTCAGTACGTCAGGTCCATTAGCGGCCTCTGTATCAATTCCTCGTCCCGCTCTCGACCCATTCAACGCCACTCATGTCTGGCTAGATCGCCTGTTGCTTATCCGACTCCCGACTCTGTGATAACCTCTGTCGTGCCAGGGCGCTTCCGTTGGCACAGGGCGCAGTTGGACAGCTCTATGCACTGTGAATCCGGATCAACCGTTGTTGCAGCATCGAGCGAGTGCTATACAGCAAGTGCCCATCGCTCACTTGGAACCCGAAGCACGTCCGTCCCGTGATCCCCGGCGTTTGCCAGGCGAGCGCAGACCCTCTCCCCCTGCTTCCGTCCAAAGCCTTGTTCTTCATCCGGACGGCCCGTCTTCCTTTCCTAGGTCGCTCCAACGACGATCTCGCACACCCTTGCCTGCGGAGGCTAGCTTCGAGCTTACGGCTTGACACAGCCTGGCTTCGCGCTGCGGCTCGCACAGCGTCGAACAACCCCCGTTATCGTGAGTGCCCACTCTGAGATTCGAATCATACGGGATTCCGAGCGGTTCACACACCGGCGCACCGGGCCTCGAACCCACAGTGAAACCTCGACTCTCGATTGTATTCCTCGGTGCTATTTGTGCGCAGAGAACACGACTATTTGGAGCTGAGCGCACTTCGCGCCCAGACGCTGCCCATCTCGTGGCGGTCACTTGATTTTGCTGGACATACGCGGAATCCGTGTCTTCGCGTCTTCAATGCAGAGCCTCTGTTGTATATGACGTAGGCGCGCTGCCCTTTATCGGCGGTACCTCTTTCGCGTCATCGTACACTCGTCGACTCCTAGCCGGGTCCAGAGGTATCCGTCCTTTCCGCTCGGGACAAGCCCAGTATCCACGCCCGTGCCAGTCCGGCGGCGCAACGGCGGCCTCTTCGGAGGGCTGATGGTGTTATTTCTTACATTCGCCTCTGTCATCTGCGGGTTTGGGCGCCCCCCTCTGACACTAGTTGATATTCCTAGGCACCGCGTATCGTTTGCGGCAGCGTCGGCAGGCCGGGACTTGTGCTGGTGTGTTATCGTGCCTACAGTCGTTTGCATGCACTTGATGCGGGCGAAAAACTGCTTGTTGTAGCCAGATAGTCACATGGGTCACACTGTTACCTACGGTTCCTTCGTAAAGTCGGCGGTTGCTCCATGGCACCTCAGCTCTCCGTCGAGTTGAGGGAACTCATTGTCTACTGGCAGCACAAAGGCTCTGATTCAACTCCGTTCATTCAAGGAGCAGTTTGCACGACATGGCGGTCGTTGAAGTTGTCGCGCGCCGGTGGCTGTGTAGAGTGACCAAGGATATCACGCTGTTTGGCTATAACAAACAATTTCTCGCCCGCATCGAGTGCAAGCTGACATGCAAACGACTGCAATACATTGGTTCAATGCGCCATCCCCGCGCCTGCTCCGCTTTGTGATCAGAAGTTTTACGTCTTCCGTCCTCGCTCCAGCGTTTTGACCCGGAGCCCCATGCTAGGGCAAGTGTCTCCTAAGCAGCATCCTCTTGCATGACGTGTTCTCCTGGCATCGAAAGACACCGTCTCCTCGATGCCATTGGTTCCAGGTCTTTCCGAGATGTGATCGTCGGCCGCACGAACAAGGTTTTGTTTGTTCAATGTAATACGTGTTACACGTTCTCGCTCACGCTTCTCGTCCTCCCTCGGGATATCTCATGCCTCCGCTCGTTACCGGGGGTCGTACCCGGATCTTCGCGTTTCAAGCTTATTCACTGGCCGGGGAGTAAGATCAACGTGTGTGTCCCTTTGACGTGTTATTCCGAGTGTGTATCCCCGCCAGGCGTATACAACCGATCGATCGATCGAGTCGTTAAATGTATGCGCAAATTGATCTCATCTTTTCAATGGGCTGCGTCGCGTCATCTGTGCTTCGAATTTTTCTGCGGAGGGACAAATGGGCTACCATTCACCGCAGTTGCTGTGCCAAGCCTTTTGATTTGTAGGCATAACGTTGTTTTTCGCTCCTTGATCGTATCATTGAATGAAGCCCCGTATTGATTGTGTATACGCATGAGGGCTGTCAGCGCCAGTGATCCTATGATGTTGAATGTGCAAATCAAGCGTTCGGCGCTGTTCAGCGCCAACGCGTCACCGGTCCCCGGTTGATCCTCCAATTTGTCGCTAGACAGGGAAGCCTCGAGCCTTTCCTGTTCCTTCGTACCGTTCTCCCGACTCACGTCGCAATTTGACAAACTAGGCGTCTCAATTGAATGTCCTTGTGCATACGGTGGGAGCGGGTGGAGACGTTCGTCTTGTTTAAACGTTTTTGTGCGTGATACGATGGGAGCGCGCGGGGACGTCCATTCGAAGAGAATACACATAGGGTGTGATCCTAATTTACATGGTCTCGGGGTATCGGATACAGTTCAACTACACTTACAGTGATCCGCACGCCAGAAAGGCACAGAGAAGATGATGGAGTCGCCTGTCGTCACAGCTTTCCGCCGACTTCCGCCTCGAGCATCTCCATCGCCCGCCGCATGTCCACGCCGGGGTCCGTATTCCACGCCCACTCGAAGTTCTGGTATATCCGTTGACCGAGCTCAGGCAGCCCGGCCGTGGTAATCTCGTTCCCTGGCTCGTACAGCGAGAAGTGCGTGCCGTTGCGCCGGGAACGCTCGGCGACTTGGGACGCGAGCGGGAGGCGCACGCGAGAGTAGATCTGCAGCACTTGCGCGACGTTCCGGAGCGTGGTGCGGGGGTGGGAGAGCAGAGCCGAGAGGATCCAGGCATCCTGTGTGTCAGAAATTCGTGAATGGACCGCGAATGAACTCGGACGGGGAAAGGGTTACCTCGATGGCTTGGCCGGCACCAGCCCCTGTGAAAGGTGTCATAGCATGAGCCTAGATAGCAACCCCTCGTCAAATGATCCCGCATATAACACGACCATGATCACTCACTGCGTCTCCGAGGAGTGCGACGCGGGCGAAAGCAAACGTCGGTAACGGTTTGACGACGTTCACAACCCACCGATTGACCTTGCCCTTATCGATGCACTGAGCGCTCAGGCGTCAGCCAATATCGGAGACGAGCAGAGGGACGGAAAAGCATACGCCGACGAGTTGTTTCACCTCAGGCTCCCAGTCATTGTATGAGTTTGTGACTTCCCCGGAATCTCTTTCTTGAATCCACGGGTCGGTGAAGATCGAACCTTCCTGATCGTAGTCGGCATCGAAGGCGGCGATATTTATAAATTGGCCGTGAGATATAGGGTACGCCATGATGTGCTGTGCGCCGATCATGAGTCAACGATGGCGGACATCAAAAGCTGATGCTTTCATACCCTATCTTTTCCAACATACTGCAGAGAAAAGTTGAGATTCACGACGAAAAGCGAAAGCGATGATAGATACCATGGTAGGCACTGTGAGCACGCGATGATGAGGCGACAGGCGGCGGAGTTTCTCGGCGGATACGAGCATCCTATACACCAGCACTCCACTCCAACGTGGCTCGATCCGGGTGCGGAGGTCCGCCGCCTGCGCATGTTGACCACGATACTCGGCAACCCTTGCCTGTTCGTGAAGCATAGATGCCCTCACTGCAGACTTGAGGCCATCTGCGCCGATGAGGATGTCGCACGTGGCAGTGGATCCATCTTGGAAGACGAGGTGCACAGGATCGTCCGAGCGCAGAGGCTGCGTATAGTAGTGCAGGCGTTTGGAAAGATATGTCCGACACCGAGGCGACAGGCGCTTCAGTAGAACATTGTGAAACTGCGCTCGATGGAAGGTGAGGAGCCCTCCTGATAGATGCGTCAGAATGGCGATGTGTGGAAGTGTTACAGGCTTCATGAGGGGCACGGACCTCGACACATCATGTTGAAGAAACCTAGACCCTCGGGCTGATCAGCCTTCCGGTAATGGAGAGTCGGCTCTGCGATCCAGAACAAGTCAGCGAGATCTAACAGTGGCTTGTGGAGGGGAAAAGATTTACTGATGCTGTCTGTCGGTTTGGAATCGAGAAGCTGGCACAAGTCGTCCTCCAAACCCAGAGATCTCAAGATTTGCCATGGCCGCCACCATATGCCAATGCCGACGCCTATTTCTGAGAACCGAGAGGCAGCCTCGTATACATCGATTTGAATATCTGGGCACTTGGACAAGGCGCATGCGAGAATGAGGCCACCAACACCACCACCACTTGAAGCAGGGTTAGCGTTGATAATTGTGTCGTGAATAGAGCTTACCATATGGCGACGCGGAATTTAGGAGATTTGGACTGCATGGAAGGCGAAAAGTTCACCACTGTGTCGTGAGCGAGATAGGATCCAGTGGGAATTGTCGGGAAATGTGTTGATGTCTGATCTACACCCTCCCCTTAAATAGACGAGCCGCAGACAAGCATCACGAGCTTGTGTGGGCCAGAGCGAGCAAAAACATCACAACCTGGCAGGGTGAGTAAACAGGACCTGGCGAGAAGGACGATGAAATCGCACTTTCATTGAAGAACCAACATGTGGCACGAAAACATGATGACGAGATGGAGAAAACCCGGCTCACGAGGCCGATGTTTTCGCTCTTTGATTCCTGATTTCGAGCGGAGTCGGGGGCGCCGCCTCAGCGAACACAGCGCCAAAGCCATACCTAGACTGTCGACCTGAAAAATGATCTATCTGTGTAGGTGCGTGTTTTTCTGTTGACTGCTCTCGGGGCAGCGCTCGGCAGAAATATCTCCGAGGGAAAATAACACGCGAAACGAACGGACAAGAAGCTGGCTGGATGGCAGAGCCAGACAAGGTCGAGGGGCAATCCCGTTACCGAACCCCTCCGGTAGAACACACGTCAGACGGCTATCTGACTGATACACCTCGTGCAAGGGAATTTATGCTCTCCCCTCTGCTTGCAGGTTGTACAAGCCCAAAAGTTGAGCGCCGCACGTGCGGGTCATCTCTCTATGAAGATCCTACCGCGCGAATGATACGGTGTGTACGTCTCAGGCTCATAGACGGATTGGATTAAATACCGCGTATTTCGGGACCATAATTGATTGGTATTGAATGACTAGTCTCTAGCTGTCATAATCAAGGCGGGTGAGCTGGCATAGATCACTCGCTTCTGCGATGCTGCTTTTCAGAACTGACAGGTGGTTACTGCAAGTCATGCAGAAAGGCGCGCGACGTATGCACGTCATTGAGAATGATTGGGCAATGACTGTCGCGCTTGTACGTCTGCCGGATGCAAACGCAACCTCTCAAGAGAGGTCATGTAGTGGGTTATGTTCAAAACCACGCCTAACAAGTGTGCGGGCGCCATCTTCTGCTTAATCACAAAGACCATGTGTTTCACACTGTGGGCGTCTGAATACCTAGAAAAGACGCACCTCTGTAATCCAGCTAAATGAATAGGATCCCTGCAACGTAAGAGCTGTGCTTCAATGCGCGAATTTCGGCCTTCCAGCCGCAAGGTAAGGCGAGGCTTCCCTGCGAACACTTTCTGTCCTTCCCTGGAAGTCACAAGAGACACCGAATCTGCGATGACAGACTTCTATCCTATCGATATCAGTATATCCCTGAGAGCGAGTACGCACTTTGGGATAGGAAGCGTACATATCCACACTCGGCCCGTAATGCACGGTGCAAGCACGAGGTCCTGAACACTTGGAGCACCTTCAAAGATCATCGAGTCATACGTACCTTAGAGAAAATAAAAATATCTCTGGAAGATTATGTACTCTTGTCGACCAGCACTACGGTGGTAGTGCTGGCACATTACGAGTCGGCGGCTTTCTGAACGAACAACTTAGGGTCTGTTATGACATGAAGAAATGAGTTGCTAGCCATCGAATAAGCTAGCATATGACAGTGGCAACGGAGAGTGCTGAGGAAGAACGGCACTAAATTTTCGGCGCGGGAGATCCTGAGGTGTTCGATCACATTGAGTGGAATTCGTCCGAAACTGATTGAAACTGGCCCGTTATAGGCGCAGATTTCTATACCAAATATCGAGGACTGTTGGGTCGTGGGAATAATCTACAAGCCCACCAATCGGAACCATGAAATAAATCCTACTGAAAATCTGGTTTGCTGCTGCTGCTCTGCTTCGCGAACGATTTGAGAGGACAAGCAGCATCAAGAGCATTGCTCAACATGCAGCGTTCGTATATTCGTTGACCAAAAGGTAATCAATGGACCAGCGCTTACCGGCGGCAGTTTGACGTCCGGCGATGTCCGCATTTGTGTTGATTTAGCCAGAGCCGCTTCCTTCGACAAAGTCTGCTATCTGCTCATCAACGAATCTCGTCCTGCAGTTTCTTGCAGTCGACGGTAAGCTAGCCTCTTCCGCAGGAAAGATCCGCCTCTGATTGAGCTATGTTATAGTCATGTCGTTCACTCCGTCCATCAACTACGACGCCGCGAACTGCATCCTATCTTTCTGCGACTCGCCTTCCCTCTGCTCTTTGACACGCACGTCACGCACTTCCCGGATTCTTGCACTCCCGTTTCTGGTCAAGGATGTCGTCCTTAATCGAGACTCCCAACAAATCCTTGCATTCTGCCAGTTGGTCCTCACATACCGTTTAGGCCCCCACATAAGGACTCTCAAACTAATGCGAGGGTTATCCCACAAACTGTTGATCGATAAGCGAATACCGGACCCAATCGCGAGCTCATTGGCAGACGTGCTCGCATCCGCTGTCGCGCTCGATGAGCTCGAAATATCTTCTCGCTTCTCGGAGCTTGTCCTTTGCGAACCACGACTAGTGACAAGCATCGTTAACTTGGAGTCTTTGCGAGTACTCACGCTCTGGCCGATCACTGGACACTGCATAGAGCGTATGCATTCAGCCAAGGGACTTTGCCAAGTTCGCACGTTGGCCGTGGGCGTCACATACACGCAATCACCAAGAGATTCTCGGAGGCTGTCACTTATGCTCGACGGACTCCTATCCCGGATGCGCTCTTTGGAGCATCTGTTCCTATCCCATGCATATCCCACCTTCCTCTCCTCCATCGCAGCATCTCCCTCTGTTTATCAATCAGGGACGCGAGTATTCTCTTGCCTTCGTTCACTCCACCTCGACTCCGTACCAACGTCCTTGGAGAATCTAGCCATCCTCTTTCCAAATTTACGAGCAATATCAGTATCCGTTTCGCGCTTTAGTGTGTTGCCATCGTTAGATTCAATTCATCTACCTTTGTGGCCGTGCCTGAAATCGGCAGAGACGGACTCGCTTCCCCTTCTTGATCTCCTTTCGAGATTACATTTCCCGCGCAGGATCCGTATACCGCGCCATATGTTTAAACTCGATCAACCATTTGACCAGTTCCTGGATGTGCTCGGGAGAAATTCTGCTCTCTCTTCACTCAGTTTTCCGGTTAAATTCCAACCTCCCTCCCAGGATCTGGCTGAGCCTCCACGGATTGATGGCTTAGAAGCAAGCACATTCATTCTCAGAATCTCGCAGTCCCTCAGCAGTCTGAGATTTCTTGCGCTTGATATCGATTTAGCAGCTCAAATCACAGACTGTTCTTTCGTACTGCCAGTGAGTCGTGCTCTTCAGTCCATCGTCACCTGTGATCTGAACAGCACCCTTCCACCCAGTTGGCGTTGTTCTCTGTACCTTGCGATTCAGTGCTGCTACCCAGACTCGAATACCTGGCGGTGACAATGTCGTCGTCCGCGCCCTCAGTGCCAGGAGTCCACAAAGTCGACTCGATCAGTGCCGCAGTCACCTTTGTCGAGGAATGCTTTTCCCGATTTCGTTCACTTGCGTATCTCGAGGTGGAGACGGGGAAGCGAAGCTGGAACAAATCTTGGTGGCATCGTTCACCAGAGGGTCTTGTGAAAGCTATATCTTCTGAGGAAGGATTGTCTGCACGAGAGTATTTCGAGTGGGAAGGCATCTGGGAGGATGCGTAATGTCACGACGGCGAATTAACGAATGGTGAGTATACTATCATTCTACTGTTCACATCCGACGCACTGTTGAACCCCTGTGGAATAGATACGACTCGATGTCGGCTTAATCACCATAATGTTTCTTCCTTTCTATGCTAGATCTATTGTACCCACCTTTAATTCCACTGGGTGCGTCCAGCGTGATCATGCTCCTTCATAGAACTGACTTGGCTTATGCAGCACACCAGTCACATGCCATGCCACGACATTGCGCTCCCACACCTTTCGTGGTAGATATGAACTCGATCGAATAACGCTCATCCACCCCAACTTCTTACGAACCTCTTTGTCACCCTCCGAGGGCGTTCATTTCGACCGACAGCAATCATGAATTTAATTCTCTGCAACCCTCCCTGGTGGCCCCTCCCTTCCACAGCGGTCTACGCCCTCGAACCGTCATGCGCACCGTGGAAGGGGTGCGCGGCCTTCCGTCGGGTTATCTGGGCGTGAGATCAACATCGACGGCAGGCACCTTGACCTCGCATGAAGACTTATCGAGGCGGAGACTGCGGTGGGAGAACGCTTTGGAGAGCAGGTTCTAGTGGCGAAACGAACCAGGAGGAAGGTGTGTTTGACAGACCGCGTCCGTGCGAACGAAGAGGCTCACGGAGATACGTAGACGCGAAGAACACCCAAGAGTACCTGTAGCCATCCGTATAGTACGTTAAGCGCAATTAATGCCAATAATCCCACGCCTTTATCTGGCATTGTCGGTGCATCTGACGTCGTCCTCTGTGTTTCCCTGTTTTCTTCTTGGTGTTTGTTCAGCGATCATCGCTCGCTCGGTGCTCCGGTTTCACCGCCGTTGGGTCTTCTCAGGCACCGGGGCCTCTTGTCGACAGCGCATCTACGCTCCAGGCTGTTTTCTCCCATAGATCACGCGCGTCGCATGATGTAGATACACACGTCGAGCGGACAGCGGGGGGTCCGTTTTCATTAAACGTGATCTCCTCCATCCTCCTATCGCGTCTAAAGGGCACCCGTGGCGGGCGTGCGGTGAATGAAATTTCGACAACCTTTGATGCTCCACCGGCGCCGAATGTGGGCTGCCTTCCAGAAAACGGCTGCTTAGGGTGTGAAGATCACCCTGATTCGTCGTACAGTGCTCGTGGCGCTGACTTGAGGACGAGTGCATCCTTGAGTGCTGCTCGGTGGCGGATTCTGTTCGGGTCCTGTCAGAACCTCCGACGCTTGCCTGTAAGGACGCAGATCCACCTGTGCAGTGTCGGGTTGATCGAGCGTGCTCGCTCGATTCGCGCGAACGTCCACTGCAGCGGAAGTGAGTCACTCGAATGCATCTCGAGGGTCAACGTTCAACGCCGATCGTTGAGATCGAGCACAGGACATCCGGAAGCGAGCAAGTGTGTTCTGAGGACATGACTCTTCGCCATCCGTCACAAGTGCACGCATAGTTATCTAGCACTGCACGCACGGATGGCAGGAGGGACCGGTGCACGCAAATCGGCGATGCGCACCAAGGTGAGTTGCCAGATACGTTCGGCGCCTCGACGCCTCGACGCCTCGACGCCTACTCCCCTGTCTCTCCATCCACTTACTTCGCAGCCGAGCGCAAGGCGTGGTCCATCCTATGTGTCCCCGGTTTTCCCTGCGCCGACTCCGACTATTAGAACTCTTTCCCGAGCTCCGACGGACACGCGCCGTTGGGCAGTGTCCCGCACGGATGGCAGGAGGGGCCGGCGCACGCACATCGGCGAGACACCCTGACCCGCGCCGTGCGCACCTAGGCGAGCTGCTCGATACTCCGGAGCATCCACGCCTTCTCCACCTCGTCCACCCACGCACATCAAAGTCGAGCGCAGCGGGTGTTCCAGCGTCCGTACCCTCGGTGCTTGTTCTCCGCGCCGGCCACGACGCTTCGAAGTCCGTGTCGTGCTCAGACTCGCACGCGGATGGCAGGAGGGGCTGCCACAAGCAAGGCCCAAGCAGGCGATGTGCGTGCTCAAGAAGTGCGTCGCTCGACACATGCATCGATGCCTGGCCGTCCGCGTCTTGAGTCGCGCCGCCAGACCTGGACACAGGCTCCTCGCCACGAACACCGTGCCTATGCACAGCCCACCGCAGAAGGCGGCTGCCCGCTACGACCCCGAGCCCGTGCTCGTCGACACTCTCGTTTCGCGGACGATCCCCATTCGCACGACGCACATACCAGCACTAGCACATATCTGGGCACGCCAGCCGTCCGCTTCCCTCGCCGGCGAAGGACGACCGTTGGCAGCGCACGCACGCACTTATAATTAGCATTTAATTAGCAGCGCCCGACGCTGCGCGACGGTCGTGCACCACTCGCCTCGTACTCATACCGTCTTATTTATAGCCAGCCAGTCTATAAATATGCATCCCCACCCCACCCCATCCCAATAATAGCGCATAGCCGACCATAACTTGACTCGCCCTGCACCACACGTACCGCACGGCACCGCACCGTGCTAATAATTGCGTCCTCCGCCCGGCAGGAATAGATCAGGGCCAGCCCGCACCCGCGCCCGCGCGCGTCTCGCGGGCACACGAGGAATTGCAAATTGGGCGGGCGTGCAGAGAGAAGGCAGCGAGAAGGGGCAGGAAGGGGCTGGAGAAGGGCAGCTGCTGATCTCTGCTGATGCAGCGGTGCAGAGAAGCAGCGGGGGATCTCGCTTAGATATAGATATAGATATAGATATGCATCTATATGCATGCGCGCGGCGGGCCCGATTCGCGGCGGCAGTGCACGATCGCGCTGCAGCTGCAGCTGACCGACCGCTGCTGATGGACCGCCAATCCAACCCGAGATCGTGCGCGCCAGATCCGGTCCGCGCGTGCGTGCGTGCTGTGTAACCACGGACTCTGGCGCGGGCGAGGAAGGAAGGAAGGTAGAGAGAGAGCGCGTCGCGGGGGCTTCGTGGCGCATCTAGATCTGAGGGTGGTGGGGAGTAGATGTAGATTGCTGCAGCAGCACGCGGGGCGGGGGCGAGGCCTGGAGCACGATAACGCATGTAGATGTAGGTACTGAAGAGGAAGAGAGAGGAAGAGAGGAGGATAGAGAGAGAGAGGAAGATAGAGAGAGAAAGAGAGAGAGAAATGGGTGTATGTATGTACAGGTGTCGAAAACCCGAGTCCGCGACCGAAGCAAGGCAAGTAAAGCAAAGCAAGCAGACAGGCAGGCAGGCAGGCAGGCAGGCGGGTAAGCGGTGAGCAGCGAGCAGCGAGCAACTAGCAGTGCGTGTGCGTGTGCGCGCGCGCATGCGTGTGTATATGTCAAGCGAAACACGGGACAGCAGAACAAGAAGGAAACGCAGGGAGCACACGGCACATGCACGCGGGGCATGAGCGCGCGCGCGCGTGCGGAGTCCTTTCCTCCCCCGTCGGCTTTGTTTCTCCCGATCCGCCGCCCCGCGCTAGGCTCCCCGGTCCACGCCGTCGCCGCCCCCGCCGCCCCCAACGATGTCCTCAAGGCTCACGTCGCCATCGCCGCCCCTCCTGCCCTCGTCCTCGCCCTTACCCTCCCCATCTCCCCTTCCGCGCTTACCCCCTCTCGCCCCGCCGCCGCCGCCCGACTCAGCCCCGACGGACCCGAGCAGCCCCTCCCCCGGCGGCGCCGGCGCCGTGCCCGACAAAAAATCCAACCACGTCTGCCCCCCGCCCCCGCCCCCGCTTCCACCACCACCATCATCCCCCGAGGTCCCGGAGTCGGTACTCTGGCGATGCGGGGGCGGCTGCGACAGCTGCGGCCAGTCGAATGTCAGCGGTATGCCGAAAAACGTCTCCACACCACCTACCCCTCCGCCCATCATCATCCCCCCTCCCCCGCCGCCGAACATCCCGCCGCTGCCGACGGTGCTGCTGCTGCCGCCCGTGGAGCCGGAGCCGCTGCTGGACGAGGGCGGGCCAAAGACGCCGGCGAAGAGGTCGTCGGGGCTTTGCTGCTGGTGCTGATGCTGATGCTGATGGTGCTGGTGCTGGTGAGGGGTCGGGGGCTGCGAGATGCGCGGGAGGGGCTGCTGCTGCGGCGCACGGAGCATGCTGCCTGCACCGTACATGCCGAGCTGCTGCTGCTGCTGCTGCTGGGAGTGGGAGAGGGACTGCGGCGGGGGGTGCGAGTACGGCGCGGAGAGGCTCGCGCGCGCGAAGGACGCGGAGGGGTTGAGGAACGGCGCACCGTGCGCGGTGTGCGTGGACGGCGGGAAGAAGGAGGCGTACGGGTTGCTGTGCGGGGGCGCGGTGTGCACGTGCGGCGGGAGCGGGAGCGTGTGCGCGTGGAGGGACGGGTGAGCGGACGCGGCGTCGAGGTCGAGGCGGTACGGGAAGGGCGTGTGCGCGCCGCCGGGAGAGGATGCGTGCAGCGAGGGGTGGCGGTCGAGCTCGGACGCGGGGGCGAGCCGCGCGCGCTTGTTCGACGAGAGGGAGTAGGCGCCCGCGCCTACGCTGGAGCTGGAGCTGGAGCTGGGGTGCGCGCGGGTGGGGCTGTGCGTGGCGGAGGTGTGGCGGTCGGAGGAGATGGGGAGCGTGGGCGAGGCGGAGGGCGGCATGGAGAGGTGGGAGGGGGGCGGGCGGTAGTCGACCTGCAACAACAACGCGGCGGGCGGGGTCAGCGAGGCGCCAGGCGCGAGGGCGGGCGGGGGGACGCACGTCGATGGTCATGCTCTCTGGCTTGATGGGCACCATCTTGCCGCCGTCGGCCTTCTTGCCCTTGGCGGAGGGACCGCCGGCGGCGGCGCTGCTGCTGTCCTGGCGCTTGCGCTGGGGCGGGGCGGGGTCGTCTGCGTCTGCGTCGTCGTCGTCGTCGCCGACATCGTCAACGCGGGAGGCATCGGTGCCGCCGCTAAAGTCGTGGGGCGTGCGTGTATCGCGCTCGCCATCGAACTGGAGCGGAGGCGAGGAGTTAGGGGTGCGAACGGGCGGAAGGAAGACGAAAGAGAGAGGGAGAGCGGACACGTACGCGGATGTGGCGCTGGACGATGGAGCCAATATCTGTGGAACAGTACTGGTAGAGCTTGTCGGGGTGGCCGTGGCGGCGCTCTGGGGAGAGAGGAGGGGAGTTATTTTTAGCACACGTAGAGGGCGAATGGCGACGGACCGAAGATGATGACGGCGACGTCGACGGAGCAGAGGACGCCAAGCTCGTATGCTTTTTTGAAGAGGCCTGTCTTGCGCTGTTGTGGGGGAGGTCGGTCGGAGCGAGAGCGATAAGTCAAGAGGAAGTAAGAAACTATTTTTGCAGCTGGAGCGCGAGGCGAGAAAGGCTTGGCGCTTGGACTTGCCTTTAAGAAGGTGACGGAGCGGTTGCGCTCGTTCTATTCGCGTCGCGTCGGTCGATCCGGGAGCACAGCAGCAGAGAGAAGGGCAGGCGGTGAGCAGCGCGGACTGGGTGGGACGGGGGTGCGGCGGGGGGGTGGGGAGGACAGAGGCGACGGGGGAGGGAAGACAGACCTGGATCGGGAGAATCTCGATCTTCCGACGGCCCATGGCTGGGGGTGGTGGCGGTGGCGGCGGTGGCGGTGGTGGAGGACGTGTCGATGGCTGGAGGGGAGGAGGGGGTCGAGGAGCAGTCGAGGGAGAGGGAGGGGGAGGAGGGAGAGAGGGGAGGTGGCGGACGGCTTTGAGGGAGGAGTGGGAGAAGAGATGTTGTGTGTGGGCGTGGCCGGGACGGCATCTGACGCTGCGAACGCGCTGCTCATCAAACATCCCCACTCGTCCTCTCCGTTCTGCTCCCGTTTCTCCGTCCTCGACCCTCCAGCCCCCCTCGCCTGCCTCTGCCGCCCTCGCCGCTGGCTGTGTGGTGCAGCCCGCCGCGCCGCCGCCGCCGCGGCCGCGGCTGTATTTTTTGCGCGGGGCGCGAGTGCATTTCGGTGGGTGGCGGAGGTAGGCGCGTGCGTGTTCCCGAAGGAGGGACGCTGTTCTGTTCTGGAACTGGGAGACTCGGAATCGCAGGACTTCTTCACGCAGACGGCAAGTGATCAGACCGAAGCTGGGTCCTACGCCTGATCGAACCGCCACCGGACGACGGTCAGCGCCCGCAGGCCATCGCTCCCCTACTCTGACCTGGGACTGGGTCTCCGCCTCACGCCCGTTCCCGCCCCCACCTTGGCCAGTCGCTCCCACCGCGCCCCCTCACAGCCCCTCGCACCCAGACCGCCAGACCGCCAGACCGTCGCCAGTCCGGTTCACCGTCCCGTGCCTGTGCCGAATGCAGACCCACGGCAGCCAGCCCAGTTGATCTCCGCGCCCGTCCGACCCAATCTCGTGCGCGCATTCCTTCTCACCGCGCCTGCGTTCCAGCCCCCCGCAGAGCCTTCCCAGCCACCCCCCACCCCCCATCAGCCACGCTCCCTCGACGACGCCTCGAATCCCGCCTGCCCCTCCCCCTCCTGAACACCGCCAACCCTGATAGCTGCCACGCCCTTATCCGTGGCACACCCTGCCCTTCTGATTCCATATGCCCTAACCAGGCGCCCCGCCGTACGTACCCACCCCCATCCAGCGCCTTCTCGGAACCCGAGCCCTCCCCGTCACGCGATCGTCCCTTCCTCCTGGGGCTCCCGGTCTCCTTCCGCGGACCGCGACCCAGCACAGTCCATCCCACTTGCTACTGCCCCCGTCCCGAGACCCTCGCCGTCCCTCCAGATCCCTTTATGCGCCTGTTCTTCACGCACGCACGCACGCACGCTCGCTCTCCGTCCCTCTCCCGTCCCCCGCCTTCTGTCCCCGCTCCACCCCGCACCCCCCCGTCCAATCACAACCCACCCTGCGCGCCTACCTCCACTCATTTCCGCGCCCCACGCTTCTGAGAGCCCGCCCTCTGCCCTCTGCCCTCATCCTCCCCTCTCAGCACACACGCTCCGTGGCCACCACCTCCGTCACCTCCTTCTTCTGTCCCCGCCCGTCCTTGGCATCAAACGCCTTCCCTCGGGCTCCTGCGCGCGCGAACAGCACTCAGCCCGCGTCTAGCCTAGCGCCCAGCGGGTGCTATCCCGCGGCGCCAACCACCAGCGCGCCCAGATCAGATCACCTCGCCTCAGCACGGATCAGATCAGACCCTTCCCCCATCTTTCTTCTCCGTGGCCACACGGCGGGTCCCGCGCCACCTACGCACATGCACAGGACACGCACAGAGCACAACAGGGCGGGGTAGCCCCTGAAGTTTCACGGGCGACGTTGCGTATCATACGCAGATCAGATCCCGTCGTCCCCAGCACGCGACCCCCTCCGCGGCGCGCGTGCTAGCCTGGATCCGCCTGGCCGCGAGGAGCGCCTCGCAGCGCGGCGGAACAGATCGGGCGCGGCTTCTCGCGGCCGCTTCGATCGCGTTTCGTTTTTCTTTCTGGCTTTCTCTGGCTTTCTCTGGCCTTCCCTTCTTTTCGCTTTGATTTCTTTGATTCGTGAGTTTTGTGATTTTGTGAGTCTGGTTTTCTGCCGTCGTTCGTCGCCGTCGAGCGTCAGCTTCTGTGGGGAGCTGATGCCTCGAGTCGGGCGTGTCGGCGTTCCGTCTACAATTCGCTGATGCATCGACCCGTCGCTGTCTGCGGCTCGGTGACTTCGTCTCTACATGCGCCCCACGCTTCTCGCCCAAGTCTCAAGTACCATCTCAAAGTATTTTATTTTATTTTGTTTCATTTTATGTCGTCGTGGAACGCCCTGTGCTCGACCAACCCTCCCGCCGCGTACCGTCCGTTTACCGCACACTGCACACCGAGCGCCGCGCGGACGTCTGTGAAACGGTAACCGACTTCTCGCTGAATTGATCTAGGTGTATTTTGATTTAATTAATTTCAGCGTTCATCCGCCATCATGGAACGCTTTTTCGTGGCCGCATCGCGCATGCTGTTCCGCCCCCCTCTTCTGTGACTTTTGGCATAGAGAGTGCGTACCGTTTGCTTGTCAAAAGCTAAAGGCTGCGCGGACGTCTGAGATGCGGTAATCCGACGAGGAAACCTGCTCCTCGCGGTCTTGTCCACGCGTGACGCGGTGCGCGTCGTTCGCGTCGCAGACGGTCCGGCGATGCCCAGCGCAGAGAGGCAGAGCGCGTACCGCTCGCTCGCCAGATAGCGAGCGCCACGCGGGGCTCGCTTCCGCGTCCGCCTAGTGCTCCGCGATCGTGGCCACGATGGGCATCGCCCTCGCGCTCTCCCAGGCTATGCTTCTACCCTCTGTGTTAGCGCATACGGGCCTGGGCCGGACGCGCGCAGGCTGGTCAGTTACTCATCTGACTCTGCAGGATCGCGCGCGCCCGTGGCCCGGCGCACGCACGTCCACCCTTTTCGCCCCTCGCATGCATCGCACGTATCGCATTGCATCGCATCGCATCGCATCGCACTCACGCACGCCCCTCGCACGCTGCTGCGCGCTGCTGTGAATGCTGTGTCAGCGCGGGCTTGGCGTTGTGCGCGTGGAACACCCAGCAGGGAGCGGGACGCGGGCGCTGGGGCGCCATGCGCGGATGCGGCGCGCGAGGCGGCGTACTCTGTCTGCGGATGGCTCGTGGCCGCTCGGCGCCCAGGCTGCGCGGCGGCATCTTCCTCCTGTCGCTGATGCGGGCGTGTTGGTGACGGACCAAGCCAGTGGGCAGGTGATCTAGGCGGACTGTCGCGATTCGTCGCTGGACGAGTGGGCGGGTAAGTAGAGTGCGACGAGGACGCGACGGGTGGGCGGCAGCCGTTCAGTCCATGGAGTGTCTGCTGTGGCCTGGCGCTCGGCGGTGGCAGCGGAGAGACCGCCTGCTGTGCCTCTGCCCGCGGCGCATTCTCGCATTCCTGCAGCGGGTGATGGGTGGACACGTGTGATTCGTCGCTTGTGACCGTGCCGGACGAGTGGGCGAGCAGGCGGTGGACTAGGGGGACACGAGGATTGGGTGATAGCGGTGCGTGTGTGGGAGCTGCGTCGTCCGTGTGTGTCGATTGTCCGGCGACTCAACGTGTTTGGGCCTGTGTCGTGCTGTTTGGCGCATCGAGGGACTCGCTTCTGTCGGCCGAGTCCACGATGACACTGGCCAGCGCAGATGGCTGGCGCTCGCTGTTGGGCTTGGACCTTGCCGGGGGCGTTTAGGTATCTCCCCTTGGTGCTCGGGGTGCGAGTTGAACGACATAAGGTTTGTTCGTTCATGGAACGCCGGCTGCAGATATTGATGCTGTAAATGAAGATCACGCGCTGTCCTAGGATGTGGGGCAGGGGTGAGAGCCAACGGTCGCACGCTGCGTTGTCTTCCCTGACTCTCCCCTCCTGCTGTCCTCTACCCTGGCGGTTCACTCTCGCTTACCATGCATCTTGTCTTGATCGGTGGTTCCATCGGTCTGAAGTTTGACGTGGTCCGTCTGGCTCTCGTGCTGTTGCCCGCATGATTTTCAGCACGGGCGACGAAATTTCCAGCAGCCCAGGCGAAAGCCTGGTTCCCTGCAATCTCTGCCCCCTGTCAGACCCTGTTCAAGCGTCATTTTTCATCGGCGAGAACTCGTGGTGGCGTTCTGGCCCCTTCGATCGACACCGTGGGCGCAGCGAACCCTTCTGTTGCGTTCTTTCTTCCTTCCCTCCACTCTTCTGAGCGCACGACTGGCAGGAAAGGTCCAGGCTGCGATCCGACTCACTTCCGCATTCTGCGCCATGTCTTCTGGCTTCCATGTCGCGGCGAGCTTGGACGACAGACGCCCACGATGTCGTTTCATTTCCCGTACCCTTCGCTTCGACTCACGTTCGCTCCGTTGCATTTTTTGTGACATTTGGTTTTCTTCCTTGAGACCCTGTCCCTTGTCGTCTGGTGTCCTTGTCATCATGCATACCGGATTTGACAGTTATATATCACCTACTCCCAGGAGCGATACGTCGACTGGCAAGACCCTTGCGCCCCATCCCACATTCGACAGGGATGTTACACGGTTGCCTTGGCAAGTGTCCACTGTACGATCAGATTTCACTTTTTCTTCCCTCGCCCAGACCGCGGGATATACGTGCGCGGCTGTTGGGTGAAACGCCGATGACGCGACGTTGATGTCCGTGGCCGGCTCGCGCGGATATCCAGCTTATCATCGAGCCACCATCCGCGATGAAGACGGATGCGCCCGCTTGCCTTCTTGGGTTGATGTTCGCTGCAGACGTCCCGGCGAGATCGTGCGTCTGCCCCCATAGCTTTGCGCCCCTGATGGCTTGAAGTGCTGCGCCGCTACGTCCCTCCGAGGAACAAGCAAGGTGTCGACAGAGCACACTGCGATCATAGGGCCGACGGCGTCGTGACAGCTACCGGTGTCTCCCGAGGCATCCATTTTAAGAGGCCGGACGAGCACGGGCGATGCGCGTCGTCGGTGACTACACAAAGTCGTGACGATCGGGCTGACTAGATGGAAGGAGCGTGGCTGCTCGAGCATGGGATAGACTCAATTCTCTTGTACAGTATAGTTCTGACGACCGCCATCTAGGTCGGACCGCGTTGAATGGGGTACGCATTTGCGTCTACAGTCTCTCAACCTGTGCGTAGCAAACCTGCTTGCACGCTATGTCCCCACCAATGACGTATATTGTTCAGTATCGTCGGCGCGCGCAACTCGATTCTTGATTGGCACTTATGGCAATGAGCTCGGACCCTTGTGAGATCTTACTCGGGTACGGCGAAGACGCAAGCTGATACACACCATTCCAACGAGCGTCTTTTTCTTCGAAGAAGCAGGTGCTTCAGTTGGTGTGATTGGGCATTTTTCACGGGACCGAATCCGCGAGGCAAAGAGACAGGGGTCGGATGGGAGACCGACTCGTTCGGCACTGTGCGGTTCGTGGCAGCTCATGCATTCCTCACAACCGTAACAGGCGCGCCTCAGAACCGTCCGCGGTATCGCCGACCGTCTCGCGCATCGTTGACTCTCAGATAAGTGCGGTGAGTTTGTCTCGTGAATTCGACACTCCTCCGTTGTTGCTCCATGGCACTTTGTTTGCTTGTGTTACATTCCAGATCCGGAATAGCAGACGAGAGGCATCCCTCATGGACGCCACATATCTTGCGACAATTGTTGTTATGGCCCTCATCGCACAGCCGATTACCTTCCTTCCCTTTGGCTTACGAGACCGTCGTCGCTATGTGCTCTGTTGCATCTGCGGGTTCTTTAGCATCTAATTCGAAGATCGTGACTGTCTATGTCGCGAGCATTTGAAGCTTCTAGCTACTATGCGATATCTAGATGATATCCATAACCTACATTGATGCAAGCGTCGTACGTGTATAGGTCATGAACTGAGCCAAAATCCTTCCTTGCGCTTATTCGCTATGGCTGCGAGCTGCCAATCTCTGATTCCAAAGTTTCCGTTGCTCGCCGCATATCCACGCGAGGGTCAGTGGTCCAGTTCCACTCCGTCATCTGGCGAATCCTCTCCTCCAACTCGAGCAATCTAGCCGCGGAGATATCGCCTCCTGACTCCTTCAGTGCAAAAATACATGCTGTTGCGGCGGGAGCCCTCGGCGACTTGTGATGCGAGCGGGAGGCGGATACGAGAATAAATTTGGAGTACTTGTACCACGCTGTTCAGCGTGGTCAACGGGTGTGAGAGAAGCGCTGATCGGATCCAAGCATCCTGGACTGACGGTGATTCAAATAAAGAGATCAGGCGAGCTTGAGCAAACCTCAATAGCTTGACCGACTCCAGCTGCTTGAATAGACGTCATCGCACGAGCCTGTGTACGACGTCTTCCTTATGTAGGCGGTCCAAGTCTCTCACTCGGTTTACTCACGGCATCTCCCAAGATAGCAACACGACCTGAAGCGTACGACGGGAGCGTCCTAACGACATTCATAGTCCATCGGTTCACCTTCCTAGATCGGATGCACTACATGTCATGCACAGTCAGCAGAAAGAATTATCGAAGACACGTGTCAAAAAAGCGCACGCTAACGAGTTGCTTGACTTCGGGTTCCCAGTCGCGAAATAGGTCGACGATTTCACGAGAATTACTCACTCGTATCCACGATTCGCCGTAGAATGAATCCTCCTTGGTATGATCCGTATCAAAGGCAGCGAAATTAATGAATTTCCTGTGAGATATTGGGTATGCCACAATATGCTGCAGGAATCCTGTGAGTCAAAAACATTGAGTTAGTTGATATATGCTGCTCTCTCACTCTATCCTTCCCTATATTTTATTTGTTTGTTTATTTTAATTCGTAATTAACGTCTAATTACGGCGTACCATATATCTAGACGAGGACCGACATGTATCTACGTATCGCGTGGGGTTGGTTTGTGTACCTATGGTGCTGTGCGCTGCATTGTCCCTTGTGGGGAACGTGTGGGCCTCATAGAGGTTTGGTCACGTGGCGAGGATTAGGGAGGGAAGTATAGTAAAGTAAGGTACTCAGCTCGTGTTCGTCTACTAATGTGCCGTATTGAGTCACCGTCTCATGGTCTCTGCCATCTGTCGTGTTTCTGCGGTGACATTCGCCGGTCGTCTTGTTTGTCTCACGACCCTTGACGTGTTGTGCTCGAAGTTTATGGTATTTGTTCTCGTCTGCCGCCGCCCGTCATTCCCCGGATCATCCAGTCCTTTCTCGCTCGTCCGCGGCAGGTTCAAGTCCCCGAATGTCCTTTGGAAGCGCTGTGTCTCGTTGATATAGGTGAAAAGGTGGCCGAATAACTGTTTGTTGGATAAGAGCGCCGAAAGATCCCTGCATGTTCTGCCTGCCGCTTGCTCAAGGCGGTGGCGACTGTCTGCGTAGCTTTGGCACTGGAGGAGAAAATGTGCGACCGTCTCTTCGCGCTGCCCACACGCGGAACAGATCGGGTTTTCAAACTCGTCTGGACGTATGTGATGGAGGTGACATTGCAGTGGTGCGTGTCCTGTGCGTAGCTCTGTGAGGATGGCGACATGTCGTCGTGGGAGGTGTGCAGTGATCTTTCGGAACTGGATCGATGGTGCCGTGGTGTCAACTTTGTGGAGTTTCGGTCATCTCTTTGATTCGGCGAGACTTTTCTTCCAGCGCTTCTCCAGGTTTTCGTTGAACTTTTGCTTAGCCGCGGATTTGCTGATGGGGAGCTGTCCCTTCATTGCCTGTGGTAGGGTTCCCTCTTCGCTCGACTTTCCCCGCGCTGCCGCCTTGGCCTCTCCGTCGCTCCTCTCGTTCCCCTTGACGTCTACGTGGCCCGGCACCCATCGCAGGGTGGGTACTTTACGGCCTCTTTGCTTGAAGTCCTTCTCGATCGTCTCGTGTATCGCGTCGACTAGATACGATCCAGGCGTGCTTCCTGTAAGCTTTGTGGCTCTAATTGCAGCAACATTGTCAAGCGCAATTGATGCGGATTGGGATAGGGGTTCGTTCTGGATAAGCTGAAGTGCTAAATGAATGCCAGTGAGCTCTGCTTCGTAAACAGTATATCGATTCGCTTTTCCGAGGTGTTTGTGCATCACCGCATTTTCACACCCGTTTTTATACAGCACTGCTGCCGCCCCGACTCCGTCGTCTTTTAATGACCCGTCCGAGTAGACCTGGATGCTGTCCTTGTTCTTTTGCTCGTCTTCAATGGCTGCATCTTTGTTCGGCTCTCCTTCCCTATATACTACGTGAAGAGGCAGAATTCGGGGAATATGCCAATGTACACAAGAAATACCTGGGTAGGGACCGTGAGTAGGCGGGATCCAGGAGAAAGGTGACGTAGTTCCTAGGCGGATATGAGGGCCCTGTAAACGATGACGCCGCTCCACCGTGGCTGTACGGGATTGCGCAGGTCCGCCGCTTCCGCAAGCTCACCATGTTGTTCTGCACGTCCAGCCTGCTCCTGAAGCATGAACATCCGCACCATAGATTTAATGCTGTCAGCACCGATGAGGATATCACAAGTTGCAGAAATTTGTCCTCAAAAATGAGCTGGATGGGATCCATCAAGTGGGGAGGCCGCATACAGTAGCGCAAGCGCTTGGAAAGATGTATGTTGCATCATGACGACATATGATGAATTAGAACATCGTGAAACTCAGCACGGTGAAACGTGAGAAGACTGCCTGCACGAGGGAAAGTAAGTAAACGTGTACATGGTCACAAAGAGACCAACCTCGACTGATAAGATTAAAAAAGCCCAGACCCTCCGGTTGATCAGCTCTACGGTAATGAAGGGCTGGCACTTTGATGCGGCTTCAGTCGTTGACGGGGTGAACTGAATATAGTCCTCACCCATCTCATCTGTCGGCTTGACATCAATTAACTGTCCCAAGCCTTCTTCCAAGCTTAATGATTCTAGTATCTGCTAGGGTCGCCTCCACACACCGATGTCAGCTCCCGCCTCCGAGAACTGAGGCGCAGCTTCATACACATCAATATCGATCTCAGAGCACTTCGACAGCGCGGAGGCGAGAGTGAGTCCCCCCACACCTCCACCGCTGAGATAGAGTCAGAGACTGGACACATAGGATCCTCTAAGAACTCGCCATATCGCGACTCGAAACTTGCTGGGCATGTATCAGTTGGGGTAGATGTGACGTTAAGAAGAAGGTACAAAGTGGCGATGGATGGTATATCAGAGTGCATCTGCATCGCTTATGAGTGTTGGAGGTGGTGACATCACAAGCCGCAACAAACAAGGAGTGCGTGGAAGATGGAAAGAGTGGACAGATAAATCCCACATTTGTCTAGGCAAAAGAATCATTAATCGCGACAAAGTACCGGCGAGCACCTTGGCACAGCGTCAAGCTTGAGAGCCAGGCAGGGCCAAATCAATTTATGAGACCGATTTTTTCGCTGTTTGATTGTCTGATTCGAGCGGAGTCGTATGCGGTTCCTCCGCGAACACGTCGCCATGAATGGGCCTGGACTCGATGCCCTCATGGAAGGTCAGGCAGCACCTGGCGAGAAAGATGCCGGTCGCAAAAGCGCGAAACAAGCGGAAAAATGAAGCGCGCCTAGCGACATCTCGATGTTAATTGTTGTCATATACAAAAAGTAACGGACGCATCGTTCAGCAGCAGATTTCTTGCCTGAGTTGCAAGGGCCTTGATAGCCGCCTGAATATAGAGGGTTGCACACCTAGATCATCAGCAGTTTAAAGCATACCTGAGTGCGTGAAGGTGCATGAGCGTAAGCAATACATTTTGATCGCAGACTCTGACGGATGCTCTATGTCGAAAATGCCAAATGTCAAAAAAGGAACTTGTCACTCCATTGCCGGCAGGATCGGAAATAAATCGCAAGAGTTACTGCGGGCGTAGGGGGCAAGAATGTAGGAGGTTCGTAAGGTTGATCTTCGATGACGGCATCGGCATCAAGGCCCGTCGTAGCCAGATACTAATCACGGGTTCGCTGGTTCATCATCAATTCTATTAGGAGGGAGGAAAAACGTACAGCATAGGTTTATTCGAAAAGACGCTCTTGACCTTCCACAAGTCCCCCAAAGTAGCACGTCAGTGCTTTCAGTTTGTTCCCCATCCACTCTTCCTCCACCTCGACGTTCTCTTGCCCTTTTTCTGATGCTCTCGCTATATCATTGCTCTCATTTCTTGTGTCCTCGATATTCACTAACGCCGCGATATCATCTAACACCGTATTGCGCGGTAAGTAGAACGCGACATTCGGCGTGATTTGTCGGGATATATTGAACAATTCCTTTCCGTGCACTGGCTGGACACTCGAGAGACTATAAGAAGGGTGCACGTCATCGACGCTCTGATCTTCTGGAAGGTCGGGATTGGACAGATATGAAGGGCCACCCCATGGCGGACTGAGAAATACGACGTCGATCTTGCGCGTTGAGGATGAATTTGATGATTGAGAGCGTGCAAAAGAGAGATAGTCGGCAAGAACGAATTCGATGCGATCTACAACGCCGTAGATGGCAGCATTGTGACGTGCAAGTGCAAGACGAGTGGGGGATGTGTCAAGTGCGATCACTGACGCGGTCGTGTGAGGCCGCAAGAAATCATAGACGTGAGAAGTTTGAAGGCGCACCTCGCTCGCAAGTACGGGCAAAGGCGATTGCATTTCCACCCACGCCGCAAAATGCATCCAAAATTGTGTTACAACGACAGCGCTCGGCAATTTGGCTAGCAATAGCTTCAGGGGTCACGCTAAACCAGCCCTCTTCGTCTAATAAACAGCCTTCATCATACAACGAGAAAAAGCGTTTTCGTTGAGAGAAATCTATCCCAAAGTGGTATGAGGAAACAAAAAGCCAGAGGCGGGATGCAACATACATTTTTGCAAGTGCTCTGGAACTTGCGATGCTTCAGTGAAGAAAGGGACCACGTCCGTTGCATCATATGACTCATTTTCAGGACCGAGCAAGCCCGTTTTTCTCTTCTTTGTGGGTTGAGGTTGTGTTTGTGGGGTTGAGGGACTATCCGGCAATGGGGTCTGCTCAAAGGCCTGGCTAACGAAGCGAGACAGGCCAGAAAGATTGTTATGTTTTTTCCCCATGAAGTTATTCACTTGAGTGAAGGGAGATGATGTTGAACAGAGGATGACAATTCCGAGGAGCCACTCTGCCCCGGCATGCGGTAGAGATCAAGTGGCGGAGACAGTCACGGTGACTGAGAGAGTCGGAAACAACCGTGGACCGTGGTGGCACGCAGGACAAACGAACCTCGTTCATCGTTGCGGCCTTCGAGCCTCGTCTCATCATCCACATCGTATCAAAGAATGTCGTCGGGAGCACTTGGGATGCTTTCTTTCTCCCTTGACGTGCTTAAACCCCGATATTCAGAGGCAGTCGCGCGTCTGAAAAACTCTCTCATGGCGCTCTTTGCGCTCGTCGTACTCACTCATCTACTCCCAGTACCTCCTCTTTACTCTGCTCTCTGGAGAGTGTACCGGGGTTCCTATCGATCATTCCCTCATAAAGTGATATCACTCTCGGGTGAGCCAAGTCCTTGTCTGCAGTGGACTGACCCCATATCATTCAACTGTGCTTCTCTGTGCAGAATTCTGGGCATTTTCCATTCTGGCGTTCAATATCCTCCAAGCATCTTACGCCATCTACTCCCCGCGAAAACCGCATGCACCTCCACCCACTCCTGCAAAACCTCTTTCCATACTTCAGTCACCACGCGCCACTCCTTCAGCACCAGCCTGGCGATCTAAAAGTCACGGACTCTCTCCCAACGTGCGCGTCTGCTTTTACTCCGCAATTAGTATCCATGTTGTACCCAAAATTGACTTTGATTCGCGGTCTTCGCAGACAACGCCTCAACGCCAGAAGGCCTTCGCACCTTCGGCATCATATACCCCGTCGGATCCATTGAACCTCGCGCGGTCGTACACTCTATCGTTTTTCGGTCCATCCTCTGATGCATCATTTGCTTCTTCCGTGTCGCTACCACCTTCTCCATCACCACTGGCGGCATATCGTGGACGACAGGGTGGTGCTATTGGACGTGAGTTTATCCTCGTTGTATGAATCCTTTTCGTCCCGGTTTTCCTATTCTTGAGTTTCAACGCGTTCAATTTTCCCATTTATATTGGCAATTCATTGTGCCTTCATTCCGAACTCGTCTGACTGGACATCGATGTTTCCAGGACCACTCGATGCGTCTCTCCTCGCCCGTCTATCGCAGATGGATTCGGATGATGAATGATCACACCACCCAGATACTACATATGCACACTTATTAATGGATACGATTCAGGTATATGTGCGCGGTGATTGGCGTATGCCCAGATAGGCTCCATGCATAACACAACTTACGGTCTTTCCGTCCGCACAAGCATATGACTGTAGTTCGTTAGCGTGTCATCGAACTGGGGAACTTGTCAATGGCGGAGCAAAAACCTGCAAGTTTTGGCTTTCTCCTAATAGAGTCTGGAGAACCTATGTACCTGGATATTACCGATCCAAACCTGCTGTGTTTCGGGTCTTTTCGTTAGCACCGTTTTGAGTCAATTTTGTTCGATGTTTTCTCAATAGAGAAGTGAGGTATGTCCGGGCCGGGTCGGCCGAGCTAATGGGTCGAGTTCTAACAGTCACGTTCATTCAGGTTCCGTTGGAACACGCTCAACACGTTCATGAATCAGTCCCCGTCTTGGATCCCTTGTCATCTGTACCCTTCGTTGCTCACACTAGTAAGTCATATGTGAATCGTATATTGTATGAAATGCTGAAATTCGAGTAGCTTGGTCTTTGTAGCAACGGTATCTAATCCATCGCTCGTTTCAGAGGGTAATATACATAGCATCAAGGTCAGATCAACTATAATATTATTAATCGAATTCAAACACTGAATCGCTAGCTTATCAGTCGTGAGCACACCTATGTCTGATCTATGGCTGCCGAAGTCATTCGAAGACTTGGAAGCGTTACCAGCCTCAGATGTCATATCGCGACAGACAATAGGCCTCAGAGCTGTCGTTAAAACTGGACCCGGTGTCCTAATCAAGTATGCACGCGACCTTGCAGAAGAGGCTATATGCGCACAGTTCGCTCTGGATGAGGCTGCCCTTCCAGTGCCACGCATCCTTTACTATCCTAGCGACCCTCATTACGTGGTCACTGTCCAAGATCTTATCGCTGAGCAACCTTTGGTTATCAGTGTTTGGTATTTCTTCATGGAGCAAGTCCCAGGCGTTTCTCTCGACAAAGTCATTGATACGATGACGGTGGAGGAACTTGACCATGTGGCGGCGCAGCTGAAGCTTCTCTTGCTGCGCATGCACACCGTTCAATCGAAGACCCTTGGGTTCATCAGCGGAGGTCCTTATCGAAACACATTCTTTCCCCTAAACATCTCCCCGGAACGCTCCTTCACGAATGTTGAAGAATTCATTGATCATTATCGCTCCCTATTCACTTTCATCGCTGGCGGAAACATGGATTCCGTTGGCCACGCGTACGTAGATACTCTGCTTAGTCCATTCCCGCGTGATTGTCCCATGTACTTCACACATGGAGACCTGCTTCCCAAGAACATCATGGTCCAGGGCTCGACAGTCACTGCGTTAATAGACTGGGCGGAGGGCGGGTTATATCCTGAGTTCTGGGAGTATTGCCGCATGCATGATCGCAACTTCCTGACCCAGGCTGGGCGCATATACTCCAGGCCATATTCCCTAGAAAGCGTCGCGCCAAGGACATTGACGGATTGGATCAATTGTTGGACATCATCCAATATAATTTATGTTGACTACCAGATAATCATATTTCGTGCGCGATACTGATCATCCCCTTTCGTAGGCACGACGATTGCTCTTCAGTCCTGAGTGTAGCAAAGTGGGGAACACACTTGCCCCGCGAATGGACATCTCATTTAATTTCAGTGAACGGTGTCCCCCGACGGCTCTATTGGGTTGAACAACGTGGGAACAAGTCGTTGCCATCAAGGACGTCTTGAACTGGGTTTCCCTCGGAGAGCAGATAGTCTTTTGTGGACTCAGATTGCCCTTGTACAATCTTCATCTAATGCGCAAAATGTTGGGCAACCAACGTTTGCTTCATCTTCCAACCAGCGCCGGGGATACACCCACGTACGCAGCTACATGCAGTAGAAAGCCGGGCCTTCGATACTGACATCGCTCAAAACGAAGACAATCTGGAAGAATGTTTCCTTCTGTCTCAAGCCCCTGTTCCTAATAGCAGATATTGGTGTATGTTGTGGTCAGGACCGAGCGCGTTCAATGCACGTTCATGCATTCATGCCTGAAAGATTCAGTTTAACGTGCTGAGTCAGCTGCAGAGATAAGATACGCACGTGTCATTGCCCTGCCCCTCGCCTGCGAATCTGAGCGGATGACTCTCGACTCCCTCGACTTCCTCTAACTTATACCTCTAACTTGCTTTGTTTCTCTTTTGCTGTCGGAGTGCCCTCATTCTCTTTCATACAATCGCCTCTCTCAATTTTGTCAGCGCCTTTCGCTTTCTGTCGTCTTCGCTCTTTGCAGGCGATCTCGCGGCGACCGTCCGATCCAGAGGAGTCGCAGGTCTCCTTCCGGGTCGTACCGTTGCTCACATCATTGCATGACATTGCTCCACATCCATTTCGCCCTCAGGAATCAACATGCTTTCCAGCGTCTGCTCGAGGGCGGCAGCGCTCGTGGTCAGCCTCCCACAGCCGCAGGTATCAGCGGCAGCGGTGGGCGCTCATGGACTCGCCCCAGTGCTCTGAGCATGGCTATGTCTCTTGACGTCAATGCTCGTGACTGGCTAGGTCGTACCACCCTTCACCTTGCGTGCTCCGCCTCCGACCCAGCGTCCGTTGAATACGTCCGTCTCCTGCTTGCACACCCAGCTATCAATGTCAATGTTCAGGACACAGAGAGTCAGTGGACGGCGTTGCACAGAGCATTGTATCATGGTAACATATCTGCTGCGTGAGTGTACATATATTTAAGCTCTCTAATAAACTCACCCGTCGGTTGTTAGAATCCTACTTTTACAGAGGGCCGACATTGACACGGCGCTTACTGATCTGGAAGGGTACCGTGCATTTGATTTGTATAATACGACTGTCGAAGCGACAAAGCCCGTGATTCATTCCGGCTCAGACGGGAACTCGTCAACTGTCCAATTGTTTACATGGGGGGCAAACAGGTAAATGCTCAGTACAACATCAATATGACCCCCAAGGCACTAATGAGATGACAGAAATGCTGCTTTAGGGCATGGCGACAGCGGAGATAGACATAATCCAGAGCACGTCTCACTGAGACGTCACCATGAAGGGGATCATTATGATAAGGACTCTGTATCATTCGCGCTCGACCCACCCTCGGTAAGGCAAGTAGAAATGTCTAGACTTCACACAGGTACGAAATCCTCTTGAGCTTATATCCATGTCTTTACAAATCGAGTGCAGTTGTCGTGACGAACGAACCGAGGGCCAATATCCGCCTCTGCGGCTTTGCGAGTACTGGCCGGTGAGCAGAAGATCGTGAAACTGTCCCTCATTGATTAATTGGGTGACTAGACTTGGTCCTGGCGGCGGGCAACATTCAATCTATTCCCTTTCCCCTATGCCTCAGTTTCCTTACACCGTTGTATCGGTTGCCTTGGGCCAAGACCACACGTTGGCTCTTATAGATACTGGGGCAGTGTTCAGTTGGGGCCTCAATCGCTTCTCCCAGCTAGGTTACGTGATCGAAACGAATGGCAATTCTCGTTTGGATGATCCTGTACAGGCAACTCCGAGGATTATATCTGGACCTTTGAAACACGAAAATGTCATAGGTATTGCAGCCTGTAAAACGGCGTCCGCATGTTGGACGGACAAATCCGTTTACACTTGGGGAAAGAACAATGGCCAATTAGGTACGTTTGTCGCAAACAACGCCACGGGTTCAATTCAGCTTTCAATATTTTTCTCAGGTTATGATAAATCTTCTCAGCCTGTCCAGGTCCAGCCGCGCCTCGTCACAAGGGTCACCAAGCCAGTGATATCAATCGTCATGACGGTCGGTCCTAACCTACTTTAGCTGTTTGGATTGCATCGTCTCATGCCGGAGCAGGACTCTGCTATGGCCTGTCTGCTCAAGTCTCAAAAGTCACAAGAAGTCGTACTTCTGTTCAATGATGGTTATACAAGGATCAAGTCTGTATTTTCATCTCGGCTGACCGATACGAGACATTGACGCATCAGGGATTTTCGCAGTTTCCCGTCACAAACGTTTCCATCCGAGATCACGACGTACTATCCCCCTCAGGCCAGGAACACCGCCGATATAGCGAAAATAGTATGCAACGACACGATGTTTGCGGCCGTTTCGTCGAATGGAGAGGTATTTACCTTCACAGTGCCTACGGAACAGGAAAACGGTGCGTCAAAGGAAAAATTGCTAGTCAGGCCTCAACGTGTGTGGGCTCTAAGAAAGCAGTGGAGTGCAGTTCGGGTCAGTATTCAGAAATTTCATCTACGTGATATTCGCCGAACGCAATGATCTGTTCAGGATGTCGCTCTCGGATCAGATGGATCTATCATCGTGTGCACCGAATCCGGCCACGTCTTCGTTCGCTCCAGAAATCTGAAAAGTGGACAAGGATCTGCAGCGAAGACGTTCAAGTTCCAGCGCGTCAACTATATTCAGCGGGTCGTCGCTGTTGGTGCAAACGACACAGGCGCTATGAATGCGCTGCGCCACGAATTTCGCCCTGATTCAGTATCCATTTCTGGCAATACCTTGCCGCAAGATCTCGCCAAGATTCGTCCATATCTGAAATATAGTCCGGTGACAGAACATAATGAAAATGCCCTACCTGCTCCTGGAACTCAGCCAAGTACAACTGTTGATACCGAGACGCTAGCAGTGCATTTAGTCGATCACAACGATGACCCAGAGGACTGGGCAATTTCTAGCGACATCGCCGAACTTCGTCGCCTTTGGGATGTGATCTCACAGGACAAGCTGTGCCGACAGAAACATGATGGTCGTGGCCTCTTCGATGTCGCTCCTCTTGCTCTGGGCGCAGATATCATCATTTGTGCCCGCAGAGGAATCCAGCTTCCTGCCCATCGCCTAGTTCTCTCTGCTCGCTGCCTTCCTCTGTCGGATTTGCTGTCGAGAAAAGGGAGTCTCCACGACAAGGAATCAGGAATATCCATCACGGCAACGTCCGCCACGGCCCCCTCGGCTCCCTTTGCCCTCGCCTCCAATCTCCCACGCCTTACAATCTCAGGCTGTCATGCGCTCTCTGTTCTTATCCTTTTGCACTACTTCTACACTGATGAGCTCCTCGCCATCTGGGATAATCGTGTTTCTCATGCGATGGGGGCATCACTTGTTGCTTCTGGACTACAGTCCGCACAGCTCACTCGCGAATTGCAGGGCCTATCACGAGCATTGGGATTAAACCTTGTCACTGAAGCCGCACGAGCAGCCTCCAAGCGCAGTCCAGAGCCTACGATGTCTCGTCATCTGAACAGGCTCTTTCTAGACAGTCAAAGCATGGCTCAAATAAGAGTCGTGGACGCAGTGCGAAGCCCGCTGGCAGGCGATATCGTCCTTGAGCTAGCCGATCGCCAAGTATTTTGTCATTCCGCTGTGTTGCGCGCACGCACTTTGTTCTTTGAATGCCTTTTCGACGACGAAGATTGGACTTCTCGACGTTGGTCTGAGCAAGGTGTTGTTAACATCAACCTGCGTCATCTCAGCTGGCGGGCGATGGACTATGTCTTGCGTTTTGTCTATGGTGGAGAGGAGCGAGAAATGTTTGAGAAGCTTGGTACACCATATTCTTTCCTCCATCAGCAAAGGTTGTTTAACAATATCTCGCAGAACCGGTTAAATCCGTGGACAGTTTCTTGGATCTAATTTTCGACGTCATGTCCGCAGCAGTAAGGAGCCCCGATTCTTGGTTATCTATCCGTCATTGACTTTCGATTCCGCCAGAACGAGTTGCTTCTCGATCGGTTACTTCTTGTCTGCTCATCGGTCCTCTTGCAATACGTCAACGTGAATAATGTCTGTAACATTTTAGTCGATGCCGCTTACCTGCAATGCGCACCATTGGTCAAATGTCTACACCAGTACATGGCCGTCAACATGGAAGCTCTCCTCGAGAGCCGAATGTTGGATGACCTCGATCCCCGTCTAATCAGGGCCTTATCTATGTCAATATGCGACCAACAGATCAGTAAATCACCCGTCTCGCGCTCAGGCCGTCTTCTCAGCGAAGCGATGAATAAGAACACACAGTGGTTAGCCCTTCAGGATATCCCACGGCCCATCGTCTGTTCTGCACAAATCAAGGATTCGCCTCGTCTATCACCGAAACGGTCGCGTCGCTCGTTTGTCGATCAATTCGGAAGCCCGTCTATTCGAGCTCATGCCTCGTCCGCCCAGCCTATTTCTGGGGACGACATGTTCCAGATGGACGATGCTGATGTGGTTCCTACTCTTAACTTAAATGCCGGCAGTGCGGCTGGAATCGCTCTTCGTTCGTCCGATACTTTGAAGCAAGGCCCCTGGAAGTCCAAAAGCGCAGGCCCTAAGTAGGTCTTCTTTTCATCATGTCTATCATCATCTCAAAGGCATTATTTAGAGTCGACATGAAGGCCATCTTGGCAGAAGCCCAAGGGACTAAGCTTGCTGAAGGCAGAGGATCAAGGAACCTACGTTACACTAATCCACCGGCCTCGGACGGACCCTCTACTCCTCAGCCATGGGTTATCAAGACATCCTCGAAGGACAATCTCAAGTCGTCTATTCCAACTCCACCTGGGACTGGTATCTCTGTGACTGAGCGCGCCAATTCATCCTGGCGCGTCACAGTTCCTACTTCGACCCCTAGCCTTGTCACAGCACTAAACGCCCATCACCCGCCTTTGGACACACCGGTACATACGCCCCCGAGTATCAAAGGAGCGACCCCACCAAATAATTCTCGGACTGTACCACAAGGTGGCCCAGCACAACTTCCCTCTAATCTACGTTCGGCGCTCCCAGAATTCGGCCTTGGACCTGTCTTCACACCGTCCAGACAAAGCATCCCAAACAAGAGCCCTGCAATCTCACGCCATATCTCGTGCGTTTTTGACCGCTCAGCATTAGTTCCTGATAATTCATCAATACATCGCTCATATTGTAGGAGTGGCGGAAGCGCATGGACCCTTCCTCCGGTCCAGCCTGTTGTCCGGCCTTCAATCGCCGGTTCTGTCATGTCTTTCGCGGCTATACAACAGCTACAACACGAGCAAGGCGCCACCCCTGTGAAAGATAAGCGTTCTCTGAAGGAGATCCAAGAGGAGGAACAAGCACGTCGAGCCGAGGAGGAGTTTTTGAAGTGGTGGACGGCTGAAGAAGAGCGTGTGCGAATGGAGTCGGAGGTAACATCGGCTTCGACAATTGCCCGGTCACCGAAGGGTCCCTCGAAGAAATCTAAGTCAGAGGCGAAGTCAAAGACGAGCAAGAGCGTGGATAGAGAAACGGATAAACCTGGCAAGCGGGGAGGTCAAAAACAGTCTGAGCAATCAGATCGCAAGGCGTCTACGAGCAATAAGAACACTAAGAATGCATGAACTATTTGGTAATGTTGTTGATCACTTCAATTTTACAGTAGTTTCACTGGTTCATGTACGCGCTTTGACTATGCTTGCATGAATAGGAATAATTGTATAGATATAATTATGAATGTGAACGATGCGAGTGGGGAGTGAGTGTACGACAGGCGAGCAAACGATAAAGTGTTCATCTAAGCGTCAATGGGGTCACGATGTGATGAAGATGTGGGTGGTGCAGGAGCGGGAGAGTGAGCAGACGCGTCAGGCGGATGATTGTCCTGAATTTCGAGCACTTTCCCATCGTCGCGAACTCGAATTTTTACAAGGTCACCATCGCTGGGATTCCCGATAAGCATGCATTTTCCAAGAACATTCGCTGGCTAAGGACCCACCGAATTGTACCTTGCAACAGCTTTTGCGCCAAGGGAAAGAGAACATTGGTGCGCACCACACGAGCGATCGCTCGCGCACCATACACGTCAGAGTAGCCTTGCTGCGCTAACCACTCCTGGGCAGTATTATCTACATCCATCGTGATGCGCCGTGGCTCCAGTCGTTCCGCTACGTCCTTCAGACGGAGTGAGACGACCTGAAGGATAGAGTCCCTCGTCAACTTATTGAAAATCAACATCGAGTCCAGACGATTCAACAGTTCAGGAGGGAAATAGCCTGCTGTGCGCTCGAGTACCTCGTCCTTGGCTCCTTGAGTGACTACCCCGTTGCTATCGCAGGCGGTCGAATGCGCGAGGATGTCACTGCCTGTGGTGCATTGTCAGCCTACTCTCATAGTTAAGCACCTAAATCACAAACCGAGGTTACTGGTAAGGCAAATTATGGTGTTCTGAAAGGGTAGATATTATGAGAGGCGAAGGAAGTGACAAGAAAAACTGATGCACCTTGAAATCTACCTTCCTGCCTAGCGTTGAATCGATCATCAAACTAATCCTTAGCGTTTGGCATTGTACATTACTACGCACCTTGGCTATCGGTGATGCTTCCTTCGTCAAGAATTTGGAGCAGAATCATAGCCACATCTTTGTGTGCCTTTTCAAGCTCATCAAGTAAAATTACGGCTATACGATCAGATTCAGCATCGTTCAGATTATATTCGTGGAGATGAACATACCGTAGGGCCTTCGTCGAACAGCCTCAGTCAATTGACCTGAGGCACTTATTTGAGATAAGGACAAACTCGTAGAATGTATGATACGTACCGCCCTCCTCGAAACCGACGTATCCTGGAGCTGCACCGATCAGACGAGACATAGTATGCCGGTCGTGATACTGCAGAAGCAGAAGGATTTAATGGTCAAGAGAGTGGGAGAAACCAGAACAGAAATGGGGCGGACTTCTGACATGTTGATATTGATTCTAAATTGAAGATTCATGAGCGATCAGATGTAACAGATGACGTTTATGCTCACAATCCTCTCCGTTCGTCGTCGAACAAAAATCCAGCAAGAGCTTTGCAGAGTTCAGTCTGCAATGATGCCTCAGGACAATTGTACACATAAAAGGGATCGATTACCTTTCCAACCCCTGTCGGGCCTAGAAACAAGAACGACGCGACGGGCCGAGTAGGGGCTTGCAGGCCGGCACGAGAAATACGGACTGCATCGCTGATTGCGGTGACGACATGATCTTGACCAACGACACGCTGTTTCAGCACGTCTTCCATCTGGTCCAACACACCGGAGTGAGTATCTGTGGTTGCGTGAAAGATAATCACCGCTACGTACGTGTACCAGCTTGTCCCTCTCGCCCTTCAGCAAGTTCTGCACGGGGATGCCCGTTGCCTTAGCCACGACGCGGGCAATGTCGTTCGAGGTCACTCGGTCGTGCAGCATCGCCAGAGGAGCATCCGCGTTCTCGTCTGCACGTTCGCCTTCTGCGGGCAGCTGACGCTCCAGATCCGGGATCGTCGAAAACCGCAGACGCGAGGCGTGCTCATATTGGCCCTGGCGCTGCGCGACCTCGAGCTCGTGCTTTGCCTCTTCGAGGCGCGTTTTTATGTCCTTAATATGATTCAGCCGGTCGCGTTCTGAAAACAATGGTGTCGATATAAGTAGAGGAACTAGCGGCCAGTGCTTTCCGACACACCTGCTTGCCAGACGGCCGTGAGCGCCTCCGCTTCCTCTCTTTTTCTAGTAAGATCCCTCTCGAGTTTTGCTTTCCGTTCCTGGCTGAACACGTCCATCTCGTTCTTCAAGCTCTCGAGTTCTATCTGTATCGTCATCATCGCGCGATCGAGTTGTTCGAGCTCGTCGGGTTTGGATTCTTGCGCGAGTCGCAGAGCCGATGCCGCCTCGTCGACCAAATCGATTGCCTTGTCTGGTAGGAAGCGGTCTGAAATGTACCGGGCTCCATACACGGCGGCTAAACACAGTGTTACTTAGTCTAGGTTAATGAGAATAAATGAGCGCGCGCACCGGTGACAAGAGCACCATCAGATATTTCGACACCGTGATGAACCTCGTATCGTGCCTTCAAGCCGCGGAGAATGGAGATGGTTGACTCTACTGTAGGCTCGTCGATTGTGACAGGCTGAAACCGACGCTCGAGGGCGGCATCCTTTCCGATAGTCTTTCTATATTCATCAGCTAGCCCGAAAAGGCTGGAGTCAAGTGTGCCAATGAATGATGGTCCGAGACTCACGCGTGGTAGCACCGACAAGCTGTAATCCCCTGGCCAGTGCGGGTTTGATCATTTGGCCAGCATCGATACTCCCCTCAGCTTTACCCAAATTGAAAAGCGTGTCTGAAAAAGAGCTCAAACGCATATAATCTAATGAATCCATCTTTTTTGGTATACGTACGGACTTCGTCAATAAAGCAGATCACGTTTCGAGCCTAGGAAACGGCGAATGATGTCAACCGCAGTGCCCTTAAATCGAAATCGAGTACCCAAACCTCGTCCTCGATATCGCGAATCAGGGATTTAAATTTTTCTTCGAATTGGCCACGAATGCCGGAGCCCGCCATTATAGCGGATAAGTCGATGGAGAGAACACGTTTGTTGTGTAAAGACTGGATAATCCATTGAGTGACAGTCGACGATATGATATCTGCCAGATAAAAAAACCTCAGGAACTTCTTTTGCGACGATTCGGCTGGCAAGTCCTTCCAGGATAGCAGTCTTGCCTACGCCAGGAGGTCCGATGAGCTATAGCAAGCAGCTGAGATTTGAAGTCACAAAGATGAACAGCGCACTGACAACAGGATTGGATTTCGTTCTTCTTGATAAGACTATACTTGATACAAATCAAGACTAGAAAAGAGTTCGTCATATATGTCGACGCACTCTGAATTGTTCGACGTATTTCTGGGGAAATAATGAGCCACCAGCTTTTAAACAGAGCAGGTGAGCTCACCTTCATCTCTCCCAATAGTGGGATCAAGCTTCCCATTTTGCGCCAACTCCGTGAGATCGACACTCTGAGTAACGATGACGAGTGACTCAACAAACTATCGGGAATTGCACTGACTTACGTATTCTTTCAGAGCGTCGCCTTTCTGATGCTGCTGCATGGTGAATCCTGGAAACCCTCCAGAGTTACCCTGCCCCCCTGGGGGGTTCTGAGAGTATCGCCTAGCACATATGACGTTCTTATGGGCGAAAGACGTCGCGAGAACGCCTCGAGATACATTTGCTGAGGATGCTCGGCCTAGAGGTGCCCTTGTGATGGATATTTTGAGAAGTGATCGACAAGAAGCTCCGCGTAACATATGAGAGAGGGCGCGAACACTGAGAGGAACGAGGGCGAAAGCGGGAGGGGATTAACAGGGGATTGTGCACGAGTCGGCGCGTCACTCATGGCAGCCGGCACGTGTGACCCGTCGATCACACCTATGTCGGAATATGCCGGAACCCTCGACAATTGTCGGCCAAGCTCTGGCAAGCTGCTAGATAACAAGATGACTCGGGACTCGAGCAGGGAGTGGTATGATGTCTACTATCTCCTACATATTCTTGGCTATAACGATCCTCTCAACTATGCCTGTACTCTCTGTTAATCTCAACCAACTGTCAGAGCACCAGATCACATTCGAAAGCCCTACAGACCACGGCCCTGCATCCTTGCCCGTTCCCAATCCGACACAATCGTTCTGGCTTGATTCATCTCCAGATGCCAATCCTCTGGGAAGGGAGGGGAGTGACGTTCCCCTCACTTCCGATGCCGACGTCTGCATCATCGGATCCGGCATATCTGGCGTCTCCGCTGCTTATCACCTGTCCAAAGCTACTGAGGCCGACCCAAAACTTGGTCCGTTGAAGGCCGTGATATTGGAGGCGCGCGATTTTTGTTAGCTCTGCATACTCAAATTATCTTTCAGTTCTTTTGTCTCACATGTCTCGAATGCAGGCTCAGGGGCGACCGGTGCGTGCCCAGCACTCGAGACGAGGTTGGAGGTAGAATCGCGATCATTGATCGTGTAATTATATATAGGAAGAAACGGCGGCCATCTGGTCTCAAACGCTTTCCTCGAATTCGGAGCCAACAAAGCTGTATGGGGCGTCGAAGATGCTATCAGAGCCGTCGCGCTTGAGGACTATACAGTGTCCCAGATCACCACATTGGTGAAGACTCAGAATCTGACTGATGCGGTGGACCTCGTCACAGGCGGACGTATCCACCTGCTCGTCACTCAGAAGGAAATCGAGGAAGCTCGCGCCGACTACATTGCTGCCAAAGGTGCTGGCGTGGATGTATCTACCTCCGAGTGGTTGAGCCAGGAAGTTGTCAAGGAGGTTGGTTTTGTGTTCATTTTTCCATCTGATTTTCCGTGATGGTTTTGCTCGAATAGAGATACGGCACCTCCTACCCCGGATATAAGCTACCGGGTCATAACCTCTGGCCATCGAAGCTCGTCACTCATCTGTTCTATCTCGCGAAACGCGCTACGCCTTCATTCGACCTACGACTACACACGCGTACCCCCGTCACTTCCATATTGCCGAACGCGTTTACCTCGGACAGCGGCATGCCTTCTCGCCGTTGGATCCTCCAGACCCCTCGCGGCTTTGTCTCATGCTCGTACGTGATCCATGCCACGAACGCGTACGCTTCGCATCTCCTGCCTCATCTTACCGGTCCACACGGCATCGTTCCCACCCGTGGTCAAATCATCGCTATCAGGGCGAACGCTACGGCCGCGGAGCTGACCACCTCTGGTTGGACAGGGAACGAAGGCTTCGAGTACTGGTTCCCGCGTCCTCTCAAGGCTGAAGATAAAGACCGACACCCTTTGGTGATCCTCGGTGGCGGGAGAGAGAACTCGAAAGACAGATTCGAGATCGATGAGACAGATGACTCAGTTGTGAACGAGGACGTCGGGAAAGCTCTGAGGGGCTTCCTTCCCGGCGTCTTTCCTGGTAAATTTGCGGAAGGAAGAGAGCCCGAAATGGAATGGGTACCTCGCGCCACTTTGGACATCAGTGTTATATGTACTTACGGCGAATGCCCTTGACTTCAGACAGGCATCATGGGATACACCAAAACGCACGACCCATTTGTAAGTCGCGTCCCCGTCTACTGGATTGATGGACCTTTCGATTGAATTGCATCTGGACAATAGGTCGGCCCATTGATCGACTCTGACAGTCTCAATACGTCTGCCTATCAGGGCCAGTTTATCTCTGCTGGGTTCTCAGGGCATGGCATGCCGCGCACCTTTGCATGGTACGTATGTTACTGCTTGGGCTGCGCGTTTTTCGTATTTCGGTTCCTGAGATCCATACTCATGGCTACTTCAGCGCTGAAGCGGTGGCAGGGATGATCACCGCTGAGCTCTCCCATTCCCAGTGGGAGGTTCCCGATTGGCTCCCCAAACACTATCTCACCACGAATAGGAGATGAGGGTGCGGGGTGCGGGAGAATCTGGGGAGAATTGAACGTTGCGGAGAGATCCCTGATCTATGCGGGGTTGCCGGAGCCCCATATCCGGGAGGAAGTTTCGATCATCGAATTTCTGGCTTACGACTTATTAGTATACCGCGAGCGGTCTAGTAGACTTGACGATGTGGAAATGTTTTTGATACCCGTCATTGGCGATGCTTTCGCCGTTGCTCTCTGTTTTATCGATGTTGCTGGTCGTCTTTGAGGGGCTTCCCGAAGGCGCCTGGCGTAGTTACGTTTGGGCGCTTGATTCAGTCAGCCTTCTCACCTTTCACATCATGTCTGAAACACAATCGTCTGCAACAGCACATGAGCAGCGATGGGGAAGAGGTATTTTTGTTCGTGCAACGTGCTGTGACGTGGTTGTTTGCTAACCTCGATTGCCTTGTCCGAAGTCCTGATTGCTGGGGGCACAGATTGGTGCGTGACGTTCTACTTGACACATGTTGTCGGCCCTCATCGACACGCGACCCCACTGCGTGTCGAGTGGTTCGCTGAGATGCCGATAGCCTGACGCGCATTATCTCAACAGGCCAAAGCTCGGTCGCAAGGATAAGGGAGGCAAGGTGGAGGGAGCGATCCCAGAGTCAGTACTCATGCACGTTGCCACGCCCACTTTTCGAGTCCTGACTGGGGCGGTCCCCATCCTCGCCTTCATTACATCTCATCCTTGGTCTGCACGCACACAGCCACCCAGATCTCCTCGAGCCGCACATCCTGCGCTCCCTGAACAACGTCAAAATCGTATCGATACACACCTCTTGCGTAGCAAGCCATTGCATCGCACTCGACGTCCATGGCGCTGCATGGCTTTTTGGACGGAACCAGCTTTCCGCACTCGGCGTGTCTGGCGTCGATTTTGTATCGGAAAACGCCCCGCTGAGAATCAGGCCCGTCGATCTCGGCGCTGCAGCCGGGACGAGGTTCGTATTCGCCGCATTGGGAAAAAACCACTCTATCCTCGTAGGCAGTGACGGTCGAGTGTGGACTGCTGGCGCCAATAATCTGGGCCAGGTGAGCGGGTTCGTTTGAGTGTCGTTCTGCAGGCATACTCAGGCACGGTGTTCTTCTAGTGTGGGCATTCTACGTGCCCTGAAGTTTCTTCGTTCAGGCTCATGGATGGCCCATATCATATTGCAACAAAGGAGCAGGAGCACGTCGTTAAAGCAGCCGCGGGCATCACTTTTTCCTTGTTCTTGACCAAGAGTGGGCGGCGTGCGTACCCTACATCTTACAGCCGCGAGGGCTCGTTGGTTAATGTTTGTCTGAATCTTAACAAGTATATTCTGTTGGGAGTGGAGAAAAGGGGCAGCTAGGGAACGGCAGGACCGGTGAACATATCGTCACCGGCAACAAATCGGCATACGACATTGAGACCGAACCCAGTGAGTTTCTCATCACCTTTCTTGACGGAAACGGAGAAGATCCAATCTCATGATGCTTGCTTTGCAAAGTCCTGGTTAAGGGTCTGCAAGACAAGAAGATCACGCAGATTGCCTGTGGCCACAATCACAGCATCGCGCTCGACGAAGATGGGTAAGGAATAACTGTGATCACTATTCTGAATGGTGTGGTTTCTAGCTCGAGAGACTAATCGCGCATCGGTCTGCATAGCGTGGTGTACGTATGGGGGTATAACGGGTACTGTCGCCTAGGCCTAGGAAATCAGCAAGACGTCTTGACGCCCAAGGTCGTCCCTCAGGTACATACGCACAATTGCCTCTTTCGATCAAGGATGTAAACACCGATTTTCTGACGCGGTGTCGTATTACCACTCGGTGTCGCGTAGTTTGCTGGGCCACAAAAGCAACTCATGGGCGCGCAGGTGGTTGCGGGCCCTTCGAACTCTGTCGTCGTCGATAGGCAGGGTATGTACTGGATGGCGGGTAAAGTGAGTGACTTAGTTCTTAATCTTGCGTGTCGTTGCTAAGGACTTCCTGCTGTCTTCAGTGGAAAAACACTGGTGACGGTACGTCATTGCCAGGTTTGCTCTGTGTAACGCGTTCACCATTTCGGCTAAATAGGTTCTGGGGGCCAGCCATACTCCCAGTTCCGCTTCATGCAAGACATCATGTTGGCACCTTCTTGTTATCCCACTTGTTTCGTAGCGCTGATTGCCTTCGCTCGATATTCAGGGCTTGTAAAATCAAGCATACTGCGTGCGGCGGCGTCACTCACTTCGCGCTTGCGCCTGATGAGGACGAAGGCGGCATCATGACGATCGCGTGGGGCCAAAATGCCGCGAATGGTGCGATTTAGCTTTCGTTCCTTCGCAGCTTCATCGAAGACAAACGCTGACTGCTGACTGCCCTTCCTTGTAGGCGAGCTCGGCATGGGCCCGAACGAGCCCAAGAGCGCCACAAAGCCTGGGAGAAACCAGCCTCTGATCGGCATTGACGTTTTTGAGTGCATATCTGCAGCCATCTTGACCGTTTATAACCGCAGCTGATGCACTTACCTAGCATCGCCGCGGGGCAAAATACGACGTACTTCCTCGCGACGCCGAGCGACAAGCTCTCCGACCTGCCCCGGCACCCTGCTGATCTGGAAGCGCCCGAGGTCTGCCTCGTATGCCACAAAGACAGCGGCGATCCGCTCGCGTGCGACAAGGTGCGCTTTCCATCCTGTCTCTGCCTCCATTCTCTGCACTTCTTTCTGAGTGCTCAACGCTACATCTTCTCCGCACCGCTTATGATCGTACTTATTATGGAAGTAGTGCGATGCACCGTACCACCCTGGCTGCCTTGACCCTCCCCTTGCTGCGGTCCCCGACGGGGAGTGGTTCTGCCCCGATTGTACACAGCATCCGGGCGGGCCGATTGGCGACGCGCCTCCGCCGCCTCCTCTGCCACGATCTACCGCGGTGGCGGGGGTGCGCGCGAAGAAGGCACGTTCACCGTCGGATGTGGACAGCGACGAGGATGATGACGCGGACGGAGAAGACGACGACGATGAAAATGACGCACCGAAGTCGGGCAGGAAGCGCAAGGCGCCCTTCAAGAAAGCAACTGGTAAGAACTCGTCGTCTATTAGCCAATGCTTCATGGATGGGTTCTGACGTTACACCCTTGGATAGTCTCGAAGCGCAAGAAGTAGTTGCACAGACCTTTCGCTTCCATTCAGTTCCCATATATGCACACCCCCACTCATCGGTCCTTGCGAATGCTCACGCTTGTTTCTCCTGTCGCACACACACACACGTACATTCTGTCCGCCAAAGGATACCCGGACGAGGATCCCGTCGATAATTACTCTGGTCACCTAATGTATATATACGTATGCTGAATGCTGGTATGATCGACGTTCGCGCGACAGCTCGATGGCATGACGTCCGGCTAACCACCTGGCGCCAACATCCCGTGGCAGTGAAGACGATAATGAGAACGTGAGATAAAGGAGTCATGTAAGTAGCAATAATAGTAGATTACACCGCGCCATGTCCCCACCTAGTGTGTATGTGCACCGAACCCCAAGCATCTCAAGCTCAGACATGTGGGGGCCTATCAGCCCCAGATTTTGAGTACGGCCAGGACAATGCCAACGCTGAGCCCCATGATGAGGAGCATCGCGCCCGCAAAGAACGCCATCAAATCCCATGGCGGGCCTTGCTGCTGCTGCTGCTGTTGAGTCTGCCCTTGTCCCTGTCCCTGTCCCGCAGTTGTTGCCAGCGCATCCCGCTCGCGCTTCTTCTCGTCATCCCATGCGGCGCTGAGTGCCACAATACGTGCGCGTGCATCGCTCGTGTCGAGTGCGCTCTCGGAGGGTGTACCGATGTGGACAAATGAAGGAAAGTGGTGCTCAGCCCACTGCTCAATCTTGGCACAGGCAACGGAGAGCCGGGTGAAGTTGGGATCCGCGGGCGAGGCCTTGGCATGAATCTGGCGAACATAATCGCGGAAGAGATATGCGACATCGCGCGGATTGGTGGATGCCATGATGAGCTGGGCATCAAAGTATCAGAAAGTGAGAGAAGGGGTAGGAGAGAAAGTGTGGAGGCTTACTTTGGCGGCTTCGGCCTTACGGATTTTGATGTGCCTCTGGAACATCTCAGGGTTCATGAAGCACAAATTGAGAGTGGCCATCGCCATCGCCGCTGGAATCGCGCAAAAGTTGAACACTGTCTGGTTCCGCAACAACCTCAGATAATCCAGCGAGTCCGTCGCGTGCCTCAGCGCGTCAAGCACCATCCCACTCTGCACCCACTGGGCTTGCTCCTCATTCCCCACCCTCAACAGCTCCGTCACATCCTCACACGGCCCGCTCGCACGCGTGGCGTACTCCTTCCTGCCCCATATCTCTCTTGGCCAAAAGAACCGACGTTCGTCCGCGTCCTCGCGGAAGTCACGAATGATGTTCGTCTTCTGGAGGAGGAGGCCCATCGAGTTAGAGAGACCTAGCTGAGACGCGAGCCAGGGGGCCTCTTTTCCCGAGGCGCCCCAGATACGGGAGAGGCCCTCGCCGACGAGGCCGGCAACGTAATGGCAGTAGAGGTCGTAGTCGGCGACGGTGGAGAGGTAAATGGAGCCAGTGGTGGCGGCACGGTGGGCATAGTCGGCCATGCCGATTTCCATTTTATGGCAGATGTCGACGATGACGGCGCGGTATCTACGGATTGAGAGACAGGAAAAAGGAGGCGTCAAGACGCAGGTTGCTGGGAAATGACTATAAACAGAGACGTACCCTGGGTCGAGCAGGTTAACCTCTTCGACGACCGTGTCGTACTCTTGAAGAACAATGCGGTCTTTTTCGGCGGGTCCGCTACCGTTGAATTTCCAGCCGGGAGTGACTGTTTTTTCATGGAAGGAGCGGAGAATGGGTTGTTTGATGTCGTCTGGAATGGTCATGTCGTCCTCAATGGTGTCGAGCCCGCGCAATACGACGTAGAATAAACATATCTGACCAAGAGCATCGCAACCCGTCAACAGCATGTTCGTGCATGTGTTATATGGCTAGACTAACCGTGCGCGCGAGGTCCCCGTCGAGTTCCTTGATGACAGCGGAGAAGCTGCGACTTGTGAGGTCGAGTAGGTCCCAGCAGCGCCGCATTGTTGCGCGGTCCCAGCCTGAGGTAGGGTGCTCGCGCGTGGCCGTGATGTCGCGTTTAGATTCGTGATAGAGCCAGTATTGGCATAGCGTGCGGAACTCGCCCGGGTGTGTGAGGGCGAGGGTAAGCATGGACAGGGCGGTCATGATGGCGAAGGCGAGGACGAGGACGAGGACGAGGTGGTGGTGGTGGTGGAGAAGGAGGAGGAGCAAAAGGGAGGGTTGTGGGGAAGGAACAGGATTGGCCCAAGTAAGAGGTCTGTCGTACCACTCGCCTTTCTTTTCATCCCATCGTCTGATTTCCTTATCCGACCCTTTTCTTCCCTCATATTCTCAAAATTACCGACGGCGACGACGACGACATCATAAAATGGACTCTAGCGCATCCTCACCGCCTGCCCGCATCCTCCCCACTGCAATAAAAAAACTGTCCGCAAGGGCTGCAAACGCTCGCCTCGAGTCCTTCCTCGCAGATTTTGAACAGCGTAGCTCCCCACTCAATGGCGGTGACCACACCGCCACCGTCCAACTGCAAAAGCTCACACTGGCCCTCGCAGAGCAGCGGCACGCGAGACGTGGAGCCCTTTAGCATTGCCGATTCATGGTGTACGATGGTGAGACTGCTCTCATTCATTTTTGGCTCCAGATGTCACGTACTTGCGTGCTGATAGGTTGCCGCGATGCGCTCGAAGAAGTAGGGCGTTTGGGGTCATGGTGTTCAGACCACACAGAACAGAATGACCGCATTGAGTCTGCACAACTTCGATGACCTATCCGAGCTGTGCTGAGTGAAGCGATATAGCGTGGGCACTTACGGAGTTGCAGTATGTTGTCAGAGATCAAATTTCACGCACGCGCCCATGCCTTTCCAGTATTCGGAGGGAATTCGGTAAATAGGACCGGGCAGATCAAATGAATTTCCGTTTGTGCTGAGCGTCACGTTTGAAACTGAACATGTATGTACACTCCCGAGTTTCACTTTCAGATCACTGACCGGGGGGTTCTCTACGAAGTATTGGGAGTCTAGATATCATGAGTTGTATCTACCTACGTTCACGCGCCTACATTCACGCAACAAGGACCTTGCGTGACTTCTGGATTCCCAGTCCTTCGTTGCCAAAATATCTTTCCGACTGAAATGCCACTCGTCATGACATCCATTTTCCTACATTGGCCCATGCATTCAGGTTTCGATCACTCTTTGGACTAAGAAATACACACCTAGACCATCCATCCATCCATCCATCTCTATATATCCATATCCATCCATCCATCCATCCATCCATCCATAAATAGAGGGCGACACTGGAAAATTGTGGCGCTGGGCCGGCGGCTCAGGTCGCGTGTCTTCGCTTATGCTCGCGTGGGCCACGTAAGAAACCACGCGAGACCACTGTCCCATAGGCTTTGGGACGCGAAACGGAGCGTGTCGGAGATTGAAACGGAGTTGGTCAGCGCGCGCGTGCCCAGGGCTAACCTAAGCATAGCACTGCGTGCACCGCAGGGGTTTTCCCGGGATAAACCGTGGATAAAACAATGGATATAGATAAAGTTTTTGTTCCGGTTTATTCACTAAAACAAGAACTTAAGGTTTATCTGATATTTATTCACGTCTCACAATAAAATATTGAACAAACCTTGAGTTTGTGTTTCAGTAGTTTCCGTGGATAAATCCAAACAAAAACTTTATTCATATCTAGGGTTTTATCCACGGTTTATCCTGGGAAAACCCCTGCGGTACACACAGTGTAGGCAATTCTCTTCCCCTGGCACTGTCTTGCAGTGATTTCTTCAGGTAAGGGGGCATTCAGCAAATGCTTAGCTTGGCAGCCACTCTTGGCTCTTGGTTTTGTTTGCAGGTATTTTCTTTATGTAAATTAATAATAAATAAAAGGGGACAATAAGAAATGGTGGCACTGGGCTAATAGCTCAAGTCATATGTCCTTGCTCACACTTATGTAGGCCACATAAGAAACCATGTGAGCAAAGCAAGCATCCATGACAAATTGGGTGAGCAGAGTGAGCCATGTCTTGGTGCTCCTAGCAACCTTAGCAACTAGAGTGGGCTATGCCTCTACAGCCATTAGAGCTTGAAATGGCATCCTAGCACCTCACAGAGAACCTCACGGGGGAGCCTCATAGGGCAGAATATCATAGGGGAATCTAATAGATGGGACCTTATAGGGAGCTTTATATGGGAATCTTATAGGAAGGACCTTATGGGATGTCACAGAAGGGCTATATAGGGATATTGGGGCACAGAAATTTTAGTAAGCAGAGTGAGCCATATCTTGGGTGCTCCTAGCAACCCTAGCAACTGGAATGGGCTATGCCTCTGCAGCCATTAGAGCTTGAAATGGCATCCTAGCACCTCACAGAGAACCTCACGGGGGAGCCTCATAGGGCAGAATCTCATAGGGGAATCTAATGGATGGGACCTTATAGGGAGCTTTATATGGGAAGCTTATAGGAAGGACCTTATAGGATATCATAAAAGAGCCATATAGGGATATTGGGGCACAAGACTTTATGCGCACTGGACTTTACGGGCACTGGACTTTACAGGCACTAGACTTTATGGGCACTAGACTTTATGGGCACTAGACTTTATAGTCAGTGCACTCTATAGGCACATAAGACCAAGCACTATAACAAAAACTCAGATTAAGCATGAGCACTGGACTTTACAGGCACTAGACTTTATAGGCACTAGACTTTGTGAACACTAGACTTTACAGACACATCAGACCAAGCACTGTAACAAAAACTCAGATTAAGCATGGTTGCACCGTCGCAACGCGACGGGTGAGAAGCTAGTCCCTATATAGAGGGCGACAGTGAAGAATTGTGGCAAAACTCCGCCGGCTAATGTCGCGTGTTGTCGCTTATGCTCGCGTGGGCCACGTAAGAAACCACGCGAGCGAAGCGAGCGCCATGACAAATTTGGCGAGCGGAGCGAGCTGTCTCTTCAGCCGCCCGGCAACCTCGGCAACTGGAGCGGGCCGTGTCTCGGCAGCTGTCGGGGTTTCACACAGCATCCCGGTCTGCCCGGCAATGCCAACAACTGGAGCAGGCCGTGCCTCGGCAGCCATCGGGGCTCAAAATGGCATTCTGGCACCCCATAGGGAACCTCACGGGGGAGCCTCATAGGGCAGAATCTCATAGGGGAGCCTTATGGGCAGAACCTTTCATGGAATATGAAAAGGGAGCCTAATAGGAAAGCCATATAGGCAGGATCTGGCAGAGGAACCTTATAGGGGAGGAATCTTTTGAATGTCATCTTGCAAAATCTCATAGAGAGGCCTTATAGGGGAATCTTATAGGCAGGACATTATAGAGTATCATGGGAACTAGACTTTATGGGCACTAAAAGTGATATTCTAGCACCTTATAGAGGAGCTTCACAAGAGAGTCTCACTGGCAAGATCTTATAGAGGAACCTGACAGAGGAACATAATAGGTAAGCATAATGGAGAAACCTAACAGGGGAATATAATGAAGGAAGCTATATAGGAGAACCTTATATGGGCCATATATTGGCAGCTGTTGGAGCTTGAAATAGTATCCCAGCACTTTATGGAAAAGCCTTATAGGTATGACCTTATAGAGGAACTAAATAATACTTGACAAGAGAGTCTTATATAGAGAATATTATGGGCAGGACCTTATAGAATATGATCAGAGAGCTATATTAGGGCAAAATAATTTATGGGCACTGGACTTTATAGGCACTAAAATTTACAAGCACTGGGCTTTACAGGCACTGGACTTTACGAGCACTGGACTTTACAGAGACTAGACTTTACAGGCACATAAGACCAAGCACTGTAACAAAAACTCAGATTAAGCATGGTTGCGCCGTCGCAACGCGACGGGTGAGAAGCTAGTAAATAGAGGGCGACACTGCAAAATTGTGGCGCTTAAGCGACGGCTATGCTCGCGTGCTCCTCGCTTATGCTCGCGTGGGCCACGTAAGAAACCACGCGAGACCACTGTCCCATAGGCTTCGGGACGCGAAACGGAGCGTGTCGGAGTTTGAAATTCGATGAGTCAGCGCTTCCGCGCGAGGCTTGCGACATTGGATCTCTGCCGCCAACCACCATCATCTCTGTCCTGGACCCTCATCTGTGCTCTCCTCTGCTTTATTCCTCACTGGCTTTTCTCTCAAACTCTACTCTGCTCTACTGGGTGTCTCTGAGCACGGATTCTGCTTAGAAAGAGCCTACAGGGTGTGAAGTCTACTAGCACGGCCTTAGTTTGCTGTAGCCAAAAGCAGTCTTTTCATAGCTGCCTGGACCTCTCTCATCCTGCGGTGTTTCAGTTGCTCAGGTACCTTTTACCACAATCTCACAGTCACAACGACCTGCTTTGCAGACAACGAGTGACATCGAGTTGTCAAAGAGCATTGGGAATCCTCTTCCCCTGGCACTGTCTTGCGGCAATTTCTTCAGGTGAACTGTGAGGGGGCATTCAGCGAGTGCTTAGCTTGGCAACCACTCTTGGCTCTTGGTTTTGTTTGCAGGTGTTTTTTTTATTTAGCTTTTCACAATGAGTGTTCCACCTTTGTAAGTCTATATTGCTTGCATCATGTCTATTGTGCTCAACTCTTTTTGTAGGCCTCCTAACGAGGGTGTGGTGGAAGTCTGGATGCCTGCATTGGCACCTTTGTGAGTATCTTTGGCTTGCTTGGATACTGTTTCAGTGCTAAAATTCTCTTTAGAGATGATGATGAGGATGATCTCTATATGACACCTCCACCTGAGACTGTACATAAGTATGTGTTTTACTTTTTGCTTATTATTGGTTGTGTGTACTCATATTTGCTATAGCGAGAATGCCAATAATAGTGAAGATGAGGATGATCTGTATATGACTCCTCCACCTGAGAATCTCAATGGGTATGTGGTTTTATTTAATCTTTTTATGGTCATTGGCTAAAAAAAAGAAACTATAGACATGTTGAAAACCAAGAGGCTGTTGAAGAGGCTGCCCATGTGGATGTGACTATGACAAGGTATGCAGTTTTTGTTAAACCACACAAAATTTGTTTATTAATTTTAGGGTTTATAAGAACTCCTCCTAGGACTCCTGAGCATGAACGCCAGACTGTGCGGGAGCAAGAGCGTGCTGAAAGGCTTCAGATGACTTCTCCTACTCTTCGGCGCGAGCGTTCTAGTAGTATTACCGACACTTTTGAGTCCACCGATATCCGAAACTACTGTGTTGCCAATTAAATGCAACTATAAATACAAAAAAATATTTTCTGTAATCTTCATACCCTGCTTCAACTTTAAGGCCCAGAAGCAGTGAGATTGAATCAGGGGTTCAATAGATATGGATTTAAACAGTCTACCCCCTAAAACCAGACTGTGTGAAGCACAGTCTGGGTTTTGGGAGCCAAATCCGAAGTTTCACACAGTTCTGTCTGATTCAATAGGCTTAAAATGTATTTTTCATGATCTCCTGAGATTTTCATCAGTAGACATGGAGTACTGAAGATGTTACTGGCAAAATACAGAATTGAGGGAAAAGCTCAAAAAATCGAGTCTCCAGTCCACAATTATCCTTTTATTTCTATTGCAGAACTAATAAAATGCCCACACATACACTACCTTTCAAATTATAACCTAATTTTATTATTTGGATGGGGGGATCCAGAGATATGTAATTGTTTGTGATGTTGAGGGTATTCTGCAACCCGGAGACACAGTTTAGTCAGCATCGGGAAAGGGCGGCACACAGTCGGGAGATTGCGGGCGCACTGTTGTCACACTGTTGTCACACCACGCACAGTCTCTCTGTTGCGCCACACAGTCCGGCCGAGACCGCACACAGTCCGGATTTTGGCGCTAGTTTAGCGCCACACAGTCCGGATTCTCGGTGACAGTCCGAGATTTGGCGGTGAATCAGCGCCACACAGTCCGGCCGTGCCGCACACAGTCCGTTGATTGTCGCGCCACACAGTCCGACTGTGTCGGCACACAGTCCGACTGTGTCGGCACACAGTCCGACTGTGTCGGAACACAGTCCGACTGTGTCGGAACACAGTCCGACTGTGTCGGACACAGTCCGAGTTTTCCCTCCGACTGTGTCGGCACACAGTGCCCTCCAACGTCTCGTGATCAAGCACACTACAACGTCGTGTCGCGTCCACACATTGCTGACAGCGTGTTGTAGTGTTGACTCCCGGTTCCCAGTACCCCTTGACCTCGATATTGACATCAATCCTGCTCTCATCCCCTTGATATTAGGTGCGTCATTTCCAGTCTCTCTAAGTATACAAATACCTCGTTCTCAACCTCTCCGCTTTCTGACCCCTCGACCTGCCACCCCCCAACCATCCCTGCACCCCTCCCTACCCCGACTGCCCCATCTGCTTCAACGCGATCGTCCCTGCCCAGCCGACCTGGTCCTGCTCCCCCACCTTCGTCCTGCATGACCCCGACACTGCGCCCCCTGCAGGCCACGAGCACGAGCAGGAGCGCGTGAAGTACTGCTGGACGACCTTCCACCTCAAGTGTGTTCGCTTGTGGGCCGCGAAGAGTGTCAAGGACATCAAGGAAGCCTGGTGCAGACGTAGCGAGAGCGGCAGGAAGGACGACTAGCGCTGCCTGGGAGCTGGTTCAAGCGCGAGTCCATCCCGCATTGCTACTGGTACGCCCCGTTCCTTCTCTGAGCCTGCTCCCATAGCCCTGACCCGCACCCGGCAGGTGCTTCTGTGGCTCCACCCAGGACCCGAAGCCCCCATGCCTCTCGACGCCCCACTCATGCACGAGCCCCTGCTCGCGCTCGCACATGTGCGGGCATCCCTACGTGCTTGCGTGCCACCCAGGCCCATGCCCGCCCTGCCAGGCGACGACGCAGTGCCCATGCCACTGCGGCAAGTAGACGGTCTCCCTGCGGTGCTCCCGCACATCTCCCTCCCCTGTGCACCTGTCCTCGACCGCCGACACCGCGCGCGTGGACCTCTCCTGCGGCCGCGCTTGCGAAAAGCGGCTCGCATGCGGGAACCACATCTGTGCGGAGCCATGCCATCCCGGCACGTGTCCGCCGTGCGCGGTGACCGAGGCGGCGCGGTGCTGGTGCGGGAAAGTGGAGAAGAGGCTTGCATGCGGGGAGGGAAAGAAGGAGGCGTGCGCTGTAGTACGCGGAGACAGCGGGGAGGAGGAGGAGCAGTGGGTCGGGCCGTTTGATTGTGGGAATTCGTACGATCGGTACGTTCTTCCTCCATCTGTGCCGGATTTTGACTGACAAAACTGTGTTTCTTAGACCCTTCGCCTGCACCGTTCATCGGTGCACCCAGCCCTGCCAACCGCCCTCCAGCATCCCTCCACCCTGCCCACTCTCCCCGGCCCTCACAACCCATTGCCCATGCGGCAAATACCCTCCTCCACACCCTTTTTCCCCCCCTCCCTCCCTGCAGCCCGTTTCCCCCACACAGCCTGCACCGACCCCATCCCAACCTGCACCTTCTCTGCCTCAAGCCCCTATCCGGCTGCGCGCACGCATGCGCAACGCGCTGCCGCGCCGCCTCCTGTGCTCGTCCCTTCAGCCTCTCCCCACGTCCCTATACCGCCCGCCGTCCTCGCCTGCACGCATCAGAGATGCTTGGCATCAAGCACCCCACAGCGGGCGAGTTCTACAGGATGCATGGCTCGCGCGCGCAGTCGAGAACCTCAATACGAGATCTCCGCGGTTGACAAGTCAAGGTGTAGAAACGGGCGTGTGCTGGCTTCGCCGACGATTCCCTGCCCCCGTCAAGTGAGAGCGGCTAGGCTGACCTGAGTTGAAGCCATGGGGCTAGTAGTGAAGGATTATTCTTATTTGCAAAGTGAGCACTCCCTTCCCATTACGTCGATGCCGAGTCCGAGTATGACAGAGATACGACGACACTTCCCAACCGCCTCATCCATTGCATGTATACTATATGCGCGCTACCGCTTGTCGCTACTTTTGATGTACCTCCCCTATCTGTAGTTAGATTCTTTTTTTATGCATAGATCGCGGTCTTGCAAATTGTCTCTTCCTCTCCCATTGGAGAAGAGATTATGTTTTTACACCAAGGCCCTATTCACCCACACGACGCGTGGGCGAAATTTTCGGAGAGAGCGTCAATCCGCGCCGATCTGTGCCAATTCTAACCTGAAAAGCTAGAAGGTTCAGGGTAGGACAGGGGTATGGCAGGGCTAAAGAGGCCATTAAGAGGTGAAGAAGCCACCCATGCCAATACACGGCTGACATGACGAGCCTGTCCGCGGCTGGAGAGGCTCGTCATGTCAGCCGCGTATTGGCAGGGATGAGTCCCGATACGCGCCTGACATGACGAGCCTTGCTGCAGCTGGAGAGGCTCGTCATGTCAGCCGCGTATTGGCAGGGCTGAGTCCCGATACGCGCCTGACATGACGAGCCTCGCTGCAGCTGGAGAGGCTCGTCATGTCAGCCGCGTATCAGCCGCGGCCACTCATCTTCTTTCCACCTCCACCTTCTTGTCCTTGTCTATGGCTATCCCTCGCTCATGCTGACACCCACGGTTGGGAACGGTCGACATCAACGAGAGGTATGTCGTTACTCACCTCAGTTCCTCCCCTGTACGCGCACACCTCCCGCCTTCATCTTCGCCCCTCCCTCAACGTTATAGCCATGAACGACACGCTCGTCGCCGTCCTCTGCTCGTAACCCGCTGCAGCAGCACACAAATTCTAACCTAAAAAGCTAAAAGGTTCAGGGTAGGACAGGGGTATGGCAGGGCTAAAGAGGCCATTAAGAGGTGAAGAAGCCACCCATGCCAATACACGGCTGACATGACGAGCCTGTCCGCGGCTGGAGAGGCTCGTCATGTCAGGCGCGTATCAGCTTGGCTGAGTCTTGATACACGGCTGACATGACGAGCCTCGCTGCAGCTGGAGAGGCTCGTCATGTCAGCTGCGTATTGACAGGGCTGAGTCCCGATACATGCCTGACATGACGAGCCTCACTGCGGCTGGAGAGGCTCGTCATGTCAGGCGCGTATCAGGATTCCGCTATGCCAACAAGCGCAAAACCTGCACAAACTCGACTCTATATGAATGAGACAGCCTACGAGCATTAACCTTACAGATACCCGCGCTGTGAGTATGTTCTTATTATATCTTATTGTACCTTTTATTTCTCGCACTCGGCTTTGCAAACGGACGATGGGCCTCCGCACCGCCGAGGGCATGTACTGATACATGATGTTTCCTTCTCTTTTCCTCTACTTCTACTATCTACAGATCCTCGAGGGACTAACCTTTCCCTTCCCGACCCCGTCTCTGTCCTCGTCCACGCCTACGCCCCCGCTCACCGCCGCCTCTTTCCCCTGCGCCGCCACGATGTCGGCCGCGGAGGCGTTTTAAACCTGAGACAGCGGGGATCGCGGTGGGGGCTTTGCCTGGCTTTTTCGCGTCCGTGATGGCCCTCAGCTTCGCAAAGCGAGCTGGACGGACGTTGGCTTTGATGTCGCACAGGACGATGGTGCGATCGCGCAGCTCGACCTCGCCCTGCCGGATCTTCTTGGCGATCTCGAGGCCGTGCGCGTCCGCAACGTAGCGCTGCTTCGTGGGCGAGGTGGTGCTCTTGGCAGTGCCGGCCATATGGTGGTGCGCGTAGCCGGAGGCGGAGGACAGGGTGCGCTCGTGCGATGCGTGCGCGGCGGTGCGCAGCATCGAGTGAGCGTATTTGGAGAACAAGGCGTCGGGCGGTAGGGTACCGGGGAGCGTGGTCGTTCCCTCGCCTCCTAGGAAAGAGCAGGGGAAGAGACGCGGCGCGAGGAGCCGCTTCCGGGTGTGCGCAGGTGCACGGGACAGGCAGGGCCGGGCAGGGAGGGGCAGGACTAGGGCCGGGGGAGGGCGAGCGAAAGTAAGTGATACGGACCTTTTTCATGGCATTCCTCTTCGCACCTCCTCTTCACATTAACAACGCTCCTCACCCTCGCCGTCGACGCGCTGAAGCATGGGTAGCGTGACGATTGCGACACGCTGTGCGCAAGGGCAAAGCACGGATGCGGCGGCGGCAGGGGCGCGTGAGGGAGCAGTCGAAGGGGTTGTTGTGGCCGAGTGGACGCGTGTGCATGGGGCCGAGAGGATGAGAGGACGAAGGCGAAGGAAGTGGGTGGTGGGTGTGCATGGTGTCGAGGCGAGGGCGAGGGGACGAAGGTTGAGGTTTGCGCGCGGACAGACTTGAGTTAGAGACGGACTTAACTTCGCGTCGAGCGCACGCGACCACTTAATTAACTTCGTGACTCTCCAGCTCCCGCTCGTCCGCCTCAACCCCTCACTTGTTCCCTCGGCGTCGTGCACACGCATCCCTTCGACCAGTTGCCTGCTCCCACCGCTGTCTCATTCGACACGATTGACGGTCTCCACGGCAGCGGCGTCCCGCTGCACCAACACCCACGAACCAACGCTGCTCGACGACGCGGAAACCCACGACAACGAGGAGGAGGACGAGAAGAAGCACAGAAGAGGTAGGAAACGGACGACGAGGACATAACAATAGGTACGCCGTCACTCGCCCCAGTTCCTCCCCCGTACACGCACACCTCTCGCCCTCGACCTCCTCTCCACGTCGCCCTCAACGGCCTATCCCTCGACTCTACCCGCCCCCTCATCTCGTCCGCTCAACCTCTCCCACATCCGACCCGCTCTCCCGTCCGACCCGCTCTCCCGTCCGACCCGCTCTCCCGTCCGGCCCTCTCGACCCCATCGCTCGCTGTACTGCCCTCCCCGCTCTCCTCGCATGATCTCATGCCCACTGGCCCACCGGCCGGCTCGCCCGCATCGCCCACATCGCCTCGCGCATCGCATGCGTTGCCCGGACCCCCGCTCGTCTCACCCGCATCTTCCACTCGACGTCGCGCTCGCCTACTCGCTACAGCTTGACACCACCCACCATCCCGGCACGTCCTCCGCCTCCTCCACCTTCGTCAACACCTCTGCCTCCGACGCCTCGTCCGCCGTCACCACCACCACCGCCTCCGCCTCCGCCTCCTCCACCTCCTCACGCCGCTCCACCGAGTCCTTGCGCACCAGGCCCAGCGCCAACCGCTGCGACCGCGACCGCACTCCGCAGGACCACTCCAAGTCCATGTCCGCGGCGAGCACCGCTCACATACGCGCTGCCCTCCTCGACCAGGCCGCCGCTGCCGCATCCGTATCCGCATCCTCACGCACTGGCCGGCCTTCCCTTCCCCCGGTGTCATGCCCCCCTCCACCCTTGGCTGCTGTATGAGCGGTACAGGACGGAGAAACTCCGCGCGACGCAGAAGATCGGCGAGGAGGAGATGCGGCGGCTGACGCACCCCCATCGTCTACCCTGCACTCCTCTCCCGCGTCGCCGAGGGCTTCCGCGTGCGCATCTCCCTCGCAGAGCGCATCCAGGATGGCCTTGCCTGCCCGACTCCGCCGCCGACGTGTACGGGCCCAGGACATGCGTCCTGAACCCGTTCTTGAGCTGCGATATCCCCTGCCTTTGCGGCCGCGCTCAGCAAGTTCATCTTGCCCCCGCGCCCCGACTCGGCGTCCATGCAGGAGAGCGGCTCCTCGCCCTCGCACGACCCCTCCTCCACTGACTCGCCGTTGCCGTCGCTAGGTGACCCCGAGCGCGACGACTCAGCATGCACCCTGTGCTCTGTTCAGATGCGCTGCATGCGCTCGAACGTGTCAACAAGGAGGGCAAGGGCAAGCTGGCGGCAGAGAGACAAGACGGTAAAGGGAGGGCTGATCGTTACGAGGGTACGTCCCTCCTCTCGTCTTTCTTCTTGCCCCTCCCTTAACATTTCCGCCGCACGCACGCATCGCCTCGAACTCATGCACATGCGTCCTCTCTCCTCTCAACGGCCTTGAACCCTATACGCCCTTGGACCACCCTGCTTCACTGTCTCAAGGCCGACGTCCCCTCCTTCGACCTCACGCACGGCCGCCACGCACTGCCCCTCCACTGACGGCGACCCCTGTCCTCGTCCACACCTACGCCCACGTTCACTGCCGTCTGCACCCCCGGAGCGCACGCTGCCTGACGACGCACAAAGGATCATGGCGGTTCGAGTGTGGACGAGGAGGATGAGACCCAGCTGGCGGCAGAAGACGAGGAACGAGTGCGGCGGAGAGACGGGCTGGAAGGGAATGGGCATGGATGACGAGGCTATCCATGAGGGATGAAGGTACGTCATCGTCTCTCACTGAAGTCCTTCCCTCGCACCCGTACCTCTTGTATTCGACCTGCCTGCCCGCCTCCCTGAACACCCTAGCCCGACGCTAAACTCACTCGTCCGCCCCCCCTCTGATCCGCTTTTGCTCTCGACTCGCTCGCTAGCTCACTCGCATGCTCACTAGCTCACTCGCACGCTCACTCTTGTGCTCGACCCGCCCGACACCACGGCCACTTGCCCACATCGTCCACGTCCCCTTGCGCGTCGTCTGCGTTGCACGGATCCCCGCTCGACACGCCCGGATCCCCCACTCGACGCCGCGGCCTGTTACCGGCTCGCTCCGCTTTGCTCATCCGAGCCCCTCCTTCAACCTGCTTCCCCTCGACCCCCCGACGGTGACCTTGCCGCCCTCGACGCCGCACCCGGCTGTCCGCTCAGACCACGCAACCCCGCCACCCAGCGCCTTCGCGCTCATCCCCTCGACGATTCACGATTCCATCCTTTCCTCGTGCTGCGTCGCTGCCAAGACCCCGCGGAGGCTCAGCCCATGCACGCTTACCCTCGTAGTCTTCCCCTCCGCTGTCGATGTTACCACTCTCGACGTCGCACACGCTCGCCACCCAGGGCCGCCGATCGCATCGATCGCATCGAATGTCGCCCCCTGGAGCCCACTCACCTTCGAACCCATGCGTTCGTCCTCGCCTGCGACCCACGTCCGCGCGGACTGGATCCCTCGGACACGCACACAGCCTCCACCCAGCGCCCTCCCACTTTCTTATTGACCCCACTCACGCTCGCCGTCCCTGAAGCTCGTCCTCTTAACGCCTCGACAGCCGGTCTCTGCGATTCCACGGGCGCTCATCCCCAGGCTCTCGACATTCCTGCAACACAGTGCTGTCAAGAAGGTCAAATGTCTCTAGTTAAACGCTAAGGTCGCTTCATCAATGCCTCTGGGCGGGCGCTAGCCTAGGATGCGCAAGGATTGCGGCGGTTTGAAGGTCGACGAAGAGGGCGAGATTGAGATGGCGGGAGAGAAAGGGGCTGGATGAGGACAATGAATGGAGGCGGCAGAGAGACTTGGGTGGGGACGGATGAGCAGGTTTCAGGTACGTCGTCTCTCGCGCCATCCCTCTCCGTCTTGCACCAGTCCCTCTCCCGCGCACGCGGACGTCGGACGTCGTCATGTGTTTCAGTCCCTCCCTTGAGATCCCAGCCTTTGACGCGATGTCCGCCCATCCGCTTCTCCTCTCGCGCGGTCTCCTCGCTCACCTGCCCACCTCGGTCGAGAGCACGCCCGTTCAGCCGCTTTCCCTCACGCCCACTTTCGGTTACGGCCGGTTATTCGCCATCTCGCACTTGGCCGCGAGCAGCCCTGCGGACGTGGTGTCCGAACGCACTGCAGAGGCCAAGACCAGCGGGATTGAGGGGCAGTGTGGGTGAGAGCCCAATACATTCGGCGCGATTGAGTCGACGTCGGTTGCGCAGGCGCGGAAAATGAAGAAGAGCGGCACGGTGGGGGCGGGGGGCGTGGCTACCTCGGTGTGATGCTAGGTGTGGTCGTACCTCATCAATAGTGAGGCGTAGCGCCTGGATGGCCTGGATGGTTGGGTCGGCCAGCTGGAGGAGGGTCTTCCTGGTCTCCGGTCGGCGTCATGTCGCTTGCCTGCTCTCGCATTCTCCTGGTTCTGCACCGGGTCTGCTCGGCTGCTACATCAGGAAAACCCTTCCGCGTTAGCCATTTGGTAAGAGTGGTTAGGACAGCGCAAATTAGCGCTAACGCGAGCAAATGAGCTAAGAGGCTCACCAAGTGAGAAAACTGTATCTAAGTAATCTAAAATATGGTAAATTTTCGTCCGATGGCTTTCAGATGCACAAGGCCGCAGTGTGTCGCAGTCGGCATAGCGTCAATTGAACATCGTCGTGCCTCGATAATGTCTTGGCTCGGTGTCGCGGCAGGGATGAATTGTGATTGTGTACAAAGAGACAGTCGGTGCTTAAGGTGCGCTCTTCGTGCTGGGTCCTTCGTCGTCTGCGAAGCGATTAGTTGCAGTGGTAGGAGGAAGATTTGTTGTGGTCGAGCGGCGCGTGTAGAGTTGATGTAGAGACGCAGAGCGGCAGAGATCACACGGTGACGCCTGTCGCACATCTCAGGGCTCTCGATTCGAGTGCATAAACATACTAATATACTGTCATTTCTGTATGTCTATCAAGGAAAGGGTTTACGTAGAAAACAGAACACTCTTGGAGTACATTGAAGCTAGACTAGTGTCATGGAGCAGAAGGGCCGAAGCGGGGATATAGATGACAACTAGTAGTATTACCGACACTTTTGAGTCCACCGATATCCGAAACTACTGTGTTGCCAATTAAATGTAAATATAAATTTGAAAAAATCCTTTCTGTAATCTTCATACCCTAGTAGTATTACCGACACTTTTGAGTCCACCGATATCCGAAACTACTGTGTTGCCAATTAAATGCAAATATAAATATGAAAAAATCCCTTCTGTAATCTTCATACCCTGCTTCAACTTTGAGGCCCAGAAGCAGTGAGATTGAATCAGGGGTTCAATAGATATGGATTTAAACAGTCTACCCCCTAAAAGCAGACTGTGTGAAGCACAGTCTGGGTTTTGGGAACCAAATCGGAGGTTGCACACAATTCTGTTTGATTCAATAGGCTTAAAATGTATTTGTCATGGTACCCTAATATTTTCATTAGTAGACATGGAGTACTGAAGATGTTATAGGCAGAATACAGAATTGAGGGAAAACCTCAAAAAACCGAGTCTCCAGTCCACAATTGTCCTTTTATTTCCATTTGCAAAACTAATAAAATGCTCCTACATACACTACCTTTCAGATTATACCCTAATTTTATTATTTGGATGAGGGGATCCAGAGATATGTAATTGTTTGTGATGTTGAGGGTATTTTGCAACCCGGAGACACAGTTTAGTCAGCATCGGGAAAGGGCGGCACACAGTCGGGAGATTGCGGGCGCACAGTTGTCACACTGTTGTCACTCCACGCACAGTCTCTCTAGTAGTATTACCGACACTTTTGAGTCCACCGATATCCGAAACTACTGTGTTGCCAATTAAATGAAACTATAAATACAAAAAAATATTTTCTGTGATCTTCATACCCTGCTTCAACTTTGAGACCCAGAAGCAGTGAGATTGAATCAGGGGTTCAATAGATATGGATTTAAACAGTCTACCCCCTAAAACCAGACTGTGTGAAGCACAGTCTGGGTTTTGGGAACCAAATCCGAGGTTGCACACAATTCTGTTTGATTCAATAGGCTTAAAATGTAGTTGTCATGGTACCCTAAGGTTTTCATTAGTAGACATGGAGTACTGAAGATGTTATAGGCAGAATACAGAATTGAGGGAAAACCTCAAAAAACCGAGTCTCCAGTCCACAATTGTCCTTTGATTTCCATTGCAAAACTAATAAAATGCTCCTACATACACTACCTTTCAGATTATACCCTAATTGTATTATTTGGATGAGGGGATCCAGAGATATGTAATTGTTTGTGATGTTGAGGGTATTTTGCAACCCGGAGACACAGTTTAGTCAGCATCGGGAAAGGGCGGCACACAGTCGGGAGATTGCGGGCGCACAGTTGTCACACTGTTGTCACTCCACGCACAGTCTCTCTGCTGCGCCACACAGTCCGGCCGAGACCGCACACAGTCCGGATTTTGGCGCTGGTTCAGCGCCACACAGTCCGGATTCTCGGTGACAGTCCGAGATTTGGCGGTGAATCTGCGCCACACAGTCCGGCCGTGCCGCACACAGTCCGATGATTGTCGCGCCACACAGTCCGACTGTGTCGGCACACAGTCCGACTGTGTCGGACACAGTCGGAGTTTTCCCTCCGACTGTGTCGGCACACAGTGCCCTCCAATGTCTCGTGATCAAGCACGCCGTTCACGAGTCGCCCGCGTCACGTCGCGTCCAGCATTTGGCACCTCTGACCATCAAGAGTCCTCAATCGATGTTTCCTCAGAGAATCTCAAGGAAAAATGGTAAGTTTCTTTTTTTCTCGATCTCTCACTCCGCACGCTCCCAACAATGCCAGCGGACGATGGCCTCCGCCGAGGCCTCGAGAAAGCACACATCGCTGACAGCATGTTGTGATGCTAACTGTTCTTTCTCTTTGTCTATCTTTAGCTGCTGGCTTTGTCTTAACTGACAACTTTCTTTCTCTCTAGGGCCTTGCGGAGGAAGAGGGAATGATGAGAGACATCCACGACGGACGCAAGCTCGCTGAGCAGGTTGAGCAATAGAACGGTGAGTCATTATGTCTTCCTCGCGCCAGCGCCTCCCCACACATGTGCTCCTGGTTGCCTGAGTGCCCTCCACTATTTCTGTAGCGTCAGCATCCCGCTCTCTCAACACCTACATGCTCGCGCTGCCCCACGATATGTGACGCATTGCGGCCGTTCGAACGTCAACAAGGACGAGGGAGTCCAGCCAGCGGCGGAGGACGATGACGAGCACAAGCAATGGCAGCGACAAAGAATGGGCATAGACGACAAGGACATCCACAACAGAAGCAGGTACGTCGTATCTCGTGTCAGTCCATCCCTGCACTCCTCTCTCATTCTCATCTTTTCGCCCGCCCCTCCCTCAACTTGCGTTCCCTCTCCCCCTCGGCCATTCACGCTCCCGCCCTTAACATCACACACGCCTCCAATGCTCCGAACCACCTCGACCATCAATCCTGCCCTTGAGCCCACGCGTGCGCGATCGTCCCCTCAAGTCCATGCATGCATCCTCGCCTGTGTCCAACATCTGCGGTCATCCGCTCGACCCCATGCACTCGCAGCCATGTCCACAACGCCACGCACGGCCGCTACCGAGTGCCCTGACATCCATTCCCTCCCCAGACCCCACATATGCTCTTCCCCTTGAGTGCATGCCCGCCTGCCACTCCCTGCCTTCTCATTTGTCTCCTCCGTGGTCTCGACCTTTTCGACTGTCGACATTCGCGTGGTCCCGCAAGATCGGCTCTGCAACCCCACATGCACTCGTCCCTTCAGTCTCTCCCCACGTCCCTATACCTCCCGACATCCTCGCCTGCACACATTGGAGATGATTCACATCAAGTATTCCACAGCAGACAAGTCGCGCTGGATACACGGCTCGCGCACGCGGTTGAGGACCTTGATGTGAGAGCTTCACGGTGGACAAGTCGAGGTGCAGAAACGGCCGCGTGCTGTCTGCGGCAACTACTCCCCTAGCTTTGTCTACTTTTCTCCCCTTGTTCGTGACACTGTCCGTCAGCACCACTAACGGCCCTCCTGGCAGGACGCCCGGACTGCGGATGTGACCCATATCGCTAGGGACTTCAGCTGACGAGGTTGAACCGCATTTACTGCAGGGGCTTGACGCACACCGCTTGTCAATGGCAAAGAGGATGCCGAGAAGCTAGTGAGAGATAGAGAGAAGGTAAGTACTCCCTTTCCATATTGCTGATATCGAGTCCGAGTCCGAAAGTGTCATCAGCGCCAAGCGTCGATTGACAGCTCTCTCGGTTCTGATGCTTTCTTTTCACAGTGCCTGTCTTGTCAGCATTCCTCTGCAGACGAGTCGCATACGGTGTATGCTTTACTCAAACATCCTCTTCTTCCTGCTGCTGACGCTCGCGAAGCTCGGCTCGTTCATCGCGCTCTAGTACACAAGACTATCACTCAGAGCATCATCTGAGCCATCAATTCATCTGATGCGTGCATCCTTGGGTGCATGGGTGTATGCAATCGCGTGCAGACGACCGGCCTCATCCATTATCACCAGAAGCATTGATGCGCCCTTGTCCACCTGCTCCACCTCGCCCAAACCTCAGCCAGGATCAATGCCGCATCCTCCCTCACCTGCCCCTGCCTCCTGCCTCCCGTCCGCTTAGGCACACATCCTCTTCGCCTTCCACGTACGGTACAACGCTACCGTCCGCCGCATCAACACCCGCGTGCTCGTCACCACCATGACCAAGCGTGCCCGCCGGCGTCCCTCTCGACCCGCTCGTCTGTTCTCCTGCTCAACCCGCTTGACCGGTTTGCTCGTTCTCCCGTTCTCCCGCTCTCCCCGCTCGCCGTCACATGCCAGACAACGAGTAATTTATCGGTGTGTCCCCACCATCCAATCCCATCATCCTCGAAGATTTCTGACATCTCGCGACAGATGACCCTGAGTTCCTGACGCACAGGGCGAACTACCGCGACTTCTTCGCACGTCCGCCAGCTCCCACCAGCTGATCGCGCTGCACAACGCGAGCGCGCAGAAAGTGTACCACTCGTACCGGGTGCAGTTCCTCAAGGACGTTGTCCTCGCGCGCATCCTCGACAACCCAACGTCCAACATGCTCAACTCGTGCATCATCCTCAACCAGATCGACATCATCAACCACTTACGAAACGACGTGCGCTTCCCCGGCGAGATCATCGACCTCTTTGTCAACGCGGACGGGAGCACGCGTGCGGATGATCACAACAATCGGCTGGGGACTCTGTCGGTCGTCAAGGAGAAGGGCTCGATGAACGTCGACGCGCGCACGCCGTCGCCCGGGCTGCCTCCCGCCCCGGCGCGCGGTGTCCCTGTAGCAGCGGCAGCTGTGCGGCATGGGCAAGAACGTGCAGCTGCCAAAGCGTATGGCGCTCTTGAAGCTGCTCGTTGACCGCGGCGTCGTGCATGCGATGGGCGAGCCGGAGGGGCGGCGGATGATCGCGGTTGGCGGGGAGGTGCTCACAACGCTGCTGGACCACAACGTGAACGGCATGCCAGAGCGCGTACTGCTGTAGCTGCGTTGCGCTACTTCCGATTACACCTCCGTTGGAACAACAAGAACATCCTGGTACACTTCCTTAAGCAGGACGTGTTCAGGGCGATCCTCGAACTCGCGCTGCAAGGATTGGACTGGCACACGCCCATCAACTCGTCATGTTAGGAGTTCTTCGACCACATGCGCAAGGTCGGTGCCCTTCTGCTTGTTTGTACATGATGACTCCTAACGCTGAGCCAGGACGGCGCGCAGGAGAACACGAAGGAGGCGATCGACGACATCATGACCCGCAGGAAGCGCTCGTGCGGCAGGTTGCCCAGCCCAGGTTCGCGAAGAGGTGCTTCGAGCACTTCATCCTGCGCTGGGGGATGAACACCGCGCTCGAGCCCCGAAAAGAGGAAAAGCCGCCCGCACCCCAGCAATTCTTCTCGTGCTCTCCCGTCCACGCTCACACTCACACAGACGCACAAACGCGCGCGCAGCCTCAGCCAGCCGTTCGAGCCCCGCCGCCAGGAGGCCGAGGAGAAGTCATACGTCGACACGGATGCCGACGACGATGAGGGCTCGGTGCCGCTCCCCAGCGCGCCGCTGCTCATGCGCCACCAGTTTGCAGACCAGAAGTGCAAGCGCCAGCGCGTGCCCAGCGTGCCGATCCTCCCCGCTCTGCATGTCAAGCATCCACCTCCCACGCATGCCGCTCATCGGCAGCCTCATCGACTACCACGACGACGACGACGAGCGCAAGCTTGCGCTCGACCTCAGCCTCGACCTCGACCGCTGCCTCGCGCCTCTCGGCCCTCACGGCGGCGACGCGGAGCTCATCTTTTCCTACTGCCCCTTGCCCGCCGCCGAGTGCCCTCGACTCACTGGAATCCTTGAGCTCACGCACTCGCCCTTGCCTGCGACCCACATTCGCTTACGCGCGACTCCTCCAGCTCACGCACGTACGTCCGACTTCTCGTCAACCCCTCCATCCACTCTTCATCCTGTATCATCGCCGACACTGCACGCGCACCTGACCCCGCATCCCCACACCCTCACCTCACCTCGTCCTGTGGACGATGCGACCGTTCGACCCCGTGCACGCTCGATCCCCCATTCCTCGGCCGTCCCGCGCTCGTGGCTGAGGAAGTTGAGGAAGGGCGGCGGTGGAGGAGGAGGGGGAGCGGGAGCTCATATGAGCATTGACGACGAGAATGTCGTGATGGATGCCCCTTTGCTGAGCAGGACAGACGTCATGAAGGTGCGTCGTCGTCCCTCCTTACGCCAGTTCCTCTCCGCACACGCGTGTATCCCGGTCTCAACTTTCTGCCCGCCCCTCCTTCGACCTGCGCCCCCTCAATTTCCTCGACGGCGACGTTCCGCCCTTGACGCCGCGCCGGGTTGTCCGTTCAGCCCATGCAACCCTGCCACCCAGTGCCCTCGCGCTCATCCCCTCGGCGGTTTACATCCCCACCCCTTCCTCGTGCTGCGTCGCCGCCAAAACCCTGCGCACGCTCACCCCTATGCACGCTCGCGCCCAGAATCCTCGTGCTCTCCGCTGTCGATGTTCCCACTGTTGAGGTCGCCATCTTCATCAGTGTCGGCACCAACCACTTCCTCAACACCACCGCCCCCGCTTCCGCCAGGGAGCGCGACGTTCTCGTCGAGTTTCTGACCCTCCTCGCCGTCTGCCACACCGTCATCCCCGAGCTTAAGGACGGCAAGACGCAGTATCAGGCCAGCAGCCCCGACAAGGCCGCCCTCGTCGCCGGCGCGGAGCTCCTCGGCCTCCAGTTTCGCGTGCGTGCCCCCGTCCCTTCCTGCGTCCCGTCTGACCTCCTCCCCGCTCCCAGACCCGCAAGCCCAAGTCCGTCTTTGTCGATGTCCTTGGAGCGTCCCAAGAGTACCAGATCCTCAACGTGTGCGAGTTCAACTCGACCCGCAAGCGCATGTCCACCGTCGTCCGCGCCCCCGACGGCCGCATCAAGCTCTGCAAGGGCGCCGACGCCGTCATCTTTGAGCGCCTCAGCAAGATCCAACCATACAGCAAAAACACCCTCGTGCACCTCGAAGTGAGAGCCCCGCCATACCTCGACGACCGACTGCTGATGCTGACGCGCCCTCCCCAGGACTACGCGACCGAGGGCCTGCGTACGCTCTGCATCGCCTACCGCGACATCCCAGAGTCCAAGTACAAGCAGTGGTCCGCCCATGGCCACGGCCGCCCTCGCTCTCGCACGCCCTTGCACACAAACAGCCACCGCTCGTGCTCGCGCTCCTCTTTGCTCTCGCTCGACGAGATACTCCTCCGGGTAGCCATCAACGACCGCTCTCGTGCCGGCTCGCTCATCAACGCCCCCTCGCGCCCTCGGCCTTCGCCGGCGCACTAGGCGGCTACGCACCCTTCTACCGGACACCCTCCCCCGACTACCCGTCCCCCAGCCTGCGTAGGCGTGGAAGCGTGCACCCATCCACCGCGCACCCGGCCCCGCCACTGTACCATCCGCACCCGTCGCTGCCGTCGGCGCAGCACAGCTCTGCCCTGCCCGGGGCCTAGTAGTATTACCGACACTTTTGAGTCCATCGATATCCGAAACTACTGTGTTGCCAATTAAATGCATTTATAAATACAAAAAAATATTTTCTAAAATCTTCATACCCTGCTTCAACTTTGAGGCCCAGAAGCAGTGAGATTGAATCAGGGGTTCAATAGATATAGATTTAAACAGTCTACCCCCTAAAACCAGACTGTGTGAAGCACAGTCTGGGTTTTGGGAACCAAATCTGAAGTTGCACACAATTCTGTCTGATTCAATAGGCTTAAAATGTATTTGTCATGGTACCCTAATATTTTCATTAGTAGACATGGAGCACTGAAGATGTTACAGGCAAAATACAGAATTGAGGGAAAACCTCAAAAAACCGAGTCTCCAGTCCACAATTGTCCTTGGATTTCCATTGCAAAACTAATAAAATGCTCCTACATACACTACCTTTCAAATCATCGCCTAATTTTATCATTTGGATAAGGGGATCGAGAGATATGTAATTGTTTGTGATGTTGAGGGTATTCTGCAACCCGGAGACACAGTTTAGTCAGCATCGGGAAAGGGCGGCACACAGTCGGGAGATTGCGGACCCACAGTCGTCACACTGTTGTCACACCACGCACAGTCTCTCTGTTGCGCCACACAGTCCGGCCGAGACCGCACACAGTCCGGATTTTGGCGCTGGTTCAGCGCCACACAGTCCGGATTCTCGGTGACAGTCCGAGATTTGGCGGTGAATCTGCGCCACACAGTCCGGCCGTGCCGCACACAGTCCGTTGATTGTCGCGCCACACAGTCCGACTGTGTCGGCACACAGTCCGACTGTGTCGGAACACAGTCCGACTGTGTCGGACACAGTCGGAGTTTTCCCTCCGACTGTGTCGGCACATAGTGCCCTCCAACGTCTCGTGATCAAGCACGCCGCCACGTCGCGTCGCGTCGACCCTCCCCACACATTTGAACATCGAGCATAACATGCTTCCTCAGCCAAGGTCTCTTTGCTCTCTCAGGGCATTTTGGATTTCATTAGTGAGCTTTTTCTTCTTCTGAACCCTTCCTCTGCATGCTCTCGACGACGCCAGCAGACAACAGATGCTCAGAGAAAGTGCGCACTGCTGATAGCATTTTTTCTTACAGTTTGCAGCTGCAATACTCCGGGCACCCACTCCACGCTCTTTCCACACCCTCTTCCATCTCCACGGCTTTCTCTTTTCTCATCAACATCCACGACATCCGTGTCAGCGCCATTCTCTTTAAACAACTGCTCTGCGCCCATTCTGTCTCACGGCGCATGGAGCAAAGTGACTATCTTATCACGCGAGGTTGAGCACGTTGAAGAGAAGAACAAGGAGCAGATGGTGATAGAGGCAGAGGAGAGACAGCGGCTGTCGAGAGACGAGGGTGGAGCGACGGGACGATGGTGACGGACACACGCTCATCGAGCAGGCAGAACGGTACGACGGTACATACCTTCTGTCATCGTCCTTTCCGCCTGCCCCTCCCTCGACATCCACACCTCGAACCCCCACGCATTCGTCTTCTCAGCCCCCTGGCTCCTCCTCACATGTGTGGACTGACTACTCCTCCCATCTGCCCGCCCCTCCCTCGACTTGTGTACCCTCGACTGTTCGCACTCCCACCCTCGATGCCACGCACACCCGCCACCCAGTGCGCTCGACCGCCACCTGTCGCACCACGACAAGAGGCCCAAATTCGCCTCTCGCACGCTCCAACACCTCCGCGCTGATGCTCTTCGCCTTCCCAGTCCTCCACCACGCTTAGCCCTGTGGACCATCCCACTTCTCCATCCACCCACAACTCGATTGAAACAATGCCGGATCAGCTCAATGTCGACGCTTGGTTGCAGAACAAAGCAGGACGAGAATCGGCGGCGCTGCCCCTCCCCACTATGCCTCCCTTTCCCCCCTTTCTGACCGTAATCTGTCACCATCCCAGACTACTTTCCCGTCAATGAGCCACCGTCATATATCGACCATTCTTGATGGAGCAACAGCTTGAATTTCAACATGCGACCCTCGCACGCATCACCCAGCCGAACCCCATTGTCGACGCAGCGCTCCTTGAGTCGCGCTTTGTCGCGCCCCCGACGCCCTCCGCGTCTCCAGCAGCCCGCGAGCCCGCGACTTCCGCGGGATGCTGCACGCATGGGCCCGCAGCGCCGCTCGAAGACGCCGCGCACGCCGAGCTGTATAGTATGACGTCTGAAGAGGAGCATGCCACACTGCGTGTCGCGCACGAGCGGATTATGGACGAGTAGCCGGGGTACTGCGCATTCTTTGTGGAGTGGATCGATCGGCGACGGCGGTTGCTCGACGCGAAGCCCGTGCTGATCCAAGGTGAGCGCACCGCGCGCGTGTTCGATTCTCCAGCGCACAAGTTGACGGCGCGCACATGCATACACTCGCTCTCCCACTTGCACGCGCACGCGCGCGAGAAAGAGCACCTCGCGTCCGACGTGTGGCGCATGCTTGTCGCTGTCACGCTGCTGAACAAGACCGCGGGCACGCACGCGCTGCCCATCTTCTGGCACCTCGTGGACAAATGGCCCTCCCCCTCCGCACTCGCTCGAGGTCTGTGTCTCTTTTTGCTCCCCTCCCCACCCCAATCATACACGCTCGAAATGAAACGAAACGGATGCCTTTGGGGACGGTTGATTGCTCACGCGCATTCGGGCAGCAGCTGACGTCACCGAGGTTGTCGACGCGATCAGGTCGCTGGGCCTCCAAGCGACGCGCGGCGCGCGCCTCGTTGCGATGTCCCGCGCGTACTAGTAGTATTACCGACACTTTTGAGTCCACCGATATCCGAAACTACTGTGTTGCCAATTAAATGCAAATATAAATACAAAAAAATATTTTCTGTAATCTTCATACCCTGCTTCAACTTTGAGGCCCAGAAGCAGTGAGATTGAATCAGGGGTTCAATAGATATGGATTTAAACAGTCTACCCCCTAAAACCAGACTGTTTGAAGCACAGTCTGGGTTTTGGGAACCAAATCTGAGGTTGCACACAATTCTGTCTGATTCAGTAGGCTTGAAAGGGATTTGTCATGGTACCCTAATATTTTCATTAGTAGACATGGAGTACTGAAGATGTTACAGGCGAAATACAGAATTGAGGGAAAACCTCAAAAAACCGAGTCTCCAGTCCACAATTGTCCTTGGATTTCCATTGCAAAACTAATAAAATGCTCCTACATACACTACCTTTCAAATTATGCCCTAATTTTATCATTTGGATGAGAGGATCCAGAGATATGTAATTGTTTGTGATGTTGAGGGTATTCTGCAACCGGGAGACACAGTTTAGTCAGCATCGGGAAAGGGCGGCACACAGTCGGGAGATTGCGGGCGCACAGCTGTCACACTGTTGTCACACTGTTGTCACACTGTGCACAGTCTCTCTGTTGCGCCACACAGTCCGGCCGAGACCGCACACAGTCCGGATTTTGGCGCTGGTTCAGCGCCACACAGTCCGGATTCTCGGTGACAGTCCGAGATTTGGCGGTGAATCTGCGCCACACAGTCCGGCCGTGCCGCACACAGTCCGTTGATTGTCGCGCCACACAGTCCGACTGTGTCGGAACACAGTCCGACTGTGTCGGAACACAGTCCGACTGTGTCGGAACACAGTCCGACTGTGTCGGAACACAGTCCGACTGTGTCGGAACACAGTCCGACTGTGTCGGAACACAGTCCGACTGTGTCGGAACACAGTCCGACTGTGTCGGAACACAGTCCGACTGTGTCGGAACACAGTCCGACTGTGTCGGACACAGTCGGAGTTTTCCCTCTGACTTTGTCGGCACACAGTGCCCTCCAACGTCTCGTGATCAAGCACACTGCTACGTCGCGTCGCGTCGACCCTCCCCGCACCTTTGAACATCAAGCGCCCTCAATTGACATCCCCTCGATATATTAACACCACTCTCTCAGGGAATATCAAGGAAATTGGTAAGATTTTTCTTGATCTCAACTGCTCACTCTGCATGCTCTCGACGATGCAAGCGGACGATGGGCCATCGCCGAGGCCTTGTGAAAGCACACATCGCTGAGAGCGTGTTACTATACTAACTCTTCCTATTGTTAGCTGCTGACCCCGCATCGACTGAGGACTCCATTTTCACCGTCGACATCCACCCTCCGCTCTCTGCACTTTTGCTGCTTCTCCACACACCCTCGCTCCTGCCGCACATACACTCCGCGCCCGTGTACAGAACATCGCCAGGGAAGGTCGAAGGTACGTACCGCTGGTTCTTTCCTTCCCCCCAGCCCCTCCTTCGAACCAAGTTTCCTTGATGCATTCAATCATTGACGCTTCAGCCCTCGACGCTGTGCATGCTCGCCTGTTTGTTCCCTCAAACTCTTCGAACCTTGATCCCCCTCGCCTACCCAACTGTGCCTATACCCATCTGTGGCACCCACTACCCAGGCCCACACTTGCCTCCCCTTAATCCGCTCAAGGCTCCCGTCAACCAGTGCCCTCCACTATTTCTGCAGCACCAGTATCACGCTCTCTCAATGCCTCCGCGCTCGCGCTGCCCCACAACATGTGAAGCATTGCGGCCGTTCAAACGTCAACAAGGACGACGAGGTCTAGCTGGCGGCAGAGGATAAGGACGAGGACAAGCAATGGCAGCGGCGGAGAATGGGCATAGACGATGAGGACATCCACGATGGATGCAGGTACGTTGTCTCTCGTGCCTGTCCGTCCCCGCGTGCGTGTCTTGTTCTCATCCTTTCCGCCGGCCCCTCCTTCAGCCTGCGTCCCATCTCCCTGTCGACCGTTCACGCCCCCACCCTCAACATCATGCACGCCTTCAATGCTATGAATCACATTGACCGTCAATCGCGCCCTCAAGCCCACGTGCGCACGATTGTCCCTTCAAGCTCATGCATGTGCCCTCGCCTGTGACCGACATCTGCGGGCATCCGCTCGACCTCACGCACGCGCACCCGTCTCCGCGACGCCACGCACCGCCGCTACCGAGTGCCCTGACATCCGTTCCCTTCTTGCGTCACCGCCCAGACCCCACATATACTTGTCCCCTCGAGTGTATTCCTGCTCACCATTTGCTCTCTCGCTCGTCTCCTCAACCCCACGCAAGCTTGTCCCTTCAATCCCTCCTCACGGATCCCTCCCCATGTCCATCAACCTCCCGCCATCCTCGCTTGCGCGTTGAAGACACCCAACTCCCGGCACTCCACAGCAGATGAGTCGCACAGGACGCACGGCAAGCGCTAGTATTGGAGAAGCCTGATGTTGAAAGTTCTGCAACGGTGAAGTTCGCAAGATGTGAAACAATGGCGCGCTGTCTGCGCGCTGCCGCCGCCGCTGCATTCTACGTGCGTCGACGACCCCTTCTCCCACTAAGGCCACTCTCATTCCCTTTCCTTGACAACCCTCGTTCCGTCTGTCATTCTGCCTCTGACCAGTGTTTTGCAGGAACGTTACGTCTTCGCCACTGTCAACATGGACGAGAGCCTCGTATCTGCGAGAGTAAGCGACGCACACAGCTCGCGCGTACGAAGGTTAGGTTAGGCCATCTATTGCAGGACTTAGGACATGAAACGGCGGCGGGCTGTCCAGGGCGTCCAGTCGCTCCACGCGGCATAAAAGTGCCGGTGGACAAGTCATGTTGCAGAAACGGCCGCGTGCTGTCTGCGGCAGCCAGGCTCCCCACAGCCCAAATTCGCCGAAGGTGAATTTGGGAGCCTGGCTGCCGCAGACAGCACGCGGCCGCCGACTTCGTCGGCCTCATTTCCTTCCTTCCTCCTCTCCCTCTCCTCCTCTCTCATGCTCCTGATGCTGACATTTGACATCATGAACAGCCTTCTCGGCAGAACGTTGTCGGACACAGGACACTAGAGGGCCTCAAGCGAGCTTCAGACGAGTGTACGATAGCAGCAGAACACGCGCTATCACTGTTCCAGCAGTCTCGAGAGTACGGTCGTGCGACATGCCCAGCCTCGCAGCCTCATTCTCCCCTTGCATCTTCTATTTGTCGGCTAATACCATATGCATGTAGTCCGCGCGACTCGTTCTATGTACTTTGCGTGCATATACACCTCCCTCGAAGCTACTTTCTTAGGTGCTCCTCTGTAGCTACAGCCTGTATTATTTTTCTTGTTGTATCTATATCTATATTTTGAACTCAGGCCCGTTCACCCACACGATTTGTGGGCGAAATTTTTCGCCCGAAGTGGAAGGAGGACCACTCTACCTCGATCGTAATGAACAGCTCTCAATCCAACTCTTCGCTCGTCTCTCAGTACCTCTTCCTTCTCCGCGATCCCTCGTCCATGCCCTGTCCGTGCCAATGTCGACATCCTCTGCTAGCCTGCAAGCCAGAGACTTCTCGACAGGCCATCGGCCACATCCTCTTCTTCTACAGGACGATCGGTTGAGAAACCAGCGCAGACACTGGTCCAGATGAGCGAAATGAGCACTTTAAACCTTTCGTTGTGAGTTATCTTTTGTTCCTTTTACTTCTCGACTTCTCGACACCCGCTTCCTTTGCGCTCTCTTTCCTTTGCGCTCTCAATGATGCAAGCGGACGATGGGCCTCCGCCGAGGCCCTGATAAAGCTAGCATCGTTGAGGACGTGTACTGATGTTTCCTTCTCTTTTCCTCTACTTCTACTATCTACAGATCCTCGAGGGACTAACCTTTCCCTTCCCGACCCCGTCTCTGTCCTCGTCCACGCCTACGCCCCCGCTCACCGCCGTCTCTTTCCCCTGCGCCACCACGATGTCGGCCGCGGAGGCGTTCTGCTCTACCAACGCCCCCACGCCCACGCTGCCTGATCATGCTCCAAGCATCGTGACCATCTGAGCGTCAAAGACGACGACAATGAGGACCACACTGACAATCATGACGCGTGGTCACGGGCCTCCGGGAGGAGCTCAAGGTGCACGCGCGCGCGTGGGGGTCTGTCTTCGCAGACCTAGGTTTGTTTTTATTGCGCCTATCTCTCTGTCTGCTCTCCTCATCGCTCTCGACGTGCGCGCTAGAATATTGACTCAGAGCCCGTAAACTCTCGCTCGACTGCTCGTCAGAAGCTCACTCACATCACTCGCCAACAGTTCCAGGAGCTTTCCGCCTAACCTAACGACCAGCTCGTCCGCCGCAAGAACAATGCGGACACCAATGAAATTAAGTTTATCTCTTTCCATTCTCCCACGATCCGTCTCACGCCCTCTCACAGTTCCCTTTCTTCCCGTCCGCGACGACTTTAAATCCAAGCGCAACCAAGCGCGCCCAAAGCTCGCCACTCTACGCACCTCTCACTTCAAAGATCTCTCCAGCGACGTCTGCTACAAGCTTGCGCAGTGATACCCAGAGTTAAAGGACAGGTTGTGTTCCACCTCTTTTCACGTCCCATCCCTGCCTCCCGCGCTTACTCCATCGTCAGGCAGCAGATTCACCCAACTAGACGCCCGGATCCACCTACGACGACTTCCCATCTCCCGACTTTGCCGTGTCCCCCCGCTCAAGGCGCCCCACTCCGCCCCCTAACCGCCGCCTCACCCGCACTTCTGGCAACTGCGATTGCTCCGGCAGCACCGGCATTCGCCGCAAATCCTAGCAAAGACAATTTCGCTCATCTGGACGCCGCAGCGAAGACGCCTATGGCGGTGTCGGCAACAACGTGCCCTTCTCCCTGTCATCGCGTCGACGGCCCTCCGAGGACCTTCGCCAGGACTCTGTCGGCTACCACCCGAGCACCGCTAGCGCGAGCAACTCAACTAGCACGACCAACGCTTGGAGCACGACTGCCAAGAGCTAGATGATGATCCCCAATAAGAGCACCATCGCAAAGCAGGACACCGAGATCCCTTACGGTTATGACACCCGCGAGAGCAGCAGCACCGCAGGCGAGGAGCCCGACCCGGACGAGATGGAGGGTGGCCTCGGCACTTTCACCTGCCGCCTCGACAGCATCGACGAGAACGCGGGCGCGCGCCGCGGCGGCGACAACTATTCCAACAAGATGTCATTGGAGTGTGTTCGTCGTGTCCAATCGCTCGCTGAAGGATGGCCGCATAAGTATTGGTGCGGGCGAGGAATACGAGAAGATGAACCGCGACTACGAGTTCAAGAACGCGACCATGCAAAGCTGCATCGCCGGCCCCGAGAAAACCAAAACGTGCAATGCGTCACAACCAAGACAGATGCGTCCCGTTTTTCAAGTCGACTACCAACACGAGTTGCTCCACGTCTGCGTTGTACGTCCATCCGCCCCGCGCCGCCTCCTGCCCGCCGACGAACACGCTCCCAGGCGCGCTCGGCACTCCGAGCACCGTGACACGCGCAAGCGGCTGTTCCACGCGGAACGTACCTGTGCTCTCAATCGTGAGCGCGCCCGCGTGCACGATGAACCGCACCGTCCGGTTCGCGATTGGGGAGTCCGGTAGCGGGAGCGAGGTCCCGTCGTCGAGATACGCCGTGCCGTATGCTGCGCCGTCGGCACCGAGTGCAACGAGCAACGCGTACGGCCCCGCTCGCGTCTCGCGTGTCGTGTACGCCGGCTGCGCGTGTGTGAGGAGTGCGGCGCCCGCACGGATGTGCACATTGATGTGCCCGAGGGGCGCGGAAAGTGTGGTCGGCGCGCCCATGGTCGCGTTTACTGCAGTGTGGGTGTACCAGTCGCGCCAGGTTATCTGCCCGCGGCCAAGGAAGATGCCTGACATGACACAATGGGGATGAGCAATCGAACGGGTATGAATTCCATGTCGACCTACCGTCGACAGTAGACACATTGGGCTCGAGCACAGGCGTGACGAGAATGTCGCTCCCGACCATGAACTGGCGGTCCACCGCAAACAGCTCCGGCTCGTCGGGGAACTCAAAAAAGAGCGCGCGCACAGGAAGTGTGCCGTTCGTCGAGGCGTTGGCAAACAGTGTGTACTGCCCGATCCCGTCCGCGGTCAACGATGAATCGCGGATTTGGATCTCTAGCATACGAAGAGGCTCACCTAGTACGGCAGGAGCGCGTAGCGTATTGAGATCGCGGTATTGCTCGCGTTGGCGACACTATCCCATCTGTAAGGCTCCTGGGACAGCGCGTCGCGCTGGTTGTGATTTCTATAGAACGGCGTGAACGCGGATAGCTGCATCCAGCGATTGCACAACTCCTCGTCCGTGTTGCCGACTGCTCCGCGTATGCACAATATAACCCACGGTTAGGCTCAAGCAAGCAGGTGGATCGACGGCAAGGACTACGCACAGAAGCCGCACGTGTCGGCGCCGACCATCGGGATTTGGAACAGCTGGAACTGGAGCACGCCTGCGATGCTGTGCGCCATGTACGCCCACTTGCTGTAGTTATCCCCAAGCTGATAGGTACATCCGCAAATCAGTACCGCTTGGCGAAACGCTGGTACGGCGGAAGGAAGGACGACGACGACATATCCAGTGTCCTGTCCAGTGCCCCGAACCCGGGAATGTCGAGCGCGCAATGATGAAAGGTCGCTCGCCGGGGTGCACCGCGCGCAGTGCGAGGTTCGTCGCGCGGCCCTCCATATACCCAAATATGTTATGTGTATCGAGCTCGACGTACCCACCCGCGTGCGTTGCATTTGGTGCGAGCGTGTGCGTTAGCAGCGCGCCGAACCCTGTAATGCGTTAGCCGAGAGCCTAAGATGAGCAGGCGGCAGGTATACCGTTGTGAATGGCGTAGGGCGGTGCGCTCAGGTCCACATTCGACTCGTTCGCAGCGCCCAAACCGCGCTTGACAAGGGTATATTGCCTCGAAGCTGCCGACATCGTGCCGGCATCTCCAGCGCTGAATGTGAGTGTGCCGTTCACAGTGATGTTCCCGCTCAACCCCGACACAGTAGAGTCGTATCTGCCGCACACGGAGACGCGTCAGGCGAGGAACGAAGAGACCATGGCAGGGTGATGAACTTGCCCTTCGGGGTAGTCTATGACAAGGTCGTCAGGATCGCCGGGTAACGACACGGGGACGGACGTATTCGACAAGTCCGCGCCCGTTCCGCTGCATCGACAAACAAACAAAGCGTGAACATGAGCAGACGGCGATGCATCCCGATACAGTGAAGTTCACAAGTGCGGGTAAAAGAATATTTGAAAAAAAGGACGGACCAGGACCCGTCGCAAAACGAGCTCGCCTCGTTCATGTCGAGCCATATACCGGAGTACTCGACGCCCGCCGCGCTCCAATTACGCCGCGCATCGGCCCACCACGCCTCTGTGCCGTTCGCGAGCCAGTCCGGGAAGACCTACGCATGCGAAGAGGGGTCAGATGAAGCAAGCAGCCCTGATGGTCAGTATGCAGTGAGGGCGGGGGCCTTAAGGATCACGCACAGTGTACCCCGGCCAGACTTGTCCGATGTATATTGACCCGTCTGGGTTCTTAATGAACACGTCCCTAAGCACACCTCGCATCAGCCCCGCACACACACATACATACGACAGAACGACACGCACTGCTCAACTCCTCGTGTGTACGGGTCGTACTGCACGAACATGCGGGCGGCACGTTGGTATCAGTGATAAGAGAAGTGCAAAGGGGAAAACGCACGACATCAGTGGCATTCGTGACGTGTCCGATAGCAGCGTCTACGATCGGGATATCTGCAGGGTCGGCATTGGCATCATGAGTGCACGGTGCATGATGGAAAAGAGACAAGGACAGAGGCATTGTACGCACAGTGCTGTCCGTTCGCAGCCTATGGGTGGTCGAGGACAGACAAGCAAACGTGCACACAAGTCCGTTGATAAGTACCAGAACAAGGTCAAGCTGCAGGACGTACCAACTCGCGCGTGAACGCACGCATCTCCTCCGGGGGATAGCTTATAGGGTCAGATGTGAAATCGCGCAGCGAACGGTAGAGATCTATATCGTTCCACATAACTGTGCGCCCCCAATAAACCGACCTATCACGAGCACAAGACACCGCAGACGCACCTTTGAGAGGCACCCCCGCCCCGCGCATCGCGCTTACCTGCTCTCGCACTTCTGACAAGTTCGAGTAGCCCCACCGACACAGGTGGAACCCAAATGCCCACATCGGCTGCCACGCGGGCGCACCAACCGCGCCCGCGTACTGTGCAATAACGGCATTCGGGTCCGGGCCAGAGAAGAAGGAGAGGTCGAGGGTGCCACCGAGAAGGCGGTATTGAATGAGGGATGCGTTAGAGGAGGAAGGGGTGGAGAGGATGATATCGGCACCGGCAGTACTAAGGCGGGTGGTTGGGGGCACGGTGAAGACGATAGCTAGGCAGAGGCAGCAGGGACATACTTGGACAGAAAGACGCCATGCGACTGGGAAGAGTTGGTAGACGTGTTGAAGCGATGTTCGAGGTAGAATGCGTGTGAGCCGTATCTACACCCACGCGGTCATCAGGACGCCGCCAGAAGAAGAGAGGAATCGTGTGTGCACGCACATGTTCTCGTCGAGCGGGTCCGCGGCATCGCGCGCTCATAGCGTCTGCAGCGTGCCGTTCTGCGCGACGTCGCGCCTGAAGCCCGCGCTCGCAACAACCTCGCCGAGGCCGTAAACATTCGCATCACGCGGGAGCGCCGAAGTGAGCTTCACCCGAGGCGCATCGCACCATTAGCAGCGTGATGGAGGAAGGGGAACACTCACGTACCTGTATATACTGCTTCTCGAACACGAGCGGGAACGCGTCGAGCGCCACAGGAATGTGCAAGGGACCCACTGTTGCGTTGGAGCGCGACGAGGTGGGGAGTGAGACGAGGCGGGTATCAAAGAGCGGGGGCGCGCCTGGATCCTGGCGGCGCGAGATCCAGAACGCGAAGGGGACTTGTTCGTAGTTGAATACAAGGTCTGAGGAGTTGAGAATTGAGGCTGGACCGGGGGCAGACGGAGTACGAGGCGGAAAATATTCGCGTGGAGGCGTGAACTGCAGATTGTCGGCGTCGAAAATATGGACACGGAGCCTGTCCTCAAAGACATAGAGCATGAATATGTGACGAATGATAGTAGTGAAGAATTAACAGAAGGGAGGCACGGACCTAGACTGCGACTCATAGGAGACTTCAAGGGTGAGTAGGGGGAAATCATCGCTGAAGGCATTGCAAGCGGGACCAGCGAGGGCAAGGGCAGCGGTAAGGCCATACGGAGTGTCCTAGTAGTATTACTGACACTTTTGAGTCCACCGATATCCGAAACTACTGTGTTGCCAATTAAATGTAAATGTAAATATGAAAAAATCCTTTCTGTAATCTTCATACCCTGCTTCAACTTTGAGGCCTAGAAGCAGTGAGATTGAATCAGGGGTTCAATAGATATGGATTTAAACAGTCTACCCCCTAAAAGCAGACTGTGTGAAGCACAGTCTGGGTTTTGGGAGCCAAATCCGAAGTTGCACACAATTCTGTCTGATTCAATAGGCTTGAAAGGGATTTGTCATGGTACCCTAATATTTTCATTAGTAGACATGGAGTACTGAAGATGTTACAGACAAAATACAGAATTGAGGGAAAACCTCAAAAAACCGAGTCTCCAGTCCACAATTGTCCTTGGATTTCCATTGCAAAACTAACAAAATGCTCCTACATACACTACCTTTTAGATTATACCCTAATTTTATTATTTGGATGAGGGGATCCAGAGATATGTAATTGTTTGTGATGTTGAGGGTATTCTGCAACCCGGAGACACAGTTTAGTCAGCATCGGGAAAGGGCGGCACACAGTCGGGAGATTGCGGGCGCACAGTCGTCACACTGTTGTCACCCCACGCACAGTCTCTCTGTTGCGCCACACAGTCCGGCCGAGACCGCACACAGTCCGGATTTTGGCGCTAGTTCAGCGCCACACAGTCCGGATTCTCGGTGACAGTCCGAGATTTGGCGGTGAATCTGCGCCACACAGTCCGGCCGTGCCGCACACAGTCCGATGATTGTCGCGCCACACAGTCCGACTGTGTCGGAGACAGTCCGAGTTTTCCCTCCGACTGTGTCGGCACACAGTCCGACTGTGTCGGACACAGTCGGAGTTTTCCCTCCGACTGTGTCGGCACACAGTGCCCTCCAACGTCTCGTGATCAAGCACACCGCCACGTCGCGTCGCGTCGCGTCGACCCTCCCCGCACCTTTGAACATCGAGCGCAACATGCTTCCTCAGCCGAGGTCTCCTTGCTCTTTCAGGACATTTTAGACTTCATTAGTGAGCTTTTTCTTCTTCTGAACCCTTCCTCTGCATGCTCTCGACGACGCCAGCAGACAACAGATGCTCAGAGAAAGTGCGCACTGCTGATAGTATTTTTTCTTACAGTTTGCAGCTGCAATACTCCGGGCACCCACTCCACGCTCTCTCCACACCCTCTTCCATCTCCACGGCTTTCTCTTTTCTCATCAACATCCACGACATCCGTGTCAGCGCCATTCTCTTTAAACGACTGCTCTGCGCCCATCCTGTCTCACGGCGCATGGAGCAAACCGACTATCTTATCACGCGAGGTTGAGCACGTTGAAGAGAAGAACAAGGAGCAGATGGTGATAGAGGCAGAGGAGGGACAGCGGCTGTCGAGAGACGAGGGTGGAGCGACGGGACGATGGTGACGGACACACGCTCATCGAGCAGGCAGAGCGGTACGACGGTACGTACCTCCTGTTATCGTCCTTTCCGCCTGCCCCTCCCTCGACATCCACGCCTCGAACCCCCACGCATTCGTCTTCTCAGCCCCCTGGCTCCTCCTCGCATGTGTGGACCGACTACTCCTCCCATCCGCCCGCCCCTCCCTCGACTTGCGTACCCTCGACTGTTCGCACTCCCGCCCTCGATGCCCGCTCGACCGCCACCTGTTGCACCACGACAAGAGGCCCAAATTCGCCTCTCGCGCGCTCCCACACCTCCGCGCTCACACCCTTCGCCTGCCCGGTCCTCCAGCACACCAAACCTCGTGGACCGTCGCACTTCTCCATCCACCCCACACCTTGCTTGAAACAATGCTGGAGCACCTCGATGTCGACACCTCGTTGCAGGGCTAACCAGGACGAGAATCGGCGGCGCGCTGTCCAGGGCAACCAGTCGCGCCACGCAGCGTGAAAGTGCTGCTCGATGTTGAGCGCTCCTCAGCGGATGAGTTGCGTAGGGTGCGTGGCCCAATTATGTGTCAGAGAATCCCCCCGTTAAGCGACATGAATCCCCTGGCTTGAAAAATAGCGGCGCGCTGTGTAGGGCACCGTGTCGCGCATCACACCCCAAATGTGCCGCGCGACACGCTGCCTTACACAGCACGCCGCTGCTGGCTTCACTGGGGACACCAGCCACTACCACCCCCCTCACCTTCGTACTGTCTCCGACGACGACCCTTCCGCCAGCCCTCCGTGGCACTTTCACGCCGCGTGGCACGTCAGGGATGCCCACGGTTGACCACTTTCCAGCAGACTGAGTGCGCAGAGTGTAAAAATGACGGCGCGCTGTGTGGGGCAGGCTTTCGCACCTCACTGCCAAAATGTGCCGCGAGGCACATTTTGGAAGTGAGGTGCGAAAGCCTGCCCCACACAGCGCGCCGCCGCCGGCTTTGCCGGCGGCACCCCACTATACTTATCCTCTCATCTACCCCCGCTCTTCTTCCTTGTTATATAAAACTAGTCTAGTTATTCCACTTACCTAACCCTTTAATATCCAATGCGAGGCTTATGGTGCTAACTGACTCATGAACGCAGCACTGCGCTGAAGGTTGCCGAACTCGACCTGGCGCATGCACAAGGCCATGTGCAGCAGTTCCAAGAGATCAGCCAGGCGAATGAAGTGGTGCTAGCAGGCTTTAATGCGACCTACGATGACTACAAGTCATCCACGGAGTCGCAGCTTGTGAAGCACGAGGTACGTTTCGTTGGATGCTGGACATTTGCGTCGATGGCTGACTTGGGTTGCAGTCCGATTATAACGCTCTGTCAGAGAACTTGCACGTCGTCCAGCAGGAGCTGACGGCGTCTCGGGAGGTGATGGCGGAGACGAAGCGCACGTTTGACAAGGAGTGGGAGTCGTGGGCGAATGATAAGCGGACACTTGAGGATACCCTCATCGAGCTGACCATGTCGGAGAAGCATATCGCGGAAGACAGGACATCGCACAATGCGAGAGGAGTGTGCCGAGGTACGTACAGGACATTCTAGTTCTCATCTTCTGGCACTCATATTCTGGATGCCGGTTCAAAGTCTGCGAAGGCCAAGTACAAGACCAAAGTCATCGCTCACGGCGAGTCGCTTCGGGACCTCAAAGGCTTAAAGCTGCAGTTGTCGAAGCTTCAGATCGAGGCGAGGACACACCTGACCGCTGCGGAGACTACCCAAGCCAAGTTGGCGTCGTCTGAGTCTAGCTGGGGTCAGCAGAGGGAGGCCCTCGACAAGGAGATCGCTAATTTGACTGCTAGGCAAGTCATTCCTGTTGGTCCCGCGCGCGATAGGGTTCTAAACTTCTGATTCTAGGTTAGAGAAGTTGGTGGAGCAGAACAAGGTGCTCCATCAACACTCGGACTCGATCAGTTCGCAGGCTGCATCCGGCAAGGTTAGGATGCAGGCTCTGCACCGCCTGCAGAGACCGAGCCCGCTGGCGACGTGGACGAGATGTTTGCGCCAGGTGATCTCGTACTTGTGGAGGTAGAAGAATTTCATCGACATGCAGCTTGCGATGAGCAAGCAAGAGGACACTCGCTTGAAGCTTCAGGCAATCCGCTTTAGCCAAAACCTCAAATACACCAGGGCCACCTAGGGCCACGCTTTCCGAGGTGTGCACTTTTTTATGCCATCGAATTCACATCGTCTGATAATCTGATCTTGTCCTGTTCAGGCACGTGAATGTGCCGTTGCAACGGTCGCCACCGATACACAGCATGGAGAACTTGTGGAAAAAATTATTCAACTGACTATCTTCCGGGAGAACAACGCGACGCTGCGTGCGGATGCCGAATCTCAAGGGAAACGCGCTCGGGCGCTGGACTCCAAGCTCACGACCTTGAGTGGCTCGACGCCGCAAACGGTTTCACCGTGCGCAAGCAGAGCCGGAAGTGGTCGAATCGCGCGCAGCTGCGGATGGTGCGCGGGGAGGGCTCGGTGTCATCACCCTAGGGCCTCGACGACCCCGGCGAGAGGCCAGACAGGGGCTTGGACGAGCTATAAGGAGATCGGTGTGCTCAAGGACCGTGCGGCTAAGGTCGGAGAGACGAAAGAGTGGGCGCGCATGCTGCTGGCGGCGAGCCCAACCAAGGAAGAGTGGGACGTGCACCTGAAAGAATGCCAGCGCTTGCTGATGGAGGGGTCGTCGAACAATGTTTACTTGGACTAATTGACGGACCTAGATAGGTTGGTCGCTCACGGGCAGCTGCTAGACGAGCTCAATCATGATGTGGATGACGCAGTCATGACCCTCGAAGAGGCTTCACAGCACCTGGTCCACGCGCGCGCCTGCTATCTCTCGCTCGACAACAAGCACCGGAAGAAGCTCGAGGCCCGTCAGCATGCCAGGCATGTGCGTTTGCAGTCGTACGAGGCCGTCGAGGGGCTGGACGAGTTCCGGAACCCCACACCCATGCACTTAGCTCTGCCCTTCCTCAACGTGTTCCACGGTCTCTATGGCGGCAGCGTTCCGCTCCACCAAGGTCCACGCACCCATGCTGCTCCACGACGCGGACAATCACGACAACGGAGCGGAGGACGAGGAAGAGGATCGGCCACGTGGAGATGGGAGGTAATGGACGACGAGGCCATCTACATAGGTACATCGTCAGTCGTCCCAATTCCTCCTCTCCTGCTCTCCCTCCTGCTCTTCCAGCTGTCCCCCCGCTGGTCCCATGCCCACTGGCCCACTGGCCTGCTCGCGCGCATCGTCCACGCCCCCTCGCGCATCGTCTGCGTTGCCCAGACCCCCGCTCGACACGCCCGCATCTATCACTCGACGCCACTCACCTGCTCATCCCGCTCTTCTATCACGACCTCAATCCCCTCATTCGACCTGCGTCCCCTCGACCCTTTCGATGGCGACATTCCTGCCCTTGACCCCGCGCCCTGTCGTCCGCTCAGCCCGCGCCACCCTGCCACCCAGCACCCTCGCACGCTTGCGCCCAGAACCCTCGTGCTCATCTCCTCTGCTGTCGACGTCCCCACTCTCGACATCGTAAACGCTCACCACCCAGAGCCCCCAGGGGCCCCGATCCCATCAAATGTCGCCCATCTCCTCGATCCCATGTGTTCGTTCTCGCCTGCGTCCTGTCACGCACAACCACGCACATTCGTTCCCTTAGATACTCACACAGCCTCCACCCGGCGCCCTCCTGCTCGTCTCATCGATCCTGTACGCATTCATCCCCACACCCCCGACACCCCCGCGATACAGCGCCCTCGACATCTTCAATCACTGAGGGCTGAATTGCGAAGCTGCTCCGTCGACACCTCCGCGCGCGTACTACACGCAAAGCATCGCGACTATTCTAGTGTCGACGAGGAGGATGAGACCCAGCTGGCAACGGAGGACGAGGAACGAGTGCGTCGGAGAGACGAGCTGAGAAGAGTGGGCACGGATGACGAGGCTATCCACAAGGGATGTAGGTATGTCGTCGTCTCTTACTCCCGTTCTTCTCCCGCACACGTACCTCTTGTGTTCGACTTATCTGCCCGCCCCCGCACGGCATCACGCCCACTCTTCCTCTCATTCAGTCCTGCTCTCGACCTGCTCGCCCAACCCTCTCGACCCGCTTGCCTGACCCTCTCAGCCCGCTTGCTTGCTCGCTTGCTCTCGTGCTTGACCCGCTCGACATCATGCCCACTTGCTTGTGTCGTCCATGTCCCCTCCGCACATCGTCTGCATTGTCCAGACTCCTACTCGACACACCCGGACTTCCTGCTTGACGCCATGGGCACTCGTGTGCTCGAGTGCTAGCCCAGCTTGACTGTCGATCCCACATCTGCCCTCGTCCCCTCAGGTTCAAGCGCCCGCTTTTGCCTGCGACTAATATCCTCCTACCCCGCCCAGCCAATTCGTACCGCACGCGCGACCAGCCCTGGTACACTTTCGGGCACGGGCTTGTTCTGATGTACATCGAGCTCGGTGTCATCACCTCGATTACGTACTATACCTTTCTGTGGTGCGAGAACGCGCGGCGGGACCACGGTGAGCAGTTAGAGGTCGTCGGCGGCGTGGACGGGAAGGAAGGCGTGGTGGGAGTAGAGAAGGAGGGGCTGGGGGGGTGGAGGTGCACGCACGCCGTAACGGGCGGTTTGCGAGTGTTGCAGGGGCGACGCTTGTCTCCTCGACACCACTCCTGCCCTCCTACTCGTCCTCTCAAAACCCTCGACCTTCACTCCCTCAAATTACCAACTATCGACTGCCCGCAGATCGCACCCAGACCCTACGTCGAGGATAAGGAACGGCTGCAGCGGAGAGACGCGCTGGGAAGAGGGTTGAAACGGATAACGAGGACATCCACGATGGATGCAAACTCGTTGAGCAGGCCAGTACGTCGCCATCTCTCGCGCCAGTTTCTCCCTCTCCCGGACATCCGTATCCCCCACACTCATCTTGTCTATCTGCCACACCCACTCACCTGTTCTCCACCACACCTGCCAGCCTGCTCGATGCGCTCCGACACCACACCCTCGTTCTCCTTGACGAATCTCATTTCGCCTCTTCCATCATTAACCATGAGCAGTCCATATAGTACGGTTCCACCAGTGCCCACTAGTAAAGCGGCGACGACCATACACACAACCCCTTCAACACTCGACCTTCCTTCCCTCGTGCCACACATGCCCGCTACCTAGCTCCAAGATTCGACCTCCTTCAACGTCCTCAACGGCATGCACGCACGCACGCTCCCTCGATCCCTCGACGGTCCGCACCAACTCCTCACTCCTTCCCTCAGCCCCTTGCACACGCGCCCCTTCGACCCCACGCCTACGCCTATCACTGTCTCGTTTGGCGTGCTGCACGGTTTCCATGGCGATGGCGTCCCGCTCCACCAGCGCCTGCGTACTCGCGCGGCTCGACGACGCGGACAACCACGACAACGAAGAGGAGCACAAGGAGGAGCACAGAAGAGGCAAGGAAACGGTCGACGAGGAGATCTGCAAAGGTACGTCGTCACTAGCTCCAGTTCCTCCCCCGTACACGTACACCTCCCGCCTTCTACCTAACTCTCCATGTCGCCTTCAACGATCTACCCCTCGACTTTACCCGCCCCCTCCTCTCGTCCGCTCAACCTCTTCCACGTCCGACCCGCTCTCCCGTCCGACCTGCTCTCTCGTCCGGCCCTCTCGACCCCATCGCTCGCTGTACTGCCCTCCCCGCTCTCCTCGCACGATCTCATGCCCACTGGCCCACCGGCCGGCTCGCCTGCATCGTCCACATCGCCTCGCGCATCGCATGCGTTGCCCGGACCCACGCTCGACTCACCCGCATCTCCCACTCGACGTCGCGCTCGCCTGCTTGCTACAGCTCGACACCACCCACCATTCTAGCATATCCTCCACCTCCTCCACCTTCGTCAACGCTTCTGCCTCCGACGCCTCGTCCGCCGTCACCACCATCACCACCCACATCACCACCACCACCACCACCACCACCACCTCCTCCTCCTCCTCCTCCTCACGCCGCTCCTCCGAGTCCTTGCGCACCATGCCCAGCGCCAACCGCCGTGACCGCAACCGCACCCCGCAGGACCGCTCCAAGTCCATGTCCGCGGTGAGCACCGCTCACATACACGCTGCCCTCCTCGACCAGGTCGCCGCTGCCGCATCCGCATCCTCGCGCACTGGCCGGCCTTCTCTTCTCCCGGTGTCACGCCCCCCTCCACCCCTGGCTGCTGTATGAACGGTAAAGGACGGAGAAGCTCCTCGCGCGGCGGGCGACGCAGAAGATCGGCGAGGAGGAGACGCGGCATCTGACGCACCCCTATCGTCTACCCTGCACTCCTCTCCCGCGTCGCCGAGGCCTTCCGCGTTCGCATCTCCCTCACGGAGCGCATCAAGGACAGCCTTGCCTGCCCGACTCCGCCACCGACGTGTACGGGCCCAGGATCCGCGTCCTGAGCCCGTTCTTGAGCGGCGATATCCCCTGCCTTTGCGCCCGCGCTCAGCAAGTTCATCCTACCCCTGCGCCCCGACTCGGCGTCCATGCAGGAGAGCGGCTCCTCGCCCTCGCACGACCCCTCCTCCACCGACTCGCCGTTGCCGTCGCTTGTTCGATATGTATTAGTTTACATGAGTGACGCACGTTGTCCTGACCCTGCAGCCTCATTCTGGGGATGATGGTCTTCAGCCCGACGGTCACGACAGCGAGCTGATTACATTGTTGTGGTAAATGCCTTGGTGAGTCGATTCAAATCCCTTTTTCGTTCAGATCATTCAGCTCATTTTTTTTGTCTATATTCCCCCAAGCAGCGGCATCACAGAAGCGGCACGCTTATGTCCTCCGGGCGCCTTGGCCACTCATCAATCAGGCCCTCCTATACCTCGATGCGCTCGTAGCGCATTGACGCTGGAGCGCGGTATGAGGAAGCCTGCCCTGATGGAAGATGCGAGCCATGAGTGCACGCGCCGTGAGCGCGGTGGCGTCGTTTGCGAGGACCTCGACGGCCGAGTCATTGACGACGCGGATGAAGTTGAGGGTCCGACGCGTCGAGGTGGATATGTTAGAGGACCGGAGCTTAGCCACCTTGGTCTCGGCGCCTTCTGTGGGGGGAGAGCATGCACGTCGCGCGGCCAGTCGCCGACGGGTTGCTTCGTATATGCGAGGCAGACTCACGAGTTCTAATCAGTGCGCTGTTCTAGCGCTCGACAGCGAGCGCTTCCAACTTTGGGACAATATTAACGCCCGTCCACCCCTCGGCACTCGCGCGCACCCGGAAGCAGGCCTTGAGGAGGTCGCCTTCACGCCCTCTGCACGCGAGGGTCGCCTGAATGATGTAGTGTGATGTGGCGGGCTGCCGCGCAAACGGCATGCCCACACCCACGCTCACTGCCATCTCTTTGCTCGGCGCCATCCACAGTCTCTGTGGCGGCGGCGCCCTGCTCCGACAACGACCCCGCGCCCACGCTGCCCTACGACGCCCAAAGCATCGCAACCGGTCGAGTGTCGAGGAGGCGGATGAGACCCAGCTGGCGGCGGAGGACAAGGAATGTGTGCGGCGGAGAGACGAGCTGAGAAGAGAGTGAGCACGGACGATGAGGCCATCCACGAGAGATGTAGGTACGTCGTCTCTCACTCCAGTCTTCTCCGCACACCCGAACGAGTACATATTGTATCCGACCTGGCTGCCCGGCTCCTTGAAAACCCCAGCCCGACGCCACGCCCACCCATCGTATCCCTCTCATCCACTCCTGCTCTCGACCTACTCGACACCACGCCCACTTGCTCGCATCGTCCATGCCTCCTCTGCACATTGTCTGCATTGCCCGGACTCCCGATTGAAACGCCCGGACCCCTTGCTCGACGCCATGGGCACTCGCGAGCGCAAGTGCTCGGCCCGCTCGACTGTCGATCCCGCATCCGCCCTCGTCCCCTTAGGTCCACATGCCCGCTTTTGCCTGCGACTCATATCCACCCACACTCGTCTCCTCGACACGCCCATCCACTCATCCACTTCATCTCCTCGGTCTTTTACCCTCAAACCTCAACTATCAACTGCCCACGGATCTCCCTCGAGAACGAGGAACGGCTGCAGCAGAGAGACAAGCTGGGAAGAGGGCGGGTTAGGGGCAACGAGGACATCTACAACGCAAACTTGTTGAGCAAGTCGGTACGTTGTCATCTCTCGCAATCGACGACATCATGACCAGGCAGGAGATTTCCCAGTTCAGGTTCACAAAGAGGTGCTTCGAGCAGGTCATCCTGCGCTGGGAGATGAACACTGCGCCCGAGCCCCCAAAAGAGGTTCAGCCGCCCCCACCACAAAAAGTTCTCTTGCGCTCTTCAGTTCATGCTCATGCTCACACTGACGCACGGACGTGTGCACAGCCTCAGCCAGCCGCTCGAGCTCCGCCGCCAGGGGGCCGAGGAGGAGTCGTACTTCAACATGGATGACGACGACGACGACGATGACGGCTCGCTGCCGCTCCCTAGCACGCCGCTGCTCACGCGTCACTAGTCCACGGACCAGAACCGTAAGCGCCAGCGCGTGCCCGGCGTACCGATGCCCCCGCTCCGCATGCCAAGCATCCACCTCCCACACGCGCCGCTCAGCGGCAGCCTCATCGACCACCACGACTCCTCCTCGCGCGAGCTTGCGCTCGACCTCAGCCTCAACCTCGACCGCCGCCTCGTGCCTCTCGGCCCTCACGGCGGCGACACGGAGGCGGGGGCGGACGCCGCGCACACCGTCGCGCCCATGCTGACCCCTACGCGCCTCCGACGCTGCGCCTCTCTCATCGACTGATCGTGGGCGCACGCCCAACGCCGACGATGCCGGCAGTGGCGGCGGTGACGAGCAGCCGAACACGGGCGGTGGCGGCGATGGTGGCGGGAGGTTCATACCGCTATCACATGTACGCGCATCCCCTCGTCCTGTATGACCAAATGGAGGTGGTTGGCTTCCATGTATCCTGGGTCGAACACAAATTGGTAACTTGGGCTTTCCTTTCGGTGAGATCTCTATTTGGATGATATATCTCGTGTCTCACGCTTAGTTCCATAGCTATTGACATGCATTCGACTGTTCAGCAGTATTGAGCACGGCGTGAGGTAGCGTGAGGTGAATAGGAGAAGCCTCGGAGAGTCGTGATTACTCACTGAAGGACGCCTGTTCCCGAGTTCAACTTCGACAGTTCGCCGCAGGGCCATATCTGTGAAGACGTACCGAAGGCCGAAGGCCCTGCCCGTTTATGCATCCAAGCGGCATGCAACATCTTTTGTATATAAAATTGATAAGATGTGTCGGCGGCGGTTGTTAGCAGGCCGGTATAAAAGCTGCAGCAGACTGGCGGACCTCCTTCACCTCTTTCATTCCTCACGATCTTCGAACGTCTAGCTATACTCTTCAAAAACACCCGTGTATCCTATGCCCTCTTCTCTCTGACGTCGCGTTCTTCGCATGCATCCCTCCGCGGAATGGCAGTTGTTGCGACGACTAGAAAGCCGAAAGCAGAAGGGTATATCGCCTCTGTATTTACTACCTTATTTGGCGGCGCGGGTACCGTCCTTCCTCCTAGTAGTATTACCGACACTTTTGAGTCCACCGATATCCGAAACTACTGTGTTGCCAATTCTAACCTGAAAAGCTAGAAGGTTCAGGGTAGGACAGGGGTATGGCAGGGCTAAAGAGGCCATTCTAACCTGAAAAGCTAGAAGGTTCAGGGTAGGACAGGGGTATGGCAGGGCTAAGAAGGTTAGGTTAGGTTAGGTTAGGTTAGGTTAGGTTAGGTTAGGTTAGGTTAGGTTAGGTTAGGTTAGGTTAGGTTAGGTTAGGTTAGGTTAGGTTAGGTTAGGTTAGGTTAGGTTAGGTTAGGTTAGGTTAGGTTAG